AGTTCAGGAGGAATTTGGAATTCAAAAGATCCCTTAATGTCCTGTTCATCGTTTTTATCTCCATTTTTCTCCTTCGTGGGTTCCTTTTTGGGGGGATTGGTATTGATTTCGATCGTGACCTGGAAATGAGACCTGTCAGTATAGAATCAAGAGTGGCGAGGAAAGGAGCCAGGAAGTCAAAATGTACCGCCGCGTCCTCGCTGCAGTAGTCCACACCCACCGGCCCGTCGTTCTTCAGTTCGACATCCATCATGGCCTGGAAGACACCATTCTTGACCCGGTCTGGGGCATAGCCTTCCCCCATCTTGTCATAGAAATAGTCATAGATTTTGCGTGCAGTATCAGGACTAGCTGCATCATGGAAGTCGGGTTTGTTGCCTTTCTTCATTTTCGCATAGAGGGTGAATTGGGAGACTAGATCGGACAACTATCAGTATTGCCCAGGGAAGTTCCAGGTAGCAAGATGGAGAATCATACCGCATAGTACTTCTCCCTCAATTTCCTTGACGTTCTTTTTCCACTGTGATGGTGTCAATTGCCGGTATCACACATAGGTGCCGTTTGCCTCTTACTTGTGTCCCATTCTCATCGGGCCAGAACTTCGCCTTCAACACCTTATTCACGAGGTTCTCGGCATCCTTCTCGGTATCTTCTTTGCCAATACCAGCAAATACAAGAAGGCCCTTGCCAATAGAGGAAACCAACTCGGAATCGACTGTCACGGATGCCGACTTCACTCTTTGGATAACAACTAAACTATATTAGTTGATTTTGGCATACAATGTAAATTGGTAGTCCTAACGTTTCATTTTTGTGGTCTGTAGATCATTAGTATCTCGTCAAAATAAGAAACAGCTGAGTGAAGCCAGGGTACGCACTTGTGGTGAGAAAAGATAAGGCCGGTGATAGCGCTGGCTCCAAGCGTTGCTTGGTATTGCCCAAATAAGCTCGTTTAACTTGTTTTGTCGGTGCGACTTGATTCCTCGCAAATAGTGAACTTTTCAACTAAGAAATCAAATGACATGTGTGACTTGTGTGTTTGTAAAGCCACCCCCCTTCACGCCCTCACGTTCGCCTCCGCCCGTGACCGCCTACCTATTAGAGCATCCACGAAGCTTTCCACTCAAACGCGGAGAGGCATTCCATGGACTTCCGACTTTCCGCCCTTCTTGCTGTCAAAAAAGCACTTTTAACAATTTCTCCTCCATTAATTCCCTCCATTGTGCTCTTGTGACCATTTCGGTCGAAAGCGCATCGCCACACCCTTCCGACCGCATTAATCCCGACGCCAGTGGACGGCACGGTCCACCAACGAGTTCACAATGGCAGCCCGAAAAACGCAACAGGAAATTGAGAAAACCTTTAAGAAGGTCTCTGAAGGGATACAAACGTTCGAAGGCATTTACGAGAAGATCCGCCAGGCTACAAATCCTACGCAACGGGACAAGCTTGAAGACCACCTTAAGCGCGAGATCAAGAAGCTCCAAAGGTTCCGTGATCAGATCAAATCATGGGCCGCCGGAAATGAGGTCAAGGATAAAGCTCCTCTCATGGAGCAGCGGAAGGCCATTGAAGTGGTGCGTTCGGGTTTCCTAACTTGGTCCCCAGGGTTGATGGTTCATTCAAGGGACGGCAAGCTAACACCGTCGGTAGTGCATGGAACAATTCAAAGCCGTCGAAAAAGAGATGAAGACGAAAGCATATTCTAAGGAAGGTCTATCGGCAGCTTCGCGACTTGATCCAAAGGAGAAGGAAAGAGTCGAGTGTTGCGAGTTCCTCTCTACTATGGTGGACGAGCTTCAGCTGAAGATCGAGGCTTTGGAGGCAGAGGAGGAAACACTTCATGCACAGATGAAAAAAGGCAAGAAGGATACGAAGAAGGCGGATCGAATGGCCGACATCTCCCACGTTACGGAACGACATAAATGGCACGTAAACAAGTTGGAGTTCCTCAATCGTTCGTTACAGAACGGCAACTTGGACGTGGGTGCGGTACAAGATCTCAAGGAAAGTATCAAATATTACGTCGAGGAAGGAGGTAGTCTGGATTACTCCGGTGAGGATGAAACACTCTACGATGATCTGAACATTGGCGATGAGGTCGAGGCACAATTCGGCATGGGCGGCGAAGGTGATCGTGTATCATCACAAGACGCTCAATCAGTCCAAGATGAAGAGCCAGAACCGAAGCCAAAGGCCAAGCAAGAAGTGCCAGCAGCCCGAAGACCATCCACACAGATGAAATCGCCTCTACCTGTTCTTGCTACCCTCCACCCTTCTGCTTCATCGAGTGCCACTCCAGGCATGAAGCCCGCTCCCCTCCCGACCCGTCCCCCTGGTGAAACTCTCAAGTATGCGTCCGCCGCTGCCGCTGCAGCTGCAAGTGACAAAAGTGGCGTTGGCATTCTTCCTCTTCCCCCTCCACCAGGGTTCAGCCCGGCTCTGTCCGTGGCATTGCCCATCTCCAAGTCCTCTACTGCTTCGCCCAGTGTGGCGTCAGCACTGCCTGTCACCAAGTCAATAATTCCACCCACTGTAGCAGCCGTTACAGAAGAGCTTGCTGGGCCTGTGCGACCGAAGATCCCCGTGACTGCAACTGTCTCATCACCGGCACCTGCCAAGGTGGAGGCATCGACGAATGGGAAACCAGAAGCAGAAGGAACCGAGAGTGATGAATCGGTATATCACCTACCTCCGGGTCTCCAAGACCTGGTCCAATCATTTGAGGTGACGAAGTCGCGTGCATCGGCCAATCCATCGCCGTCTGTTCAGCGCCTTCTCGCTACCTCATTGACGACATGTCCGGAGGCTGGCGATGCTGAAAAACCGCGTCACTACAAGCCGCAGAACCCCTATAGCACGGCGCTCTACTATCCGCAGGAACCTCTCTCTATATTCGATGACCCCCGGTTGTACGATACCGGGAGAATCGACACAGATACTCTCTTCTACCTTTTCTACTACCGCCAAGGGACGTACCAGCAATATCTCGCAGCCAAGGCACTCCGAAACCAGAGTTGGCGCTTCCACAAGCAGTATCAAACGTGGTTCCAGCGTCACGAGGAGCCGAAGAACATCACTGAGGAGTTTGAGCAAGGCACCTATCGCTTCTTCGACTACGAGAGCACATGGTCAGTTTAAAGATTCCGACTGTTTGCGTTTTTCCGCCCCAACTTTACGAGCTCACCACTTACGAATATTATCAACAGGATGAATCGGCGCAAGGCTGACTTCAAGTTTGTGTACAAATACCTCGAGGATGAGTTATGAGGCGTTTCTTTTTTTCTTTTTTACCCATGAGCAACCCACCTGGGTCTCCCAGTGCAGATAAATTTTTCACCCTGGATTTGTTCGCAATATCTGGTTGACTCGACGCTATGATTCAATAGAGATGTTTTGAGGCTATGGCGGGAACTCTGAAATCTGTCTCGGTGGGCTGTTTTACTTTCGCAGGACTGGCATGAGTGCAATGAATGGGCCTCGGTGATACGGGAGTTTCGTGTTATTTGCAAGGTTATCAATTGTTCGAACAATACAATGAATCCTTAAGTCAAGCAAATTGACATAGAAAATAGCTAAGCCTGGCTAAGCAGCCTAAAGTTGATATGCTTAGTCTGCCTTGCCGGTACCTGGGCTAGGCCGTGGAAAGTACGAATCCGGGGTTGTACTCCGTACTTGACGTACACGTAGCTCTGCAGGTCTTAAGGGTTCCTCTATTGGGAAAGAATCAAGAAAAAGAAACTGAAAAAAAAAAGAAACCTGGAAACTGGGAAACTGGGGCTGCCATTCAGGTTCAACTCTTCAAGTCCTAAAGTTGCCCGGAACAGATCCCAAATATCCCCGAATTAATAAAAAGAGAAAAAAGAGAAAAAAGAGACAAAGCACCGACATGTGACGAATCGCATCAGGTTCTGTGCACGGCGACGTGCAACGTCAGAGAACGCTAACTCGCCAGAGAGAGCATTACGGGTTACACCTGCATCCCAATCACTCTTTCAGCCGCTTGGCAGACGCTAGCATGGAATGCACTTTAAAATTGCGGGATTTTTTTCTAGAAGGGACATTAGCGAACACTAATGTCGTCAGGGGCTGTGCGCGACATCGGTCGATCTGTGACCCCGGATTGGAGGGGTTTGGGAATTGTGGGAATATCCTGGAGGAGATATTCGGGTTCGCAAGGCTGGATCGTGCGGATCATTTGAGATAATATACAATCGGCAAGATTGTGCCGTGAGATACGTCAATGGGGGGGGAAAAGGGAACGCCCGGAATGATGTGCCCGCCCTTGAACACTCGACCTTGGACCTTAATCTTTTCCCTTTGACCTTGAACTTCAACCTCAAACCCCCCTATCTGAAAGCCTCGAGGTCCCTAATTCAGGAAATTCCCCATCTCCCTCATGAAACAGCATGCAACTGCATATGACGAACACAAAAAGAAAACGGGGGCCGTCAGACACGAGCTCTTGGCACGCTAGAATGACACTAGAAGCCACACAGAACTGTCAACATCCAATCATAGAAGGATCATCGTGAGGGGGGGAAACACACTGGGCACCGAATGTCTGACCGCTGCTTATCGGAACTGGCCTCACCTTGACCACACCTGATCAACATCCAATCATCATCGTTGAAACTATCCAGGATGTGGAGGGCAATGAGGGGTGGGCACGCTAGAAGGGCCGTGGAATATTCGCCGTCAGCAATCCGCGAATTGCATAACAAATTCCCGCAAGGGGAGGCTGAGTGGTAACTTCCAAGTAGTTTTCTAGTGGTTTTCTAGAATTGTTTAGTGTCCTTTAGCCACTCATAGTCTAGCCCGTGCTGTCCCGTGTTGACCAATACCTTACTCGGGGCGGTCATGGTCTATGATCCTCGAGTTTCACGTTGGGCACATAAAAGGGCCGCATGCCTCGATTGTTTGGGGAAATTATTTTGCATTTTACCTCTTAAGTACCTGGCCAAATCAATTTGAATACTTCAATAGACCTCTCTCACACAATGGTAAGTGACTTTTTTTAGCTTGCATGGCCGTATTCTAGGCTAACACTCTCCTTCTCATAAGACCGCCATTCCAATTCCCCTACCAAACCAACGCTTCTCAGCGCCAATCGACATGCAGTCCCAATTCAACTACCCAGAATCTTACTCTTCCTACTCCTCTTCACCAGGAAGCATGGACTTCTTCTTCTACGGCCAACCCGTCTACGATTCCCTCTGCGACGTCGATGCAACCAGTCCCTTTCCCATGCAAGAGGTCACCCCAGAGCTCTACAACATTACCAGCTCGCCCTACACCTACCAGGTACCGCACGACTACCCAGTCTTTGACCGCCCCGTCATGCCACAAAGGGCACCTAGCAGCTGTGGTAGCAGCTACAGCAGTAGCTATAGCAGCAGCTTCAACTTCCCTTCCGAAGACATCAACCTACCATCTTACCCCATTGGCGAATACGAGTCCGGTACCGAGTCGCCAGCGCCTGCATCCAAGTAAGCTAGCTGCCTCCGGTGTCGCAATTGAATCAACTAACATCTCTCAGGCCTTCTAAGCCCTTCGGTTGCGACCACTGCGGCAAGTCCTTCACCCGCTTCGCAGACCTAAAGCGCCACCAATCCAGCGTCCACTACCCCGTGTTCCGCAACTGCCCCGTCGAGCACTGCTCGCGAAAGGGTAGCAATGGCTTCCCGCGTCAGGACCACCTCGTTGAGCACCTGCGCTCGTATCACCACATGGACTTGCCCAAGCGCGGTTCCTGCAAGCGCACCGCGAAGCAGATCTCATGATTGTAATGGTCCTTTTCGCCTTCCGCCGGTGTTCCTAGTATTCTCCTCGGCAACTTTTACGATATTACGACTGTGTTTCCATTTCTGATATGCTGTTTCCTATTTCTATTTTTACATTTGTTTCATCTAGATCGCAGCCCGGTTACGGACCGGTCATGTATAGAAGACGCGCATCGCCTCTTCGCTTTATTCTGTTTCAGGTTTTGAGCTGATCGCTCATTACTTTTATGTGTTCTAGATTCTAGATCTTAGATGGGTTATTGGTGGAATGTTTCAATGACAACGGATTACGATATACCACTTTCCTCAATTAGCTTAGACGGCTTTTTTCCTATCTCATTCCCCCTTTCTCCAAATAGATTTGCAAGATGTTGCAGTAGTCATACAAGCTAACCAGACTAAGTAGGTCCTGTATCACATATCACAATTGCTGTTGATTCATTCCGTATGCAGGTAGCTGCAGCATTTAGGCGTAACTCATCCCTACCAAATATCCCTCATAGAACACAAAGAAAAGAATATCAAAAGCAAAGAAAAACTCTAAGCGTGAAAACTCTGACCTCTCAAGCCTTTCCTTCGTTCCTTTGTACAACGCCTGCCGCAAAAAGAGTCCCAAAAAGGCTGGCCCTCCCTTTGGCCCCCAACCTCTTTGACATCCAAGTCTAGTAAGAGTCCACTTACGGAGTAACTACTTTCTGTCCAAAATAATCCCTACATGCAGGTACCAGGGGTTTGTTCATGCGTAAAATCTGAAACTTATCTAAATCCCAGCCCCCTCCCAAACCCCAGCCTTTCATCCTCAACCCCCGTTTAACTGCAAGGCAAACCCCTCATCAAAATACCACCCAATAGGACAATGCATCAGCCACCGGCATTATCAGAGCGGGATGCAAGACCTAGATACACTGGCCTGGGCAGCAGCACCGTATCTCGTTTTGGGAGTGTACCGGCTGCAAATCCGAGATTTAACCCGGCATCTTAGTCCCGGGATGTAGAGTAGACGTAGATCCGTTCTAGGATTCTTATCTCCACGGGATGGTGCGGAAGTTGTGTCCGCGAGGTGCATCTGTATACACCCTCTCAGGTTTGGAAGCCTATATGGGAGTGGTAACATGTTGTCCCGTGTTGTATTTCTCTTCCTCTCCATCGATGGGTCATGTTTGTTCCGGTGGGATGGGGCACTGGGTAACAGGTACTATTCCGTCGATGGGGTCTGTATAGTGTTGGTGGAAGCCACGGGTGTGTAGACTTGCCCCATTGCCGATAGTATCACGGAGGTTGCCCTAGTTGGGTTCAAGGGCTTGTCTTGGTAAGGAGCCGTTGATGGTTAGACCCCATCTTGGTCGGCTATTTGGTCCTAGAGTTGCTCGATCTATTTTGAGCCAGACCTCCCGGCTGAATTGGGTATCTGGGGTTAGTGTAGAGATTGTGTTTACACCATTGACGTTTCATTGTGGGTGTATTCCTTTTTCATACTTGGGTGTGTTTATGTAGAAGCAAGAGGGACTGGAGGTTTCAGGAAAGATTCAAATCATTTCGCGTGCTCTGTATTGCATATTCGGTTGAAACTTTAGCACCCGCAAGCCGGCGTAGCCTAGTCCTTCTAGCTTAGGTCCACGGTGAATAAAAGTAGGCACTAGACACTGTAAAGGACACAGAGGAAGGCTACATATATACAAGCCAAAATCATGTTGCAAGGCGCATGGTTTACCCAAACTATGCACGCCGTTATAACCACCCACATTCTTCGAGGCCAACCGGAGACTAGCTAGTGGTTCTAAGCATTTAGAATGGACCTAGCTTGGCCCCCATCACAATTATCTGACAACGAGCTGTCAGCGATGCACGCCATTGGAGCTAGGCACAGCATTCAAGAAGCATCTATAACCGGGGCTACTTAGATAGGAAATTGAGACCGATAACTCCATAAATCAATTTTCCGGATATAAATACAGTAATCTCAGATATTAACCTCAATTTAAGAACACAAGCCTCCTCCCGATCTCCAGGACGCCCTCTACTCCACAAAAGAAAACTCCATAATCAAGTAAACCAACCTCACTTAGCCCCCAAATCCACAAACTCCTTGAAACAAACCCCCTAACCTTCCCATCCAAAAAAACAACCCCCTCCTCCTCAAGCCTCAGCCTCTTCTCCTCACAAAACCCACCACCAGCCTTATGCCCATCAACCTTCCACTCCCCCTTATACCCACCCAACGACCCATCCGCTGCCAGGACCCGATGGCACGGCACCTCCGGCGCAAACGGGTTACTGCGCATCGCATTCCCAACCGCTCGCGCACTAGAGCCCAGGTACGTTGCCATGGCCGAGTAGGTGGTCCACCGACCTGGCGGGACGGAGAGGAGCGTGCGATACACGCGCCGGCGGTAGGGGGTTAGCGTTGGGTGCAGGGATATACGGTGGAGATATTTTTTGGTTTGTGCTGTGGGTAGTGCGGGTTGTTGGGCTTTCTGGGGTTTAGGGTCTTGAGCCTCTGGGGTTGGTGTTGGGATCTGCGGATCTGCGGGCAGTGCAGTCGAGAGGGACATGACTTATGTACCGTACCCGTACCCTCTTGTGTAGGGTTTTTGGTAGATATTTTTATGTGATTTATTCCCTTCGATTTTTGATTTCGATGACCTTTTTGGGATCCCGGAAACGCTTGGGTTCTTGGAGAGGATGATGTTGGCTCCATTTGGATTTCTAATTAGCCGGGAACGATGCGACGCGAGACGCGTCCGTCGGGATTGGGGTACTTACCACGTGAGTAGCTGTTGATTTTAAGAGATGTAATACAAGGTTTTGTTTGAACGTGAATATTTGGAGAAGGAGAAATAGTGAGGGAAAACAAATGGTTATGAAGCTCGAGTTGCAGGTTGATGGACGTTGCTCATAAAGTGGCCAATCAGAGCGCCGGCTTCTGTCGACAATGTCTTTTTTCGATAGTTTAGGTCATTCTTTTGCGTATTTGTACGATTGGCTTGATATATATGCTTTTTTTCTTTCTCGGGATATTTATGTAATTGCATAACGTGATACTGATTTTTGAATTATATATCCAATTATTAGTTGCTCTTCATCAAAACATCACTGGGCACAAGAAGCCCAAACATTACACATCATCAACTCCTCCCAACTCCCAATCTAAGCGTGATCTACATGCTCCGTTCCTACAGCATTGTCACCAGCCTTCGACGCCGCAATGACCGCAGCGGCGCTAACAGAAATAGGCTTTCCAGTCTCCGGATCCACCGCACTACCCTTGCGACCAAGAGTGTGAACCATGCCTGGGTTCTCCTCCTTGAGACGCGCAAAAGTCTTCTCTGCATCCCAGGTCCATGGTGTCTTAGCTGCGAACAGGAGATCCATATCCTCTAGTGTGCGCTGGTTGCTTTCTGGGTACAGAGCCCACACCATGGGGATGGCGATGACATTACTGGCGGCGAAGACGTAGAGTGTCTTTTCACCAATGGCATTGAACATGACGGGGCACAGTAGAGTCTTTCGATGTTTTGTCAGTATATGGGTCTTGTATTCATAAAAGGGTTCACTCACCAGCCATCCATTTCCAATACTCCATCCGACGACACCAAAGGCATTTCCACGTGCACGAACAGCCAGGGGGAAGATTTCAGCCGGGTACACCCTAAGAAATCAGAATTAGCATTGAATGAAAGAATATCAGGCGCGATTCCCGTACCAAGGGACTGTGAGCCAGGAAGCTCCGAACGCAGAGGTAAAGATGAAAATCATCGAAGCTGCGGCCGCACCATACGAGGATGCCTTGCCCATATCACCGGCTGCCTTGTTGTCAATGGCAAGACGGGAAAATCCACCCGCAAGGAACATGGCAATACCCTGGACAACCGCACCCCAATACAAAGTCCACCGGCGACCGATGCGGTCGAGAGTAAAGACACAGACTAGTGTAGCAAACTAGACAAGCACATTAGCGCAACTCGATCTTTACTTCAAAGCCAAAACATACCATGTAGAAGATATTGTTCAGTCCACTAATCCACTGGCTCTTCATCGAATCAAATCCAGCAATGCCAAAGATGGTCGGTGCATAAACAGTAACTCCCGCGATACCAACCCATTCCTGCATAATCTGTAGCCAAATAACCAACTGTACGCGACGGCCGATATGAAGGTCACCGGATTTATAGCCAACCAGCATAGACAGATATGAGTCACCGTGGTTCACTGTTCGCTCCAGCTCAGCGATGCTCATAATATCCTGGAATTCGGCTTCCGCTCGGATGAGATCTTCTCCGCTAGATCCGCGTAGACGCTGGAGAACATAGCGAGCCTCGTCCTCCCGGCCAACCTTGACAAGCCATCGAGGTGATTCTGGGAAGAACCATACAACCGCGAAGAGGACTATGAGGAAGATGATCTGGAATGCGATGGGAAATCTCCAGCGGAAGGCTGACTCTCCGTTGTCGATGAAAGACAGGCCACTGCCAAAGATTAGAAAGGATATCGCAAAAATGAGAGACATTTAACGTACAACTCCAACCAGTAAGCTAACACAACACCAAAAATGTTCAGCGTGAATTCAATAGCAATGAATTGTCCGCGCGAAGTATGTTCAGCCGTCTCGGTGGCCCAGACAGGAACGATAGCGTTCAAAATTCCGGTTCCGATACCATTAACGAAACGCGCTGCGAAAGTTAGTCTAAGTCTCCGTGTATTGAACTCTATGCCCCTTACCGCAAATCATCCAGTTGGAGTTTTGTGCCGAGCACTGCAGAGCTGCGCCCAGAATAGCCCATAAAGAACCCGCTGCAATTGTTTTGATTCTTCCCGTCCGGTCTCCGAGCCAGCCACCGAGTAATGCGCCGAAAAGCGTTCCCAGGTAGTAGACGGACACAATCCCACCTTGCAGCAAGGAATTTGTAACCACTGGTGTCACCTCTCCGTCCACTACCTTAGTATAACCGAAACCCATGAGATCGATATAATCCTTTGCGTTGTTGACACCGGCCATCATTCCTTGGTCGTATCCGAAGAATAAAATAGATAGACCAGCCACACAGTTGATTCCGATGAGAAGTTGACGCTTCTCCAGCTTGTGGACGACATTCCACGAGGGGATTTTGTCACTCATTTTGAACACGATCGAGAGGGAGGGGTCGAGTATTGGAGGCTTGTCGCATTAATGATTTGGTTCTATAGAAAGAAATAGTGATGAAAGAGCAGGAAAGAGAGCTAGACCCAAATCCGCGGATACAATCAGATCAAAGCTGCACAGCGAAACAGACTGAAGATCTAAAATTGCGCCTACATGACGGCAGCCGAGGCTTTTAAAGCTTTTACATGCATGCCTGGACCCTCTGGCACAACTCCAAGTCACCAATAGACAATGATGCACAGCAACTTCCTCCCGGAGATCGACCGAGCGGTACCTGTGAACGGCAAGGAGCGAAAGGTCAGATGCAGTTATATCCCGGCGGGATATGCCCGCCCAGGTGGGAGATATGGGCTAACAAACCAGTCACCAGCGTCGAGACAACATGACTACCCCATTACCCCCACCAAAATGACAAAACCCGGGGATGAGGGATAGAATCGGAGCTCGGCGAGTACTTACCATGTGTGGTAGGGATGTCATGGCGGGGCGAGGTCTGGGGCTCTGGGGGCTTTTACCCGGTTCACTGAGGTCGGCAATCCGAAGGGAACCCCTTTTTGTTCTGTATATCCCGGGAAGTTTGCATTGAATTCGGCTTGGGATCGGTCCGGAAATCCAACTGCGAACCGATGAGCTCTATAAAGTATACACGCTCCTTACGGCGTGGTGAAATAACCGATGGCTTTCTTTGACCTCCGCATTTTCCCTTGAGTGGGGGGGTTGGGGTATCTTGGCATGCCGCTTTTATGCGCTCCGAGTATTTCTCAGTCCGGGCTTGGTATTAAGGTTGGTCGCGTGACAGACTCTCATGTGATTGGCTACCACATATGGGAGATCCCGTCCCCCAGACTTGAGGCGCTCATGTCGCTTTCCTTTGTTCTCTTGATCATGTTGGCTTTTGAGTTCTACATTTTGATAGTATTTAACCCACCTGAGGATGAAATAAGTCAGATAATTAACAGTCAACTTCATCTGGAGAGCCGCCAAGACAGTATCGTCTATAACATTAGTCTCGCTCCCACCCGTCGCTTACGGGCTAGTTCCACCGTACGCTCAAGAAGATCGACTCGGTACCCAACCAGGTCTTGTTCCTTGATTTTCCCGCAACGCTGCCAAGCCTATCCATGCACATATTCAGCCTTTTCTCCGAAGTGGCGCCAATGATGCATAGTTCATTTCCCTCTTAGACTAAGAGACCTATGTTGTAACTTTGTACGGTGACCCCTGCAGAACGCGGGCATATCCTTGTCGGTCAAATGGCATCTGGCTGCGGCTTTTTCTGGGGTACGTTGAGATGCTTCCGATCGGCTGTAACGTTATCGTATACATTGAATTTCTTCTAAATTGTCGATATATATAGTTCGATCTCAGTGTGGAGCATTGCAGTCCATATATATATTGTATATTTTTACAGCTGAAGATAGCTTGATTGTGTTTATTGCTGGGATAAAACTGTGTACAATCCCAGGAGAGCATGAAGGATCTACGTACAACATAGATATCGTGATCTCGGCTCGGGAGAGTCAGATATTGTCCTTGGTTGCATCGTTCATGCATGAAGGGACTTGGCAAATTAATTTGAGTCCAAGTCCCTGCTACAGGGAAATGGTACTCCCTTATCGCAACCAAGCCTATCACCAAGCCTATCAAGGTTGAATTACTCCGTAAGCACAATGCTATTTATCAAGAAATGGCGTCAGCTCGTACCAAGCTATAGGAACCCTCCCGGCGATCGTAATAAGTATACTACATGATATATGGCTAGTCTTTATACCCCTTGTGATGGATTTAGATACTAATAGTTAGATAAGCATCTTTGCTTTTTTGGCTAGGTCATTCTGGCAATGTGGCTTTCCATGTTTTGATAGCTGTGATACATACACATAGTACAATATATGTAAATGAATGAGCCATCGCGTAGAAGACATATCTTGAAGAAGGGATTCTCGCGTTTGATCGAAGTTTCTTGTATGAAGTAAATTTACAGAGAATGTCAGAATCCATACGGGGTAGACCACTTTCACTAAGGCACGAGGATATCACATTTAATCTATATTGTAGATTATGCCGTACCGTTGGCCAATAGCACCCTGCCATATGCTCCGTAGGGAGGGGAGGGGTAGGCTGGTGTTGTGGGAACGCAGTAATTAGCGGCAAGGCAAGAATCGCGTGCCTGAGATGTATGTTTCTGACGCTGAGTCTTCCTTGTACTCTGACTGGACTTTGTAGACGATAGGAACAGCGGGATGATTCTTCAGACTGTTCCCATGAGACAAAAGGGGCCTAAAGGATAGACATACAATTGGTTTAATAGACGATAGTGAGGCCAACAAATCGGAGAGCGTGATCTATATTAATCGGGATTAGCGTGTTTTTGTGCTCAGGGCAGGGTCCACTTATATAGATTGCTCTACGTAACTACGATATATGTATGTAGGTCTTTACGAGGATTACAGCGAAAATGCAGAGAAATGTATCGGAAACTCCCATATTTAATTCTGCCTAGGTACTATATGTTCAAAGTAGATCCCTAAGCATCCTGTAGGTACATACAACTCTCGCCATTGACATGAGAAAGTGGTGCGCGTTCAGCCCGGTATTCATATCTAGTATTCATATCCACTTCCAGCCTTAGATACCAATGTTTAGTTGTTTCGGGTATAGACCTTGACCGAGTTCACCAGCCAGTAAGCCTCATTGAAGGCAGTTGGGTTGTTTCCAACCCAATCGTTGCAGGTATCGGCCAGGCTAGCGCAGCTCTCATCCTTCAAGAACTCTCTAGAAGCCCCTGTTAAAGTTAGTAAATGCGTTCTCACTGCAATTTTGAGGGTACTTACAGCCTCCACAGAAGTTGGTGTTGAAGATAATGTTGTTGCTCTTGAATCTCTCGGCAATGTCGCAGGTATTGCCTGAGAAGCTAGCCAAGGGGGCGCCGAACTTCGCCACATCCAGGTCCGCAGTGCCGGCATCGATCACCGCGTTAGCTCCAGCACTACCGCGAGGGAAGAACCAAACATTGATAGAAAGGCTTGCCCATTCGGTGACATAGACACCACCTCCGTTGGCGTTGAAGGCAGCGCCATAGTTGTTTGCCGATGTGGTGTCCTGAGAACAACCCGAGGTGGAGTCCTCACAGTCAGCAGAAGTCTGGTCTGATGTCGACTCAGACCCGGTGACATCCATGTTGCACCCCTTTGCTGAGTGCAGGGTAATAGCGTTGGATTTCTGGTTGTTGACGCCCTCGATGATATCGATCTCGCCAGAGTTGGGCCAGTCAGGGCCAGAGGTCCAGTAGGCAGGCCAGATACCACATGAGCCACCCTTTCCAGTGCCAGCTGGCATGTGAGCAATGTCGGCAACGAAAAGGCCGTTGGTGAACGCGTCATTCGACTTGACCCGGGTCGAAGGGCGGCCACTGGTACTCTTATCCGCAAAATTGGCACCAAGGTAGACTGCGCCGTTGCTAATCTTGGCCATGCCAGAACTTTTGGCAGTTGCGGCGTCCACATACTTCACAAAGCCACCAGATGGGTCCGGATCGCTGGTGAAACTGAACTCATCGAAGAAGTTGGTGCTATCGTATACTTTGCTCTGGGAGTATGAGGCAGCACAGACTGGGACCGCCGAGATAAGGGCTCCAATGCCGATAGCTTTTGTTGAGAAGATCATGTCTGCTGTGATAAGGGAGAATTGTAGAAGGAGAGGACTGGTTGTTTTCGACGATTTTAGTCGTGCAGCATGGTGGAATATATAAGGCCCTGTTGATATGCTTTGGAGGACGATCAACATATCCAAGACATAATGTTACAGCCGATCGGGAGGACTCCAACTGTAACTTCATAAGGAGTTGCATCTCAAAGTTGTTTAGCCGACAACGAGTCCGCGGCAGTGTATACTCCTGCGTCCTACCAAGAACCTCTAGTGGAAAGAATAGATTAATAGATGGGTACCTTTTCGGAGAAAAGGGTCGGATTGAAATGGCATTGCGTAAGCATGGAGCAGGTAGCTGCAGATTGAATCACGAACTGCAGATCCATAGCGGCATTGAGATATCTGACCGGAGCTGACGAAGGAAAAGAGAAGCTCTATTCCAAAATATTCAACTAGGGACAGGATTAAGAGCCTAAGCTAGTGACTAGTGCTGTGACATTCCACGTACCGACACATTGCTGACACGAAGTATCCTTCAAGGTTATTCCTATTTTCGTCACATCATAACCTACGCCCCTGTCAGATCCGGGTTAATTGAAACGATGATAATCTAAGTAAATTTCACTAGCGCTCTGTGATGCAGTTAATTTATATTATCTACTCCGTCCATATCTTTACAGAATACTCCGTATAAGACCCTATGAAATTCTATGTAATTCAAGACCAAACGTTGCTTGGAATAGGTATGGAGTATCAATTAAGAATCATTAAGGATTTTATTTTATAGTCTACGGGTGGTTCCAAGATTCCAATTTTGCTACACTGGTATTATGACTGTTATTTTCGGCTGCTACTATCTGTAATCTATTGAATATAGTGTATGCGATTGGTAAAATACAGGTAAATTACTAGTGTGGAGATCGGCATGGCACAGATCTGATCTGAGTGGATCAGGGACTTGGATAACCACATGGCAACTCTCAGGGGCATGCTCAGTTGTACTCGATCAAAAAGCGGCAAGAAGTGAGCACCGAAATGGAAAAGGAAAGCGAACAAGAAAATACTCTAGGGTAATAAGACAGATGAGGTTTGTCCTTGAAGGGATCGGCAGTGTGGGAACAACGGGAAGAACGGGGAGAATACGGAAAAGCTGAAATCCCCAGGCTTCAGCTGTTCCTGTATCCTTATAACCGAACATGTTTTCATTGCTTCCGATTCGTTTGCTTTCTTACATATGTCTTTTCTTTACCCATTTCTTCTCTAGAAAATGGAAAGTTTGCAGATTGAGGGTAAACCGACTACGCGGGGAATCACTTCTTCTCCACAAATCTAGTTTACCAAGGTATCATATTGTTTCGCCACAAATCTTCAAGGTCTTGGTCATGAGAAATGAAAAATTTACTTCTAATGCTCCGGGGGTGAGTCTATTCCAAGCTGATGACGCATATGTGTGACCATGAGCACAATCATGGGCCATGTTGTTTTCGAGATAGTATCTGCGATTGATAGTATGTAGGTACTTTCCAAGGACACTCCAGTCTTCAGTCTACATGAGAATGTATGTTATAATCTATGGAACCGTGTGTATATGACATCCAAGGCTACAAGAAAGCAGAAAAGAGGACTTGATCACAAGCAAAAGCTGACTAGCATCTACGAGCACATGGCTCATGGGTCATACATTCCGGTTGCATGAACTGAAGATTGGCAAGAGCGAATAACCTTATAAGGCTGAGTTCACGTCGATGCCGGTCTCGGGATTGAGAACCCGTTGATGAACTCTAATTGGTTGACTTCCCCTGAACCGGGCAAGTAGTTATGACCGGGAATATTTCATAAAACGCATCTTCCATTATACCACATGGTAATTCCCCGACCTTGAGAATCCAATGGAGAAAGGCAACATGGCGCAAGAGCGCGGCAGCGAGGTTGATACCAAAACACCGGACCCGCCAAGCCAGCATGGAGACACGCGCCTGGAAGGGTATTCCCAGTTCACAGTAGCCCAGAAGCGGGCTATTGTTGCCATGGGATCCCTGGCTAGTTTCTTCTCACCCTTGTCTTCGAGCATCTATCTGCCCGCCTTGGCCACTATCGCGGATTCCCTGCATATCTCCGTCTCCCAGGTGAACTTGACAGTCACTACATACCTGGTAAGTCAATGAAAACAGCAATCTTGTCAAAGACATGCACGTCTGACCAAGTTTCTTATCTTTAGATTATGCAGGGGGTGGCACCCATGCTAATCGCAGGCTTCTCAGACACCGCAGGCCGCCGTCCCGCTTACATCATTTGCTTCACAATTTACCTTGCAGCAAACCTGGGACTAGGTCTCCAGAACAGCTATGCTGCCCTCCTGGTTCTCAGGTGTCTCCAGAGCGCAGGTAGTAGCGGGACTGTGGCCCTGGCAAACGGTTTGGTCGGCGACATGATCACGTCCGCGGAACGAGGCTCATACATCGCCTTCGCTTCAATCGGGAGCATGTTAGGTCCCTCTATGTCACCAATTATTGGCGGTCTTCTCAGTCAGTACACTAACTGGCACTGGATCTTTTGGTTTCTGCTCATCTTCGGTGGCGTGTTCTTCCTCGTCCTCGGTCTATTTCTGCCGGAGACTTGTCGCAAAGTCGTCGGAGACGGTTCCATCCCACCACCTTCTTTGAATAACTCACTGGCGGATATTATTCGGCATCGCACGCGCAAACGGAAGGGCCTCGTGACTGACCCGGACAAGGAAGCTGAGGTGCGGAAGAACTACTCTCTCCGATTCCCATCGCCGGTCCCGACTATGAAGGTCGTCCTCGATATCGAGACGTCGATCATCCTACTCACCACAGGACTCCTGTTTGCTGGTTTCTATGCTGTCATGACTGGTGCGTCGACTTCCTTCCACAAACTCTATCACTTCGACGACATCCATGCTGCGTTGATGTACCTCCCTATCGGCGGAGGAGGGGTACTGTCAGCCTTCACAACTGGACGACTGGTTGACTGGAACTACCGCCGCCATGCAAAGCGTGCCGGTCTGACTGTCGTCAAGAATGCGCGTTCGGACATCCGCAATTTCAACATTGAGCGTGCAAGGCTGGAAGTCGCACTCCCACTTTACTATATTAGTAACCTGTCGATGCTGACCTACGGCTGGGTCTTGGGTCACAAGGTCAACCTTGCTGCTCCTATCATCCTTTTGTTTATTACCGGATGGTCTATCATTGGTACATCGCAGGTATTGAATGCTCTGATGGTTGATCTCTGGCCGGGGAAGTCGGCGACTGCGACTGCAGCAAACAATCTCTTCAGGTGTGAGCTCGGTGCTGCGGCGTCGGCGGCGATCAGCCCTATGCGCTCCGCTATGGGCGAGGGCTGGGCGTACACCACGCTTGCTTTGATCTCCATTGGTGTATCTCCTTGCTTGTGGATAGTCGCGTCTAATGGGATCAAGTGGCGACAGAGGAGAAATCGAAAGGAGGAAGAGAAATCGCCCGGTGGACAGGACTAAATCTACCTTGATATGTATTGCACGAGCTCATTAACTCACGGACTCAGTCTAGAGAATAAACCTGGGATATGGCTTTGAACTTCTGTTCTGAATCCCTCGCTTACCTACTTACAAATGAATATTGCCTAGCCTTCGCTTGAGTGAGAAGTTTTCTTCGTTCATGCCATCTAGCTTTGTGTATCAGTCCAAATACCTGCTCCCATGGCTTCTCGATTCCCATGCAAGAACATATTTTAGTCAAGACTTCACTCATGGTTAGGGGAATTATCCTTGAGGATGGGTCGTTTCTTTCCTGGTATATTTCCATGTTGTAGGAATGGGTGGGTGAAAGGTATCAATATTGAAGGAAGGATATAATCCGCGTGAAAAACCAAAGGCCGCTTGAATAAGAGCGCCAAGCATCACACTTCCAAGGTTGAATATCATGTTTATTATCCTAGTGCCCGGTTCACGCGATCCACCACTTTTAAAGAGTGGATGCTCACATAAAGGTCTGGGGTATCGAAGGCCAAACTCGAGTTTCAACCCGCTTATAACCGCGGCGGAGACCGCCGAGACCGAGAATCCTTGCCGATAAAAATGGTCCGCGGGTAGCCAAAATCTTTGGGGAATGGCCGCTAACTCCAGCCCGTAGGAAGTGGCTTAGCAAATTGCGTTCCCCGGAGTAGTAGTCCTAGCTAGATTGTGCAATAGTCAAACAGCTAATATCTTTTAGGTATTACCGTATGAATGAAACTTTGCAATGCACATATATATGCTATTAAATGTTCCGAGTCCTTTCTCCTGGCATCATATTGGACATATTCGATCAAAATATTCGGGCGGTGTCCCATATTCTGCCGGCATAATGTTCGGAACCGCCTCCCGAAATTCTCCGGCAAGTAGCCGGCCCGTGTTCACCGCCTTATCAATACGGGCCAGCTTTGCGGCCATCGTCCGTCGTGGGCGGTGAAGCCAAGCAATACCGCAAAAGCTCAGTCGTTTCCCGTACTCGAATCCACCCACCCTATTTGTGCACTCCCAACAACTTCAATCCACTCGCATTGAGGATTGCATTTATATCTAAAGACCACTAGTCTTTTGTTTCCTCTTTCATTATGTTCCGCGCCGTCTTGCCCCGGGCTATGCCCCGGTCTGCTCTCCGCCATGCCGGCCCGAGGGCTGTTCCCAACAATTTCGCTACTCCCATGATCTTCATTAGCCAGTCAAAACGCGGTTTCGCTTCTGAATCAAGTAAGTCAATGCTTGCATAGTTGCCACAGAGCGTCCATAGAAGTTCTCTTTGCTTCCCGGATGCGATTGCTAATTTCCGCTTTCCCGGGCAATAGGCGATCACGATCTGGTCATCATCGGTGGTGGTGTCGCTGGTTACGTTGCCGCTATCAAGGCCGGTCAAGAGGGTCTCAAGGTACGAACTACTTCTTCTCCAAGCTTTCCGGTTATGGTTGAGCCGGTCTTGCCGTCGCAATCCGCGTATTAACTAACACTTTGATAGACCGCATGTATCGAGAAGCGCGGAACTCTCGGCGGTACCTGCTTGAACGTCGGCTGTATCCCTTCCAAGTCTCTCCTCAACAACTCCCATCTCTACCACCAGATCCTTCACGACACCAAGAAGCGCGGTATCGAGGTCGGCGATGTCAAGCTCAACCTTACCCAGATGATGAAGGCCAAGGACACCTCTGTCGAAGGTCTCACCAAGGGTGTTGAGTTCCTGCTCAAGAAGAACGGCGTTGACTACGTCAAGGGTGCCGGTTCTTTCGTTGATGCCAACACCATTAAGGTCGCCCTCAACGACGGCGGTGAGCAGACCCTGCGCGCTAAGAACATCATCATCGCCACTGGCTCTGAAGCCACCGGCTTCCCCGGCCTTAACATCGACGAGAAGCGCATCATCACAAGCACCGGTGCTCTTGCTCTCACTGAGGTCCCCAAGAAGATGGTCGTCATCGGTGGTGGCATTATCGGTCTCGAGATGGTATGTATTGACTACAGAATCAGCTTCGAATTGGGTCGTGCTAACATTTTATCGTGATATTAGGCTTCCGTCTGGTCCCGTCTCGGTGCTGAGGTCACTGTTGTTGAGTTCCTTGGCCAGATCGGTGGACCCGGCATGGACGTCGAGATTGCCAAGCAGGCCCAGAAGATCCTGGGCAAGCAGGGTATTAAGTTCAAGACCAGCACCAAGGTCGTCTCCGGTGATGACAGCGGTTCCACCGTTGCCCTTAACATTGAGGCCGCCAAGGGTGGCAAGGAGGAGGTTCTGGACGCCGACGTTGTCTTGGTCGCTATTGGCCGTCGCCCCTACACCGAGGGCCTGAACTTGGAGCAGGTTGGAATCGAGAAGGACGACCGTGGCCGTCTGGTCATCGACCAGGAGTACCGCACCAAGCTCCCTCACGTCCGTGTCATCGGTGACTGCACCTTCGGTCCCATGCTCGCCCACAAGGCCGAGGAGGAGGCCGTTGCCGCCATCGAATACATCAAGACTGGCTACGGCCACGTCAACTACGCCTGCATCCCCAGCGTTATGTACACCCACCCCGAGGTCGCTTGGGTTGGCCAGAACGAGGCTGAGATCAAGGCCTCCGGTGTCAAGTACCGTGTCGGTACCTTCCCCTTCAGCGCCAACTCCCGCGCCAAGACCAACCTCGACACCGAGGGTGTTGTTAAGTTCATCGCCGATGCCGAGACTGACCGCATTCTCGGAGTCCACATCATCGGCCCCGGTGCCGGTGAGATGATTGCTGAGGCCACTCTCGCCATCGAGTACGGCGCTTCTTCTGAAGATATTGCCCGCACTTGCCACGCCCACCCCACCCTCTCCGAGGCCTTCAAGGAGGCTGCCATGGCCACCTACTCGAAGCCCATTCACTTCTAAATCTCTTCAGATCTCATATATCCTCCACCATGTACCACTTTTAGCTAACCTAGACTAGCTCGGCTAGCAAAATACATCATTCATGTAATCATCTCCTTATTTTCGTGAAATACACATGCTGCACAACTTGAACAATTTTCACCGACTGTAATAAAAGTGCTCTTAGGTGGAAGAAACATATGTACCTACTTACCTCCAGCCCAAATTCTTTTTCCCAAGCCCGGTCCTCGGCAAATCTGCTTATTGCTCAAGTGCTATAACATCTAGTAAAGGCATGATGCTACGTCCCACGCATATTATCTCGAGTCTTACTACGTCAAACATGTTTATGTGTGTGCATGTATGCGTACATTCATGTCCCTTGTCCTTTCTGCCCCGCATGTTCTCCAAAACATTCAAGCAACAGTAGCTTTCAAGAAGACCCCTCTGATATCCTCAAGACCCTTCTTCTCGGCCAACAACAACCCAAGCAAAATCCTCGCGTTCTCACCGGTAATATCAGCAGTGGGGACTTCGCCATTCACAGTACGGTGCGACAGCACAAAGGGATGTTATGTTTCGCAACGATGTCGTTGATCGCAGAAGCGAAATCCGTAGAAACGCCACCTGCACCCTCGCCAGCAACCTATCATCACATTAACATTGTACTGCTGAACAGACTTGAATCTTATAAAAATGGGGTAAAAAAACCATACCACGACACCCTTGGCGCCATTCTTCACGGCACTATAAATCGAATCGACCTGCATATCCTCATAGGCATACAGGATATCTACACGAGGCACGGCATCCACATCAGACACATCAGCCACGTGCTTAGCAATTGGCTGCACAGCCGTGTAATAAAAGTACGGTTTATTCGACACAATGAAACCCATGCTTCCCTGTTCATATGCCTTGAAGGTATCCATGGTATTTGCATTTGTCTTGGTTGCGAAGAAAGCCGACACAATCCGATCGTTTGTAACAACCAATGCTCCGCGGTCCTTGGAATTCTTGTCTGCGGGGATGGTTACTCCCTGCAGGAGATTCATGGGTCCATCCGCTGAGATAGCGGTAGAGGGCCGCATCGAGCTGACGAATACGATAGGCTTGCCGCAGTTTCCTGTGGCGTCGATGAAGAAGGCGGACTCTTCGAGCGTGTCCGTGCCATGCGTGATCACGGCCCCGGACATGGTTGGATCATCGCAGACCTCTATCTGGACCCTGTGGGTGAGGTTTAGGGGGAGGGATGAGGGGATGTCGCCGCTGTTGACGTTTTTTGCCTGGACGGCGGCGATGTTGGCGACGTTGAAGATATCTGGTATTTCGGAGAGGAGACTGTTGATTCCTAGGGCGTCGGATTCGTAGCCTGCTGTTGCGGTTTTGTCGTTGCTTGTGCCGGCGATGGTGCCGCCTGTTTTAGGGTTAGAGGATATCATTTTATGTAGATGTGTCATCTCATTTATTATTGTGTTGATGCTTACCGGTGGCTAGGATAGTCACATTAGGAAGAGAACTGTTGAAGTGATTGAATGTCAAGCCGTTTGAGTTGGTACGGGATGTGTGTGCTGCCCGGGAGTATACCCAAGGAGATGCATAGCTTGTAATGGCTAGAGCTGAAACCACGAGTGTCTGAAGCAAGAGACCCATTTTGATTGTGATTCTATCTTCAAGTCAAATGAAATATAAATATGGGATGTATAGTGCAGATATAGATGATATGGATGGTCACGGTTTATATAGAGTCTGATGCATGCTATGCATCATCCGATTCCTACTGCTCCGACGCCGAACTCGATGAACTTCTCGATTTAGGTTACTTGGCAATATGTCCATAGTTTGGAGTTTAGGTCCCAACATGCAGTTCACTAAATATAGGATTTTAGGCGCGAAATGGCTTTCTATCTCCATTTTAGTGCTCACCCCTTGCCACTTTTTGCTCACTGTGTAAAACTGAGCACTACGAAGACATATAAGACTCAGGGTTCAAAACCCCCTTTATAGATGATTGCACGCCCCTGAGTATTATATAATCATTAAACTTCGGGTTCTGAGGTTGATCAGGTAAACCATGGACTAATCTGACTATCGCGAATACGAATGGTAATAAAGCCTTGCGATTTAAGGAAAAAATGCCTTGGAGGTATGTATACAAAAGAGGGATATCAAACAAAAAAAGAAACTTCACTGACGAGCATTCTTCAACAAAAGGTCAGTACCTTCCAGCCAGCCAAAAGCATTAGCCATCTCTAAAACCGTGGTGCCGGTATCATCTTTCTGGGCAAGATCAACCAACCCACCCTTCTCAATCAAAAGTCGCAATAACCGAAGATCGCGGTTTTCAATGGCCTGCATGATCGCGTTCCAGTCGCGGTAGCATTTGTTGGGATCAGCGCCCCGCTCGAGAAGCAACTCAATCATGGCAAAATCCCCATTCTTGCATGCCCGAATCGCTTTGACGAGTGGCAGATGCTCACCAGGAGCGTTGGGGTCGGCACCAGCCTGGTCCAGGAGATAGCGCACAATGACCCAGTGGTGCTCGCGCAGTGCTGTTGTCAGCGGTGAGAACACACCTCCGTTCTTCCACTCTACGCTAGCACCAGCTGCGATGAGTAATTTGACGCTTTCTAGTTGATTTGCGTGGACTGCTTTTTCCATGACACCCTTATGCGCGGAGAGAACAGTTATGCTAGGCAGAATGAGTCGTAGCATGTTCGGCGATTGAGTTGCCATGTATATGGGCCAATCTTTGCCGCGTAGGTTAGGATCGGCACCATTTGCCAATAACCATTCCAGCATTTCTGGACGGTTCTTCCAGATGGCAGTTGTCAGGGCTGTGTGGCCATGCTCGTTGCGGTCGTTTGGATTGGCGCCTCCTTGGCCCACTAGCCAGTGTAAGGCCTCCGTGTTGTTTTCCTGCACGGCGCACTCCACAATGCCTGGTGGTTTACGGAGATCTGCGCCGGCTGCCACCAAGTCTGGGAGGAGATGGAGGCGTTTGTGGGTGATGCACTTCCACGCTGGGTACTCAGATGCCATCAAATTAGGGTCAGCTCTGTGGTGGAGTAGCAAGGCAAGGATATCTGGGCGGTCATCGCGGATGGCGGAGCAGAGTGGTGTATATATTCCATCCTTTTTGGAATTTGGGTCCATACCAGCCTGTAGTAGGATGCGCACGGCATCGATATTGTTCACACTTGTTGCTTGTTCCATAAGACCGGGGGTCTTTTTGATGTCGGCGCCGCGTGCGAGCAGGATGCGCAGGCAGCCTAGGCGGTAGATGGCGGACCAGAGGACGTGCTCGGGTCCTGGGAGGTTTGGATTCGCGTCTTTATTTAGTAAGGCTGTCACGATAGATGGCTGGTCGCTTTTCACAGCTTCGCATAGCGCTGTCTTGCCATGGTCGTCTTTGTGATTGGGGTCGCAGCCGGAATTAAGTAAGGTTTCGATGGCCTGCTGCGTGGCTCGCTTGCGAATAGCTTCGATAAGTAACGTTGTGCCATCGCGCGTCTCATCTTTGAGATTGACGCTGGGCGCCAGCAGAGTCGGCGTTGGCTTGGCGCTGGGGGCATAATCCGAATAGTTGTCATTGCGGAGGCTAATCTCCTCGGGACAAACTGTTGAGTCTGCTTTGTCCAGTTGGCGCGGCAGTGCTCGATCGAAATAGGGCGTTTTCTCGGTCTCACGAGGCTGGTAGCCCAGGAAACCGTTCAAAGACAGGACGGAAGACACGTCATCCGCTATAGATTTAGGTTCTTGGCGAATGCTTTGGTTGAGTCGGGAGGTGGTAAATGATTCTTTCGAAGGCGCGTATGGCGTCGAGCGCACGGATAGCGTCGAGGGCACGTATGGCGTCGATGGCACGGATAGCATCGAGGGCGCGGATGGCGTCGAGCGCCTTAAATCAGGAGTTTGACTTTGGATCGATGCGGATCGATCGAAGGACTTGGCCTTGTTTATTCCCATCACGGAGCGGCCTTTGGACACGCGATCGAGCGCAGCCGCTAAGCCAGCGTAGCCAATTCCCACAGACTCCTCCGGGCGCGTCTCTCCGAGCGACCAGTGAAAGGCCATGCCACTAATCTGAAGGGTTTCGGTGGTCTTCTTCAGCGACTCGCAAATGCGATTGAGTTCATGGCTTGGCCGATGCCACCCTCGCTGAAGCTTTCCCAGTGTTCCGCGATGTTCATACTGAACAAGCTTCACAATAATCTTGTCAAGTTGTTGGAAGTCACGATAGGTGGAGACAAATTTCTTTTCCACCTCTTCAATTATAACATCAGGTAGGGCGCGATTGACGGCGGCTAGTTCGGTCACTCCGGCCTCAATGGCCCATAACATGCGACAGGTGTCGAGAAAGATATGAGAAAGTTCACGAAATCCGTCAGGGAGGTTTTTGGTGGTGCTGAGATAATTGAGCATGTGCACAGAGATTTGGTTGCCTAATTGCGTGGCCAGAGCCGAGACGCTGCAGATGGTTTCCTCTGACTTGGCCAGCATGATTGCGTGAGAGGTTCACCTAGACAGGAATAGGGAGAAATATAAAGGAGTAAAGAGAGCGAAGAGGGCCCATATCAACATGGGGGCCAAATCTAGCCAAACAGCTGAAAACTGGGGCAAAATCCTCCATCTATACAGTGGGGCTCTCCAAACTAGATTTAACGCTCGGTCCAAATTGCGAACAATCTTTGATCTGGGGTGTAATCCAGGGGGTTTAGCCTCATTGGTGTTAGGCTAGTTCAACTGGATGTATCTGAATCAGAAGTTCCAGGGGATCTGAAAATCAAATGTTTGTTCTGTTCTATGTATTCGAAATGGTTCAAAACATCAGAGAGACAGGAAAATCAAATTATTCAATACAAAAAAAGGGACCTCGCTTGCCTGAAATGTGGATCATTGTGGTTAAAGCACATGCATATACGGAGTACGGAGTACTCCGTATTAATCGGAAGAATAGCAACCCTAAAGGGTTTGGCGGCTATGCTGCGCCCCCGCTTAGCTTCTGGTTTTCTGGGAATTTTAGAGTATTTTCACAATTTTACCGGGTTTCGAATCTGAGACTGAATCTTGGCGATGATTTTTGAGACATTGTTTTTGAGTTTCTACGATGCATCGCCGATCATCAAGAATGATACGGTTCTTACGAAGAGAAAAGTGTTTGCAGGGGGTCTTATCCGGAGTACATACAGGTAGGAAGTATATTTTGCTATTTTCTTATCTTCTGTAATTGACAGGTATGAACCTAATATATCAGCTTCAATTGGCAGCAAAAACTGGTAGTATGGCAGCTATTGGAGATTCACGATTGGATTTAAGGATATCGCTTAATCGCTGGATCAACTCAGGTGGCTCGTGATCAATATCATATAATATAATGTAATTGTCTATCGACCGTTCTAGAGCTTAGGCCTAATTGCCATTTCAAAAGCCAATGCAAGAGACAAAGCTTCTATCACTTCACTATCACTTGACGGTTAAAGATGGTCTGAACCGGATTTCAAAGGATCTATTATTATACATGCGAATCCTTCCAGTCCCAATTAATTTACGAGTCGATCACTTATGGGAGAAACAAGTATTTGTAGCCGGGTAGCCCGTTCAAGAAATTAAATCCACATCCTCATTTACCCATTTTTCCCCCGCCATACTCTCCATATGCTAGTCTGAGACAAAATACCTAAGGATAAGGATATTATAGGCCAAATTATGTTAACTCTATAAATTAGCACAGACTCGAAAATCAGTTTCACTCTTTAATTATTGACGGCATGCCTTTTATGGTTAATGACATTCTTAGAAGTACATATATATCTCAGTACGGTTAATGAACTGGTCTTCCATTTTCACGAGACTCTTTCTCTTTGGTTGGAGTTCCTCGGATCCACTATGATAGGGACGTAACTGAGTCAAGTTTCCGATCGATCGGTATCTTAAACCCCAAAAATCTCTCGGCATACGCCGTACTAGTAACCACTATGCGCCTTCCATCTTTATAACCATTAGATGCTCTTTCACTTTCAACTAGAAATCTAAGAGGTTAACAAATATGGAAATTAGGGGAAAGCGTTGCGAGGCAACTCGATCTAGGGCTTAAGGTACTAGTGAAGGGCTTGAGACTCATCGGTGCGTTTATACTTACCACATATATCATACTCTCGGTTAGCTCCTCGTTGTAATCTAGTTTCTTTACGCCTCGTACCCGTTCCCTTACTAAATCGTGAGTCTGGCGCTTTATACCTATAATCTAGGATTAGAGACGGACGTTTATACGCTAGGACGAAGTATAAAGAGAAGAGAACACAAAGAGACAGCTGGAGCTCGATTTAGTAATTGACTATCCCTAGGGGGTCTGTATTTATAGCCCGACTGGATGTTCAGTGCCTTATGAAAATCATCCTGGCCATAGCTAGAATTGGGAAAAAGGCTTAAGCCAGGTATTTTCAAACGTCATATATCTCCTGCCATAAGAGAAAATCTTTCTAAGGGGCAACAAAAAAAAATGGTGTTGGATTTTTAGCTGGCGCTACCTAGCATTCCAAGGTTCACATGTGGATCACTTGTCAGCTGTCTATTCTGGCACGTGGCTGAACTTCTATTCTCTTTAATTTCGGGCTAGAAAGTGGGCATGTCCGTGCGCCCACCCTGGTTGCTTACTAATTACGGTTAAGTGCAGCCCTGGAGGACCATGAGCACATAAAGCCGCACCCCAATTGGGAAAATACCGCCTAAAATCCGATATATACTGCTACGTAGGTAAAAAATAAGTGGAAGAATTGGAGAAGGTTAGTTGAAGTGATATCGCAGGTCGGAAATCGTGCGATTGGAGTACATGTTCCGAATATATATATCTAGATTTCCTAACCGAGCATTAATATATATATCAGGTAATTACGCATGCATTTTATATTTCTATATCATCCCTGATTTCTGTAGATATTTACTCCATCTTCTTCTGCACAGCTCTCGTACACTATGCTCCACTTGCAATCAGGAAAAGCCTCACTACTAAAATTAATTCTACTCTTGGCAGCAATCAAGGCCGATGATCTGCCAATTTCAAGGTTGTGTAGCTGGGACTCTCGGCCCATGATCGGAAGGCAACCGAGGATTTCAATCGTTATTCGAATTTGTGACGTGCATACTATAAACACGATAGGAATAACATACAAGGTACGTAATTCACTGAGTCTACCCCGGTGTCTTCACCTACCATTTCTTGTTAGACGCGCGGTATGTCTTGGCGGCATATTTGGCGGACTTTCTTTTGACGCAACCTCCTCAATTCTGCCAGCTGCTTCATCCCCGAGGTTTCTTTGGTATATTCAACAGCAATTGAGACCATAAAGAGAGAAAAAAATGAAATCTAAGAAGAAAACTCCGATAGGGGGAATCGAACCCCCGGCTGCCGTGTGAGAGACGGCGATGTTAGCCACTACACCATATCGGAGGAGGACTGAGAATTACCCTCTTAGGTTTAGTCTTGATCCCTTAAGTTTAGCGCTCTTTGTCCGTGTGCGTTCCCGTGCGTGGTTCTATATAGTCCCCTGCGCTCCCCTTCCGTCCAACAACCCAGGTCATTTTTCTTTTCGTCCTCGTCTCCCGGTTATCCCTAGGCCTTGCCGGTGAGGCATTTTTTGCTATTGATCCACATCACCGCACTCCTGAGCTCCGCCACCCCCTTTCTCCTGCGTGTGGCGTAACGGCTCCTGCGATTTTGTGCCGGTAGTCTGCGCTGCCCTCTCTCATTAGCCCTGTGTAGCGAGGCTGTAAATTTGCAGTTCTCCCGATCAAATAGACAAAATAGGTTCCAGGCGGTCGGTCTAGGTGCAACTAACACGTTTTCGTAAAAATAGTTACTGCCAACGGCGGCAAAAGAAAAAACAATGATTCGTCCAGAGGCAATTTCTCTCTTTAGCAGCTTGTCAAGCTAGTTGAACCTTTTGATATCATCACAATCTTCTTTTCTGACTGCTAGCTAAAAATTTTTTTTTTTCTATTTTTCGAAATTGGTCTTTGTCTTGTACACTCCAGCATCAGAATTCCCTGTTCCGATCGATCGGTTCCATATCAAACCCGAACCCCTCCTATCCCCCGAGCTAATAGAAGATGGCTGAAGTCATTGGGATAGTTTTAGGCGCAATAACTTTCGCGACTATTCTCGGTTAGATCGGAAAGACTATAACTACACTAAAAGAATGCTATAATGACTTGCGCGATGCGCCCGACGATCTACGGAACTAGTATAAGAGATCGAGCTTTTTAGCTTTATACTAGCGGATATCGAGGAGGAATTATCACAAAATCCGAATCCCGCCTTAGGCAATAATAAACATGTATTAAAAAGCTTCACTCTTTATAAAGAGGTAGCGACGGAGTTAGATATAGTCAGCACTAGCATCGTTCGAAAACCTAAATCTCCTAACCGTTTGTATCGGTCTTTTAAGTCCGTCAAGATAAATATGTAAAAAGGGAAGGTCGAGAAGCATACAACCCATTTATAAACTGTTGTTTAGTTGCTTATATTATGTCAACAATGTTATACGCGCTATGTTATTTCACGTTAGCGCAATTAATGTTTTTAAACTGATAAATATAGAGCACTTATTCAAGCTCAGCCTCAGGTGATTATCGAAAGGATTGTACATTATAATATAAGTTGCTCGCATACGGGAAAATCTAAGTCCACGACCACTTTAAAGGATATAGTTTCCTACTAGCTGATAACGAATTCGTCTCACTGATGTTTTCGCCAGGGCCAGGGTCTTGTGCCAACCAGATAAAACCCATTGCATCACAAGATAAGAGACTGAAATTTTCCCAGAACAGCAGCTATAAGTGGTCGCTTAGTTTGCCCCGCTGGATTTCTTCAAAAGTCCTAGAAGTGGCTGGCATAAAAGCTCCTGGAGGGTGGAACTGGTACTTGAGAACTTATAGTGTCGTTTCTTTCGATGCAAAAGCGGTTCAAGAAAACATAAGTCATGAGTCATAATTAAAGAGAGACATTAGCCGAAACGCAATGCAGAGAATGCAGAAAATGCAGAATGCATCGCAGAAATCAAGGTCTAGAAACCAAATCCTGGAAAAAGCGGAAGAAATTCCTCTTTTTCTCGGATTTCGCTCGACATCCCGCAACAGTCATCGGGCCGACGATATCCTCGTCGCCCATGTCCGGGAATTTGTCTTCGTGCAGAGCCGGAACGCGCACTTGGCACGGGTGGATATTCGACTGGGTAAGGGTCAATGCAACGGCGTCATCGCCTAGCTGGTTGAGCTGGGCTTCGTACTGCGTAGTCCAGTTGCGGTTAATGGATTCCCATTTTTCAACGCTGAGCTTGTAGATTGTTGAAGTGATGCCGTAGTGCTCGCCGGTGCGGACCAGATGTTTGGCGAAATTGCACCGCGCAGCGCCCCAATCGGCGCGCATTTGCTGGAAGGTGTCCATGTCGCAGATCACCGGCATGTAAGGCTCGGGTGTGTGGCTTGTGATAAGAGCGTACTGCAGATAAGATGCATGACACGCTGGGAGAAATATAATAGGAGGGGTACTGGAATGGAAGTTTGTTTTTGTGTCTATGATAGAGCTATGTAGAGTATACTGGAAGTGGTAATATGAAAGAAGATTGACAGCAGATTATTTTTAGGTAGCTCATTTCAAGAGTAAGGGTGGCTTGGAAGGCAGAAAATAAGAGATTTCTTTCGAGAGGGCTTAGCTTATAGGGGAATCCTCTTGTGAGGGAATCAGTCACAGCAGGGCCTGCTGAAGAGCACAGGCGACACGGTAGGCTATACGCCATATGAACTCGCTCTTCGTACTATTTTCCTCCTAGTCCAACCATTCCGGGCCTAGGTCAGCCTTGAGATAGCCCAAAGGCGATAAGGGAATGTGGTTCAAGCAGACAGCAAACACTGTCCTGGAGAGGTTGCTTTTATTGGCTTTTCAGCTTACTGAAGCAATGGGTCTCTGCAGGGGTCTTTATTGGATGTCATTATAGCAACTGAGTCGTGAATGATTATAGAGCAAAGGACCTCCTCTGCGGTTTATCTACAGGGCTGAGAACACCGCTCCATGAATTTGCTTGTCAGTGTGAGAATTTTCTGATTAATCACCCAGGCCGCTTTCAATTTTGAAATACCTAGAAATGCGGGGAAGTGAGGCTCATAGGTCTCATGACCACCCCCTTCAACTAGATAATCAAAGCGCAAACCAGCACAAACTACGATCATGTCACATCCTTGTTCCGCAGCTTGCACTGCGTCAAGTAGTACCTTTACAGATGCAGCCGCATCACGTCCTTAGCCAATCAATCCTTTGGATCTAACCGCTCAATCCGCGTTAGGCAAACGCGGTTTGTTGAGACTAAGATTATTTAATTATTTCAGGTTGTCGCTCAATATTGCAAATTTGGGCGGGAGACGTTTTTGGAATTTCAAGAAAACATATTGATGAGTACGTACTGTAAAGTTTGAGCGTGAATATCCAGTCACGCTTCAGCCTTTGCGCTTGCTGTCTTGTAGACGAAGCTGTTTCTTTGTCTTTTCTGTGATCTTCTCGATATCGGTTGATCTGACAGGCTTGTATAGGAATACTTCAGTGAAAATCCCCATCCCGCGAGACCCTAAAGCTCGAATGTCGCTAGGTCTGAAACCTCTATCCAATGCTTCCTTTATCAACTCGCTCCAAACTTCAGCATACGCCCCTTTCCAATCTTCAATGAAAGCTTCGGCTTGGGCCATCGTCCTAAATCTTTTATGACATGAACTCTCCACCTTGACGACCCCTCTTTCCGCACCATTCTCACCACTAGATACTGTAAGCTTCTATGGAAAGTCCAGGGTAGATTATCGGGCAATACTTGCCGGTAAAAGGAGTAGATACCAGGCTCAGCCCCATTTGCGACCGCATAGAATCCGTTTCCATCTAGAGGGGTAGTCTCTCCTGCTCCATTCTTTATGGTCTGTTTTGCCTTGATCACACCCATCTTTTCCATGTAACTTTGTGCTTCTTATAAAGTAAAGCAGCTTTTATATTTTGCGGTGCATCCTGTCACCCGGGGATGCGCATCCCCCCTATCATTAATATTAGATAAAGCTTGAACCTGTGGAACAAGAAGAAAGAAGGTTACCAGGATGAGAATATTGTGGGCTCTTTGACACGGCCCGTAACGATCGCATAGTATTGTTTGTTCTTTCGACGCGGACTTTGCGACATGACTCAAGACTACTCGGAATGAGGCACGGTTGAAAGTTCGCTAAGATATGCAGTAGTGCTTCGAAGCGAAGAACAGAATATTGGTAGAAATTTTTAAATTACAGTAGTTCCATCGAATTTAACTTGTTCAATCAGCTGGGAGCCAGCATGGAGTGCTGTACGAATTTCAAAGACCATGTGATTGGGCCACGTGTATATATCTGCCAGAGCTAATGCACAAATTCCTCACAGTGCATTGAATCAGGCACCGCTGAGCATGAGGACTTGAGTGATAGAACCCACACCTCCGATTGTACTGCATGGGCACCGAAATAGTAACTCATTTCCGGAGCGGGAGTACGAAATCAAGCTCAGGTAATCGAATATATTGGTTCAAATGGGGCAGAGCGAATGCTGAAGCCAAGAACAGGCTTGCAGAAGGATGATACGAGTGCAAATGCCGCTAATCAATGATTGAAGCACCTGTTTTGATGGTATTGTCATGTCATTCTGATACGCACTACTTATGCGTTAGGATTAGACCTGTATCTAAATTACTGAATTGTGACCCACACAACTCCATGACAATATACAAATGCCACAAGAGCAACAATGCCATGTGGCAGTATCTGTTCAGCGCCTTTGAGGTTCATGCTGCTGAAACTCAACACCCGGCCCCCGAATTTGAATATCCCTTGTCGAGTGACGCTACACACCACGCTAAGAACACGAGCACTTTGCGCACTTGCATTAGCAGGCTTTCGGTACCATGGGACAAGAAGGCTCAGGAGCTGCGATTTTCTGGCTAATCCGTTTTTTTGTCAAACAATTCTGCCATACATTCTATTAGCCTAGCCAGTCTCCATCACCAAGACTTTGAAGCCGAATATGATGTTTCAAGTACATGTTTAGGCTTCAATTCTCGCTCAATTTCAAGTCCTACAAAAATTGCATACTAAGCGATCGGATCTTTCCCCATTTGCAGCCAAAGTGACTTGGAGGCTGAGTGTTTTGCTGCTCTTTTAGAGCTTGCCTCTGCGGATGATTGGATTCCCCGATACTGAGCCACAGCACTCCACCTCGGAGGATCAAATCCCAGTCGAATCAAATTGTAATCCGGTGAATAGCACTCGGAATCTCCCATCTCTTTCAGTGCACTTGTATATTTATGATCTTCACAAATATGCTGCGTATCGTTTGGAGTGTCGCTAAGCCTGTCGGATAGAGAAATTGATGGTTCATTGCTCATTGTAGCTGCGACACACTGCTCTTGCGAAGAATTGCCTGCATTGTACTGGCAAAACTGTGAAAGAGTTGCGACGATTTGTCCAATGTTCAACGATGTGTTTCTCGCAGCTAGTCCTAAAGCTTTGAAAAGCGAGGGCTTGTTTGAATGATGAAGAGAATTTGCCAGATATGGGTCAGCTTCGACCATCTGCTTAATAGCACCGGTGGAATTGAACCCCTTGGAGAAGAGTCGATCAAGTTCCTGGAAGACACTTAGGATTTGGCAAAAAATGTGTTTCATATCACCTTACAGGTATGCTTGGTGATAATCCGGCTTCAGGTCTGCTCTCAATAAATTTGATTCTGATAAAAATGCCCCAAACATGAATCCCAAGCCACTCGTCTGATACATAGAGTAAGCAGTGTATAAAACTTTTACTTCAGATTGACATTTACCTTGATCATGCGAGCAATCCGAGCCATCCAGCTCGAAGACTCTCAATTTTTCGATGGCCTCAAGTTCAGACATCGATGCGGTATGAGGAAGTTTGCTGGACATATCTCTCTCAGTATCGATATTGCCTTGTTTGGAAGACTATTGATAGTCCTGTAGGGGGCGCAATCTTGTATATATATTCATTAAGGGGATGTGATCCTGGAAGTAAGTCACCTTTGACAATAATAAAAGCTGTTGGCCTATGCGGTGCTCAGGTTTATAATAGATATTGATGTTGACGTGATATAATAATTCCTCAAATTTTGCTCCGCCCCAGAGTTCGACAGGCTGAATTCCTGCGAGGCTATGCTTGCATTAGTGTGTTTGCCTTACCAGCACACCGTCTGCATCTCTACCTAATGCCGGAGGTGAGTGATGAGGAAAGTTCAAGGCTTGAAATGCTGTTGGTAGTAAGCACCAACGTGAACGAGGAAGCTGCCTCGGGTACAAGAGGCTGCCTAAGCGCCATGCAGCTTATTGTACTTGCATTAATAAATTAGCCTCAATGACGTGGCATTTGAGGCTGTGATATGATAGCTTGTTATATATACGATCAAAACAGACAGCCAAACATTGAATCTTACCATCGATGCAATAAAAGCCTTATACTCCATTAAGAAGATCTAGGACTTTCAATCATACTCTGACAGAAAGCATGTCTGGATTCTTCTCTCAAAAAAGTAAGTGCACGCCCCCACGACCTTGAGATATTTGGTAATTGACACCAAGCAGTTGAATTTGCTGGGCTTGAATGGCTTAAACTTGAGATTGGCTTATGGCTTTATCTCCACGCTCCGCAACTATCAAATGCATCAATTGTCAAGGTGATTGAGTCCCCTTGAACTCGGAAACCAACTGATATTAAACATTGCATGAAAGGTCCGCAAGCATCTGCTTCGGAATGAGCTTCGGTATGACGAGCTTCTTTTGGCAATAGAACCGACACAACCATTTGATAATTCGTCAAAATCTGCCGCAACTCTTTTTTTACACAACATTGGAACAAAGGTCATCCAGGGCTACCTAGAGCCATCGCTATCCTTGGGACCCATTCGGTCTCTTCTCTCCAGCCAACTGGAAAAGTGTCGAGAAGAGATTGCAAACCTTACCACGAGTGTGAAAGAATGCTCAAATGGGGAAGCAGTTGATCTACCACTCTCCGGCTTTCAGGAAGATAAGCCGCACAAATTATGGAACCAAGAACGACAGTTATGCACCAATGACGAATTTTCTCATCAAAGTTTCTCTCCCGTTGCCGTAGAGCATATTTGTGAAGATCATAAATATACAAGTGCACTGAAAGAGATGGGAGATTCCGAGTGCTATTCACCGGATTACAATTTGATTCGACTGGGATTTGATCCTCCGAGGTGGAGTGCTGTGGCTCAGTATCGGGGAATCCAATCTTCCGCAGAGGCAAGCTCTAAAAGAGCAGCAAAACACTCAGCCTCCAAGTCACTTTGGCTACGACTGGGGAGGGAACCGATCGCTTAGTAAAATGAGGACTTTCAACATTTTTTGGGGAGTGATGCTCGGCAAGATCTACTCTGGTACAAAAAATATTTCACCCCCATGATCCTTCCTCGTATTTTGGAATTTACTTGAATGATTTCACCCACACTCCACGAGCGTAGGTCGCTGGAGGCTCGACAGTTGATCATCGCTATAGCTCTGTGGACGAACTGTTATGCTACGCCAGAACAAATTATTTTGCTTTAAAAAAAAAACTGCTTTTAACTGCATGCTTTTCCCTTATATAAGTTGGTTCAATCTCTCGAATAGTTCGAACTGTCCTGCAATATGAGCAGGTAGTGGATATGAAAGACGTGCTGCGAGACTATATCATGTGCTATATGGAAACGATGATGGAAAATACCGCAATCTCAAAGCTGTTGAAAATAATTTCGTCTTCCGTTCAATGTGGAAGTAACAGCTAACTCCAATGCAGTCAAAGTTAACCCCTCAAATAGAACGAGAAGGAAAGATATTGTGAAATGTGCTCAGCATGTTTGTCGCTACATTGGCCGCGGAAGCTGTGCCGTATTCACCATTAGGTAAGACGGCGATGACGACGTTATGCTCGTACATCTTGACTAATGTATAGTCGCGGTGTCATTTGGCGACACAGAGCTGGGTTTTTCGTGCTCTTCATCGAGGAATTCTTGTGCGGCAACGTATTCCACGGGCAAGGCGCAGATCCAGCCCACGGTGTAGTTCGCAGGGTCTGACATGCCTGCCACTCGAGCAAAAGGCGGCGAGAAATTGCGGTATTGCTGCGTTTGAGCCCAGCCAAGGGTACAACACGGTATACTGGTATACTAACCGTCTATGGTTATTAAATGATAAAAGCGAGGGAAGGAATAAATGGACGAGACAGAAAGCTTGCAAGGTTGACGGGAGAGACAGAGAGAAACCGTCACCAACCTGGAAGGCTCAGCCTCGTTGTGGACACGAAGCGTAGAGCTTTTCTTAACTAAGGTGCTCTGAGAACTCGTTTATAATCTAGGTTTTAAACTCCGTCTAGGAGATAAACGCTCCGGAGCTATTACTCTCGTATACCTAGACTTCCGCAAAGCCCAACTTTGGGCCCAAGGTCCGGGCTCGAAACCCGACCCTCAACGAGCTGGGGGTCGAACTTTTTGGGCTCGACCCGGACCCCGGCTCGAAGGGGGGGCTCGTCGGCCCCCCTAGGCTCGAAATTGCATAAACTATAGTCTTAGCGTTTATAAAATGGCTAAATCACCTAAATAAATGACCGTCTTTTACCTATGTTTTGGTTTAAATATGGATCGGCACGGTGAGGCTCCCTTTTATAACCTTCGCTGCTTTCTACTTGCTTTTATCTATCGCAGATGGTTTACGTCTAGAATCGCAGAGACAAAAAGCAGCCAATCTCACGATAGGAAGCATCGCTGGATAAGAGAGAGCCAAAAGAGTAGCCAAGAAACCCCTGTCTCAATTCACCAAGGTGCAAAACGTTTTGTGCAATGCAATCAGATTTCAAACTTCGGTAATACTTTGGTTATTTTCCTCTTGATTCCTAGCACCGGGGCTAGCGTGTGCCTAGAACAGGAATTTGTGAAACGATGGTCGCGCGCGTAAATATAACCGAAAGGATCTTCATGTGCAAGTTGCTAATTATTCTTTGTGATATTTAACTGCAGTGTCTGCAAGCCAGGAAATATATTTACTCTTCAAATTGGTTTGTTTTTCTTCCTTGGTACAGCATAATGGTGTACTATCCACGTAGAGACGATTCAGCAATCAAAAGAAAGACTCACATTCTGCGTCATTATGATAACATCGAATAAGGGTTCAGATACTACTAGTAAACAATCAAAGAAAGCCTCATGTTAAAAAAAAAGATAACAGGCATAACATCTCATATCGAGTGTTTCAAGTCACAAGCGGACGTTCCTTCTTCGTCCAATTCTCAGCGTACGACTCATCCAAGTTATCACACCCCGTTTGCTTTTTTCTCTAAAAAACCATTCCCGTTAGGATGGGCATTTGCGACAATGGATTTCCGTCTTGTTCCATTCAAAGACGTGCGACCGATCGTGGGACTATTTGGCTTCTTATTGATCTCCTGCTCTGCTTGGATGCATAGCGGATGGCATTTCGTCAGTTGAGTGACAAAAGTCAATGGATGTCGTCTGTTGTCTTTAACCTGAGATATGCGCGGAAAGATGGTCAGAAGAGTGTCACTAGCCATGCCGTGGGCCGTGGTATTCTTCTCGGTTTTCTCGCCGGGGAGATTAAAAATGGCCCATTCATTGTCATTCCAGTCAACTGGATCGAAATCGGACTCATACTTTTGTTGAGCACGCTGTATAGGTAGCCAAATCTTAATCGCCTTCTGCACGGTGTTTGCGACGCTCTGTCGAAACTCATTATATTGCGCATCTGAGAGCAAGCCGTGTACGCAGCTTGACACTTTGTGAACCACAGTTCGAATTCTGTGCTGGAGTGTCTCTTGCTGACTCTGTTCGTCAATAGAGAGAAGCATTGACCGACAAAAATATTCTTTATCACCATCCGTCTCAGCAAGGTGGCTCATTATGTTCCGCAATTGAGCATGTTCCGGAACGAGATAATTTGGTTGAAAGATATGCTGGTCAATTTCCTTCGACAAGATAGCTAGAATCACAGCAAGTCGCATTCCTTTGGCAGCGGGACTGTTTGAAAGGGGCATAGGGACATCCCGAATCGAAATGTCGCCCTTTCCAAGGCACCCCAATGATGTTCTATTCTAAAATGTATGAGCAGAGGTCTGTGAGAAATAATATGCGATGCTTACACTCAAAACAGCGTTATCAATGTTTTGCATCATTATGTGATACAGTTGATCTGTAGCATAATTCCAGAGACGTGAGAACCCGTCGATCCTAGAACAGTCTGTTAGCACCATATAATTATATTACCAGCTGGTAAGAACTAACATAGAGTCTTCATCCATTTGGTGGCCACGAAGGCCATAGCCTTCCAGCTTTTGAAGTCGGATATCACGCTCCTGAGCGACGCTTTTCATTGAAATAAGCTCTTTTTCTAGCTCCCCATTTTTCTTTCTCTCCGAAGATAATGACTTGGTCATTCCCAACTCAGCGGTCTGAAGGTTGTCGATGATTCCATTCCTTTCTATGAGTTTCTTTCGTAGCGAAATAATTTCCTCAGAAAGTTGATTGACTTTGGTTTTCTCACTGAGATGCTCCAGCTGGACCTTTTTTGTTTCTTCAGCAAAATTCTTTATCTTCTGAGCTGATTCTGCGAGATTGTTGTCTTTTTTCGCAATAGATTCACGGAGTGATTGTATCTGGGCCTCGGCGGCTTTGATTTTGCTCTTCTGTGTTTGTATTCCAATAGACCATTGATCCATCGCAATGGTTTGGTTTTCCTTCTGATCTTCAAGCTTCTTGCGAACTTCTGACAGCTCATCTTGCTTTGTCTTGATCTGCTCTCGTTGGTTCTGCATTTCAAGGATTATCGTCGATGCGATCTTCATCTCAGACCTGGAAGCAAATATACATATTTGCCTCACAGTACTTTCAAGAGTTTCGCTGGTGATTGGTGGTGCAGTGACACCTTGGTTCGCTGCGTGTGGAACTCTGGTTTCCGTAGACATTCTGAATGGATGGCAAAACTTGATGAAATAAGAGGTGCTTCTTGAATTTTCTGGAAGTAAACACCCCGAATTTATAATTTCTGTTGCCTGTGATTGATTTCCCATGCGATGTTCATTATTCTTTCATCTCCCAATTTTCAAATTTTCACGTCATGGGTAGAATTTCCAATCATATGAAATGAAGCTACCAAATGACAAGGGTAAAGGCGCACAGTGTGTGTTCAGCTGATTTCAATTCTTGATTTCAGACTTCGCAAACAGGGAATAATTTATTTTCAGCCTCATTGTTGTTGAAATGAAGTGGTGAGCTGGCTTATGCATGCAAGACACAGGGGTACTTTGCAACGTGTTCTGGGCTGTACGGCTGCCCGCATTGCGGAAAAAGCCGAATATCAGTGATGCGAACGATCCCGCACATGCTATGTGCATACAGCCAATCCAAGGTCTTCCGTGAGATATGCGTCTTATCAGGGCGGCCTACGCCTTGCTGAATCGAGCCCTCTCACAGCAAACGCCTTTTAAGCAAACCTGCCAACGCAACAATATCCCTGTTCACGGTTGATATTATCAACAGAGGCTGCAGTCACAGCGACGTGGCAGGTCGCTGAAGTCACCCATGTCCCAGCTGTTTAATAGTATCGGCGTTCGTCCTCTATGTTGAATGATCGTTTTTTGAATGAGAGCAAAGCAATCTCTGATAGTTCTCGGGCCTTCGCACTTCGCGCGCTCGTAATTATAGGTTCTCGAAACTCGGCCAGAAAGCTCTGGATGCCTTTTTGATGAATGATAAACCAAATTTGCCTGACTGTTCAAACCAGGATACATTCCCCCGCCGCAAGAAGAAGATTCGCAAATTTTCGCACGGTAGAAGGTTGGGGGCTGCTCCGCGATCATCTGAAGAGAGGATTCATTTTTTAAAGCGATTCCTCTTCAATTAGGCGTTTTGCTCGCTAGGTCACCAGGTCACCAGGTCATCCCTGAGTTCTTTCCCCGACTCCACACCCAAAATCCACTAGTCATTACTAGTAGACTAGTAGTGATCTTCAAATTATCACCCTAGTTGATGTCGACAGAATCTATAGCGAAATGTCATGTATCATGTTCCATGGGGAGGGTGAATTTCGCTCGAAGTTAATTCCATGTCCCGCTAAAAGATTGTCCTTTCCTATGTTAAACTCAATCACAAATGAGTGGATGTTGCCAAATGAATGATTTCCTTGAAAGAAAACATTGATTGTGTTTCGCTATGTACAATCACCATGTACATATTTCCAAAGTTAGTCTTGCCTATATATATTTTCGGAAATCTAAATTCAATCTGCTATTGTACATCTGGTCTTTGGTTCTACCTACGGACGAAAACTTCATAAAAAAGTGGAGGAGGTTGAATAACCCGGTTACCTCACTGGAAAACCAGAGAATGAAGAGAATATCAACGAAAGGGAGGCAAAGCTCACAATTGATAGAGCCAACTTTAAGACCTAACGAAAATGAGATCCGAAATTCATTGGAGCGCATGGTTTGATCAAAAAACTCTTACCAAAAGTACAGCCAAAGTTTATGGCACTTATTAAGATGTAATAGATACCCGGGTAGTGAAACTGAAATAGTAGCACAACTAGGGATATCACATGGACGACCAGGCTTTGCAAAGAATGATGGTAACTGATGTGTCTTGAAATGTCGAGAGAGTGAATCCTTTCTGGAGTAGCTGTAATGTCTTGCAGCCGGGTTAAGATTTGAGCAACCTAGGCAGAATGGATATTCGAGGCCAGTTTGACTTTTCCAATAGCGAGAGCTGGTCTCTTTGGTTTCTTCAATGTTGACACTAGCAAGTTTTCTCTCAATGTTGCGGAAATCGAGTTTTTTATGCAAGCCCCCAGGCACATGAAGTTCGTTGAGTTGTAGTCTCAGTTCCAGAGATCTAATGCGATCTTCAATTAATATTGCAGTATCAAGGCCGTCTGTATCTCTTTTTTTGAATTCGAGTTCGGTAAGAGCTCTTCTTTCAGGCTGCATATAGGATAAATCGAGATTGAAAGTAATTGGGTTACCTTCGTGATTGCCTTCAATGATGCGGTTTCCAATATCTTCGAAAAATTCTCTGCGTTTCTTCTTTCTCGTGGCCTCGAAGAGCCGTTTTCGGTGCGTCTTAGTGGCCGCCTGAAGTCTTCGAAGTTCCTGATAACGTTCGTCTCCGGCCATCTTAGCAATGTCCAACCGACGAAACTTTTTAAGAAGGGCGCCCCGAATCGAACTAGCAGCCTCCTTCAATCTTTCTAAATTGGGGTCCAGTTCAATAGCCTTCTTTTGCTATATCCAGGCCATTAGGGGCGGAAACGTCGCGTGTGAGGCTTACGTTACACGCGAGGCGGAGTAAAGCGTCCCTAGCCGGGGTCTCCATAAAGGCAGATTAGACGTCGTCCCTCACACTCACATAGTTAGCGAACGATTTCCCACTCTTCTGACCCATAATTATGTTCCGCGAATGTTCATCGAGATGTCCTCTAGATACTGCTTAACACTTGTTTCATTTAAATTATCCTAATCCTAATAGACCCACTGATCTACGCAGCCGCTCCTTTACGGTATTTATAGAAAGTACTGTCGTTTTCAAAGCCAGCTAAACAGCTCGCGGCTTTCTCTAGCTTTTCTACCTATTTATACTTCATAGATCGGACGGGATCCATAACAACTCCGTGTTCATTGTCTCGTATCGTTCGTCTCAGGATACAGATTTCCCCGAGGCTTTTTTCAAAATGGACCGGAGTGCTAAGGCGATGCTCTAGAACATCCGTGAAACGCCAGAGATCCCTAGGAGATTTGATATATGGACTATCAAAGGCGTCATCGTAGAATACAAAGGTAAGTATGTCCTAGATAACACAAAGACCAAGGCTGTCATTCCGCTCGGTATACGTGTAGGTAGGGCTAAGTCGAATCAGAAGCTACATCTATATCTATCTGATATGTCCATTTACTCACGGTACTCCTTCGTTCCGCCGTGCCTTCACTAGCCTATACCTCACTCTCAACAGAAGCTCGAGGCGACCTGGATCCTTAGGATGTTTCACCATATAAAGTGCCACGTCTTTCTATTTTAGGGCGTCCCCGATATTTTCATACGAATTTGACTCAATTAAAGTACTAGGTCGGGCCGTTAAAGAGCACATTATTTTACGCATACTATTCAACTAAAGAAGAGTCTGAAAGGTGGGAAAGATAGATCGCACGTAGCAACTAAATGCTAGTTGGTGAATAAAATGTCGTCAATATTGATAAGGGGTTATTCTTTCGCCCCCTTATCAAGGCCCCACTCCTTAAATAGTAAGGGTGTTAGTAGTTAGCTATAAAAGTCAGTCAAACTCTTTCAGTTATCTAACAAATAGGGAAGTTAAACTCAGAACTTATATAAGTCACCTTCCGCGATAATTCTAAAGGTAGTAGGCGTGCCGTTTCTTCGCGAACCCACATTCTCCAGAAACGAACCAGAGTGAGGAAGCCTGACTAACACTCTAAGTTATGGTTTTCATAATACCAGCGAAAGTAGCCTTCAATAACTCTCAATATAAGATTTTCTAGTCGGAGCCAATAAGTGGGATCTGGAGGGTTAAGATTGCTTATAAATCTGCAATAGTATCAGCTAGAGAGCTACGTGTAAGAGAGAAGGACATGTAGCAACTTTTGAAAGTTATATTTTACTTCTCTTAACTTCTCTTTTGTGGGAAGCTCAAGATCTGCGTTCACTTACGGATCAGACTCTCGGACGAACGAATTCCAGTCCATACTAAGTAGGTGGTCTCAATACAGAGAATGATTCAAGATTAAAAACTAGACCAGGTACACTTGGCCTTGTATATTATATTTCTATCTATCATACAGGCGCTACCACGACTCTATAGGTAGTATATCGAGATGCCACGCCTAATCACATTTTCCCGATGTTCGCGCTGCGCTGGTGTTCCTGAATTAATCTGTTGTCGAAGCTAGTAACACGCTAAGTTGGCCACGGTGCCTAGGTGAAAACACCACGATTTTTCGATTTCGGACCACGCCATATCGTGGCTATTCCACCGTCACTGCCTCTAACACCATATCGGATTTGGATGAAGGTTTCATTGACAATGGGACGTATAAATCTAATGATTGATCACCATATCCTGTATTATATAAAGGCAGCTAACTCAGAGAGCCCACACCCAGTTCCACCAATTCGGATTCCAAAGTCGACAATTCCGGACAGAACAAATTAAAGTCTGGCGTGGGAATGAAAAAGGGCTCAGGAAGCTGGGTGTCAAAAGCAGTATAACGACAGCTTTGTTCATCGACCGCGTCGATATTCTGGTGAGGCTCCGATGCTGGCTGCCGGATCCGATTGATGTTGTTTAGAGCATCAGAAGGTATAGTTCCCCCCAAAGAAGAGCGCTGCCTGCCGGAGATCCACATACGCTTTAGCAGACTGGCAAAACGACTGGCAATATGGCAATCACTGATAGCAGCTTCCTCGAGTGTCCGGATAAATTGCTGTACTAAGTAGGCGATTTCGGCATACTCCGTACTCACGAGGGCACCAAAGACGTCTGCTTTGTACAGGAATACGGCGGAGTAAACGGTATATCTGACTCGAAAATTAGCCGCTATGTCCAAAAAGTCCCGGAATAAACCAGGCCGAATGACAAAACGTACACGTAAAAGCGGAACGGCATATAGCGAATCTGTGCTTCAGAGCTCGTCTGGACAGCTATTATCAGAATCTTCCGAGCGGCATCTATTGACTCGAGAATATATGAGCCCTCTGCAGTCGACAAGATACCCCGTGGAAATAGCGAGATGACACCATTCCTCCCAGGTGCAGTCGAAACTTGTTCTCCCTGCACAGCCTTTGAAAGAAACGCCTGGAAAGAGAAAGCACTAGCATATAAACGGACATATTCCTTGAAGATGTGCATTGTGCAGTTCAGCTTTGGAGATGCCTCAAGACTACCCCAAGCTCCTTCCCATGCAGAGATGGAATGTCGGAAATCGTCTAGGTAGCGATTATAGTCTCCTCGTCGGACCATCTGGGCTCTTCGTTCTTTGGATGCGTATAATGTGTCGTGCACGTTGTGAAGGATTTGAGTGAGCTCGATAGTAGCTTGTAATACGTGTGCATATTTATGCTCTGCGTCCGCTCTGAGTCGTAGAGTTGGGAAGTCGTTCGCTGTGAAGTTTGTGGAGAGCGATGGCCCGCGCGACCAGAAAGACTGTCCCATTCGGACGGAGATCTGTCGGTCAGATATATAAACAACTGCAAGCATACGTTAGTCACCAGGTAAGCTAGTGGGGTTTATCGACCGTACATATCCATGCTAGGAGCTTTCGATTCTCTAGTTCCTCAGCATCCCCAATCGCCGTCTCCCGGAAAGACGCCTTGTCCAGACGGAGCAGATAGGAATGTCTCACTGCCTGTCCGATAAGTGACCAGGCCATGTTATCCTCAACGGCACTCAAGTTCATGGGAAACATGTTGGGATAGGAACATGTTTCCAGCTGCATGTAAGGAACCCATTCCGCAAGAAGCAGGAGGCCTTCAACCGTACCGACTCTTAGAGTCGATGGTGTAGCGAGGAGTACATCTAGTAAATGTCGCTTTAAATAGTTCCAGCAATGTTGGTGGACCTCTCTGTACGCGATATCGTCTTTAGACGCGATGGTCAGAATGACTGTGAGGAGGAAAGGCTCTTCTACTGCTGTTTTGCGAGGATCTGTTGTTGCTAGGACCATTTTGGGTGCGAGGGGGCAGAAAGTGTGGTAGTTTAACGCGTAACTAATCAGGTCAGATGAAATATACTCGCGCGGAATAAAGGTTTCATACTGTTGGACCAGACCATTGACGGTATCTGTACCTAAAACGCCGATCACCAATGTCTCCGTTTCGGAGAGTATCGACTGCAACATCGGAGGCTGTATGGGATTCGCTGGACTACTCCCTGCGTATGAGGTCACTATCCGTGCTCCTTCCGAGGAGCAGACACCTGTGAAGGAATCCTGAGCCGTGGAATCGATTCCGTTATTAGGAAAGCGGGTGTCACTCGCAGCAAGTCGGGCAAGAATCTGAAGTGCATCGCCAGGATTATCCAATTCTGCATAGATAGGATCTTCATCTCCTTCCATTGGGTCTCTGGTTTGTCGCTTGGTCGGTTCGTGCTCCGTTTCAGCTCCACTAACAGATGGCGTATGGTACTGCTTCTGTCGCGACCGTCGAAATCTAGAAAAGTCACCCCCGCGCCGCGATCCGGCAAGAATACATTCACCACCAGCACGGAGACACTGCGAGCATGAGGATAATGTACTATCGGTCGAATTCTGCCTTGAAAATCTTAGCGTGACGGCACCTCTGTTGGAATATGAACTCACTGATCACACTTGAGCTTCCGCTGGCGACACCGCTGGCATGCACGGTACACACGAATGTTTTGACTACGGGTCATAGTGCATCAGATACGAAGCGAATTGTCCTAAAAAAATCTCCCGAGAAGATGACCGGGGAAGGTCCATTTTCCTGTCGGGATTTCGGCTATAGACGGGTACGGCGTGTGGGGTTTGTAGAGTGTGGGGTATGGTTTTCTATTTCGGTAGAACTGAACAGGTAGTGTTTACCCTACAATATGTACTTGCAGACAATACTATAGGCGACATACGTGGTGAAAGTTAATCTATGCAAATCCTGATGAGAACGACATAAGTCTTACATTGATCGAACTATCATTTGAAGACATGCACGACTTGAGTGTTACAGTACTCAAGGAATCCGGTAGAACCCCATTCGCCCCCAATTCCGCTCTCCTTGTGTCCCGACAGCATCGCCCGTGGCGTGGTTTTCGCCCACGAATTCACAAATACGCTCCCGGCCTGCATCAACCGGCCAACTCGCTCCGCCCGAGCAACATCAGTACTCCATACGGACGCTCCAAGTCCGGAGTTAGTTCCGTTCGCACAAGCAATGACATCCGCCTCATCAGTCCACTTGAGAACTGGCACAATTGGGCCTGATTTCAAAGAATAATTAGCAAATACGATCACTTCCATGTGGCGGAAACGTACCAAACTGTTCCTCAAGAACGATTCGAGAGTTAGAAGGTGGGTCGTCGACGATACTGGGTGAGAGGTAGAATCCCTTGCCAGACACGATGGGTTGCGGCGGAAGAGCAAACTTGTAGCCTTGGGCTTCGCTGTCGGCAACTAATTCCTTGACCTTCTCATACTGCATTTTGTTTTGCATAGGACCTATCGTCGTACTAGGATTTCCTGCCTGGCCAACTATCATCCGAGAAGCTGCATCCACCATGGCCTCCAGGAATTGATCATAAATGGTCTCGTGCACATAAACTCTCTTCGTGGCGACACACACTTGCCCGGAGAAGACGAAGCAGCCTTGGACAACTTCCGGGGCTGTCTTCCCAATATCCACATCGGGATAAATGATGGCCGGGTCATTGCCTCCCCTGGGAATTAAATGGTATGAGATAGAAACCTCTTCGCGGGGGTTTAAGAGGTGTATACTTACAATTCCAGAGTCACACGCTTCAATGTCCCAGCTGCCGAAGCCATAATTCTTTTTCCAGTGGCACTGGAACCCGTGAAGGTGATCTTGTTGACATTGGGGTGGTTGACCAGCGCCGGACCAATAGAGTCATCACCCCCAATAACCTGCACGACACCGGGAGGGAAGATCTGCTGTGCCTGCTCAACCATCTTGAGTGCCGAGTAAGGCGTAAAGGGAGATGGCTTGACGATGATAGTACATCCGGTCAACAAGGCAGGTAAGATCTTTCCGACAGACAGCACGAGAGGAAAGTTCCATGGGCAAATAGCAGCGACGACTCCGACAGGAACATGGCGGGTAGTCTGGATGCGGGTCTCGTCCTCAATTCGCTCTTCCGGCATGCGAAGCTGCAGATTGTGGTCAAATAGAGCCAATATCTCGTTTGCCTCGCCGGACGCCACAGCACGCGGCTTTCCGCACTCTGCCATGAGCAACTTGGTGAAGTTTTCAATGGATGGCCTGTAGATCTCCTTCCATTGGGATAGCTTGCTCAATCTTTCATCAAAAGAAGTGGCAGACCAGGTCTTGAAGGCTTTATTTGCAGAGCGGACGGCGTCTTTCACGTCTTGCGCGGAGGCCACAGGCACGTCCCATAGCTTGGATTCCGTTGAAGGATCAACGCTGAATGTGGTTTTGTCGGAGGCGCGACACTCACCATCAACGACATTGTAAAACATTTCAAAGTTCAGATCACTTCGCGTCATTCTGTATAACTAGATTACCGACTGTTGGAGAAATTTGGTGATGAAGAATTGAGGTGGTTTGAAGTATTATTGTTGATTTCTGCAGTGTGTATTTGACAGACTTTCAAAAGAAAAGCAGAACGAGCAGGACTCATAAATAAATCGGAGCTGCTGCAAGCTACACTTTGATCTCTGCATCTATAGCCGGCCGGACATATTTATGGATAGCGATGGATGCGGGATCCGACGGTTTGCATACGGCTGTAGATGGATGTAGATGAGCCACCGTCCCCGACCTCGGGCCAAGTCTCCAGGTCCTCGATAGTTTGCGGAGAGGCGGAAGACATGCTGTATGTTCTCAGCATCATATAAAGTAGAGAAGAACATCTACCTGGAAGCATCAACTATTTATCTCACCATCTTCGTGCAACGATCAACATTTGAAAGTTCTTCATCGTCCACTACTCTCAAAATGCCGACTACCAAAACCCACAAAGCCTTGGTTTATGACAAACCGGGCGATATTTCAACTCAAATTGTAGAGATTGACACTCCCACTCCAGGACCCGGGCAGATCCTGATCAAGATGTAAGTCGAGCTCCTCAGTGCCAGAGAGCAGCCGTACTGATTTTAACATAGGACTCACTCGGGAGTCTGCCATTCCGACCTTAGTCTGATGACCAAAACGGTAAGAATTCGATGTCTGCGTCAAAAGAAATCTCGTGTCATAACCTTTACTAAAGCAAGTCTACCAGTGGAGTTGGCTTCCGGAGCCCGTCAAGTCTGGACAAATTGGTGGCCACGAAGGTGTCGGTATCGTCGCCGAGTTGGGACCATCATCTGCGGCTTCAGGTGTCAAAGTTGGTGACCGTGTGGGAATCAAGTGGATTGCTTATGCCTGTGGCAACTGCATGCCTTGCTTGGCCGGTGCGGATGGCATATGCGTGAGCGCAGAGGTATCTGGGTATACTTGCCCCGGTACATTCCAGGAATACGCCTTGGCTCCTGCTCACTATGTGACGCCCATTCCCGATGGACTGGCTAGTGATATTGCGGCACCACTTCTTTGTGGTGGTGTCACTGTATATTCGGCGCTCAAAAAGAGTAAAGCTCAGGCTGGGGACTGGGTGGTTATCGCTGGAGCCGGTGGTGGACTGGGTCATCTTGCAGTGCAGTTGGGAGGCCGAGGAATGGGATTCAGGATTATTGGGTTAGATATGGGATCTAAAGAGAGTTTTGTCAAGGGATGCGGTGCCGAAGCTTATGTCGACATCTCCAAGTATCCTACTGCTAATGGTAAGAGCGCTGCCGATCAGATCTTGGAAATTACCGATGGCAGCGGCGCTGCGGCGGCAGTCATTTGCAGCGCCAGTAATGCTGCGTACAGCGAGGCCCTCTCTTATTTGAGATTCAATGGCACTCTGGTCTGTGTGGGTGTTCCATATGATGCGAAGCCAATTGCTAACGCCTACCCTCATTTGATGGTCGGCAAACAATTGACCATCATTGGAAGCAATGTGGGCAATCGTTCGGATGCCATTGAAACTCTTGCTATGGCCAAGCGGGTTGTCACTACTCCTTTTCGTCTTGAGAATGTCCATAACATCAATAGTGTGTTTAAGGAAATGAAAGATGGGAATTTGCAGGGCCGGGTGGTTTTGGACCTACAATTCTGTACTTAGTGTTTTGCAACCCGAAATTGAATCACAATGCTTCTTTTGAAGACTGCAGATAAACATGATTATTTTGTAAGAAAGGTCTTTGTTGTTGTTTCATCTTCTTTACCGGAGGAAGTTGCGAAATCTAGAAACTTAGTTTATTACAAAGTAGTAGTAGAAATTGAAGAGCATGATTTGTTATTTTCAAATGGGTGAAGGTGCTACGGAACGAAAGAGGCATCTTTCTCTCGGGTTTTCAAGGTCTTACAGGTCTTTTTAGAATATAACCGCTAACTATCCCCTAATATTGTTAATGGGTCATCTTTGATACGAGCTATTTCTAGGCTGTTAAGAGACTATATAGGTATCAGTATATATGTTGGTTCATGGCAGCCAGCTGGTTAACCTTCTGCCAGCGAAAAGCCCGGTTGACGCGATGGACTTGAAAACCGGCCGTACTAGTTATGAAGGCTACTATATTCTGACAGGTTACACCTGTGTTATAAAAACCTCTGGATTATTACTACAGTACGAAAGGAAAGAGTTAAGCGTAAATAAAAATCAAGTTCATTGATGCCTATCTGAAATCGCAAGGCTAGAATAAGCCACGAGATATTGGATGTACACATTGTAGTTCAAGGAAGACCTTGTCGCACATTGGTATGCTCGTTCAAGCCCCATGCCGTCGAACTTGAATCATGAACGGTAGTACGTCTCATATCGCGCTTGTACTTTCGGAGGAAGGATCCCCCAACAGCCCGATGCATCGTGCAAGTGTTATCCCAGATGACCAGGTCACCCATGTTCTGCCACTCAATCTCAACGGTGTTCTCATCACGAATGGAGTATTTGTACAATTTGTCAAACAATGACTGGGACTGTTCAGGGGATAGGCCCTCGATATGATGAATATGGGCTGCAATATACATGTTCATGCGATCCGAGGCCTCGTGACGCTGCACAAGTTTGTGCCGCCCCATGGGATAGTCGAGCGGGTTGAGATCAGCAAATGTCTCGGGAGCAGCCAGCTTGCGAGAGTGGTACATAGAGTGACAAGCCACATAGTCCTTGGCTAACAGCTCCTTTTTAAGATCTGAGGGAAGGGTTTCGAATGCTGTTCTCGTGTCTGCAAAGGCCGTGTGACCGCCCATACCACTAGGAGGAAGCTCGTGTGCCAAAAGCAACGAGTAGCCGGCGCGGCGAGGGTTGAAGCTCGAGTCGACGTGAAAGATATCGTTGCCCTGGTTACCCAAAGTTAGCAAAAGACCCTGTCTGTCTAGGCACTACCAAGTACCTTGTTTGCCTGTCCGCGGGGGCTGTCAGGATCAAGAATGGTTCCATCGATTTCGACATTGCTAACATCGAAAAGTTCGACGTATTTGAGACGGTGCTTCCGGCCCATATTGACATAGGGCGTCACATCATCTAGCTCTCCAAATTTCCTGGAGAAATTAATGTGACCTTCATCGGTGAGGCCAGTGCTCCGGAAGACTACGACGCCATACTGCATTGTAATCACTCAGTCAGTTTGATGATCGGATACGAGCAATAACAAATAGGAAACAAAGGACGAAGGAATAATACCTTGGTAACAGCCTGATGGATTTCCGCAAACACTTCATCACTCAAACTGGATGTAAAATCCACACCACTGATCTCAGCGGCGAAAGTCGGGTGAAGAGGTCTGATGGAGATGTGGAGGAAAGCGGTGTCATTGGTTGTAATTGGAGTAGTGGTGGTGGCCGACATATTGACTTTGTTTTTTTCTGAGGCTATGACAACAGGAACGATTTTTTTCGATACGGCCTTGGCTTTCAAATAACCCACTGAATAGTGCGTATCAATTATGCTTTATATAGGATCCAAGGCTCTAAAGCCTCCGTGGTCTGTATAACGAGATGAAGAAGTCAAAAGCAAGGCTGATGATGAGCTAGCTTTCGCATCCGTCTATTGCCGATTTGCAAAATGCTGGCGAGATGCTTAAACATGATTATTGAATTTCTTTTGCCATGAATATTATCTATAGCCATCTACAGCCGAGAGGAAGACTGCCAAGAACGACTGAAAGGCATGCTTGTATGAAGGTAAACTCTCTGCGCAAAGATTGAGAGGCTTTATAGAACCTAGTAGTTTAAGCACTGTAATCTCAATAATATACGAATTTAATCTAATCAAGATCAACGCGATAGATGCTAAAATGAATTTCCCTCCTGTGTTCTCTTTTCAAACATGCGAGAGAGAAGACCAGGTCGATTCACTTCTAGCCACTCCCGGAGACTGCCTTGAACTTATCCGCGCATCTCACTCACCTTTGCGATTAATTGAGACAATGGGAGAAGATGACCAGCGTAGGAATACAGTTATGATTCAAGGTCAGTCGCCAACCCCAAACAAATAATGAAGCATGGACATGTTTACAATTGAACCCATCCAACAGATATTCTAAGCAAGTTAAATTTATCTTATATCCGACTTCTTGAAGATAAATCTCTCTTTGAGCTTCTTCCCGACGGTGGCCAGTGTACTTATTACCTGAGAGAATCCTTGTTCCGCAAGTATATTGTCTGGCCCATCACAAAATTGATACCGAAATATTCTTCCGACAAAGTCAGAGCAAAATTCGAATTTCAGTGCCATCATCTAGCTGCATTGCATTGCTGTACAGCACGCCGTCATTGCCCTCTCATGCTCAATCTGTGGTATCTAGCGAATGGCTTTGAGAGGTATGCTAGAAGCTAGGGAGTTACTGGGAAATCACTGCTCCGATTGGTTGTCTAAGATGTATGACGAATCATGCAATGGAAGCTCGTCCTTTTATTTTCTTTCCTTTTTTGCTCTATTGTATAGGTTTACATCCAGAGACGGTGTTATGAACATGTTCAAGTGACTGTCTCCCATAGCAGCTTCAATGTCGGGTGTAAGATGTTTCAGCATTATTGAAGACTCGGCAGACTTCGAAGAAGTCAGTCGGCAAAATGAGGATAAAGGCAAAATATAATATCGGAGATATATACTACTGAGCCTGCTTAGTTGCATATATGTAATACATTGTGGATTTGTTGATTCGCCGGGCTGTTTTGTTTCTATTTAAAGACATATTCAATATGAATACCCAATGAGCTAGGGATTTGATTTTCTAGAGAGAACATTTAAACGGGAACTGGGGTTGGGCACGAGCTGGGGATGGAATAGCTAAACGAACCGATTGTCAGAAGGAGACTATGATGAATTGCATTGTGCAATGTGAGATTGATTGAGAGTTGTTGTTAAAGCTAAGTGCTAAGTACTAGGAAAAGAAAACTTGACACCGATATAACCTCTTATAACCTCTTATCTATACCTTCGAGTATTGATGCCTGGTGCTGCCATAGTTTCAGCCCAAGAGGTCTTCTTCGTTGCTAATGAAGATAGAAGATATCTTGCAATTAAATAAATCACCGATGGATAAATCTAGATGGATAAATCTAGATGGATTCTAGAGCATCCTCAACATGCATAGCCTCTCCAATTTCTTTTTGCCTCGTCTCATGATTGACCGTTCTCTCCTCATCCTGAAATTTGCCTTCTCCCATTCTCCAAGCTAGCTTAACACCCTTGAATGCATCTTCAACTTCCTCGAGTGTCCTGCCTGATGTCTCAGGAAAAACGAAGAAAACGTGAAGGGTCATGGCGAAAGCGAACACGGCAAAAATAATATAGGTCTTCCAAGTGATGTTGACAAAAGCGGGCGGAATGAAATAGCTTAGAGCAAAATTGAATGCCCAATTGCTGGCTGTAGACAATGCAGCGGCCTTGCCTCGCAGACGCAGGGGGAACAGTTCTGATGGATACACCCACTCAATAGGACCCCATGTTGGGGCGAAAGAGGCCACAATGAGATAGGAGCAAGCAATAACAACCTTGGCAGGAGCTCCTGTGATCAACCAACTCTGTTCAGGAATATGGTCCAACCCCCCGGGGGAGCTGGAGCACCATAACCCCCCATTAGACCTGCACATACAGTCCACCAGATAGTAAGAGAGATACTACCGCCTATGAGTAATGGGCGACGCCCGATCCGATCCATGAAGAGAAGCGCTGGTACTGTCATAACCACGTTGATCACAGAGCTGATGGATGAAGCCACCAGATTGGAACTGCCACTGAGACCTGCCATTCCAAAGATATATGTAATGTCTAAATAGGTCAGTGATACTTCCACCATGTTGGACAATATGGAGCTTACAATACAGAATGGCGTTAATTCCAGTTAGTTGACACCATATCTGGACGAAGACGACGATGTGCGTCCGCCAAATCATATGCGGCCGGAACAGATCAAAGTAAGTGTCATCGGTCATGTCGCGTTCTAATTCACAGGCATCTTTGAGCTGCTGGATCTCCATCTGGATAAACTCGTCATCTAGGTTGTTGTTCGCATGAATAGAAGAAATAACGTGACAGCATTCCTCCCAGCGATCTTTCTTTGCCAACCATCGTGGAGACTCGGGGGTAAACAATAAACCAAAGAAGAGGAAAATTGCGGGAATCATCTGAAGACCCCAAGGCAGCCGAAAAGCCACGGGGCCTGTGAGGAAGGACGAGCCGTAGGATATATAAAACATGATCAAAACACCCCATGTGATGGCCCATTGCTGAGCACCCATTACTAAACCCCTAAGATGAGGAGGCGCGAGCTCCCCAACATACACAGGAACTTGCGCTGAGCATATTCCAACACAAAGGCCGTTGATGAATCGACCCACGATTAACATGGTGACATTCTGAGAGGCAGAACAGAGTGTACTTCCGATAATCCTGGTCGTCCATTATGTCAGCTGCTTCCAGATCACGTCGAGAGCCCTTGGTCTCATCGAGACATGACTGACCATATGACAGATCCCATTTGAATAGCAGATTTTCGGCCGAATATATCAGTAAGGAACCCCGAGATCAATGCCCCAATGAAAGAACCTCCAGACATAGAGGCTGTGATTCCACCTTGTAGCGTAGAACTTGGACCCGAACAGTGGGTGGCGTCATTGAATGGGGGACCATTAGGTCCCTGATTAAAATAGCATCTATATTGTTTGGTCGAAAGGCTGCATTGATTAGAAAATGCTCGTATTCTCCGAAGATTATAAACTCACATTGCAGACATCGAGGATAGGTCAAAGCCGAATAGCGAGCCCCCAATCACCGCGATAGCTGTGATAACATAAATGTTGGTAATCATCATTGTAGTGAAGGGCAAGGAGTGCAGTAGGGATGGAAATATTATTTACCCTAGGACGATATAAGTCTTCTATAACATAATTAATTCTCACTAGAACCTTATTTTCTACATTTCGCGCTAAGCCCGCCACCTCAATCTACCTTTAGCCATCTACTGCCTTTATACAGGGCACAAGGCACTTAGGTTCTTCGTGAATCAAGATCAAGTCTGAGAGAGCCGGTATGATTCTCTGGTCGACGAGCGGCCAAACAAGCCCTATGGAGTTATCTCCCAAGGAGAACCATATTCGCTTGTGATATATTTAATTATATAGTTCATGTTCAAAGTGAAGGATTGGTCGGGGCAATCTTTTACAGAACCCAATTTGAGCACCCACAGAAACCATCTACAGCTGTCTGAGGCACGGCATAGCTAATGTGACATCGGTAAGCTTTGCGGGGTGCCTTTAGCCATCTATACCCACCTCTGGAGAAAATGCCATTTATACCTAACACAAGCCACTGTCCGTTGATAGACGTTCTACTGACTCGAAAATATTGTACAGTTTGAGTTGACGGCAAAAGCTTGGTTACCGACAGCGAATGAGGACCTTGCTGGCTATAGACGGTTTAAGCCGGAACTGGCCCGCTATGTTTGAGGGATGATGGGCTCGCTCCGTATGCTTGCTTTATAGACGGGCGTAGAGCGTTTTCGCTCTAACTTATCCATCTTTAGCCGCCACCCTGATCTCGTCGCTCTTCCTCATTCCGTCCTCCCAGCCACATCCACGGATGGTTTCTCTGCATTTGAACGTGATTGGTTCATGTACTCACACTACGGCACTCATGCCTGATTCCGGTGTTACTGAAGCCCAGCAAGCTTTGTAGATTGCACTGTGTCCTCTTGTTGCCTAATATAGTCCATTGCGCCACTAGAATGATTTTTGTCAATAGGCATATGGTGATGGGAAATACTAGATGAGCGTGCGTGGTAGCCTGAGGCTCGAGACTCTACCAACATAAACAGCACAGTCGCGCATTCTGCTTTCAAAAAACGCTCCCAGTCATCCAGAAATAACAAAATAAAGCGGTGGGGCCGCACCCTTATCGAGACTACATTTTGCTTCCTTCGCATACCATCCGATAAATGCATCCAACTCAGAATCATTAGTGACCAAAGACGACTGCCCATGGTGCCACGAAAGGGCTATGCACTGGCCCAGTGTATTATTCTTATGTGGCCTCAGAATAAGGCCTGATTCATGGACAAGAAGGTTACCTTCCCCTTGGGCGACAACATGCATGCTCTCATTTAGAATGGGTTCTCACTGTGACTTAGGGGAGCTTGAAAGCATTGATTTGGTTGCAAGCAGCGATTGACGAAGGATGCAGGAGAAATGAACCGCTTTCCGGTAGTAGAAGACAACCGATAATAAAACACAAGATTGAGATCATCCTCGACCACTGCTTCCATGAGAAGAGATGACGAGGAGGTATCGGCCTTTAGAACGGATAAGTCGCGAGTCTTCGTGAACTGCTGGACTGGATAACTCAGGTCGACCCTTTCTGTGGAAGCTCTTTTGTCAAAAATCCAATTGTGTATTCTAGCGCGATATTCGATGCTGCCAGAGCCAAAACAGAGTTTTGAGTTTGCCGCCTAGTCCAAGGATAGGTCTGACAAGCTATTCAGATAGCAGTATACAGTGCCATTGGAATGGGCTGATGGGTAATCCACACTGAAAAAGATTCGACTCGGAGAACCGGTGAACAATGTCATGATACTGTTGAACAAAAAGCTTGGGCTGGATTGAAAGCCTCCCATGGTGAGATGTGAGAGAAGTGTGTCTGCTTTAAAGGCGATTCCATGATTGCGTCTCATATTGATATCTTGGTAAATAATCATAACACCGAGCTTTTTGGGTCGTATTTCTGAGTTGAACTCGCAGCGGCCAACAAGATAAGTCAATATTAACATGGTCGCCGCGACTGAAACCCAGCAGAACGTTCTGCCAGGGCGGTGTTCAGGATGTGAGAAGAGGCCTGCTACTGGTTTTTTGCACTCACGGCAATCACATAAGGCCCGGAGATTCTTCGCGGCGGTCTCATACTCACTCGCTATATCGGTCAAATTGCCTATGCTGTCTTGGGCCGGGTCACGTCTTGAGATATTATAGAAAGGACGTAGTTCCGCCAGCTTGTCGGTCACAGAGAGGATATATCCTGGAATGGATTGGAAGCGGCCTATCTCAGCCCGATGACTCGTATAGAGTAGAACTCCTACGCCATAGAGTCTCTGAAATGGCACCAGGTAGTCTTGATCTTTGGTAGTGTCGTGTGTTAAGTTCAACTGATCCAGCAATTGAGTGACATCCTGTCCGAAACAATCGTAGAATATGCTGTCCCAAGAAAGGTTGCCACCAAGGAAGGCGATGTGGGGAGTTTCTTCCATATCTTTCCCTGTGGCCGTTGAAAGTCTGCTTGATGAAATCATATCCGTCTCGGACAACGAATGATGTTGCAACATGATTGAGAGCTCGAGAAGTCTCACACTCATCCACCAGGTTAGCACACAATTGAGAATCCACAGTTCGCTCATCGTAATTCTTCATCAAGGGAGCTATATTTGAATTCACCTCTACTCTGAGTCCGAGGATAAAACTGGAATATACTGCAAGCCAACAGCATGTAGGGCCCCCTTGTACGGTGATTCGATCGATTTCTCCTTTGGTGATTTGACTCAAAACGAGGACAATTTCTGCCATGTCCTGGGGATCTCCCGGACGATACCAATCTTGGATCTTGGTATTGGAGTGACCCGCTAATCCTAAGAGGGTCTCAACATTCAGGCTGAATGTTATTCCTGGGAAAATGCAGGAGGATGTTTTGACAACAGCTTCCCACTGGGCAAGTGAGGATGATAGCTCTCTCGGCGCTCTAACCAATTTTGACATTTCATATAGTACAAGGGCGGAAGTCTGAATGGAGAATGTTTCACTCAAGGCAGCACACAGAGCGATTAGTGAAGCACCTTCAGAACTCTGAACAATGTCCCTTAGAACGTGTCTGACTCCCACCCCAAACCAAATTAAGTTACCAAAACTCGAGAACGCCTTCAGGTTATTGAGGCTTTCCGTAAGAACCTTCTCGCCATGGGCACCGATACACACTCTGCTACACATGGCTTGGCCAAATGCCATGGTACGAGGCTCGATGCCTGCTGAAGAAAGGCGCGAAAGCAAAGTGATTGACGCAGAGAACTGCATCCGCCCTAGAGCAGCCCAATCTAGCGACCCTTGCTGAGCAAATGATAGCGACATTGCTGCAAAGACAACCGGGTATACTGAATCTCAAGGGAGCAGTTTTGTAAGCTTTTCCCGCGGGTTAGAAAGGTAACAGACGAAGAAAACAAGGCAAGAAATAGAGTCTAACTTGAATATTTGTTTTGCCGAAGCAAGCAGAATGAGGCAGTGGGATGAGGGGTAGAAATTTGTGGCCAAAGGCGCCCAAATAAGGAGTTGACCGCTGACCAGTTGGCAGATCTAACCCTTTTTCGGGTACGGATTTTCGATGTTTAAATGGCCTATGGCCTACCTTTCTATATATACATCCATCCCCTCACATATCTTAAATAAAAACGTCGGTTGATATATTTATACCATATTTATATATATCAAACTTGACGGATAATTGTTCCTCTAGTGTTCTAAACATAAAGCTAGAAAGGAAATTTCTAGAAAAATGACACTTAAAGGAATACCTAACAATATATCCTTCAAATACTCTTCAAAGACTGTTCAAAGACGACCAAAAAGAAAAATTAAAATATGAAGTGGCGCACTGTCGGTAATAGACTGTAGACTACAACATAGAGCATCGATTAGAGAAGGTTGGGCGGCTCCACAGGAAATGGGTTAACCAATCAGATGCCCCGTTACATTATGGCCCATAGCTAACCCTAACTCGGCATTCATCCTGGCTTGCCAAGCATCTTGAATTCCTACGGAATCAAGATTAGCGTCTGCGATACAGTTAGATTCCATTACAAATTGAAATTAGATAAGGACTTTGATTTACCGAAAGGGGTGGAGATGAATTTTGTAAATATGCCCCTCTATTCTGAGTATAAAGAGATCGAATAGCTTTACAATTCACTTCTACATAGTACGATTTTATAGAACAGCCTAGTGATAGCTAAAGCGGAAGTGTTTACAACACGATGGAAGCGTATAATTAGAAACGATAATGTGAAAGCTATATTTCAAAGAACATATCGGAAGTTCGGGTTCTGTCGACTGGTTAGTAAAGAGATCGCAGAAAGGAATAGATTATATGCAGTCACTAACCTCAAAATCGGTTAGATCTGCCCCAGCACTCTCCTCACTGGATGCTTCGGTCTGGCCAATAGCAGCAGCCGCGGCATCTCGCTGCTTATTTCTGCGAGCCAGCATAAAACGCAGCAAAACAGCCAAAGCTGCTTGCGCAGACGAACATGCCAGGATGAGCTTGACTCCAGTCTGGTAAATGGGCGCTTCTTCTGCCAAAAACGCGTGAGGTCCAATGATATTGCCTGCACAGTACGCCAAAAACACCAAGGCGACACTGGTTGTACGCTTTGTATAACCACCTAGGTTCGTCGCCGGCATCTGCAAGGCCAGTACCAGAGAGCAGACATAGGCGCCGATGATATAATAGCCAAACAACACACCGACCTTGTGCGTCTCATGGTCCAACTTCCATAGGAGGCAGGCGCCGATGATAGTCGGAATCAAATAAACGAACATGACGACAGTTCGGAAGTTTTTGACGCGAGATGCGAGATAGGTTCCTCCTAGGACATAAAAGATCTGAAATCCTCCAAAGGGAATACCCAAAGCAACAGCAGTCGCCGAGTTATCAGTCAACCCCTTGATAATTAGTTTGCCGAAGCCCGCGATCCCGCCATTTACAACCTCATTCAGAAGAGTGAACAAGAACAAGATCCAGACTTGTGGATCTATTAACGCTTCGCGGATCTGATACCATTTGATTTGGTGATTGATGATACCGGTCTGACCGAGTCGACCGCGGCCAATGAGAAGGGCCTTTTCGTCCAGAGTGAAACGCTTCGATGAGACGACATCATCCGGAAGGAAGAGAAGCATCACAACTCCCCAGACGAGGGTAATGCCGCCTAGGATGAGATAGATGGCCCTCCATACGGCAATGGTGTCGATTTGTCCAATTCCATATGTGAGAATGCCACCCACCATAGCCCCGAGTCCGTTACAGCTGTAGAAGACACCAGCACGGAAAGGTTGCTGAGCACGTGTGTACCACATTCCGATCATCATCATAAAACAAGGGGTGATAGGGGCTTCGAAGACTCCGAGAAGGAAACGGCAGATAGCCATTCCGGTGAAGGAGGTGGAGGCGGCAGTAATCATGAGCATCGCTCCCCAGGCAATAATATTCCCGGAAACGACTTTCGCAAGCTTTGTTTTCTGAGCGAGGATACTCCATGGGTATTCGGCGACGAGGTATGCGAAATAGAAGATACTGGCGAGCCAGCTGTATTGGTCGCTTGACATATGGGTTGACGGGAGAAGGTCAAACACGGCAGAGTAGGCGAGAGCTGATTTGTCGATATACTGGAGCATATATGTCCCGGAAAGTAAAGGCAACAAGACCAGATCTACTTTGCGGACCAATGCATTGTTGCGTGGCTCGTCATCCAGGAGTGTCTGGATGGCCTCCTGATTGAATCCATGTTGGCGGAGGAAGATCTCTCCTTCATCGAGGTCCGTTATAATGCCAATTTGCACATCTTTCTCGTTGATTGTATCGTCCGCGGTTACTTTCTTGTCGATCTCCATGTTCGCAATTCAATGAGTAGTTGCAAAGAAAAACACAGGGATTCGTCCCATATATAAAGTTAACATACCCCTCAATGCCTTTTAAGCCGGCCATTTTCCCGTTATCTCAAGAGTTTACCGACGCCAAGTTGATCCACCAAGATAGTCCCCCATAGTTCCCCCGCACGGTATAACTTCGGCGCTATTTTTGAAGACCGGAAAGATAGCGCAGAGATAGCGATCCCCCACGGTGCTATATCTTACTCCCGATCCCCAACTCTTGTTGCTCTTATCGCTCTTGACTTCTGACTTCCCATTGAACCTTGATAGAAAATGACTGCTGATACCAAGCCCCCTTCCGTCACCCTGGTGCAAGGCCATGTGGTGGGGACTCAGCTCAAAGACTCTTTTCCACAATCAGTCGACGCCTTTTTGGGGGTCCCGTATGCCCTTCCTCCTGTCGGAGATCGACGCTTCAGGCCAGCATCCAAAGTTTTGAGCTCATCAGATACCATTGATGCGTCCAAATATGGCCCCGCAGCTCCTGGAAAGGCACTTCTTTCTGGAGGACCGAAGCTCGTGCAGAGTGAAGACTGCTTAACGGCGAACATCTTTCGACCGGCTGGTAGCAATGAGACAGATAAGCTCCCTGTTGCGGTCTATCTCCACGGTGGTGCTTTCAATCGTGGGTCAGCAGCTATGCACAATACTGCATCCATGGTGGCATGGTCAGAACGTCCTTTCGTTGCAGTGAGCTTCGGTTATCGAATTGGAGCTCTTGGATTCCTGCCTTCAACTCTGTCGCAGAAGGAGGGGGTGCTGAATCTCGGATTACGTGACCAGGTGCATTTGTTGGAGTGGGTCCAGGAGAACATCACCAACTTTGGCGGTGATCCTGCCAATGTCACTTTGTTTGGTCTTTCTGCGGGAGCACATTCAGTGAGCCTCCCAATTTCTGAATTTTCTTTCCAAATATTCCATTCTTAACAAGATCTAGATTGGTCACCATCTCCTTAACTACGACGAGCATAAATCCCCATTATTCCATCGTGTCATTATCGAGTCTGGAGCACCAACTTCCCGCGCTGTTCGTCCATATAATGCCAAGGTTCACGAGGACCAATTTGCAGACTTCCTCCAAGAAGTCGGTTGCCCAGCCGATATAGCCGAAGCCGAGATCTTCCCATTCCTACGTTCGCTCCCTAGTCTGACTGTTACAAATGCGCAAACAGCGGTTTTTGACAAGTACAACCCTTCCCTTCGGTGGGCATTCCAGCCCGTGATTGATGGAGACATTATTTCTCAGAAACCTCTCGAGGCATGGGAATCACAATTCTGGAATAAAGTACCCATCATGACCGGGTTTAACAGCAACGAGGGAACAATGTACGTCGACAAGAATATGTCGGATGCCTCCCAGTTCCGCGAATTCTGGCACAATCTTCTGCCCGAGCTTTCGTCGTCTGATCTCGACACAATCGAAAACCTCTACCCTGACCCCACCATTGATTCCACGTCACCTTATGTTGAAAGCAGACAGGGCGAGGGCCTCGGACCTCAATATAAACGTATTGAAGCTGCCTACGGACACTATGCGTATGTGGCACCAGTCCGCCAGACAGCACAATTTGCGTCATCCCAAGGTGCCACCGTTTACCTTTACCACTGGGCGCTACCGCGAACAGTCGTTGGTCGAGCAAACCATGCCGATAATATGTACTACGAGACCTATAACACTGCCATCACGGGTATTTCAGAGTCGCAGAAAGAGCTGTCTGGCACACTTCATGCCTACTTGACTAGTTTCATCACGACTGGTGATCCTAATGCTGTGTCTGGTCGATATGTCCGCCCAGAGTGGAAGCCCTTCCATCCGGCAGATGAAAAGATTATGATCTTTGGAGAGGGGAATGACGAACTGATCGGAGGCGATGTGGCCCCTCCTGCAAAATGTGTTGCGGATGATTGGGCAAGAAAAGAGACAGAATTTTGGTGGTCAAAGGTTCCGATCTCCCAGCTTGCTTGAGGAATATGAACAGAGACATTTCATATATAGAGCTCAACCACAAGTCCCAATTGAATGATTCTCTTCTGCTTGAGGGTTTCGTTTTTTTTGAAAACTACCTCCCACTCGCGGGATTGGTGGACTTAGCAAGGTTATGCGAGGAAGACGCTAAAAATATTCCGTGTCAGTGCAGATACGAGGTCGCCAAGAACAGCCTCAGAGTCTAAACGAAAGCTATGTCCCGTCGCGGGGCTGAATGCCATGAGTGTAATAAATTGGTCGCCCAGCTACCCTACATTACACTAATCTCCCAGCTCTATCAAACAGTATCTACAATGGACCCCCTTTCTGTAGCCGCTTCTTTGGCTGGTCTCATCACCATTTCAACCCAGATTGTCAATATTATCCACAACATAAAATTAAAAAACAACAAAGAGCTGGATTCGCTCTCCAGAGAGATCCACGCTGTGAGGGGAATCCTATCACAAATCCAACACATCGTTCAATTCCAGTCTACCAAACCCACGAAGAACTCAGAATGGCTTGACGCACTCAACGCTACTTTGGATGACTGCGGTGATACGTACCTACAGCTGCAGAAATCCTTGCAAGCACTGGTGTCAAGCTCAAGACTCGAGGCACTAAAGAAGAAAGTCAAATGGACGCTCAAAGAGAAGGATATCCAGGACTCATTGAGAAAGGTCGAGAGCTATAAGCTTTCTCTGGACTTGTTATTATCTGTTCAAACGAGGTATGTGATCTCAATCATCGATATGGGATTTACTAACAACACTCAAAAGTACTACAACGACCAATATTGAAGAGGTCCTGGTTCAACTTCAAAAGAAGTTACAACTCACATCACCCGCTACCGCCACGACTCGGACACCCTTGTCGTGGAGAAAGAAACTAGCCGGCTTTGGGGCAGATCATTCACCCTCGCAAACAAGCGACCTCGAAGACACACAGTCAGATTCAGAAAGGTCCATAGCCGATGTTTCATACATCATTTCAAGGTCAAATACGACTGACTGGACCGATCCCGGAATTTTCGGAATAAACCAGGACGAAGGCAAAGATGCCCCTGATCTCAACAGCCCAGGACTTGTTTGTATCTGTGAAATGTGAGACAGCCAAATCACTTCTATCCATTCATGTCTAACCTATCACTGTTCAGATCCGTCGGACAGAAAAAAATCAGCCTCTTCTGTAGCTGGGAGAGACACCCAGCGAACGAGATGTTCACTCCTCTTCGAGCACATATTTTGTTTAAAGGGCCCACACCTGGAGATTTATATTTCATGCAGCTGGAAGAATGTAAGTATTTGTCTGTTTATTATGTTCACTGCTGATGTTATGCAGCTTTGATGGTACAACCTATTGAGCGCTTTGTTGTCCCAGTAGGGAAATGCAGTCTTATTATTGCGCAATGCAACATCAAGGGTGGCGTGTGTCCCCTGAGCGACCTTGACAAACGTGATGATAATAAGGAGTTCAATCTCGCCCTCGAAGACTTTGCGTTGAAATCCAACATAAATTCTCAACAGGTGCTCGTGAACTTTGACAGTGTCCAAGGTAGGAAAAATGCTCAAACTTCACGGTCTGGGAAGGAACTAATCTTAATTAGATAGGCAGAAGTTCTTAAATCATCTCTATGGTGCCCGGTACCTCCAGCGCATGGACCTTGCATTTGCTATCTCCAACCAGTTCTATCATCATTCGCCTTATCAAAAAAGGTATACCTGAAATATTCCACCATGGTATAGATTTTTTGCTGACTCGGTTAGGATTCAAAATGTGCAGATAGGGTACGCGGATGGGACTGAAAAGTCATACATCTATCCATATCTATACCTTGATTATCCTATAGAGGGTGGATCTATCATGCTTGTGTGTGGAACTAAACCAAATAACGAGAAGGCGGTCGTATTCAGGGAAAACAGTAGGTGACTTTCAAAGATCAAGTGTAAGATACTTTCATCTCACACTCACAGTCCTTGAACTTGATCTCCAGATAGTGGGGTCTGAAGCGCTTGTGTTCACAAATCCGGATGGGAAGGCCATCCATACCATATCAGCAACCCTGGGCTCTCTAGATGGTGAGATAATCATGTGTTACTGCATATTGCCTTACTAACTGGATGATAGAGCTTGTTAGTTTGTATCACCGCCTGCAAGATATGACCAGAGAATGGAAATCCATCCAAGCCAAAGGAGTTGATAACTTCGAGACCAAAGCCGAATGGTAGGTCGGGCCTCCCCTAGACTTACTCTGGCGAATATTAATCCCCTTCAATGATTTAGGCTGGTTGAGAATCTTGAGTTTCTTAAGGATTCTCTAGCTACTACAACCTCCTTTAATAATGTTCTTGTTGCCGTTCAAGTGGATCGCTTCCTAAAGCGAATGAAGTTGGAAATATCGACACAACATTCACAGGAGAAATTGGCCTCTTGTCACGGTACGTTCATTACATGATTACTGATAGCCTCGCGTTTGTCGGGTAATTCTGACCTCTCATCTATCCAGTCTTGACTTCATCTGTTCTACTATACAAAGAGCACTTCAGAAAAGATTCATCAGATTTCTTTACTGATCCAGTCATGCAAACTGGTTTCTGGGACTTGAAAATCGGCACTACTACGGCTGACAATTTTCAAGTAGGACAGGTAAAGATCCACGGCGCCAATGCAAAGAAAATATGTGACGAGCTGGAAGATATCGTGGAAGATTGCAACATAGGTACCGAGGGTGCACAGAAGAAATTCTTAAAAGCGCTTTGTTAAGCAAGACAGTATGTTAGGGCAAAATCTGTTATTAGGCTCTATTTACCCTCAGAGTAGTGAATCATAGTTCTACTTTAAATTCGCATTATATAACGTTGTGATACAGGTCACTATCTTAGACCAGTCGATATAATTAGTTGTGATTGATGATGGCTTGAAACAAAATTGACACTATATACCCAACCAAGTAGTACATCAAAGTTAATACACAGAAAGCAGAAAAGCATTGTCATCATGGAAACTATTTGCGTATTACCACACCCGAATAGACGTAAAAAAACACTAACTTCTATAAGGGTGGTCTTTGGCTACCATCCTCAAAGTTTCGATATGCTTGAACCGTATATGTATGCTCCTCACATGTTCCATTATTTATAGGTAACATTCCCCGCGGATAATTCAGAAACCTATTATTGCTTCCCGGCATCAAGCTCCGATGGAGGTACTTGGCAGTCACCAACTGATTGCGAAAAGTACGGTTGGGTGTGAGGGTGGTTTGTAGAGGGAGGAGCCAAATCTTTTCTTTGGCGTTGCTTGTTTCGTCGACGTAAAAGGAACCACACAAGCGCAATCAAGAGTGCTGCGCCACCCACACCTCCAACAACACCGCCTGCAATAGCTCCCGTATTGGTTGACGAAGCTGGCTTCGCTTCACTAGTGCTTGTGGGTGTTGAAGATATGATAGTATCTGTAGATCTTGAAGATGCGCTCGTGGCTGTTGGAGATATGGTTATAAGAGTAGATGATGCCGAGCTAGGCGTGGGTGTAGGTGAATCTTATGAATCATATTATCAGCAAATAATCCACGCCGAACAAGGATGGCATGATGGTATGTACCCGATGCAGAAGAAATAGCCGGCAGCCGGCGAACATTCGAGGGTAGATCGACAACTCGTCCGCACACCCGACCCCTTTATACTTTTTATCCTTCGATGTGAAGGCGTATTTGCCTCGCGCACAGCAAAATCCTTCACGCGCTATATCAAAGGTATCAGACGAGTAGAGATCTGCTTTGCTATCGGCGCAGCTTTCACCAAGTGAACCACTGCACTCGGAATCAGGGCAGCAGATCGCATTATACTGCTGCTGTCCTGGGCAAAATGTATTTCCAGGACAGCAAGCATAAAATGGAGGGGTTGTTGGGCCACAGTCGCGTTCGGTGCTCAAACAAGAGCCATTCCTGCGCAGTGCGTAACCGACGAGGTCAGACATCACAGCAGTTCTGAATATAGATAAACAAACGGCCTCACTGTCGGAGTAAAGGAGCAAAATACGCACATGAATATCCTAGCCTGTAACAGAGGTCTAAGTAGAGACTCGGTAGATTGGACTCCCACCTGAACGAAATGAATCGGATGGGATGCCAGTACAGGGGAAAAGCACATATTTGTCTCAATTGTGTCCAATAAATATGATCAACAGGGGGTGTTAGATATGAACCAGCCTATGGACTCTGTTATGGTATTATTACACAGCACATGTGCGAACCCTACGAGTACTTCGTACGTCCATGCGTCGCTTGCACCATGTATTCATGAATCGTAGTGTAGGGCCCTCATAAATCGTCTATAGCCCACAATGAACCCACAAGTCTGGAAATTACTTACCCTCAAAAGTTACTTAGAAGCAATGGTATGGAGTACATAGCCCAAGGTATTGTTGGGATTGAACTTGAACGATACTCAGCCCTTATCTGCGCATAAATCACTGCCAAGAATTATCATGAGCGCGAAGAAACAGCGCTAAGCCATTTTCCCCTCAGCTGTATCAATTGACCTGAGCGGATCGCCGTTGGTGATCACAAATACGGATGATTAGCATGGGTCTCCCATGCCAAGCGGGATACGGCCTTGGCCGTAGTATAAACAAACCCTGTCGCCGTCGGCCCCGCTCCAATAATGTTGACTATCACAGTGGGCCCAATGCGTAGCTACATACAAGTATATATTGCGTTGGATAATACTAGACCTATACGCAAGACAAGAAATTACGAAGTATTCCCTCTCAGGCAGCTGAATCAGTCGCGCTGATCAGATGAAACCTATCATTGAAAACGACACGCTTGTTTCATCTCTTTTGTTTATTCGCAGCTGTCAATATGATGTATGTAGGTTTGGAATTCGTGGCAACATTATTTTACAGTAATATATACAGCTGCATACTAAGCGCGAAGTTGCGGTCAATGGTTCAAGTAGGCAGTCATCTCATCCATTGACATCGCGATATGATCCCCTACAAAATCGTCTGCGATAGGGCGCCACCATTTATGATTGATTGATCTCAATCCTTTCTCGTAATCAAACTGGCTTGCATCTTTCAGGTTCCACTCAGGCCCGAGGTTTTGCCAAGGCATGGGGCCGTCTACTCGATGAGCGTAGTTGAAAAGATTTTGTTCATGACGAACAAAGTCATCTTTATCCAGTATGTGATGCAAACTAACGTAGTAGCTGTAGAGATCTTTTGAAGGATGTAGAATAAAGAACCCATTATCCATGCGACTCTTCTGGTAAGATTCCTGACCGGACACAAGTTGCGTATTCAAGTTCATCCGAGAGTGTTGCGGCGCGGCGATCATATAGTTCTTTGGCATCTTTCCGGTAGGGTTGGTGACGGCACGCATGGTTGTCGCAGGATCTTCAAAAATGTCACACATAGGACTGAATATGACTGATTCCACATTCAGAAATACGATTTTGTCGTATTCTTTAAGCTTCCACAGGCTCAACTTTGCGAGAACGGTATCCCACCGTTGCGAGGAACCCCAGTCATATTCAAGACTCTCCACTGGGACGACGGTAGCTCCTTCTCTGTTCAAGATATCACGATGTTGTTGAGGTATATCAGGTGTGACCAAGATCAGAAATGGTACATTATCGATCCTAGTTCGCGTGCGTGGGTTGCGAAGTAGTTGGAAGGTGGGTAACCGCGCCCCCTGAAGGTAAGGCTCTTCTACATCGGGAAAATCCAAGTCATTCCCCGCCGTTAAAATGGTGGCAAAGGCATAGCGGGGTGGCTTGGAGTTCTGTGATGTCCCACCAAAGTTGAGGCCAGTAGAAGCCCAAAGAAAAAAGGCCAGGCAAGTGACGATTGCAGTCACTTTCCTCAGGCAAGGAGTAAATATCGAGCGTCTCTGCACCAGAACCATTGCTGATGAAAGGATCCACAAGGAAGCCGATCAGGAAAAGCAGTCAGTCTTTGAACAGATGTATGCTAAGAATGAGAAGTTAGAAGAGCCAGACCAGGGAACAAACAAAGAGCTCACGTGATATAGCTTCGAACAGTTCATAGGCAAGAAAGCCTGACAATACTTCAGCTTTCGAATTCGAGACAAGTTGGAAACGCTGTATTGTGATCGACTCTGTTACGATGGACGATTATTACAAGCGCTCGTGCCAGAATAGAGTAAAGAGACAAGTGGTACTGTGAGTTGGTGAATGACATGGTATTGTTACTGCTAGAATCATATTCCCATGGATTTTGCGATCCAAAATTAGGGGCCGCCCTGGTGTAGGGATCAGAGGCGCTTCTTTAGGGAACGCGACAAGGATTCAGACGTAGGGACCCGCTTCGGGTGGGAGACACATATATTGTACGAGTCTGGGAATTCAAATACATGAAAGACCAATAGACAACCCGATGACCCTGCTAGCATGGGAGGCAAGAATGAATCAAAAGTACCTATATTAATAATTTACTCGTTCTGCAAGTCGCCAGAAATAGTGCCTGTAGGCTTCAAGCTGAGCGCCTAATTCTCACCAAAAACAAACGCCAGATTCCTATTGAACCGTTAATTTGGTAATTTACTACCCGGAGACACCTCAACTCGGATAAAGTCATCCTTTATAAGGTCAGATTAGGAAGGAGTGCCGATCCCACTATGTACATAGTCTGGATGGAGTATGGTGATCAACAGGAGGATCCATGCCTTTCAAGATTAAAAATTACACGCCGAAGTGATCGAGCTGGAAAGTTGAACTGCCGATACGGGCCGTCAAAATCTAGTGGTAATTTTGTCGTTCAGCTGAATTGTATGGGTGTTTGTGTATTCCCTACCTATGTGTATAGATATAACCAAGGGATATCCCGTGGACCTCATATTAGACTATATAACGTGCTGCTCATGATGTCTACCTAGTATAGTTATCAAACGTCAGACCAAGATTGAATGAGAAGCAAAGAAACGAGTACTGTAATGAACCTTTCAAGCAGCCCAAAACAAAATTTAGCGTAGGCCAGGCCACTATAGAATAACAGAGGCTAGCCGGCCTGATCTAGAAACCCTTAAATTATTTATCTCCTATGATTTCATGTAAAATTCCCTCTCATCTCATATTTTCAATACCAGGGGATTTGTACTTCATCACTAGTTAGTAGGTGGGCTCACCTAGACTTCCGTAAAGCTCGAAAAGCCCGAAACCCGACCCTTTTATGGGTCGAGTCGGGTCGGGTTTCGGGCCTATTCCTAAAGCTCACAGCGGGCTTCGGGCTTTTAGTTTAGGCCTATAACTCGAAGGGGGGGGGGGCCGACGAGCCCCCCCCCCCCTTTCGAGCCGGGGTCCGGGTTAAGCCTAAAAATTTCGACCCCTAGCTCGTTAAGGGTCGGGTTTCGAGCCCGGACCTTAGGCCTAAAGTTGGGCTTTGCGGAAGTCTAAGTATGGCATATAGAATTAAGCGATTCACCGGCTTAAAAAAGAGAGGATATTTCATCTTTAAAGGGTTCAAGATTAATAGGAGGTCGACCACCTGGCATGTTGATTATTAAGGGAGGTAATGTACTATATGCGGGGTATAAAAAAGATGAGAAATTGAAACTAAGTATATAAATTGAAATTAGCTTCGAGAAGGCGGTGAAACGGCGGTGAAGCAATATCCAATGGGAGAGTTGTGCCTCGGGTGGCACACTTCGTCGCCCGTAGTAGTCTATGGGCGGACACCTATCGCCCAGTCCAAAGTGGGTCCGGTCCAAGTCCACCCATAGGCGGACTTAGACGCCATAAGGATGTCCATGGACGGGTTTTGGCGAGGTCTAGTCACCACACCGCACTACATGACTCCCTGCCCCTCCATGTCCAGTCCCCTCTACCCTCGGTCTCCTGTATATGCATCAGCGCGCTCCTTGCAACATCGTTTTGTTCAAAAATCTCCTCACTTTCAGACCTCATCTTCAGATTGATTGAACATGGCGCGAAAAAAGACTGCGTTGGCTGAGGTTGACCTCCCGAAGGCTATCTGGGCTGCAATCTACGATTGCTATTTAAAAAAGAAGTCAATCGACCGAGAGGCGTTTATGAAAAGATATACAGCAAAGAACCCCAAAAACGCAGACAAGATCAAAAAATTAGTAAACCGGTAAACATAACGCCGTAATTATTTGTCTGACCGCTAATGAGGTCCCAAGCTATGCTAATCAGCTCGAATCACAACCAAAGGGCGAGAAACCAGTCGCCGGCTTGACGCCAGCCCAAGGCTCAAAAGCCCCGACGCCGGTTTCGACCACTGCGAAGCAGTCTAGTCCCCAGGTTGATGCCCAACGCCCCTCATCATCAACTGTCTCTCAGAAGAAACCACCCACAGCGAAAGCTTCAGCCTCTGCCCAAAAAGTCCCTGAAAAAGTCCATCCGATCACAGGTCACCGCGCTCAGGCTAGCTCTAGCGAGAATTCAACCAATTTAAATGTAGCAGATCTACCCACCAACGACGTGGTTAATATCCGTTTACAAGGTAGGATTTCTTTTTGGTGTCTTCTTGAGAGCCTCCACTAATTATATCAGAGTTCAATGAACATCTCGCCGGAAAGATTGAGAGAGCTCCCGGTATAACCCCCTCCCTTCCCTCCCTAGAGGTACAACTGCAGTTCATGACCTCTAGCGATGATAAAATGGAAGGAACCAACAATAGCGTACTTGAGGAACATGCTGTTTTGGTCTCTCCTCTGTTCGAGAGGCCCAGTTACAGCCTACCTTCTCAATGTGCGCTCCTTGGAAAGATAGTCACAGCGGGAAACGAGATTTCAGACCCCAGAATCATGTTGAATACAAATATTCCATTCTCCGCTTTTGTCTGTGGCGTGCAAGGGAGTGGCAAGTCGCATACCACTGCTTGCATAATTGGTATGTCCCCTATTCTGATTTATCAGACTTCGTCTTTAATACCACTTTAGAGAACTGCTCAATGGATATTCCAGCACTAGGGACTCTCCAAAGTTCCATCACGACTCTTGTGCTACAGTATGATGAGTATACTTCGACAGCGAGTTCGCAACCCAACGAAGCGGCCTTCTTAGCCAGGGTGTTACCTCAATATGCCTACGCAAAGCCAGTTCCAATACGTGTTCTAGTTTCCCCGACGAACTTTCACAACCTCAAGAAGATGTATTCACAAATTCCCAATGTTGAGGTTCGGCCATTCAAGCTTCAGCCTGATCACCTCAATATCAGCATGATGCTTTCACTTATGTCTTTCTCCCAAAGTGGCGGGATGCCTCTATATATGGCACAAGTGACTCGGGTGCTTAGAGAAATGGCGATCAAGAGCGGCGGCCGTTTTGATTATTCTGAGTTTCGAGTCCGTCTGAAAGCTCTGGATCTAGACCGTTCGCAAACACCTTTTCTATCCCAAAGACTGGATCTATTGGACTCGTATCTTGACCTTGCCGGGAAAGGGACAGATGACTATTTCATTAAAGGCGGTGTCACCATTTTAGACCTATCGTGTCCTTTCGTCGACCAAAGCACTGCGTGCATTCTCTTCCGTATCGCTATTGACCTATTTCTCCACGCTCATCAATCCCGAGGGAAGATGATTGTCGCCGATGAGGCCCATAAAGTGAATCTATTTCATCACTAAACAGTGATTGTTACATGCTAACGTTGATAAATAGTATATGGCTGATGGCTCCACTTCAAACACACTTACCGAAACTTTCCTCACCATAATCCGACAGCAACGACATCTGGGAGTTCGCATTATCATTTCCACTCAAGAACCGACAATCTCACCTCGATTGATCGACCTTTGCTCATTGACGATTATCCACCGGTTTACTAGCCCCCAATGGTACGAGATAATTAATAGTCACGTTCCAATGAAGAGTGAAAGCACAAGGCAGGAGGGTGGGCTTGTTCCAGGTGATTTCCACCGGATTGCTAGTCTTGGGACCGGCGAAGCGATTGTGTTCGCTTCTTCTGCGCATGTCATAGGGCGGGACGATGTAGTCATCAATACTCCACACGAAACCTTCAAAATGAAGATTAGAAGCAGGGTTACATGGGATGGCGGAAAGAGTATTGTCTGCATTCGCTAGATTGGCCACAGTAGATCGAGTGACGAGCCTCTCATTTTCAGAACCAGGATGTCATCCAGTTGCTGAATATCATACTTTTTGATAGCCACAACCTCTATCTCGTCATGGAGTTCTCCGACATGGACCTGACGAAAGGATTTGAGGCACTGCCTTTCAGCGAAGGTGGCCGCAGCAGACCTCTACGGGAACTTCCGACACTAAGCGCGAGTTTATACGAAGCAATGATTGGAGGGTTTATGGCACAAGTGCTTGAGGGGATCTGCTGTCATCACAGTCATCAGATTCTTCGTCGTAGTTTAAAGCCACCGAATTCTCTAATTGACCGGAGGGTGACCTGAAATTGAGTGATCTCGAACTGATTCCGGCTTTCGGTATTCCACTGAGGTATGCTCGGGACCCTCTGCTAGGAAGATCTATATTTTTGTAAAAAGAAAAGTGCGAAGACAATAGCATATTGGCATGTCGTAGTGCGGTACTACGACGGTGTATAGTTATAGCGCTCAATGCTAAATGCCTGAATTTGATGCCCGCGTGCTCTACTTTGGCCTGACGCCTTATTTTAGACCGCTTTTAGGCCTTTTTATACAGTGTACTGTAACCAACTCGGCATGGAATAACTAGGCGCCGGTAGCCCATAAAAATGAAGCCTTTCATCTCTATACAAATGGCAGTATCTCTATATTTTTAGACGGTCGGCGGGTGTTGAAAATGAGAGACTCCTCGCTGTAAGTCTCGGTAACCTGAAGAGTTACACCTCTATGGTTATTTCTGATTCGTTCGGCCAGGAAGAACGAGTTTGCATTAGGGATCATTTGATCAGAAGATATTATTGTATCGCTAGAGCTTCAAAGTTTCGCACATGTAGATGATCTCCCATTTACCAATGATGTTCACGGGTTGCCCCCCGGAAAATAAACCGAAGCAGATGCCGAAGGACAACGTTTCCATCATCATCCCTGTCAAGATTATTAGAGAAGACCTTATTCGTTCGCTTGGTATATTCCCGGAGCTTTTCTAAGCTCGGAAACCTTTGCACTCGATTGTTTGTCCTTCCATTTCGAGCCCAGGCAATCAAATCAATGATATTGACGAACACACCTCGAATGGCCTAAACCCCTTAATTAGCCAATCATAATACTGACTTCCAATCTTCCAGTTGAAGCCCTGCATAAACACGCGATATTACGGACTCGAGATAATTACCTACCTTCACAGCTTGCCCACAGGTTACAGGCAAAGGCTCAATTCCGATAGCGCGACAAAGAGAATGCCAGGCACCAAGGTCATCCTCTGCCCCAAACCACATCTTTACCTCCAATTCTAGAGCAGACTGGTACTGTTTCCATGCTCTTTTATCCTCTGGATCATTATCTCCCCAGCGACGGAATCTTTTGAGTTGGGTATATGAGTCTGAGGGAGGTAATGCTTGATTGTACATGAAGCCTGTGAAGGATTGGAAGAACATATCCAGCGGCGTTCTGGGTGCTGCGATGTGTGCTCTTGAATACTGGATATGTTGCTCCAGGGCACTTTGACTGCCAAAGGCCTTGCTACAAGACTCACAGTCGTAGGTAGCTGCATGCGCTGGTGAGTCTCGGAGATGCTGATCCAAGGCGCTTTGACTGACGAAAGAGCTGCCACAAGGCTCACAGCCATATCTGATCTTATGCGCTGGCGAGTCTCGGAGATGCTGATCCAAGGCACTTTGACTGCCAAAGGCCTTGCCACAAGGCTCACAGTCATATCTGATCGTATGCGCTGGTGAGTCCCGGATATGCTGATTCCGAGCACTTTCACTGACGAAGGTCCGATTGCAGTGTAAGCATCGAAATGCCGAAGAATGTAGTGGAGTGTCTCGAATATGTTGTTGCAGAGCCTGTCGGTCACCAAAAGATCGACCACATGAGTCGCAGTGTTCCATAGCTAGTCGAATACGGATGGATTCCTACGTGAGGTTTAAAACAGATTTAAAAGTAGTGTGTGTGGCATTCAGCTTTTCGTGCAATAATGAGCTGGCAGACCCCGCATGTTATGTTATTAGCGGCATGGCTGCCCAAGGCCGACCTGCCCGTTTGTCTTCTGGAATCTTCTGGTAGCAGTTTAGTACTTTCTCTCATAACCTGTCATAATCCCTGGTATTTTTACCGACTTGATGATACTAAGCGCAAGGATGGAGTAAGCTGAAAGTTTACCGAACTTTTGATCGATCAAATCTGAAGAAAATAACTATTTGCCTAATACGCATTGGATGATTCTATAACTTTCAATAGTTCTCTGCATAATAAATCTTTCCACGTCGAGTGACAACCGCGGGCAACGGAGGGCCCCAAGCCCACCTGTAAGTTCTCGATTCTCGAGATTGGGTTTGGCGATGACGAGGATTGCGACGAGAATAACACTGGTCTTCCACAAGGGGCGGGGTACGATGTATAGGACAATTGGAATCGCGTGTCTCAGTATATTCTGGCATCCTAGCATCCTCTTCGAATCTAACGGCTTTTATGTTGCTTCCGCACCCGTCCTCGTGTGACTTACACATGGTAATACCAGCACAGGTACCTTGATCTGGTGGTGCAGCGTTATGGTGGACACGATCAAACGGGTCATTTGAGCCTTTTTCGTGGAAGTGCTTGACTGTTGGTGCGTGATCTTGTTGCTCGTTGGAGTGGATTTCTTGGGTATAGTAATGGCCAATGTGGTAGTTGTGCTCCTCGTTTTCATTCCACTTTGGAGGTCGAATTCGGGGTTGGTGGTGAATATATTGGGTTTCATATCGATTATGATAGCAGATCTTGTGGCGGTGGACACGGAGATTGAATTCGACGTTGTTCCTGTAATTCGTTCAGTAGCGAGGAAATATATATGAAATCATTTTTAAGTGAACTCTTACATTTTGAGGTTAGGATCCTGACCTCGAAAGTGAGGACAGAAATAACAATGAACAGTCTCTTTGGGTCTTGGGGCTTGTTGCAGGTTATATAGCTGGGGTTCGATGGTATCGCTCCTATTCTCGATGAGGTGGAGGTGATTGTCCCTTGAGTAACGCGTGAGTTGCTGGACGTGACACAGATGATGATGGTCATGGCCGTCAGTCTTTTGTCGCACTTCTGGTCTATGGTATTGTGGAGAGAGAATATCCCTCCTGGCTTTGCTCTGCTGATACATATGAGGATGATGTATGATGGATAAATAAAGAGACTGGCCTGCCCAAGGCCGAGAGATATATTCGGCCATAAAGGCGGGCTCCCAATTTGGATGTTCCTCCTGACTTCCAAGGCCACTGGTTTCCCTCACACAAGGCTTGAGTGACGAGGAAGTGCAAACAGCCCGTGAAATATTTTTAATCGTGACCAGGTGGGCACCCGCTTCATCTTGTGATTCTTCAACCCCTTGAATCCCCTACCAGTGACCGGTCTGAGCCGACCTTGCTTTTTGCTCTTCTTCTTGCTTTTCTTGCTTGATAAGTGGCCCTCTTTCAAATGTACGTTCTCGAATATTCTGAAGATTTTGGAGGTCCCGAAGATGACTTCGCATTCCAAAAGACCACCATAGTCTACGAAATGTCCGGCTCAATCTACAGAGCATCCTCTCGAAAGCGATATGCCTCAAAAGAGGAGATTCGATTCAGCGACATGTTCAGCACCAACAAAGTTCAAGGGGCTCTCATTTTTCCGGAGTTCTCGGACAAGTTCACAAAGGCAGAAAGGCCCTTGGATTGTTCGACCTGGTATCTGAAAAAGCCAAGCCTTTCGCCCTACAGCCCTCAATACCCAGCCCTGATCAGAGAAACCTGGATCGAAGAAGTGAAGATCTGCGAACTTCTAAAGAAAAACCCGCACCCTAATATCGCCCAATACCACGGCTGCGCCGTCGTCCACGATGGTTCAATCAGAGGCATCTATTTCACAAAGTACGATGATACCCTTATGGCTAAAGTAAGCCCTGCCAGGCGCAATAAGATAGAATTTTGCATACGAGAGACGCGGGGCTGACCGAGACGAGATCGACCGTTGGGTGGATGGAATTGGACCGGGCCTAAAACATCTCCATGGGCTGGGGATTGTGCACAATGACATCAACCCGTGTAACATCATGTTTCAAGGTGAAACCCCTGTCGTTATTGATTTTGACTCCGCTCGGCCTCATGGTCATGATTTGAGCCTGGTTAAACGCACGCATGGGTGGCATAATGAGAAGGCCAATGCGGCTTTGCCGATGAATGATGTGGCTGGACTATTGGAAATACAGTTCTGGCTCTTGGGGGAAGTTGATCAGTTTCAATTTTGAGGTCTGAAATTTGAAATTGTTTGTCGCAAAATGCAGTTTGACGGCTTTGCTTAGAGTCGTGGTCTGCCTTTCAGATTTGGGGGTGTAGAAGATCAACAAATGGCTGATATTCTCCAATGACTGGCAGATTACCCAGATTATGGCTATGCATCACCGTGTTTTCCACATGCCATTATCTCGGAAAGTCACATCTGAAACTGAATTCAGCATACGCGACGGTTGATACTAATACACATAAAACCATGCATCTTCAAACTGGCTCCTGCCATAGACCCCAGCAAGGCCGAGACCCAGGGAGGCGCTCTATCGCATTTTTTTTATCTTCGATTATTTAAATAGTTCAGGTTCTCGGTGCACAAAGCTTCAAATGACCTTTCAGGGCAGTCTTCGAAGATAGACCAAGGGCTTTCCAGCAAAGGATGTCCAGGTGTTAGGGTAAGAGGGGCCCGTTGCGATTTGCACTAATAAAACCTCCAGTGAAGATCATCCGGACTCAATCCACGGCCAAGGTTAATCCATCTCATGATCATGAAAGCGAGATTCTCTTTGCCGTATTCATGCAGCTCAAGCTCGTATTCGGTATTGCATTTTTCGCATGTCATCCGGAACATTGATTGTGTTTGCCTTGCACAATAAGCCTTGACAAATCCTTAATCGAAGCCAGTAGTTCACCTTTTCCTATGTGCGCGCAAATTCGGAAGATTTGATGAGGAGCTTGTGCATCCTCGTCAGACACTAGCAGACTGGCTCTTGAGCGCATCACTGACATTATGGATCCGTAAGCATAACACAGGCATTCCGAAGTCGCGACATATTTGTGCCTCCATAGAATGTAAAACAGTCGATTTAATATAGACAGTAACTTCGGTGAAAGATAGTGCAGATGCGTCAACACCGTATCGAGTACCGTACCTGTACTTCCGCATTGCAAGATGAAGATGAAGGAAGCTAAAGTTAATATGTGTGTAGTAGTTACTACTATACATACGCATAGCTAATTCAGGAATAAACTTCCAGTCTCTTGTTCGCGCACAAGGGAGTTGGGACCGCGACATTTGTTGAAAGGCCGGCACTGATAATCCAAAGCTCTTTGAGCCACAATCATAATTGTGGAGAACACAGCAGACATAACACATGAAGTATTTTGGATTATTGGATTCGAGCCGACTCAGGAAGGATAAACGACTTTTGTTCTCAAGTTTTTCGCGGTTTCTCCAACTCTCAAATGTTGCGAAAAGTCGATGGTTGCAAAGCGAAAGACAGTGGATATCATCGGGTGGGAGAAAATCTGCTATTGATAGTAGTAACTCAACAACGAGGCCGCTTAGAGTATTCGGTCTGGGAACGTCGAGATGGGGAGATATGAGATGGGGAGATATAATACGAACAGGTTCAAGATTAGGAACCTGGTCTCTTCCACGGGCACATGAGAAGAATAACGCACAGAAGTGCTGGAGACTCTCCATAATGGCAGCGAGAGTATTTAAGCCCAAAATTAGGGTGCTAGAAATATGAGACGTATCAAAAGCAACTGTTAAGTGATATTTTGAAAGTTGTAAGGGTAGGAATTGTAAGAGCTATATGAAAGTAAAGTGATGTGAGTTTCAACACAAAAGTGGAAGCGGATAGATATAGTCTTAAAGAGGCTTAACACTGTGAGCTTATTGAATTTAAGGTTGCCCTAACGGAAATCCATGCCTTGGCATCCGGTAGTGTTTTGGGTAATCCTGTTTAGGTCTTTTTGGTACATAGTTGCATGTCTTTAACCCTTCTCGTCGGTTTTAGAGCTTGGTGGCAGAAAAATGCTTAAATCTGAAGTCGACTTTTCTATTTAACGGTTTTGCTCGAGATATTGGGGATATCATATTAAAGATAATCAATATTGTCATATCACAATGTCTTTTTGGGTATCTCCTTGGATGTCTATTTTTGGATTACCCCCAAGATTCTTGGTATTGTAGCCAAGAAACCGAAGATAATTACATCCAAACTGTAGTATACCATGAAATGCACAATTTCTACAAGACGCCTTTGTCAGATATAATATGTTAGATTTCAATAACGGGTGGTGCAGCTACTTTAGACACAGGTTTGCTGCCTTGATCCAATTAACGTTTTCATTCAACGTTCAAAATATTACCAGAGGATGTGGAAAGCTGCTTGCTGTATGTCATCGAAGGTGTAAAGCGCTGTACCCATTCTTCCCGAATAGTGAGGAATGCATCGCAGACTGCTTTAACGGCGTCTTCGCGAGAGTCTCCACAACTCTCGATATAAACTGTATTAACCTGTCAGTGACTGATTCGCTTGAAAGAGAGCGCGAAAACGTACACTTGACCTTGGGCTCTGTCCCAGAACCTCGGAATGTGAAGCGGACACCACCATCCAACCACAGCGTAAGCATCTGGCTTGTTGGATCTTCAGGTAGGTCTGGCTTGTTATCAGGGGTGCTGGAGTCATAGCCTTCGGTCAAATCTCTCCATCGCAAAATCTTGAAGCGACCAAACTGCATATTCGCGAGGCCTGAGCTGCCTCGAATACCCTGGAACAATGTTGAGGTAAGCTGCGGATTGGGCGATCGGAAGTAGTTATTCAAGGTCTCGTGGTGGCCGAATTCACCGAACAGTTGCTGCAGCTTAGCATATGCCGTCAATCCCTGGGCTCTCCATTTCGCCTCCGCTGCAAGAAAGACTGCAGCTGCCGTGATACCATCTTTATCATAGCACACAGATGGGAACATGTATCCCAGTGCCTCTTCGTATGCAAAAGGAATTGTCTTTCCCTTTTTCTCTAGGTCCCGGGCAACATTAGCCATCCACTTGAACCCAGTTAAAGTCTCCTCGAAGTGTATTCCCTTTGCAGCTGCCATCTTTCCGAGCATCCCACTTGACACCGTTGTAGTCAACACCGCGACGTGGGACCAATCTTTGCTGGCATCGTAGGAATCCAATAGATGGGATGCTAAAAGGACACCAACGTGGTTTCCAGTCAAAGTATGCCATTTCCCACTGGGAAGCACATGAGTCAAGGTCAATCCACGGCAGTCGGAACGTAAGACTTACTCCACTTTCTCAGCTACGGCAAAGCGGTCCGCATCGGGGTCATTTGCGATGATCAAGGTCTTTCCTTCTTGGTCGGCAGTCTCGATAGCAAGATCCAAAGCACCAGCCTCTTCCGGGTTGGGGAACTTCACAGTGGGGAAGTCAGGATCGGGCTTTTCCTGGGCAGCAACGGATACAAAGTTGTTGATTCCGAGTGAGTGGCAAAGAGTTGGGAGAACCAGACCTCCCACGCCGTGTAGAGGTGTATAAACGAATGGTCTCGGGGGTTGCCAATCCGTCACCGTAGTTCTCTAGGATAGGCTCGTTAGATTGATTACCTTAAAGAATACACCACAACATACCATGAACTCTGCGACTTGGCTGCTGTAGTGGGGCAGCAATTTCTGGTAAGAGTCCGCACGCAGGAATTCGCCTGGTTGTAATTCCGCCCATGCTGTCGGCCATGGCTCAAGGTTTTCTTGAATTGACTGTGCTATTTCTCCGTCCTCGGGTCGGTTGATCTGGGCACCATTGCTCGAGTAGCTATGAGGCAGATCTTGTTAGCTGTCTCCCTAATATAGATCCAGAATTCTTACACTTTGTAGCCTATGAAAAAATTAGCAATCACTTTACAACATCAGAAATGAGTGACATACCATTGTCCTGGGGTGGGTTCTTCGAGCCGATTAGCAATACATCTTTAAAAAGTGGGTTTAGGGAAGACCTACGTGGCTCGCCGTCACCATAATACCTGCAGCAGCACCAAAATGAATTACACCAAATGCCACCATCGGTGTTGGTCCTTCCTCATTGAAGAACCAAACGGGAATACGTTGCGCGATGAAAGCGTTGGCAGCGAGTGCGGCGAATTTCGCAGAATTGTGACGCGCATCATGTCCAATGACCACACCATTCGAAGCAATCTCAGGACGTTTGTCTCGAATGAACTTGGCTAGCCCCTGTGAGGCTTGTATGACTATCAAAGAGTTCATGCAGGAGAACCCTGCCGCCATGCAGCCTCGCAGACCAGCTGTTCCAAACTCAATACCTATACACAGATTAGATACGCACTGACAAAGGCATTAAAAAGTACGTACGATTCCGAAGGCGCTTTTCCAGCTCCTCGGTGGCATTGGAGTCCCGCAATTGTTCTATTTCTGCGCGAGTTGTAGGATCCTATATATCTGAATCAGCGGGGTCATGCCACGAGACGAAACATGAATCATACCTGGTCCCAATGGAGCCATTGCTCAGTCAAGGAGGAAAGTGATTGCTATAGAACAGTTAGACCAATACAATTAAAGACCATAGATTTCAGACTCACTGCCATCGAGTTAAATGTATGTGCCTGAAGGTACCTGAGTAGGTGTGAAAGGACAATCACATGGGCTGATCGGTCCCGCTGTTATCCACTTCCGCCCCATAGCCCTTGCAACGTTTCTGCCTTTTAACCTCATTCCTTTTGTTTATTTGCATTGTGCATCTTCCAGCATATTGTGAGTTAGTTCGACTAGCAATGTCATTGTAAACACGTCATTGTTGTTATCGGATCTTACACACACCCTTTCACCGCACCTCATACCATGGAGAAGACCGCGTTCCGACCGTCCCGGAAGGATACCCTCTTGACTCGACGATATATTGAAGGCCTCATTGCGGAGGGCAAACATGTCATAATCTACCAGGATCGTGTCCTAAAGGTAGACGCATTTATTAAATACCACCCCGGAGGAGAGAAGCCAATCAAGCACATGGTGGGAAGGGATGCGACAGATGAGATCAACGCGTATGTTCTGGAAGGGCAAACATCACAACCTCTGATCAGTCTAATTGAACCCCATCTCATACAGTCTACACTCCGAAGATGCCCGCCAGCGCATGCGCTCGTACCAGATCGGACGAATTGAAGGAACATGGATCAACTTCCTACCCCCAATCCAGGGCGGCAAGTTCCGTGCCTACACCGAAGACACATGCTTGAGTGATGAGGATTCCACAACTCAAGAAAGCTCTGGTAGCTCCAGTCAAGAAGGCTCAATTCCTCCCTCGCCGATATTCGATGCCGTCGACTCGAAATCTACAGTTCGTCAACGGAAATCGACCGGAACCACTTTGACCGACCAAACCACAGCCAAGCCTGCCTTCTTGGATGCGAGAACACGGGAGGAAATTATCTTCGACACTGCCAAGTATCCTTCCTTGGATACCGCAAGTCAGGAAGAGATCAAACGAAAATATCGCGCACTGCACGAGCGTATCAAGGCCGAGGGACTTTACGACTGTAACTACTCTTGTTACTTCGTCGAATGCTGTCGATACACACTTTTTGCAGGTCTTTCATATATGTTCCTCCGCATGGGATGGTGGGCGACCTCGGCATTTTTCCTAGGCTGTTTCTGGCATCAGCTTGTTTTTACCGCCCATGATGCTGGTCATATGGGCATTACACACAATTTCCATGTGGATACTGTCATTGGAATGCTCATTGCAGACTATCTCGGAGGTTTAAGTCTTGGGTGGTGGAAACGAAGCCACAACGTCCACCACATCGTGACCAATGAGCCAGAACATGACCCGGATATCGAGCATATACCATTCTTCGCTGTCTCGCATCGCTTCCTCACGAGTCTCAGGAGTACCTATTACGATCGAATCATGACCTTCGACGCTCCAGCTCGGTTTTTACTCAAATTCCAAAATTACTCTTACTACCCTATTATGATGCTGGCTCGGTTCAATCTTTACGCCTTGAGCTGGGAGTATCTGCTAAAGGGCCAAGCTCCTAAAAGGGGTCCCGCTTGGTGGCATGTTTGGTTTGAGCTTGTCGGACAGGTCTTTTTCTGGGCCTGGTTTGGCTACGGCGTTATGTACAAGACGATCCCTGATGCAAGCAGCCGTATCATCTTCCTCCTCGTCTCACACATTGTCTCCTCCCCACTACATGTTCAAATCACATTATCCCACTTCGCTATGTCGACCGCCGACCTAGGTGTTGGTGAGTCCTTCGCGCAAAAGATGCTCCGTACTACTATGGACGTCGACTGCCCTACGTGGCTGGATTTCTTCCACGGTGGCTTGCAATTCCAGGCCATTCACCATCTCTACCCACGGATCCCGCGCCACAACCTGCGTCGTACGCAGAAGTTCGTTATAGAGTTCTGCCGCGATACTGGTATCCCATATGCCATTTTCACCTTCTACGATGGTAACAAGGAGGTTATCAGCCACCTTAGTGAAGTCGCGAAACAGGTCCGCCTCATGGAGGAGTGCCGCAAGTCCATTTCCGAGGGCGGAGTCTTCTCAGATCACCACTGATACGAATTGTCAGTTCCTTGCTGGCCAAGTACGACTTCCCTTGTGTAAACATGTTATCACGATTGCCTATACCGTATTTTGTATGCGCCGAGGTATATTAATGAATCAACTGAATAATTTCTGTTTCAATGCGTCGTGGCTCTTGTTGTACAAGCCGAACAGATTTTTATGTAAATTACATCCATGATCATAACCAGATAGAAACAAAGTGACAAATGCTCTTATGCCGCATTGCATCCATATGTAACCAACGTGATCCCTTTGTATGCTTAGCCAGGCAACCCACCGCCACGCGCCATCTTCTTCGCGCGTTGTTGTCGTCGGTTGTGATTTGCCTGACTACTCTTGTTCTCTTCCTTCCTCTGTCTCGACGCGGGAGTATCCGGCTGCCCCGAGCCGCCAGGTGGAGGACCACCACCACGGCCTCCACGGCCTCGACCGCCGCCGCCCCGCCCTCGTCCACCACGTCCGCCGCCTCCTCTGCCACCCCGCGAACCAGCAGGACCAGTGGACTCGCCCTCGTCAGAACCATCCCCATCTTCACGAGGCTGTGGCCTCCTGTAAGACGTAGGACGTAACTCAGGCTGGTTAAGTGACCCAGCACCAGTCGACCCGCCAGCGTCCATAGCCAGCCGGGCTTCAAGTTTAGCGAGACGCCTGGGATCACGCGTTAGCATGACAGCCCAGCCCTCAATAGCTTCGTCGGTCATTTCAGTCTCGCGCTTCAACGACGCGCGCGGCTGAGAGCGGCGGGTCGCTGAGTCGCGGGCAAAGAGTCCTGGATTGGACTTGTATGTTCGGAAAAGGACTGTTTCCATATCAGCAGCCCGGCGTTCGCGCTGAGCTGCTTCAGCTTCGCCGTCTGCGCCACCTGTGGCTCCGTCAATGGCGCCGCCTACATCGGCTGTGTCGTAGGTGTCATCACGCTCATCGTCGTCTGAGTCGAAGGTTGCTAGGGCGGATAGGATTGCTGCTTTGTTTGCGGCGTGTTTGCTGTGGTCTGAGAGGAGTGTGTCGGCTGTTTGGTCTGCGTCGGCACGGCCGAAGTGTAGTTTGCCTTTCTTTTCGCCGGAGCGGCTTAGTTCGGCGATGTCCACGTCTTCGTCGAAGATATTCTTGCGGGCAGGGAGTGGGGCGAATTTAGGTGATGGCATGGAGGGTGGTGTTGGCTGGGGTGCGAGATGGCTATGGTGAGGCTCTGCTGGGGCAGGCAGTTGCTCGGATCGATCTAGTGACTGGAGTTCCATAGGAAGTGAGTCATCGAGAAGGTGGGCGACAATAGTCTCGGGGTTGTCGTTGTAGAAGTCCAGTAGCCGTACAACAAAGGCTGAACCAAGATCGGGGAAGAGGTCTTGTACTTGAGTGACTAGTGACATCTTGTGTGCGTGAAGTTCTCCCGAGACAATCGGATCCGAGGAAACTGCTTTTCCCTTATCCACTTTCTTGCGCTTTTGATACCGATGGTGTAGCGACTTCGATTCCACCTGATACGTTCGCAAGCTGGCAAGGAGGTCTTGCCCCCGTTTCTGGGGGTGAATGCTCAGATACTTCTCTAGCCGAATAAGCAAGTCTGAGCTGCAGATGAGATCAGATAGTAGAGTTGGTTCCTTTCTCATTTTCGGTGCTCCGACTCGAGCAGTGGCTTTGAGGCTGAACAGCTGATCCAATAACGAAGACAAATTGACAGGCTCTTTCAGTAAGGACACGAGTCCGACGTAGATGTTAGCAACAAGAATCTTACGAAACTCCTCCCCGGCACCTTTTGACTGGTACGCTTCCGCTATCGTATCCAGGAAGTCGGAGCCCGCCATGAGCTCCTGGCCACATGCTGGCAGCACTGAAGCAAGGATGGTCAGACGGCGGATGTCAGAAATGACTTCGGGGTTTGAGGATGAGTTGGCCGAAGAGATGTTCTTGATAACAACAGCTTTTGCTCTCTCGATACTGGAAGTGATCTTGTCACGGTGCAGATCCCAGGCACTTGATAATGACGTCTTCAAGGCCGCGCTTGAAGGGTAACAGCAAGATAGATTGCCGATAAGTCTCCAGTCCAGAGTTCCGTCTGGTGGGTTGGAGAGATCCAGTATATATCTTCTTGTCGCCAGGAAGCAGAGCTTCCGAAGTTGTCGAGCTTTAGGTCCACTTTGTAGACTAGAATCTCCCGCAGCCGTGTATTGATAATAAGATCCCAGGAATGGGGGCATTGATACATCCTCGGGGGCTGCAACCTTAAACTGTTGATCCGACACATTCAGGCGGATCCCCAACAGGGCCATCCATGCATCTAGACAAGCTTCCCAGTCATTTGATGGGATTGTCCTCCGCACTGCGGGGGAGGGCACTGGAGCCAGCGGCGGGAACTCCGCCATTGGAACTAAGATGGTTGTGATTGGGAATATGGAAAGAATCTCAAAAGAGAAAGAAGCAAGAACAAAAGGAAAAACACGCAACCACCTGTCAGCTCATGATTCTCATCTCAAATGCCATCACTTGGCGGTCTCATGTCCTCTTTGAGTGATGACATAAGCAATTACTGAAAGGGGACCTAAAGGGGTTTAGCGTGTGATAACCGAAGCGCCAAGAATTTCGCACTGAACTTTTTGGATATGGAATTCTCGATCCACATCACTTCAACAGCCATCATCACTTTACCGAGCCTAGTAGTTCAGGTCTTGACGGCAATCGCCTTTTAAATTGTGCGCGCCCCCTTTTTTCTACTCTTGAAATCCCCGAATCGAATTACTAACCCGTTTCAGTCCATTCAAATTCAAGATGTCTTTCCAGAAGCCCGAGAAGGATTTCGGCGAGGGCCCTGTACGTTGTCCCTGATCCAATGGTCACTGTCGCACATCGCTGTTGCACCTCGCTGTCACTGTCGCCGTGTGCAATGTGTCATTGGACCTGGTCAATACAAGCTTAGTACTAATTACCTCTTGTCTGCTCTACAGAAGGTCCACAAGATCCGCATCACCCTCACCTCCCGCAAGGTTGCCTCCCTCGAGAAGGTCTGCCAGGAGCTGATCGACCGTGCTCGCTCCAAGTCCCTCCAGGTCAAGGGTCCCGTCCGTCTTCCCACCAAGACCCTCCAGATCTCCACCCGTAAGACCCCCAACGGTGAGGGTTCCAAGACCTGGGACAAGTTCGAGATGCGCATCCACAAGCGTCTCATCGAGTAAGTTTTTCCCAGCTATTGAGTTGTGGCACTATCGCCATGGCACCTAGCAGATGCAGTTGCTGACATTCTATCTTAGTCTCCTCGCCCCCACCGAGACCGTCAAGCAGATCATCATCAACATCGAGGCCGGTGTTGAGGTTGAGGTCACCATTGCCGCATAAATGCGCTAGGCTGGGCTTGCCGCAGGGAGGGATCGTGGATTGGCCAATTTGGAGTGCACAGCGCGACTTTGGAGTCAGTCCTGGCCCGCATGTCTTGTTACGCGCTGCGGGGGATCCCGTTCGGACCTGAAATATCTAAAATAAAAAATGGAAACATCTTGAAACACAAAGAGAATTGGTAGTGGTCTACAGACCGTAATTTGGTTCATATTAACAGTGAAAATAAAGCACTTGCACTTGCTACATTCATAAATTGAGTATTGTTGAGCTCCTAAGCGCCATTCCCCATGTTCTACCCGCCGGGAACATATTGCTTGTGATAGATAAAAAATAGATGCACGTCATCTCAACCCATGAGACGCGTAGTAAAATAACAAACAAAAAGCTGAAGACAAAGACAAATGAATGCTCTCAGCTTCGGGGGCTAAAAGTCGAAACTCAGCCACTCCTGCTTAGGAGGTACTGCAGGAATGTTGCCGTCCTTGAAGTAGCCATTTTGGAGGAAAAATTGATATGCCTCAGCGACCTCTGGTGTGTATTCCTCGGGCTTTGCATGTGCGTCTTTCAAGCTAGCTGGATCAGGTGGCCCGTTAGGGAAGTGAACTCGGACAAAGGTTTTGTTGTCTTGTGGGTGAAGGTAGCAGGGGTGGTCGTTGATATACTTGACGGGCCGGCCCTTCCACATCACTAGTTGTTTGGTGGATGGGTTATGTCGAGTTTCACCCTCCAGTTGTGGAAGTGGGTTGAGGTCTTGTGGATTGTCGATTTTGATGTATGCCCGCGGCCCGGCGTTGGCATTCTGCACCGGCACACCTTGGACTGCAGGCTGGCCGAAGGGAGACGGGGCAGGTTGTACAGCACTCTGGCCAAACCCACCGGCAGCAGGCTGGTTCTGAGATACTTGGGCGAAAGGAGAAGCGGTAGGTGGAGCACCGAATGGGGCGGCACCTGCCGGGGCTGAGGGCTGGCCGAATGGAGCGGCGCCTGCTGGGGCTGAGGGTTGGCCGAATGGAGCGGCGCCTGCCGGAACTGATGGCTGACCGAATGGGGCAGCGCCTGCCGTGGCTGATGGCTGGCCGAATGGGCTCGGGTTGACAGCTGGCTGGCCAAATGGCGACGGGGCAGGTTGCCCGGCGACCTGGCCAAACCCACCAGCGGCAGGCTGGTTCTGAGCCACTTGAGTGAAGGGAGAAGCGACAGACGGAGCGCCGAATGGGGCGGCACCTCCCGGAGCGATCGGCTTGCCGAAGGGGTTTGGATTAACTCCTGGCTGGGCTGGCTGGCCGAAAGGTGTTTTGTTAAAGGCTGACTGCCCTCCCAGTGTGGAGGTTTGACCGAAGGCGGAACCACCCAAGGCAGATGTCTGTCCAAAGGCCGTAGACTGGCCCATGCCAGCCGGCTGCGCTGGTGCTGAAGCCCTACCGAATCCACCTGACTGACCAAGTCCTGAAGACTGGCCAAAGGTCGAGGAAGGGGCGCCAAACGCTCCAGGCGCAGGACCGGTGTTTGGTGTCGGGGCGACATTTTGCTGGCCAAATGGAGAGGGTTGGCCAAATGGCGCTGGAGCTTGGTTCATACTAGCCTGAGTGTTCCCCTTGATGATGTCGATTCGATTGGGGTGTTCATTCCTGCCATCATTGACATATTTGACGGCACCATTCAGGTCATTCAGTGATATCTCCATCTGTTGCACGCACTCTTGCCATAGAGCCGAGGCTTCTTGGACTGCCTGGTTCAGGTTGCCGGCTGCTGCTAATTCATAATGGCGGAGGCGCATCTCTTCCATGCTCCGCTCGCGGTGAGCACCGCCGAACAGCTGGCGCGCAACATCTTTGTGGGGTGCATATGCGGAGAAGATCCATTCCGGGCGGCCCTGGCCTGCGGTCAAGTCTGACTTGATTTCGCTTGCCTTAACTGCCGGGCTGCCTTTTTATCAGTTCTGGATCAACTTAAGGCGCTGGGGAAGTGACTTACTCCGGTCCTTGTAGAGTCTGATTTTGACCTGTGGTAAACTTGCCGTTAGGCTTTGAAAGAAGGCTAGCCCGAAAGGGCAGATGATTCATAGGGTAGATCATAGTTTTGCAGGGAAATATCTCATGCACCTCGAGACTCGAAGTAGGATGGGTTGGAGTAGGATGGGTAGAAAGCAGGAGAAAGATATTGGGGGGCACAGGTGAACATAGAGATCGAACATTTAATCTCACAATACAATAGATTTCCGATTAATGGGCTCTCCAGATTGAGTAACGCTGAATCAAAACAATTCAATTGACGTACCTCCAAACCCTCCGGATAAAGCACCGAATCGATTCCCCGATGGGCCAGCAGTAGGTTTGCCAGGGTGCTCGAACTTGCAGCGATCTGAAAATACATTAGCGACTTGATTTCTTTATACTCGAAATATTCATACCTCCGAACTTGCAGCGACCTTGCTGAAAAAAGGTGCATACCACCATCTTTGCGCTGGTGTTTGCTCAACTGCCTTCAAAGCAACGTTGGAAGGCCTGGATCCCGACTTTTCTCAAGTGAATACGTGTCCTTCGATATATGATCAAGCAACTTGAGAGAAAAGCAAGAACAAGGTTGGTTGTCGCGAAGAGAGAAACTCCTGTGGTTGGGACTTTTCGGAATTGGTCCGTATCTTATCGGAACGTCTGCAAAGGGCAATCCCAGCACTCTTGTATAGCTAGCTTTGATATTTGAGAGTATGAAATTGAATTTTTATCGCTTTACCCTTTGCCTCGAGATGAGATTAAAGGGATCTACGAAATATAAGTTCATTTACCTAGTTCAGCCTACAAAGCGGATGCAAATTCGTATCGACAAAGCGTTATATATATTGGTACCGGAAGTTGACAGAATAACAGAATATTTTTAGAACGCCATTGAAAACCATTGAAAACCATTAAAACCATTAACTCTGATTGCTATTTCAATTTTTAGTAATCAATAAACATTGAATCCAGTACGGATCACTGGTTGGGTATATCATCTACGTGTGTCGTATGCTCCCCCGAAGGTCATCCCAATTCAACCCATCGACCTTTTTGCCACCCAAGGATTCGAGCTCCGGGGCCAGTTCCCCAGTTCGCCCAGTTGCAAGGCGTCGCATCATCACCGTATCCTTAGCTCCAGGAAGGGTACTGGCATTGCCCTGCAGCAGAACATGCTCAAACCACTGCTCCTCATCCTCGTCAAGCGGAAGACCGACGAGTTCCATCGCACGCCTGCTTCTGGTTTGGCCAGGGGTGGCCCTGTGAACAAACTCGACCAACTGCTCGAAAAAGCTCTGACGGAGAGTTTCATCGTACTTGCGCGTGAAGTAGAATGCCTCGGTAACGTTGGAGCGGGCGAGTGTATCGAAGAAAGCTTTGCGGATCGTTGCGCTTGCAAGAGGAGGAGCCGCGGTGAGGTAGTATGCGATTGCGAGGCTATCATCATGCTTGGGAAGCTTTGTGAGGGTAAGAACGTAGAGGATCTCATCCGGGAAAGTAGGAATGAGTGAGGGTTCAGCAAGGAATTCTACCGCTCGCTATTATATCATGTAATTGTCAGAAGATGGCCGTCTTAAAAGATCGTTCACAACTCACCCTAAAATCGAGTCGATCCAAATGCCAAAGACCTTCAATGAAGAAACGATACTTTTCTGGGAGGTGGCATTGTTGCGCAAACTGAGACGAAGCTTCTGGCGCAGCGCGACAATCCTTGAGGATGTAATAGATCAAGGATTGTTTGTGATGGATATCGAGTTCTGAAGAAACGATGTGGTTGAACAGTGTTCGGAGATCTGGATTGGACTTTGGCGGGTAGATCTTGGTCACTAACAGAGAAGTGATTGATTAGCATGAGGCTTCAAGAGCAGAGCTACAAATCACAATACCTCCTTGGATGCCGAGGAGTCCCAAGAGTCGATCGGCAAAGAGCTGGTCCAACGCCTGCCGGCTGGATAAAATCTGGTCAAGAACCTTGGGTTCATATGAATATTTCTTATTAAATGAGAAGACCTGGTCGAAACTCTCCCAAGGAGCCATGCTGGGCATAATGAGAGAAGTGATAAGTTATGTGAACAACCTTGAACTGATCTCCATTAAGCTCCGCGGAGAAGTAATTACCGTACGGTAAATTACAGCGGGACATGGCGGTGAAGGGCTTGTTGTGGCAGAACAGCGGCCACTTTACCCGTTTGGGCACGAGGTAAACAACCCACTTTCAAGCGACAAAACCTCCGACAAAACCTCTCGCCCCTCTCCATGCAGCAGACATCCCACTGATCTGCACAACATGGCTTCAGTTGTAAAGGGCAGGGCTTCACGCCGCTCTTCTGCCCGCCGGAGTTATGTCGTTGAAGATACATCTGAATCGGAGGACCCTGGAAATGTGACACCAACACCCGATGCGCACGATGACGATGACGAAGTTGAGGAGGATTACACCCCAGTTCCTAAGAAGGCAAAGAGGGTATCGAGAAAAAGGATGACACTAGACCCTGTGACACCTTCTACTGTGCGCCCTGCCAGCAAGACCCAAGAAGCGACAACAGATGATTCCGATGCGATGGACACCGATACCGACGCGATGGACACTGATGCGATGGACATCGATAAAGAAAATGACGAGAACGACGAGGGCGCTAGCATGGCGTCAATGGAGGCTGATCCAGATTCTCCTTCCGGGAAAGCGGCGTTGAAAAGAAAAAGTATGGCCCACCCCCGCAAGAGTCGCGGCTCAATCACACCCAAGCCGGCACAGGGCTCACTTCCAACTCCAGAGCCATCCCAATCGCCAGAGCCTCAAGAAAGAGCGCACCGAGCAAGCGTGCCACCTTTATCTGACATCACCGAATCCGCCGTGAATCAGTCACCGTCGAAACAATTGGAAGAGCCCAAATCTCAGATTTCCATCATAAACCCGAACTCGACAGTCTTGGAGAGGCCTATGGACATTGTGGCCAAGTCCAGAACGCAGGCCCCTCAAGCACCCGAGGAGCCTGCGGCGCCCAAGCCCCGAATGATTATTGAGAACCTTATTCTGACAAACTTCAAGAGTTACGCTGGCCAACAGATTGTTGGTCCGTTCCACGCTTCCTTTTCGTCTGTTGTTGGACCGAACGGCTCCGGAAAGTCCAACGTGATTGACTCGCTCCTGTTCGTGTTTGGCTTCCGCGCCAGCAAGATGCGACAGGGCAAAATCTCCGCGCTGATCCATAACTCTGCTCAGTACCCCAACCTTGCATTCTGCGAGGTCGAGGTTCATTTCTCAGAAGTCCTCGATTTACCCGACGGTGGCCAGGAAGTGGTCCCAGATTCCCAACTAATCGTTTCGCGACGAGCCTTCAAGAATAACACCAGCAAATACTATATGAACAAAAAGGAAACCAATTTCACCGCTGTCACAACCTTCCTCCGTGATCGTGGAATTGATCTCGACCACAAGCGCTTCCTGATCTTGCAGGGCGAGGTCGAGTCGATCGCTCAGATGAAGCCCAAAGCCTCCAACGACCACGACGAAGGCCTCTTGGAATACCTGGAAGATATCATTGGAACCTCCAAGTACAAGACCCCCATCGATGAGGCCGCAACCGAGCTCGAAGCTCTCAACGATGTATGCGTGGAGAAGAACAACCGTGTCCAGCATGTGGAGAAGGAAAAGACGGCCTTGGAGGATAAGAAAGACAAGGCCCTGGCTTACATCCGCGAGGAGAACGAATTGGCCCAGAAACAATCAGCGCTCTATCAGATCTACATTGATGAATGTGCTGATAATGTTCGTGTTACGGAAGAGGCCATTCTCCAAATGCAGGAGCTACTCAACATGGAACTCGAAAAACACGAGGGAAATGAATCCGGCATCAAAGAGCTCGAAAAGGCCTACAAAAAGGGTGTTCGTCACTATGAGTCAATTGAGAAAGAGACCCAAACCTTGCTCAAAGAGATGGCCAAGTACGACAAGGAGTCTGTCAAGTTTGAGGAGAAGAAGAAATTCTTGGTTGGCAAACAGAAGAAGCTAGAGAAAGCTATGCACACTAGCCGTCTTGCTGCTTCTGAATGCCAAGGCTTGGTGGAGAAGTTTACCTACGACATTGAGAAGAAGACTGCCGAAACCACTCAATTCGAGAAAGAGATGGTTACGGAAGAGAAGGAACTGAACTCAATTCGTGAGGGGCTAAAAGGCAAGACGCAAGGCCTATCCGATCAGATCGCCGAGAAGCAGAAATCACTGGAGCCATGGAATGCGAAAATCAACGAGAAACAGTCTGCAGTCGCAGTAGCTCAAAGTGAGCTCGATATCCTACGCGAGCGTGGTAATGCTGGCGCTGTTCTCCTTGAAGAGGCACAGGCCAAGATTGTTACAATTGAAGATAGTCTTCAAACCAAGCAAACCGATCTGGAAGAGCGACAAGCCCAGAAAGAGACATTGGAATATGAAGTGGAGAAGCTCAAACACGACTTGAAGAAATACGCCGGCCGTGAGCCCGAGGTTCGTTCACATGTCTCAAGTGCCCGTCAAAAAGCAGATGAGGCACGAGTCAGTCTTGCAAGCACACAAAACCGCGGAAGTGTCCTGACTGGGTTGATGCGTCTCAAGGAGTCTGGCCGTATCGATGGTTTCCATGGCCGACTTGGTAACCTGGGCACAATCGACGAGAAGTATGATGTCGCTATTTCTACAGCTTGTCCTGCTCTCGATAACATGGTTGTGGAAACCGTTGAAGTCGGCCAACAATGCATCGACTATTTGCGCAAGAACAACCTTGGTCGAGCGAACTTCATTCTTCTTGACCGCCTTCCTCGCCGTGACATGGCATCAATCTACTCACCCGAAAGCGTTCCTCGTCTCTTTGATCTTGTCAAGCCGAAGGACCCTAAGTTCGCCCCAGCTTTCTACAGCGTGATGCAAAATACGTTGGTTGCTAAGGACTTGGAGCAGGCAAACCGTATTGCCTATGGTGCTCGCCGGTGGCGAGTGGTGACAGAAGACGGCCAGTTGATTGATGTGTCAGGAACAATGAGCGGTGGTGGCACCCGTGTCGCCCGAGGCGGTATGTCATCAAAGCAAGTCGCAGACACCACAAAGGAGCAGGTGTCTCGCTTGGAATCAGATCTTGAGGATCTGGAAAGGAAATTTCAGGCTTTCCAGGAAAAGCAGCGACATGTGGAGGCTCAGATGAAGGAAAGATCAGAGGAAATTCCACGCGTGGAGACTAAGATCCAAAAGATTATGATCGAGATCGAGAGCACCAAGCGTAGTCTTGCTGATGCCCAGCGACGCGTAAAGGAGCTGGGCGCGCAGCATCAGCCATCTGATTCTGATGAAGATCAAATTGCTGCCCTCGAGAAACAGATTTCCAAAGCCCAAAAGGAGATCGCTAAACTCAATGACGAGAAGAGTGGCATCGAGGAAGAGATCCAGACTCTGCAGAGCACGATCATGGAGGTCGGTGGTGTTCGGCTTCGCGGCCAAAAGGCGAAGGTGGATGGCTTGAAAGAGCAGATCGGCATGCTTGCTGATGAGATTTCAAACGCGGAGGGGCAACAGTCCAAGAACGAAAAACTCATCAAGAAGCACTCCAAAGCCCGCGATGCTTCAGAGAAGGAGATTGCTCAGATCGCAGACGAGTTGGAGAAGCTAGAAGAAGATGTTGCCAACCAGACCAATGAATCTGCGGACTGGAGACAGAAGGCCGATGAAGCCCAGGAGGTAACTTATCCAAGATTCGCGAGTATATTGAAACTGCTGCTGACCATTCCTAGGCTTTGGAATCTAAAAAGGGCGAGCTTAAGGCCATGAAGGACGAGCTTGACGCAAAGGTGGCTGAGCTCAATGAGACGAGAGCTGCTGAGATCGAGATGCGCAATAAACTGGAAGAGAACCAGAAGGCCTTGGCTGAGAACCAAAAGCGCAGTCGTTACTGGGAGGAGAAGCTTTCAAAGCTGACTGTCCAGAACATCAGCGATATTGGTGAAGAGCAGGAGCCCACAGAGCTTCAGATGTACACCAAGGATGAGCTAGAGGCTATGAACAAGGATTCTCTCAAAGCGGTCATTGCTGCTTTGGAGGAGAAGGTTCAAAATGCCTCCATCGATCTGTCAGTCATCGAGGAATACCGCCGCCGAGCCGCCGAGCACGAATCACGCTCAGCAGATCTGACCACCGCGTTGACATCACGAGACGGTGCCAAGGCACGCCTGGACGGGCTTCGATCTTCTCGCTTGAATGGATTCATGGAAGGATTTGGCATTATCTCTTTGCGTCTCAAAGAAATGTACCAGATGATCACTATGGGCGGTAACGCCGAGTTGGAGCTCGTTGACTCGTTGGACCCCTTCTCGGAAGGCATTTTGTTCTCGGTCATGCCTCCTAAGAAGAGCTGGAAGAACATTGGTAACCTGTCTGGTGGAGAGAAGACTTTGTCCAGTTTGGCGCTGGTCTTCGCTCTTCACCACTACAAGCCTACTCCGCTCTATGTCATGGATGAGATTGATGCCGCCCTGGACTTCCGAAACGTGAGTTGGTCCTATACAATTCGTGATGGACACGTGTGCTAACTTTCTTTTCAAGGTTTCCATCGTCGCCTCATACATCAAGGAGCGAACGAAGAATGCCCAATTCATTGTCATTTCATTGAGAAATAATATGGTATGTGCCGTTGATTTTCGCTTCCAACTTGACATAGCTAACATATTTACTAGTTCGAGCTTGCTGCCCGACTTGTCGGTGTCTACAAGGTCAACCACATGACCAAGAGTGTGACGATCGAGAACCGGGATTATATCACGGGTCGATAATGATTGAAGATGGAATACCGCGCTGTCGTTTTTGACTTTCAACCTCTTGCCTGGACGGAATAGGGTTGTATGCTGCTGCTTTTGATGATATCATGGGTCGGGGAGTTTTGGACATTTTTCCTTTCACAATCATGCTCGTGCACTTTAAAAATGGGAACCTGAGTACATCTTTCCATAGATATTTCTCCTCATTGGTGTTATAGCACTGGATTGTTATTCACATAAACCAATCAATCTACATATATCTACCCCCGGTACATTCAATACAAGTCGCTGTGACGTAGGATGACATCGGACTAGCCAGAAACAGCATAACGTTGGCCGCATCGTCGACTGTACCCGGCCGTCCAAGAGGGATATCTGAGGTATCCCTAAACTTCCGCGCGTTGGCAGGGATACCAGTGACGATATTCTGCCCAGCAAGCATAACCTTTTCCTCTGTGGGCGGCTTGGTCAACCGCGTATCCATCCAGCCATAAGCGACAGCGTTACAACGGACATTGTATCTTCACCATGTTAGCGATATTAACATAGCCTAGAAGCGAAGCTATCTAGACATACCTAGCCCACTCCGCCGCGACTGTCTTGGTAAGTCCCAGAATCCCTGACTTTGCTGTCGAATAGTTAATCTGGCCCATTTGGCCGTGCAGCCCAGACGTTGAGGACACATTGATGACGGTCTTGGGCATATCGGCTGTCTGAGGATCCATCCAGTGAGCAGACAAGGCGCGGATCATTCGAAAAGGAACATAATTGTGGATTTTCATGATCATGTCCCATTTTTCGTCGCTCATCTTGTGAATTGCGCTGTCATAGCAGAACCCTGATATTGTTAGCATTGGATATGTGGTGGTATGGTGATTGTTGTGTACCAGCATTGTTGATTAGACAGTTGACCTTCCCGAATGCCTCCAACGTTGCCGCGACTGCTTTTGTCGGGAACGCTTCGTCCAGGGCATCTCCCACAACGCATACTGCCTCGTATCCTTCGAGTCGCAGCTCCTTGATGGCCTCATTGGCTTTCGTCTCATCTACATCCGCAAGCACGATTTTCGCTCCTTTGGACGCGAGAAGGGTTGCCGCTGCCCGCCCAATCCCTGTGGGAGGTCAGTGAGGCATGCAAAATATTTATCGAGTCCAGCACACCTTGCGCGCCGCCCGTAATTAAAACGACATGGCCATCAATCCTAAGCAATTTATCAGCTTTGTCTCCTTTTGAAAGACTAGAAAAATGCATATACCTGGAGGGGTCACGTGGGTGGTTATTATGAGCCAACTGATTGGAGATTTGTTGCAGTCGTTGAGCCATTCTGGTGATTCTTTTTCTTTTCTGTCGTCTTCAGAATTGAGAATTGGCTATCTGGTATAGTACTTTAGAGCGCCTTTTCTGTACCATGACTTTGTGACTCTCGACCCTGGTATCCAATTCCGCGGAATTATCGAGCACTTCGGAATTGAATTCGGAATAAACAGTCTAGAATACTATCACGGTTCATGAACTTAGATTTCTCGGCCCCTCGGAAATAAAGTGATCTCCGATATTGGGAGCAATGGAGAGGGATATGCGGCATGATACTCGCTTATCAGAGTCAATTGAAGACTTAAATACAACAGCCCGCTACAAATGACGCTTCTTTAATTTCCTTACCACTTTGTTAGAATCCAATCTGTACACAACATGACTTCATCCGCTCTAACTTCCAACATTCCCTTCGCCGATCCATCATGGCACAAGGATACAGCTCACCCATACTATAAGGATTCCCACCGAAAGCTGCAGCGCTTTATCCGAGAGTACGTCGACAGTGAGGTCACGCCCAATGCAGGCGAGTGGGAGGTACAAGGATATGTACCTGATGAGGCTTTTCAACGTCACGCCCAGCTGGGCTTCTTGGCCGCTGCAGTGTTCCCACTTCCGAAGGATTGCATTGAAGGGCTGACATTGCCTGCGGGAATTCCGGCGGATGGTATGTGTAAGAAGTACGAAGTCACTAAGCACTGCTGACAGTATCTAATAGAGTGGGACGAGTTTCATGATGCTATTGTAAGTTTTCCAAGAAGACCCTATATTTTCAATGTTGCAATGAAGCGCTAACCCAGAATGTAATCTGATAGCTCATCGACGAGATCGCCCGCTGCGGATACTTGGGCGTTGTCTGGGGAATCAATGGTGGAGCTACCACTGGCGGAGCACCAATTGCCTCTTATGGAACAGCAGAACAAAAAAGGAAGTACTTGGCACCGTTGTTGCGAGGACAGCAGAAGCACTGTCTCATGGTGACGGAGCCGGATGGTAAGCCAGACTGGAGATATTCAACTGTACGAGACGCTAATCATGTCCATTGCAGCTGGCTCTGATGTGGCTGGTCTTACCACGACGGCCGAAAAGTCCAAGGACGGCAAAAATTGGGTTATCAACGGAGAGAAGAAGTGGATCACCCAGGGCCAGTTGGCTACGCACGCTCTCTGTGCTGCTAGAACTGGCCCCCCGGGTGCTAAGGGAATCACAGTTTTCATCTTGGACATGAAGATGCCGGGAATCACTGGAAAGAAGATGTACAACTCCGGTGTCAGCAGCAGTGGCTCGACGTTCATCGACCTACAGGACGTTGTGGTTCCAGTCGAGAATATCCTCGGCAAGGAAAACCAAGGGTTTGAGATCATCATGTCGAGTATGTTCACGAGTTCCTAGCAAAGGCCGAGTTGGATGCTTGCTAACCCAGGAAAAAAAATTAGCATTCACCCACGAGCGTTTGTGGGTTGGCATTACCGCACTACGTCTTGGCCGTGTTGCTTTGGAAGACAGCTACCGACATGCCCTACGACGCGAGACCTTTGGCAAGAAGCTGTTCGAGAACCAGGCAGTTCGACTCAAGTTCAGCAAAATGGCGGGTCTTATTGAACCCGTTCATTGTTTGATGGAGGATATCGTGCACCGGTCGACACGTACTGCGCCTCTCGCGTTCTCGCCGTGGACTGCGCTGCTTAAATTCCAGGCTGCACAGAATCTTGAGAGCATTTCTCGCGAAGCACAACAGGTCTTTGGCGGATTGGGATACTCCAGGGGTGGTCTTGGTGGGAGGGTTGAGCAGATTAGTCGAGATGTGCGTGTGCTGGTTGTGTCAGGAGGAAGTGAGGAGATTCTCATGGACATGATTGCCAAACAACAGAAGAAACTGGCGAAGCTGTAGATTTAGATAGACGAGGTGGTAGCATGTCTTTACAAATCAATGTTTGACTAGTGTGACATATCCAGGATTTCATACTTCATATTTCATACTTCATATTATCTAGCTCCATTCTTTCAGGATTATAGGTTAAGTCCATAGAGTGGATCTTCAGTCCCCCAGTTCCCAAAATTCATCTGTGAGGGCTGCGCATAGAAACCCGTGAGGCTGATGTTGTGAACGTCATATACTGAGTCGAACGGAAATTCGAGGTCAAATGCGAAATCGACATCTGTGTTCCAGCCGGTTCCTGATGCATCTGTTGGACCATGACTCGGCAGCATTGCAACTGGGATATTTCGTGACTTTACTGCAAGCTGTTTGACAATATCTGACAGCCCACAGGTGTTCATAATGGCGGCCAGCGTGTTGCGACTTCGTTCCGCAACTGGATACCAGGGTATAATCGCGTCCAATGTCTCCATAATAGCAGACAGCCACTTTCTTTCTGCTTCTTTATCCTCGTCTGGTATCGCACTCACAATATCTGATATCAGAGCCACGGCAGCCGAGAGGCAGGTAGGGTTAATGGTGGAGAAGATTTTAGAAGCACCGTGGTGTTGCCTGTAGGTCAATAGTAATTTTGACACCCTGATTGCATTCGCCGTGCAGATTTGCTGTGAAATTTTGGTTGTCTGCCCTTCTAGGCATCGTCGCCTCGGCGCCGATTTGGGACCGCGGTTGAATATATATGTTGCAAATGGTCGGTTTAGAAGGATAGTTGTGGATAAAAATTGGAGGTGAAGAGCGCAGACGCTCGGTGATATTGAGCGAGTTGCATCCCACTGCAGCTCTGGGGCAAGATTTAAGAACCAGGCGAGCAGCTTTCGGCTCACTTGGGAGAGTCTTTTCACAGAGAGGTCTTCGTATATCTTCTCCGGGGGACCGTTGATCACAGATAGCACATCATTTAGTAGAGATGCTAGCTCGACCCACGTAGCCACGAGTTGGTTACTTGTACCCAAACTCTGCGCGGAGAGTCGGGTCATATTAAGGTCATCCAGACGAATGGCGGTCGGTCGACCTTGGAACGAGCTGTACAATCTTTAAAGCTGTTAGTACCACTAGGCAGGCATATCATGAGAGGAAACTTGCTTGTCAAGAACGTAACATCCGTAAAGTGTTGTCTGTCGCACTCGTTGATCAACCTCAGTGAGCAGCCCAGCAGCTACCAGGTTCTTGCAATCTTCATGCAAACCAAAATCAAAGACTAGACGGTACGCTATGCCTACAGAATAGTCAACAAGCCTTGTCCAGATACCTCTCAGCATTGGAATGACCAACCTGGGTAAAGCCAGCACGCTCTGTCACTTCCCAACCCCGCCAAATAGTAACCAAACAGACACAAGCCGGGGATTGTGGAAAGAGTGGGATTCTCCATTTCAAATAGTAGTTCAGCCTTTGCCCGGCGGGTATAGATGGTTGCCAGTGTTTCCCGGTGGACTAGATCATCATCGAAATTTAATGACCTGAGAAGCAGCGAATATAGCAGAAACCATGAGAAGTAATCTGACCGTTCCCCTAAAGAATATCCTTGTCGGAAAGTCTCTTCGTCGAGAATTGGTATTGCGGCATTCTGGTACTTGAAGAACAACCCAATCAGGTGAGTTTGAGTTTCGGGGCTATCGGCCATTGCCTCTCCGTCGATATCGATAGAGTTATCCCCTGGCGAAAATGGACCCCTTTGTCTCTGGGGTGACTTTGCTTTTGCTTGAGGAAGAACAGACACCATTCTCATGTATGAAGAGTAGCCGAAGTACCTTAATTGACCGTTGTCATCCACTGTGAGGGGAGAATTGTCTGTTTCTTCCAACGGGTCCTCAACGTCATTCGAAGGAGTTCCGTGAGCGGATGAGTGGCGAGAGCTGGACTGGGACAGCCTTCTGGCATGCCCTGCTGGTCGTAAACCCATTTCACTTTCCATGATATGGAGATTTAGAATAACTTCACTCTCCACTGACTCGGGAGATTGACACTCATGGAATGCGTCCGGGGTCGAGGGAACCGCATGATGGTTGGATTCAGCGGGCAGACTGAGAGAAGAATATCTGACAGACTTTAGGCGATCGCGAAGATTCATTATGCTAGAATCGTGTCTGCCCAGTCCATGAGAGTGTCTGTAATGGTTCTTGCTAATACGATCACCGCAAGGACTGGAACCATGGCTAGGAGTTGAGAGTTTCCGTCTGAGACAATTGGTAGTCGACATTCTTGAGATACAAATTCCCACGACATTGGTTATTAAGAATGAAATTCCGATCTGAGATGTACCGATTTGCGTTGCCGGGGGGGGAGCGGGGGATCATCATTGTCCTCCGCGTTATTTGACCAATGGGGCGGTGGCCTTAGGAATATCTTGAATTTCCCCCGGCTTTCTTCCGATATGTTTTCACTTTTGAACACACGCCATGAGCACTCGAGAATCGAATGCCCCAAAAAGGCCCCGGAGGGACAAATATATATCTCGCGCATGGTAAGGCTCTTTCCCTTTGCATTCTTTAACAGTGACCAACGGGCATCTGCAGCCAAGCGTGTCAGCGCCGGAAAAGCAAGGTAGGACCTAAATCAATAAACCAATCGAATTATTCTGATCTAGATTGCAGTGTTCTGGTCATGATCCTTGTCTCAGTTGTCAAGCCCGAGACCTCACATGCATTTACAACACCGAGAGACGGCGTCCAAGAAAGGCCACTTCGAGAGGACGGCGGATTCCGAGAACCATAACACTAGACGGAAGCAGGGTCTCTCTTAGCCCTGAATCCGGCTATATATCACTGTAATCACTATCCCTCTCCCGGGGTCAGCCAGTGGAAAAGAAGACATCTAATGATCAAGTAGGCCAACGAATCTGGAAACTGTTGATGTGCGAGAGACTGAACCGTTGTATCACCCACCGGTACATACGAATTCATCTCCCAGACCATGGGCTAGAACCAGTCTGTATAGATGTGTTGGAAGGGATTCCACTCCCATCTCTTTACGATCCCAGATCTCAGAAGCACGAGCTTTGTTCAACCCCAGAGAAGACGCCGGATCTGAAAAAGACAAGGAATTTTACAGTCGCAGGGAAACTCATTCTGTGGAGCTGCCTGATTTCTCCAAAATTGAAGCATCGCTACAAATTTACTTCGAGAATGTGGGCAAGCACTATCCCGCCATTCAACCGGAAAATACCAGGTCTCGCATACATGAGACTCTTGAGGACTTGGGATATCCCTCATCTGATTGCAGGATAGATGTTCACTATGTTGCCGCACCAACTGTTGCGTTGTTGTGCATTATCGTCGCTATTGCCGAAATGACCGAGAACAATGCCTCGTCTCCCGACACCCGAGCTACGCATTTCGCAAACCGTGCTCGTAGCTTGCTACAAACCTTTGAAAATCTTCCTCCAAACCTGGGAGCTCTTCGATGCCATACCCTGATCACCATATATCTTCTGCACATGGACTTTCTGGATCTTGCCCTACAATCTATTGCTGTCACTGTTCGACTAGCAATGGCCCTTCAACTTCATCGGCGATCGTCCTCGCCCAGAGAAGAAAGCGACTCTTACGACCAAAATCTGTGGTGGACAATCTACACCCTGGATCGTCACCTTGCGTGTCTTGGTGGGATACCTTATCTCATCAGAGACGAGGAAATTGACGAACCGAGACCAGCACAGGATGGACAATTCAAAAGGTTCTCTAGCGTGACATACCTCAATTGCCAAAACGAACTCGTTGAGCAAGATGGACCGGTGGAGGGAAGCCTTCATCAGGAAGCCATGTACTTGGAAGTTTTAGCGCATTTGGGGCGCGTTTGGGCTTGTATCTGGAACGACTTAGTCATTGATAGCTCGAAACCCGACTGTCGATGGCAAGCAGCAGAAATATTGGACGCCCAGCTTCGCATTCTTCAACAACAGCTCCCAGCTGAACTCGCCTGGAGAAGTCCGTCAAGCCTCGGGAGAGATTTACAAAATATTCAGGAAACTGCAATGCAGAGACAGCTTATTATTCTGATGGTGAGATATTCCTGTCTCCTCGGCCTGTATATCCTTCATATCCACAAGGCACTGACTTTGGTAATAACAATCAGCGTATCAATACCCTCCGACTATTCATTCGACGAAATCCCGCTTCGAACTGCACCTGTCTAGACAGGAAATCCCCGTATGATGATGGTGCAGCCATTTCAGCGCAAACTATCGGAGCCATAGTGAATTTCAGCTCACGCCATGAAGGCCTATTGCCAATCGGCCACTCTATCAGCACGACTCTCGTCCAGTGCATCCTATACCTAATAAACACCATCAGCGAGTCCTCCAATACGATCAGAACAGAATCAGCCTCCTCTTCTGTAGTGTCGGCTTACCAGGTGTTGGTCGATTTGTCAGAGCATTGTGTATCTGCAAGAAATGCAGTTGAGACACTTGATGAGGCATTCTTCCGCTACGGAGACAGCCCGGTGCGGCCTAAAACTACAACCCTACCACAGCCACAGCCACAGCGTGCAAGTAGTAGCCATCTCAATGGGCTGGAAGGCACCCGAGAATACGGACGGCGTCGGAAAGGAAAGAAAAGTGATACTCCGACTCCCAGCGAGGACGGTCCCCGCGGAAACGAGCTTTTCGATCGTCTACAAAAGAGTTACGAGAGCCTGGACAGCTTGCTACCGAGTTAAATACCTACTCTATAGATTCTACACATATCTAAGGCCAATTTCAAGGCAATAGAAAACAATATATTGACCCTTATGATCGACTGATTCTATAGTTTTGCCTGCGGAGGAGTAGACTCGGTATCATCCATGTCTTTGAGAAGCCTTCTCAGCAGCTTCCCAGTCGGGCTCTTGGGCAACGAATCGACAAAAACCACACCTCCCTTCAACTGCTTATAACCAGCCACCTGGCTCGCCACAAACTCGGCTATCGATCGCGCGGCCTCTTCCGCATCTCGCCCAGACTTTCCCAGCGGCGTTTCGGATACAATATACGCGCGTAGGAGATCGGTTGCGTTGCGCTCACTCCACACACCGTGTACGGCCGCCTCCTTGACACGTGGATGGCGGACGAGTATCTCCTCGAGCTCCAGGGGTGATACTTGGAATCTATTGTGAAAGAGTTAGCCTCGGTTCTCGTATGAATATGACAAAGAGATATTGGTGGCAGTACCCATTCGACTTAATAATGTCTTTTATACGGCCACTGACAAAGAGAAAGCCTTGCGCATCTAAGTATCCTATGTCACCTGTCTTGTACCAGCCACCATCAAGCATATGCTCTCTTGTGGCTTTGGGGTCTCCCAAATAACCCCTGGTGAGTGATTGTTAGACTCAGTCCCAGAGAAAGTTCAAGAGTCCTCACATCATGATATGCGGGCCACGCAAGGTGATCTCGCCCGGTGCACCATCACCCACATCATCGCCGGTGGAATCGATAAACCTCATCTCGGCGTTAGCAATGAGCTTCCCCGTCGCATTCAACGGCATCTCTTTGTCGCGAGTACCCGATTGAACGCATGCACCGGAGGCTTCAGTACACCCGTATGCTAGAGCCCAATTAGCATTTGCCGTCAGCCAATATGAATTTGCAGAGGACATACTCTGACATAGCTTCACTCTGGGGAATACTGTTCTCAAGTCGGCAGCAGTTTTCTCCTACAGGGCCGTCAGTTAATGCGTCAACATGGGTCAATACAGCAGAAGTCCTACACTCAAAGGAGCGGCTGAGCACGTAAAATACTCCAAAGCCGGATATGTGTATCGTCGAGTTACCGGGCTCTCGGCAAGCATCTTCGCAACAGGAGGAACCAATCTAGCCAGTGTTGCTTTTCGCTCGGATAGAAGGCGACAATATGTTTCCAATTCGAACCGGGGCATTAGGCAGACATAGTAGCCTAGCCAAGGAGCCCCCGTAATGGCCACATATAGTGCATAGACGTGGGATAAGGGCGGGAAGAAAACCTCGCGCATGTCACTCCTCCAGTTGTCAGGATTATCGGCGCGCAGCTGGTAGTTCACGGCAATGAGGTTGTAGTGGGAGAGAACAACAGCCTTGGGATGACCAGTGGTTCCGCTGGACAGAATGATTGCCGCAGGTACCTGTCGGTTGTCGCCATTTGCAAACGAGTGAGCCGCAATCTCCTGCAAGTTCCCGCCCACGTCCGGTTTTGGCCAACTAGACCACTGTGAATGAGATTCTCCGAGTGCAATAACCTTAATCGCTGAGCTCACTGGACCGCTCAGACTGAGGCTCTTAGCAAGCTTGACAGCAGCGGTGCTGCCGACAACAACATAGTCTGGTTTGACAAGCTGGATACCGTACGCGATCTCAGTTGGGGACAGAGAATCGTTTATCAAAGATACGACACCGCCAGCCCACCACACAGAGTGTACGGCGATGATATAATCGATGCAGCTGGACGATATCACGCTTACAATTTGCCCAGGCTTCAGTGCGAGTTCTTTCCGCAGCCATGCGGCCCCACGCTTGACCAGAGTATTGAATTCACCGTATGAAATCGTTCTACCGCTGAGTGCTTCCTCGAATATGATTTTGCTCGGAGATATGGCGGTTGAGTTGTCCAGCAGCGTCGCTTCCGTTATACTGAGGTGAGTTGGGATTCGTACACGAGTTTTGGAGCGGAAGATGCGAGACATGGTGTTGAGGATTCTCTTGTTGACTTGGCTAGAACGATGTGATAATAATCTCCTAAAAGCACAAATCCTGAACATAAATCATAACTTCAGTAGGTGTGTCCCTCGAGCCCCGGAATAGCCAACTCTTGCGATATCCCCATTTCCGAGTCCGAAGAAGCTTTTCCATAACCGAACCTCCGAATAATACTTGAATTTGAGTTATGTACAACCGACCAACAATTTTTCCCGACTCTGTCAAATTCCGAGATTCCTCCAATTCCGCGGAATGTACCTGAGCGCGGGAATCCCGAGAGTCAGCGTCTCTGGACATTCGCGCTTTTTGATTCGGAAAAACCAAACAAAAAAAAAAAAGGATAAAAGATTAAACTCAATGGGTTAATGAACAGTCCTGATGTTTCTTGTTCATTATGTCGCTTATTTCATCTCGTAGGTAATTACGAGTAGAGAACTACAACGCTCTTAACTCGGCGTTCGCTCTTCTGCCCTGTAGTATCTATATGCACTTTGAAGCAGACAGGGTACGGATAATCTTCAAGAAGGATTTTTAAATTCTCAGACTGATTTGAGACTTATCTATGGACATCTGGGGATGCACCGTGATATATTTGATCAATCCCGTCACGCTCGCTCGTCCACATTTTCTACTTCCTGAACTCCAGCATTCTCCTTCCGAGGCTCAAGTTCCATATCCTCCATAGTAATTCCTTTTCTGTCCAACTCTTGTTGATATACCGCCACTTGATGAGCATCCCCAAACAAGGCCGCAATCTCCTCCAGCGGTTTATGTCTAGTGTCATGGTAGGTGAAAATGATTATGACAGCCGCGATAGCTGGAACAACGACAAAAATCGTGTAAAATTTCCAACCAATGGCTTCGAAGGCATATGGGGCCGCCTCGAGCCACATCAGGTTAGTTAGAGCAAATGTGCACATGGCGAGCGCCAGGCCCTGAGAACGGGCGTAACTCGGCCATATCTCGGTGATGTAGAAATAGGTCGGTCCATCCAAGAATGCACAAAAGGTAGCTTGGAATAACATAATAATGGTAGCGCTAGCGATGAGCCCACCACGATTTGTGCCTCCTAAGTAGAAACTTTGTAGAGCGGCTTCGATAGCCATAAGGACTGCGCATGCCCCAAGACCGAAAGAAATGAACCAATGTCGGGGCACACGATCAACCCATAGCATTGAAAGAGCGTTGGTGATAAGTCCAATGGATTGGAATCCGACTTGGAAGCCGAGGATCTGGACCGTGTCAAAGCCAAGGCTTGCCCATACGACGGATCCATAGTCTGGATAACACGATTTCGCATTAGTCCCCATATAGCATACGGCCGCTGCTCGCCCCAATTCACTTGCGTGTTTGACTCACTCAAAATGACTAGGACCCCACAACTGTAAATACTAAATTCCAAAAATACCGTCATGATAGCTCGCTTGCGTAGGGACGCGTTCGTAAAAATACCCCAGTAGGAAGTCCGGAAGCGAATATCAAGCTCGATCTGCTTCCTCATCTGATAGAACTCCCTGGTAGCGGATGCATGAGGACCAGAATCATTCTTGTCGGTATGGAGTCGCTTGACAATTTCCCACGCCTCCTCAGTTCGATCACGAGAAAGCAAATAGCGAGGGGACTCGGGCATCCAGTAAATACCACACAGAATGATTGTCGGAAGTACCATTTGGATTCCCACGATTCCTCTCCACTGATTCTCTCCAGGAACAAAATAGAATCCTAGCCCCACAAAACTTGCAATGCAATATCCAAATAGCATCAGAAGAGCATGCGCATCAGAGACAGCACCACGGATTCCGGGAGGTGCAAGCTCAGCAATCCAAACTGGAACGCTGTTCTGGATAAGGAAAGATCTGGATCCAAATAATCAGCCTTGAAGCGTGGAATATGCGGGGCTCGAGTTCATACCCCAATCCGTTGAAAAAGCGGAAGACGATGAACATAGCCGGATTGACTGAGCCCGTGAGTAAAGCACCAGAAACAAGAATAACTGCGTTTCCAACTGCCGCAGTGAACTTTCGGCCAAATCTATCGCTCATCCACCCCGCCAAAAAGGCCCCAAACACGGCACCTGCTTGGTATATACCTACGAGATCACGTTAGCTATTGATACTTATTGCTCCCCATGCTCTACTATTGGAGACTGGCTTACCATTGATTGTTCCCGTAATAGCACTAGCATTCGGGTTATCCACGAGCCCCATATCTTCTTGAAAGGATGGCTGCGTCAGAGTTGTGGCGATATTCGCAGCCGTGTAACCATAGGCCGCCGAGCTGAGGGCAATGAAGCCAATGACAACAATACTGTATACATTGACATGATTTTGGCCTCGAGAAAAATTGGCAAAATTTTCATCAGCCATTACAATGTTCATGCGCGAGAGGGCAATAATAGGTCACTTGCAATATCTTAGTATTTTATACTGTCAACTGGGGAAGTCATCCTTTTATGGAACAACGAGCTCGGGATATTCATCCATGGATCTGTGAACCTTATTCGAGTCCAGGAAATCTTATTACCCCGCATTCCCACGTTTTTGATGATATCCATGGATTTGGTAGGCTTTCATAATTCCGAGATATAGTCAATTCCGACCCTCAGGAGTAGACAGTTAAAAAATCAACTTTTATGTGTGGTTAGATATATCTAATCGGCAGGCTAAATTGCTGACATTATATAGATAGCAGTTTCGAAGGCATAGACAAAGCGGGCAGTTGATTTTGCATGGGGCATTTGTAGCTTCACTAAGCTTGATATTTCGACTCCGATCTCGACGGCGAAGACGAGAGCAAATAGCAATTTTTCCTATCTCCATTGTATTGTATAATATTTCGAGTTTCTAGGAAGGGAAATGAAGAGGTTGTAGAGTTGATAGTTATTTTACTCAATACTAGCTTATCATAATTGAAACACTATCCCAATATATAAGTGCCTACTTTGTCCCAATAGTATGAAGTGCCGGGGTCAACCTCACATTCAAACTACCTTTTTCCCAAACCACAAATGAGGGTTGCTTGATCCATTGCTTGGAATCGGGAGAAAGCTCCATATCAAAGTTCCAAATCATTCGGGCCAGGATCAATCGCATCTCTGCATATGCAAGACTAACTAATATCAGTAACTAGGCATATTGCACTTCCTGGGACTAGACTTACTTGCGACCGAGGCAGTTGCGTGGCCCCACGCTAAACGCCTGCACTGCATTTCTATTGTCGGATTCAAATTCGGAGGCACCCATGAACCTCTCTGGGATGAAAGCATCGGGATTCTTGAAGTTTGCTGCGGAACGGTGAGCTGCCAGTATCGGCACTCCGACAGCCGTCTAAAATGCATCAGCCTAGTAATATAACTTCGTTGAGTCAACGTTAACTTACTCCCCCAGGGACCCATCTCCCGCAGATGAAATCCCCTTTGCCCTCAACCATTCGTGGGAACCCGTACGGGACAGGAGGGTACATCCGGAGACCTTCATTTAACACGGCGAGTGTGTATTTTAGCTGATTAACCGCAGACCAAGTGATTTGGTCCTCGGAAGTGAATGCACCACGGATCTCTGTTTTGAGTTTGTCGAGAACACCAGGAACAGTGAGTATATAATATGTCACACCGGACAGTAAAGTAGCGGTAGTCTCTGAGCCTGCAATAATGAGCACATAAGAGTTGCTGACAAGCTCATCTTCAGTCATTCCCTTCTCAAGAGGTTGCTTTAGCACGTTGCTAAGGAAGTCCGGCCGCCCGTTGTCCCCATTTGCCATGCGTGCCTGTACTTTCTCCTTTGTCATCTCATTCTGATGTTTCTTTTGCTCTCGTACCTCTTTGGGAACGATCCATTTCATGAGGAGGTTCCCGGCAGGGACCCGTCGCAGAACGTTTGCCCATGCGGCAGTGCGGAAATGGCTGAAAATGACCGAAACCCAGAAATGATACTGCGAATTCTGCAGACACCCGAATGATTCGCCAAATGCGAGATCACCGATAATATCGAATGTAGTATAGTTATACCAGCATGTCATGTCGACAGTAGCGCTACCGGACTCGGCAAGTCCATGAAGCCGTTGAACCAACAGGTCAACATAGCCCTTGACAATGACTTCCTGGCGCTGGAGGCTCCCTTCTGAGAATCCATGGGACAGAGAACGTCGATATCGGGCGTGGGTTTGATCATCGGTTCGAAGGATGCTTGGTATATGGTTTGGCCCAACAGATACATGGCGTTGATCCTTCGGGCGCTGGGATTTGCCGGGGCGAATGGCATAGATTTCTTTCCAGGCCTCGGGGTTCGTGAAGGTCACTTCGTTTGGGGCGATGCGGACTACATCGCCATACTTTTCATGTAGCTTTTGTGCGTCCATTGGCAGGCTGCCGCCCAGCACAGATCGAAAGAACGGAAGCGATGTGGCTGCATTTGATTTGGGGCCTGGAAACGATGCTAGAGGGTGAAAGTAAAGGTTGTAAATGATCAATCCGGTCAAATAACAAATGCCCTGAAAATATCAGCATTTTCAAACATAATTTCCCGTGATAACTAACAAGTAGCACCGAAAGTATAAACCAGCTAATCACTGGGCTAACGTTTGCAAATGATGAAGGTTTCGATGAGACTAATCGAAGTAAAAACGTCATTATGGTTGTTGTATTCTCCCAAAACTTGTCAAAAACTTGTCAAAAAAGTGATTGACAATGCCAGCGCGCGAATAAATACAACCCTGTCAGATCTCTGCGTTAGAGATTACATCATGGGATATACTCCGCAATATCTACAAGGATTCCAATATGGGCTATTGGAGCAAATTCGGAATTTAAGTCGGAATACCTCTCCGGAAATTGACTCGGAATTAGAGACATTATTAGCTTTTGGCCGTGATTCCTGATGGCTGCACCAACAGGATCAGCATTTACTCATTATAAATCAATAACCACCCCTCTTCATACATTCCCTGCGAGACTAAAAGCAGTGCCAAGGCTACGATGGTCTATCGCCATACGATATCCCAGCTCACGGAATGGAACAGAGTGGCATAATAGAGGGGTCGGTAGTATAAAATGAAGCAATTTTGCTTCAAATACGGTCATTATTCTACTTAACTTGTTAATGAATTACTATTGTTAAGTCTCGCACGGTATGGTAAAGCATAGTTCAATTTCGACTTTAGATGAAGAAATGAGTATGTATCTTCATCAACATTCCGTATTTTCCTTCGCTATTCTCCCCCCATTTTCGTTGGATTTGATATATATCATGAATACTCACATTACTCATGATGACAGCGAGATGAAAGCAACCATGTAGAAGATTATCGATAAACAGTTTCCAACAAAGACGGCACTAGCGGTATCTATTCGAGTCTCCATGTTGGGTCCCCGCCCATACCTCACAATGATCAAGGTCCAATCAGGCTAGTTAGTATTCGTAGATGAGTTTGTATTGAATATAGAATCAATACACAGTTCAATAAACCGTACAGTGATGTACCTTTTATTTATGAAATGCTATGGTGGACCCCAATCTAACAGTCTAAGATCCATGATATATATCTCTGCCAGTGCGATATACAGATCAAGGGGCCACGGTTTAGAACGGTGATTTCAGCTATGCATGAAAGGGGCAGAGACCATGCAAGGCTTGGTTTACAGTCGAAAGCCATTTGAACTACGACGCGGGTTTTCTCCCTTCTTTTTTGATTTATCCGCATAGATCGTCATCCAAGCTTCCACTTACTCGCTTAGTGCTGCAAACTTCGGGGCCTCGATATCCGAATAAGGTCCGTATGTCATCAAATATAACCTTTCCACGGATTATTGCCGATCAAATATGTCATAGAGCGCATCGACCCTAGAGCACAGATGTTCGTCACTGTAGTCGATTATACTCATCCAATAAATTGATGCGGGGTACGCTGTTGGTACAGGAACATGAATCTCTCTTGAGCCATCCCCTCTTTCATGCTAATCTCCAAAGGTCCTTACCCTTGTTTGGAGCGTAATGTTACATCGCTCTTCACCAACCACATGGTGGAATGTATATAAGTAAAAGCGGCGCAACCTAACCTTTTTACCTAATTACCACTTCCCGGATATGAGACTATAGAGCATGTCTCGTAGTCTTCAATCTGAACCGCGATTATAAAGTACAACATGCTTCTCCGGTCTATACCTCCTTTCATCACGAGCGTGTTATGTCTCTACACCCCCTCCGCAATAGCAACCCTGGTAGATCTCTCACAGTATGTGAATCCACTAATCGGCTCCGAAGGCCCCGAGCCGGGAACAGCCTTCGGTGGAGGCGATATATTCGTGGGCGGTGCACTGCCATTTGGCGTGGTCAAGGTTGGGATTGACTCAACTGCCGCAAACTGGAGCACCGCCACTCTGAATGGCGGGTGGACCCCCGATGGGAATGTCACGGGTATAAGTATGATGCATGAGAGCGGAACTGGCGGATCGCCGAAATATGGGCTAGTCTCACAGATGCCGCTGACGTGTGTGGATTCACCTGTCAACGTGCTTGATAATTTGACTTACAGTCAGCCGAGGGTATGTGGTTTTTGTTCGTGGTTCGAGTTGATCAAGGCCACAAATAGGACTGACCTGAAGATAGGTGGATAAAGATATTGCCAAAGTGGGATATTTCAAGATTCATTTGGAGAATGGAATCACGGTAGAGTTGTCGGCGTCGCGCCATGCCGGAATCATGGAATATTCTTTTCCAGATGGGGAGAAACATATCCTTATAGATGTTTCCCATGTATGTTAATTTGGACTTTCTTTTGAAGCGGTACTTGGCTGATAGCGATAGTATCTACCTGGTAACGCTGGCGATGCGAATGGCCAATTCTTTGCTGGGGGTGAGATTCAAATGGAAGCCGACGGCAGAGCGTACAGTGGGTATGGAACGTATGTTGGAGGCTGGAACAATGGTGAGTCCCACGCTCACACACACAAAGCGGTGCCTAATTAGATGATAGGTGCTCCGTTCACTGTGTACTTCTACGGAGAATTCTCCAAGTCTCCAGACAATTCGCAGACATTCTCTGGCGCGAACACAGATCACATGCCACGATATCAAAATCTAGCCAATGGCGGCATGAGTGAGCCAACATTCAGAAACACATCCAGAAAAGTGACATCCGGGCCTATGAACAACCGGATCGGGTTGCTGTTGAGCTGGAACGATGGCCCTGCCTCGCACGTTACCTCGCGTGTCGGCATCTCGTCCATATCCACTGACCGGGCTCGTTCATATATACAAACAGAAATTCCCTCGTGGAAACTGAACGACACAGTAGCGGCTGCCGTGAAGGAGTGGAATGAAGATGTCTTCAATAAGGTCCAAGTGTCGCTGGATGACTCTGCCAACATGACTCATGTTAGGTTGCTGTATAGCTCTTTGTATTTCATCCACCTGATGCCTTCCGACCGAACGGGGGAGAATCCTCTGTGGGACTCGGACGAGCCATACTGGGACGACTTTTATACAATGTGTGAGTAGGCTCATTCTAATTTCGCCGGCGAATACTGACTGATTATCTAGGGGACATCTTCCGCTGCACGGTCAGCTTTTACCATATCTTCCAGCCCGAGTACTACGAGTCGATGATACGGGCTTTGATTGATATCTGGAAGTAAGGAGATAAGAATAGCAGTGCATTATTTCACACTAATGTTGATATTTTAGGCACTCGGGATACATGCCAGAAGGGCGTTCGGGAAACTGGAACGGACTAGTCCAAGGCGGTTCTGATGCTGACAACGTGCTAGCAGATGCCTATGTCAAAGGCTTAAGAGGCGCAATCAACTGGACGGAGGGCTATGCGGCCATGAAGAAAGACGCCGAAGTAACGCCATACAATACATTTGACCCAACAGACCTTACGGCCAGCACGAAAGAAGGGCGCGGTGCACTTGATGACTGGAAGGAGCTCGGATACGTGTCACAAGATCGGAACACACGCTGCATCTCACGCACAGTGGAATACAGCCTCAATGACTTTGCAGTCAGCCAGGTCGCCGCTGGAGAAATGCCCAGTGACCGGGAGAAGTATCTCAATCGATCCGCCGGATGGCAGAATATCTGGAATCCGGATGTGAAGAGCTTAGAATTCACTGGATTTATGGCACCTCGTTTCTCGAATGGGTCCTTCAATAACAGCGGATATGACCCGCTCTATTGCTATGGGTGCGAGTGGCAGGATTATACGTACGAGGGTACTCCATGGGGTCAGTCATAGCAGCATATTCTGCTTTCAAACACAGCTAATATTTGGTCTATTAGAATACTCTTTCGTGATTCCCCACGATGTGAAGACCCTCATAGAATTCATGGGAGGGCCCAAGACTTTCGAATCTCGACTGGACCTGATGGTAAGCCAGACTGATAATCCGACAGGAGCAATCACTTATTGATTCGACCCTAGTTCAAACCAAACATGTCTGTTCAAAACCTCGGCGCAAACGGCGCCGGCATTACCACATTGATGAATATTGGGTATGAACTGGAGAAACTACTGGCAAGCAAAACGCTAATTGCTCGTGGTGTAGAAACGAACCCGATTTCGCCACGCCCTACCTTTACAACTACATCAACAACCAAGCCAAAAGTGTTCACCAGTCACGCAGCCTGGCTATTCAATAGTTAGTCTACTTGGTTCCTATACTATCCAGACCCTTGCTGACACTCATCACATTAATAGTTTCAAGGATACCGCCTACGGAATCCCCGGAAACAGCGACGCTGGTGCCATGAACTCCTGGCTTTTATGGCAAATGCTCGGGATCTATCCGATTGTTACACAGCCCGTATATCTTCTCTCATCGCCGTGGTTCCCGGATCTTAACATGACGATCAGTGGAAATAAGACACTGCGCATCTCCGCAACCGGGCTAGAGCAAGGGTACTACGTGCAGAGCGTTAAGATAAATGGTGAGCAATGGGAAAGAAACTGGTTTGAACACGATGATGTTATGACGAATGGCGGGAAGATTGAATTTGAGCTTGGGGAGAATGCAAAGGCATGGGATACTGGCGAGGTTCCGCCTTCTCCCGGACACGTGCGATTGGACGAGGATTAGGTCTTCGGTTGTGTTAAAATAGGCTGGATAATGTTTCATGCTTGATCCTGTTTTAGCTGAGCCGCAAATTTATTATCTGCGACAGATAACAGCATCCAAAATATACTACAATGGTAACTCATTTAGACTCTCGGGTTATTTCTGGGCATTTCTCCACCACATGGCCCAGTTAATAGCCCGTTGCATTCCTTCTCCACACGTCAGGTTGACAAGACTTTTCATGGTGTGACATGCATAGCAAGCGCATGTGGGTGCTGCAAGGCTAAGTATTCCGCATAAGTCGGCACAATATCCTCAATTGACAGAATCTAACCTGGAATTACGAGGACAATGAAGGTAAGCAGCCAATAATGGCACTAGACAAGGGTTACTTGACTCAAATTCCAAGTTTGTGCTGTGTGAAAGGGAAGATCGCTGCTATTTCAGGCCGCCAAGACCGAGGTCCCTTGACGTCAGAAGCGGGATAAGAGGAGGTTGGGACAATCAAGAGGGGAATTATGAAATTCGGGTCCGGTTTTAATAAGATGTGAGGCTCTAGCTCTGGCTCTGGCTTTTCTTTCCTCTTTTTCATCTTCTGTGTGGGTGATTTCGTCTCAATTATCTATACCCACGCTTTTTTCTTGGGTGCTGGAGTCAAGATCGCATCGAGACCCACTGTTTTGCATTCTGCATACCATTACCAGCCACCAGGGACTGAAAATTCCAATTCTCCGATATCAGATCGAAAGCATTGCTAAACAGATAGTCCACACATTGCAGTTATGGTAATAATCCCCATGGACGTTGCCAAAGCCCCCTTCCGTGGTTCATCCAAGCAACACCCGCGCGGGCCGGACGGAGAACCACGGATCGCATACTCTGGACCTTATAAAAGCTAATAATTTCACTCCCCCAGGCTCCTATAAATTTCATGCTAGAGCCTCGGCAGTCAACAGGCGGCGAGAGCTGCCCAAGCACGATCTCCAGCGGTGGCATTGCAGGTATCGTGATCGGCTCGATCGCAGGGACCCTCCTCATCCTCTGGCTGTGGCGAATATTCCGACTTCCCGGTGCGTGGAGCGGTGGCGATAAACCTGATGTCGGCTATCGGGCTCCGATAACTCGCAGCAGTACTAGTAGCCGCGGACGGAAAAAGCGTCGTCGTCCGTCTGCGTACGGTGACTATGTCGAGAAGCCGACTACTGTACGCAGTGTACGGCGGTACAGTAACCGCGATGATTTGCGCCGGCCGGCCAGGGTTTACATGACGGAAGCGTGAATGTCCAGTGGGGATTATACCTCAGATATATGGAATGGCTGGAGCTGGTGCATTGGTATTTTGGCTATTGGTCTTGAACATATCAATTGGCAACGGGATATGTCTGACGGAGCCAAGTAATTATGAGACATGACATACATATGACTGAGATTTAACGACTTGATGAGAAATAAATTTAGACCTGGTCTGTGCATTTTATGATCCCTTTGTTTCTGAATTTGAAATCGGACGCCAACCCCCTTAGTTTGGATTCCGGTGTATGGTCAAGAACGATCTGTTTCAGCCCTTTTCATGCACACTGCACATGTGGCGGGATAATCCAGTCGGACAACTTGCTGACGGGTACCTGAGTGCTGAGGGAGTGTATGCCTTGATCTGGTCGAGCGGCACTTGGCTGTGTGTCACCGCCGAGCAGTGGCGTTTGATCGATCAGAATTACCGAAGTCTCCCCTGATAAAACTTCAAGCCAGTACAGCTGAGTCCATTGAACATCGCAAGTTAAACGCCGCACCCGTCATTTTGCTGTTTCGACGAATAAGACGGCGTAAGGGTGTGGTTCATAAAGCTAGCATCGTTGATAGGAAAGTGCATTAATGGGGTGTGCAGGTAAGACAGGGGAAAGGGCCCACAGGGGAAAAGAAGAAAAAACAATAAAATAAAAGAAGAAAAACTTGGGTTAGACATCTCCACTCATTGACTGGGGGGACGGACTTGGCTTCTTGGTGGCTTTGTTATTGGACCTCCTGAGCGGAGCATTCCTGAAATTTAGTTTGGTAGGTCTGAGGAACTGGAGGAACTCTGAAAATACTACGGAGTATGTTCGTGTTACGGTAGTGTTATGATTGATTTCAAGGGGGTGGGTGCATGATGATATGGAGTCCAATCTTGGAATTATTTCCCCGTGGCGATTATCAATTGAGTTTCTGATCTTCATTGCAGTCTCCCTCGGATGGCCTAGGCCCGAGGTAAACAAGGTATTATGCTGCATTTGAGCCAGGGGAATAAAACAAAGAATACCTAGCGTAGCACATATTGAATCTATAAACCAGTTATAAATTCTAGAGGATATATATATTGTACCTGGCGTGTTCGATCCTTATCAGGGTTCTTTGGGATCAGCCAATCGGTGGGTAATCAGGAACCAATCAAAATCGCCCGCCTAGAAATAATTATAGTGAAAAATACTGGGCAAACCCAAATAGGTTTAGCATCAGGCACAGGGCCCCTGGGGATGACTGAATCTGGTTAGTGTGATGCACCAAAATGGAACCCCCTAACCTAGACTGGCTAGTTAGTAAACTCGACCATAATCTCTGCAGCTTTCCCCTTACGCCCCTACAACGGTGGCACACAAAAATAATTAGGCCCCAAAACACCACTAGCCTAATAATGTCCTCCACTTTGCACCTAAATTGGTGGCTGCTTTCCCCTTCTCTTGATGTTCTTCTTCCCACAAACTTAGGATCTTGCTGCTGGCAGACTTGCCTTACACTCATTACCGTGCACTCGCACATCCACTCTTTATCGAATCTCGAGTAGTCTCGAGTCCATTCCTTTTGGATCCAACAGCATAAGCAATCATTTATATACATCAACCCACCATGTTTTTCTCACGCATTGCCATTCTGGCTGCTTTGGCTAGCTATGCCACTGCTCAAACCTCGACCGACTGTGACCCCATGAAGAAGGATTGCCCTGCGGACCCCGCCCTGGGTACCGAACACACATGGAACTTCAACACGACCTTGGACGAAAAGATCTGGAAAATGACCACCGGAACCTACGATCACGATGAAGAAGGAGCCAAGTTTACCCTCTCCAAGGAAGGAGAGTCTACCCTCCTACAGTCCAACTTCTATATCTTCTTCGGTGTCGTCGAAGCCCACGTCAAGATGGCCAAGGGCGCAGGCCTGATCAGCAGTGTGGTCTTGGAGTCTGACGATCTGGATGAGATCGATTGGGAGTGGGTAGGATACAACACTAGCCAAGTGCAGTCCAACTTCTTTGGCAAGGGTAACGATAGCTCCTTTGATCGCGGCGGATACCACGACGTGACGAACGCAGACACCGAGTTCCACAACTACACCACATACTGGGACCAGGATAAACTCCAATGGTGGATTGACGGCGATATGGTTCGCGAACTCAAATACACCGACGAGAAAGCCTTGTTTGGCAAGAACTACCCACAAACCCCCTGTCGTGTCCAATTCAGTCTCTGGCCCGCTGGTTCGCCGAACGCGAGAAAGGGTACTATTGAGTGGGCCGGTGGCCTTGTCGACTGGGATAACGCGCCTTTCAGTATGACCCTTGGCAAGCTGCATGTTAAGGATTTCCACTCTGGCAAGGAATACAGCTATGGGGACCGCACAGGTTCCTGGGAGAGCATCAAGGTGTCGGGGTAAGTGTTTCCCATAAAATTATCTAGGATACCACTAATGAGATATAGCGGAAACTCGACCGCACAGGAAGAACTGGAGAAACCCGAGCCTTTGTCTCTGTCAGAGAAATGGGATAATCTCGGCGAGGGAGCCCACATTGGAGTCTACATCGGCGCCGCCGTTGCCGCTGCGTTGCTTATCGCAGCCTTCCTATTCTTCTGCCTGCGCCAGCGCCGCAAGGGTCGTCTCGAGAACGCATTGGGCAACAACCCAGTTCCTCTTAACCGTGACGAGATGCAGAATTTCCAGAAAGACTGGAGGCAGAGCGAATGGAAGCAGAATGGTGGTTACCAGCAGGTCAACAACTAGCCGGCTTGTCGAGTACAGACACTAGTAACCCCACGAACTTGCTTTCGGTCCCCTATAATGAACAATTCTGTGATTCTTTTTCATTTCGTTTCGCGTCGTGTCCGGTCTTGCAGATTGCCCCCATGACGACATCAATATTGGACGCCTGTGAAGGCCAACGGAGTCGGAATAATGTCCCCTTTCCTTTCGTCCGGGCTTTCTGGCTTACCGTATTCTTTTATACTGTCATCTCTCTCGCGTATACGCAGAGCCACTCGCTCTGATCCCCCTTTCTGTTGATATCCCCCTTTTTGATCCTTGGATCACAATTCCCTTCGTTGGCGTTGTTCAGGCCGCCTTTTGCTTTGCAATCTGCTTCCCCCTACACATGTAAATATCTTGCCATATAAACGCACTTCTTTTTACTGCTTGATCTTAGTGGGAAATTGGTGTATCTCACCTGTTGACGTGATAAGCCATCCAACATTTGGCCAGGGTCTGTAGTACTCGGAATCTTTGTGACTTTGGTAACGCCACTCAATGACAGGTCAGCTTACAGGTGCAGCCCGTATTACTGTGTCACACTGAATAACTGCGGGAATTTCTCATGCAGGATGATCTCACAAAGCTGCACATGGTCTCGAGCAAGTTCATACACGAACACATCTTAAAAGTCAAGACGTGGGCCGAGCAATCGGAGTCGGAGCGACTATGGTCCGCTAGTCAGTCAGGGTCTTCCCGAAAAGGATATTCCCGCGAGGCGGAGCTTCTAATATGTGGATATAGTGGATTCGTCTACCGAATATATGCCTTTCTAGAAGTCCATGTCTTCGGGATTCGCGTCAAATCCGACAGGCGGTAGAATTAAAAATTGTGGCTGAAGATCTCGGCGTGACGAATTGATACACGGCGATCGTGATTGGATTTTACTGCCCGGTTCCACTGACATATGTCGATATGAAACGCATGGAATAAATGAAGTTTGTGCAAGTTTTCATTTATGAAGCTGTGATTATACACTTCTAAAAAAAAGGGACCGAGGCTTGTCAGTCGGTGAGGTCACACTTTTTTTTATAAACCTTTGGAACCCCTCCCAACTTCATTCTTTTCCACTTTCAAGCTTCCCTTTCATTACCTCTCCAAGTTAAATTTTAGGTGTACAGTGTGTACTCTGCGCAACCCTGCATTACGTGGTTTAATACAAATTCCTACCCCGTGATTACTATCTTGCATTCTTCTCCAAATTCAACACTTCATCCTCAAAACACAGATATCATACGCCATGACATCGAACAAACAGGTACCAATTCCGGGCCCCAAGGGCGTCCCATTCTTGGGAAACATCTATGACATCGAGCCCGAGGTGCCTGTGAACAGCTTTGAGCTGATGGCCGATAACTATGGTATGGATCTAGGCCTTGCACAACTAGGGATACAGATTGCGAATTGATGGGCTAATTTCTTTCTGTGTTTATTACCTTGCAGGCCCAATCTATCGATTAACCACCTTTGGCAGAGCACGAGTATTCGTCAGCTCCCATGAGCTGGTAGACGAAGTATGCGACGAGGAACGCTTCAGCAAAATGGTTTCAGCTGGTCTGAATGAGATCCGCAATGGTGTTCATGACGGTCTTTTTACCGCGAACTATCCCGGTGAAGAGAACTGGGCTATTGCGCATCGAATTCTTGTGCCTGCGTTCGGCCCGCTGATGATTCGCGGCATGTTTGATGGTGGGTGTCCCTTTTCTGTCGGATTTGAGACCTAGGCACCAAATAAGGGAACGACTTTCGCTAATTTTTCATTCAGAAATGTATGATATTGCTACTCAACTGGTTATGAAATGGGCTCGGATTGGCCCTACAGTTCCTATTCAGGTCACAGATGACTTCACACGCCTGACGCTGGACACCATTGCTCTTTGCGCTATGGGCACTCGCTTCAACTCATTCTATCATGATGAGATGCACCCATTCGTCGAGGCAATGGTTGGTTTGTTGGCCGGGTCTGGAAATCGAGCTCTTCGCCCTGCTTTGTTCAACAGCTTGCCCACTTCGGAAAACAACAAGTACTGGAGTGATATCGAGTATTTGCGGAATCTAGCTCGGGAATTAGTCGACTCACGGAAGGAGAACCCCGTTGAGAAGAAAGATCTTCTCAATGCGCTCATCCTGGGTCGGGACCCCCAGACCGGCCGGGGTATGACAGATGACTCTATTATTGACAACATGATAACATTCCTCATCGCTGGTAAGTGAACAGGTCCTGCAACGGGTACATTATTTCGGACCTGACTTGGAACTTTATAGGACACGAGACCACATCCGGCATGTTGTCGTTCTTGTTCTACTATCTTCTCAAGAGTCCGAGCGCATACAAGAAGGCCCAAGAGGAAGTCGACCGTGTGATTGGTAAACGCAAGATCACTGTCGATGACATGTCTAAGCTGCCATATATTACCGCCGTTATGCGCGAAACACTGCGTCTGAAGCCAACAGCCCCGCTGATTGCCCTGCACCCACACCCCACCAAGAACAAGGAGGATCCCGTCACACTGGGGGGCGGCAAATATGTGCTTCACAAGGATGAGACGATTGCGCTCATGCTTGGAAAAATGCAGCGCGACCCGAAGGTCTACGGCGCCGATGCTGATGAGTTCAAGCCAGAGCGAATGCTCGATGAAAACTTCGAGAAGCTGCCCAAGAACGCATGGAAGCCATTTGGAAACGGCATGCGAGGCTGTATTGGACGGCCGTTCGCTTGGCAGGAGGCTCTCCTTGTGGTTGCGATTTTGCTCCAGAACTTCAACTTCCAGATGGACAACCCCAGCTACGACCTCCGCATCAAGCAGACACTTACCATCAAGCCCAAGGATTTCCAGATGAAGGCTACCCTGAGAGATGGACTCGACCCTACGCAGCTCAACACCACACTCAGTGGTTCTACTGCTCCACCCACAGAGACTGGTGCCGGTAGCCGGGATCGCAAACCCAAGGTCGCACCCGTGGATGGTAAGATGAAGCCAATGCACGTGTTCTACGGTAGCAACACGGGAACTTGTGAGGCATTCGCCCGTAGGCTGGCTGATGATGCTACTGCATACGGATACGATGCCCAAATAAGTTCTTTGGATTCAGCCATGCAGAATATCCCCAAGAACGACCCTGTGGTCTTTATCTCAGCTTCTTACGAAGGACAGCCCCCGGATAACGCGGCTCATTTCTTCCAGTGGCTCAGTGGACTGAAGGACAATGACCTGGAAGGTGTTAACTACGCAACATTCGGCTGTGGCCATCATGATTGGTCCTCCACTTTCTACCGTGTCCCCAAGGCCATCGATCAACTCGCTAAGGACAATGGTGCTAACCAGCTCTGCGATATTGGTCTTGCCGACGCAGCACACTCAGACATGTTCACCGATTTCGATGGCTGGGGTGAGACCTCATTCTGGCCGGCCGTGATGGCTAAATTCGGTGGAGCTAGCCCTGAACAAGCTGCCAAGCCGAAGTCTTCATTGCAGGTCGAGGTGAGCTCGGGTATGCGTGCATCCACCCTGGGTCTCCAGCTCGAAGAGGGCTTCGTCATCGAAAACCAGCTCCTTACACCACCCGGAGCACCAGCCAAACGAGTAGTCAAGTTCAAGCTGCCATCGGACATGACCTACCAGTGCGGTGATTACCTCGCAGTGCTACCCGTGAACCCAAGCTCAATCGTCCGTCGTGCAATCCGCCGCTTCGACCTCCCCTGGGACGCTGTAATCAAAGTCCAGAAGCCATCAGGCTCAACAGTTTCCCCCTCAATCCCCATCGACACGCCGATCTCAGCCTTCGAGCTCCTATCCACCTACATCGAGCTATCCCAACCCGCATCGAAGCGCGATCTGAATGTCCTAGCCGACGCCGCCATCTCAGACGCGGAGATCCAAGCCGAACTACGCTACATCGCCTCCAGCCCCAGCCGCTTCACCGAAGAAATTGTCAAGAAGCGCGTCAGCCCACTGGATCTGCTGACCCGCTATCCAACAATCAAGCTCCCCATCGGCGATTTCCTCGCAATGCTGCCCCCAATGCGCGTTCGACAATACTCCATCTCCTCGTCACCACTAGTCGACCCATCCGAGTGCTCGATCACCTTCAGCGTCCTCAGCGCCCCCGCCCTCGCCAGCACCACCCCAGAAGGCAACGAAAGCATTGAGCAATACCTCGGCGTCGCATCCAACTACCTCTCCGAGCTCCAAGCCGGTGAACGCGCACACATCACCGTCCGCCCTTCGCACTCAGGCTTCAAGCCGCCCATGGACCTCGAAACACCGATGATCATGGCCTGCGCGGGTAGCGGGCTCGCACCATTCCGCGGATTCGTCATGGACCGCGCGGAGAGAATCCGCGGCCGTCGCAGCTCGCCTGACTCGGATGAGCTGCATGACAACGCGGCTGTCAAGCCTGCCAAGGCGGTGCTGTATATCGGCTGCCGCACGAAGGGCCAGGATGATATTCATTCTGCCGAACTTGCAGAATGGGCTGCACTCGGCGCTGTCGATGTCCGCTGGGCGTATAGTCGCCCTGCTGATGGAAGCAAGGGCCAACATGTTCAGGATCTCATGCTTGATGACCGTGAAGAGTTGGTGAAGCTGTTTGAGGAAGGTGCGAATATTTATGTTTGCGGTAGTACTGGTGTTGGTGCTGGTATTCGCGAGGCCTGCAGAGAGATGTATCTCGAGAAGCGCCGTGCGGTGCTTGCCGAGCTTAAGGAGAAGGGGAGACGAAGCCTGGTGCTGAGCTCGATGAGGACCAGGCTGCTGACAAGTTCTTTGATAATTTGCGGACGAAGGAGCGGTTTGCTACCGATGTGTTTACTTAGTTTAGCGGTTTTTCGCATCTCTAATTTGGTTTAGCTTGTATTATCATCATTCGCCATACACAAATTGCATCATCTGTTGTTATTTCACCGAGTCATGCCATGTGGTTGTTGGCCCAAATCCCAAGGCAGAAATCATCAACCAATCAGAATGCAGTTCCTGACGAACCCCGGCTCATTTCCACGTGACCGTAAAACTTCAATGCCGACAGCCAATCAGATCAACGGCCGAGTTGTTTGGCCGATGGGAAGAAGAAACTTTGAGTTTTAAGCGTCTCGGCAGAATTCTGCATTAAAATATTAGAAGGAAGCCGTTCTCATTTATATATTTTGTAGAACTCCGACTTCGGCAATCTCATAGCTCACACCCGGTGTTTTCATTGGACGCCAATACCAAATTTGCGCTAAAATAGAGTCGGATGGCGTGATAGAGTGAAGTCCACCCATATATTCGCATTTTTAAGCTCGGCCGAGACAGCTTTGTTAAAGAGTTGCTATATACCCAATTCTCACCAATCACCAAACACCAAACATCTATAATATCATATCATGCCGAAGATCAAGAGCATAGCCATTATCGGAGCCGGCCCAGCTGGCGCCATTGCAGTCGATGCACTAGCACAAGAGAAAGCATTCGATGTCATTCGTGTATTTGAAAGACAAGAGAAAGCTGGCGGATGCTGGTATGTTACTATATTACTCCAATATCTCCACCAATTCCCAACCCTAACAAAAACAACAGGGTATCAAGAGATGACGAGCCGCCACAGCAGTTCGATTTTGACGGTCTAGCTGCACGAACAGCAGATGCGCCTCTCAAAATCCCCGAGCACCTCCCGTGCCGGACGCCCGTAGTCTCCCAGGACCGGTTCATGGATTCACCCGTGTACCCGACGCTGGAGACTAATGTGAACGCGGGAGCCATGTCGTTTTCTCAAGAGGAGATTCCTGAAGTTCGATCGCAGTGGTCGATCGAGCGTCATGGTGCTGACACGCCTTTCCGACACCATTCAGTTATCCGCAAGTATATTGAGGACTTGTTTAACCGGAACGGGTATCAGGATCTTGTTCAGTATAACACTACTGTTGAACGCGCGATCAAAGACCCCAGCACTCAGAAATGGGTGCTTACATTCCGCAGGACGGAAGTTGTGGATGGTGCAAAGTCGGATTACTGGTGGTCTGAGGAGTATGATGCCGTTGTGGTGGCGTCGGGACATTACGCGGTGCCGTTTATTCCTGTGATTCCCGGGTTGAAGGAGTTTGCGGCGAGGTATCCGGGTAGTGTTCAACATACAAAGCATTATCGGGGGCCTGAGAAATATCAGGGAAAGGTAAATGGAGTTCTCGCCGTGTCTTCCTACCATTCGCTTACACATCGCATAGAAAGTCATCACCGTCGGCGCGTCGGTTTCTGCTGCTGATACCGCAGTGAGTCTAGTTGATAGTGCCCAGACACCAGTCATTGCTGTGGTTCGTGGTCGTTACAACGCCTATTTCGGAGATCTCGCTTTCCAGCACCCTAAGATTGAGCGTCGCCCGCCCATCTCACACATTACCGGTCATGATCAAGGCGAACGGACCGTGCATTTCGAAGACGGTACCTCTGAAACCGGTGTCGACCATCTGATTTTTGGAACTGGCTTCAGCTGGACTCTTCCTTTCTTGCCCGAGGTCGCCACACGGAACAATCGTGTGCCAGATCTCTACCAACATGTCTTTTATAGACATGATCCGTCCCTTGTTTTTGTAGGCGCAGTGAGTTTACAATCCGGAAAAATAATTACCCGAATCGAACGCTAACATAATATCCCCAGGTTGGTGCCGGATTGACCTTCAAAGTCTTCGAATGGCAGGCCGTCGCAGCCGCACGTGTTCTCGCCGGCAAAGCAAATCTGCCCTCGATCACCGAGCAGGAAAAATGGGAAACCGACCGTATTGCACAGAAAAGCGATGGCCCCGGATTCACAGTCCTTAACCCCGAATTCGAGCCCTACTTCGAGAGCCTCCGCGATCTTGCGGGGGAACCTCGTGGTGCAGGACGGCGTCTACCTCGATTTGAGCAGAAATGGCTGGCGTATTTCGACGAAGGCCATGAGCGCAGAAAGAAAATGTGGCGACGAGCCAATCAAACGGCTCGATTGTAAATTTGACAAGGGTTAGTTAAGGGAGTACTCCATATTCCGTATATTGTAGAAAGACATAGATCACAAAATAAACCAAGCAAGGAGAAACCGAATTATCCATTTTCCCTTTTTGTCTCACTGTGGCACAGCTTTAAAAGACCAAATACCACTAACGGGTCAAAAAGGCTCAAAAAGGGCCAAAAAAGATCAACGAACGAATGAATTCATGCCATTTCTTCCCGCAGATGTTCCTGAACCCCCGTCAGCTACTCCACTTAGGCCAATATCTCCAACCATAGTGGCTTGGCGCTTTTCCCCTCGAGCCTATTCAGGAGGTCAAAAAAAAGAGGCCTGGGATGAATTTCATATGATAAAAATCTTCCCCTTCCCTGTCGAAAATCTCTCTCTCTCCACCGATCGACTGCACATCCTCACTCTAAATAACGCCTAAAATCTCATTTCGCGTTTCGCGTCGCGTCGCAATCTCTCGGACCGGACCATCCCGACACACAATTCATCATGACACCTCCTATAAGCAACGGCACACAATTCACACAACCGGCCGAATGCTACAACTTGCGCGATGCAATGCCTGCGTTACCCTCCAATATCCAATATTATAACCAAGTCCCGCTGTACCAGCCAAAAAGTCCACATCGAGATATGAAGGCTGTTTTGCAGGATTGTTGTCCGAATGGGGTGTGGATTTCTGAGGATCCGGATCCTTGTACGGCTATTTGTGATTCGCGTACTTCGGCGGAGGCCAAAAAAGTCATGTACTGCTTGAATGCTCAAGATGTTGTACATGGAAGCAAAACGGAGAAAAGTTTGGGGGCAAGGGGTCCGGCTGTGGGATGGGTTTCTTTGCTGGTTGGGGGAATGCTTTTGTCGGGGATGTTTATTTGATGACAATGTGGTGTTGGGTTTTGCATTTTGAGATACCTATTTGCGATTTATGGAGTTTCGATGCATATTGTACATGTACATATATTCAATTAATATGGCTCAGACCAGAAGGCAATTCATCAGCCTTGGATCTGAGAGTTTCATATATGAATTTTGTTCTTCTACCATTTGACAATTTAAGATCTTTGAAGATATGCACTTCTTGGCAAGCCCCAATCAACTTGGCAATTACAAGCAACTGATCCATCGGCATGTCAGATCAATCAGCGCTTTTGTCCTTATAACGCAGGCCACTTCACATCATGCGCCATCGACCGAACTGCATATATCGGCCTGCATAACGCAGGTTTGATTTGAGAGATCCGATTGGACTGGTGAACCACGTACGTTCTAGTGATGAGAATTAATGACATTTTCAACGGAGAAAAGGAGAAAAGGAGAATCATATCATACAATCATTTATTAGACTGTTAGATCTGGCGATCGTTCTACGATACTTTTACCCGAACCCCAGCCAGACCCGAAGTCGTTCCAGTTGATTCGCGATATACCAGAATGTGGACAGAGTATATCCTTCCAATTATCCAATGGCTCAGGGGTTAGACGGGTGTTCAACCCACATCATCTCATTTAGCCGATTTATCAAATGTAACTCGAATATACCCGACTATGTTCACAGATTGGCCACGGAGTATCTCCGACCCCACGTTATCCCCCGCCATTATCCAAAGTAACCGTCACATTCATCCCACATATACAAATAAATGAAAGCTATTCTCTTCATAACAACCATATCCCGCAAACCAAGACAACAAATTATACACCCAAATATCAAAAATGGACTCCGTCAAAGGCAGAGTATACGCCGTAACCGGTCTAGGCGGAATCGGACTTGCCGTGGCACGCCAATTACACTCCCAAGGAGCCCTCCTTTCTCTCGCAGATCTGAGCGAAAAAGTCCTCACCACAGCGCGGGAGACAATCGAAGCCGAGTTTGGCTCCTCAACAGTCGAGACAATCACCACAACCGCGTTGGATATCAGTAACGTGAGCGCCGTAAAAGACTGGATTGACAGTACTGTCTCGCACTTCGGACGACTGGATGGCGCGGCCAATATGGCTGGCACGATTGGCAGGAACCATGGTACTGGCAAATTTGTCGATCAGGATGATGCCGAGTGGGATATGTTGATGCGTGTCAATGTCACCGGATTGATGTACTGTCTGCGGGCGCAGCTGAGGGCCATTACTGCAACTGCCCCTGGTGGGAAGGGCAGTATTGTTAATGCGTCGAGTATTCAAGGGCTGAGAGGGTTTGCGTTGCATGCTGGGTATTCGACTACGAAGCATGCTGTTACCGGGTTGACGAAGTCGGTTTCGAAGGAGGTTGGGCCGGAGATTAGGGTCAATGCTGTTGCGCCGTGAGTATTTGTGTTTGATTTTTTGGTGGATTTGACTAATTGGTTTGTGTTAGTGGTTCTATTCAGACACCTTTGCTGGAGATGGCGAAGGAGATCCAGGGCGGGATGAGCATTCCGCCGGTCAGTATCCCACGCGTTGGGACGAGCGAGGAGGTTGCTCAGACGGTTGTTTTCTTGCTCAGTGATGCTTCGTCATATACCACTGGACAGATTCTTAGTGTCGATGGTGGGTGGGAATAAGTTTGGTGTTTCAAGGGCATGAATTGGGTTTATAGCGCCATGGCTGGATATGCCAATGACATCCATTGATGAACGGAACGAAATGCTCGCTAGATGATAGACATTATGCCGGGAATCCAATCAAACGTCGCCTTGATATATGAATGCAATCGCTGAAAAGCACGAGGGAACGAGAAACAGGGCACGGGCACTGTTATAACCACTTGCCTATGCACAGCCATAAACCTATACACGAATCAGCATATAACACACATAAACATGAATGTTTTCATACCAAAAATGATCGCCAGATAACCCCCACTAGGAGGTCCATTAACGAGGGCAACATTTGCTGTGGCATTTTGGCCTCCAAAAGGCACTGGCCACCCATCCTTATAGTCCAGATAGTTCCAGCCAAGCTGAGATTGCTGCGAGAACAGTCAGTTAAAATCCCAGGCCCAAAGACAAAGATAAGGACTCACCCCATGTTCAAACCCAATCGACGTATTCAAATAATGATAGTAGAGAATATCCGGCACGGAATCATTCTTCCCATCCAAGACACCCAAACCACCAGGCGCATACACAACCCCATGATTAGAACCATAAACCACAGTACCACCACCCTCAACCAACGACTTCCCCTTCTTATCCTCAAAAGGCCCACGCACATTCTTCGACCTCCCAACACGAATACTATACTCCTTCCCACGCTTAGGGAACCCCTTCCGGAAGCTACAACAATTCCCATGACTAAACCAAACATAATAGAATCCCTCTCGAAAACTCATCCACACACCCTCCTCAGGCTTAGTCTTCGCACTCGGCATAAATGTCAACTGCACCGCATCCGGCCCAGTTGCATCCTTAACGGAAAGCAAATCATCCGTCAACGGCACCTGCCATATATCATGCCAGAAGCTTCCGTAGTTGAGATAAGACTGTCCGGAATCCCGATCGAGGATCACAGATGCATCGATGGCATTCGTGATCGTGTACGGCCAGACGCTGGACCCAGGGCCCTTGCCTGTATTGATGACAACACCGTGGTCGGTCCAGGGACTGCCGTCGAGGGATTTTGTCGTCGCGACGCCGATTGCGCTATTGCGTGACCCCTTTGCGCTGAGCGTGTAGTAGCAGTAGAAGGTGCCGTTTTTTTCGATTGTTGTTGGCGCCCATGGTCGGGAGCGATTGCCTTTGTGGATTATGCTGTCGCCGGCGAGAACTGTGCCGAGCTTTTCCCATGGGCCGGATATGTTGGCTGCTTTGAAGATTGGGATGTTGATTCCGCCTTTGAAGAGGTAGTAGTTCTCATTGTGGAGGATGATGTTTGGGTCGTGGGCTGGAATGTTTCCTGGATTTGCGAGGGGGAACTTGTCCGTTGTTTTGTATACTTGTTTGAGGTTGTTGTCCCGAGCTTCGGTTGGTACGGACCCTGCCAGCGGGGCTGCAATCGCGATGATTATTGATATGAGGAGTGGGAGGTGATGCATCGTCGGGGTGGTTATGTACATTGGGTTATATCGGGGATGTAGGGATTATTTGAGGGAGATTGGCCTGGCTGCCCGGGGGGTTGGGAGTTATCAGATCGTGATACACATGCCTCCGCTTTGGTCTTTAATGTTCAATGCAGTGAAAAGGGGTAGAGAATGTAGTAGTATAAGAGGAGATATAGAATTGAAGGAAGAAACACATGGTATAATAATGTAAGGGAAAGAAAAAAGAAGCACCCTTATCAAAGTCAATTGCACAGCCAAGTGTTTTAGTTTTTTTAGTTTTTGTCTTGCGCAGATCGGGATCAAATCCACTTCTATATTTGGGTACCTAAAGATACCTAACTCCACAGCTGTTCTCTACCTTGTATGGATGTACCCTCAAGTACTGAACCCCCGGTCTCGCCTGCATGTCTATTTCCCATATTAATAATATTGCTTATATTTCCTGTTCCTTATTACTATGACATACAACAGACAAATATTGCACAGAACTAGGCCAATTGATTTGAATATCCCCACAATAGCTTCGACGATCAATAGCCAATAAGTCCTCGCGCTATTAGGCAAGGCAGCAACGCAACTGTCAACGCTAACTAAAAAAACATACTTTCAGATAACATTCGGCATAAAAATCAATGCTAAATGTGACATTGTTTTCTATTTCTTTTGTCTGACCTGCACCCCCTTGCATGCCGTCAATGCTGATCTCTCCGATCATGATCTCATGGTGGACCCAACTACATGACAACATCCATAATTACGCAACGAAATATGAATGACCGCATTGCGACTAGATTTCTTGATATTTAGTATGGGTATTCAGCAAGTTCAACTATGTACAATGGTAGGGGCATAGCAAATCCAAAAGACGAAGCGTTTATCGTACAGTGTCCGTATAAAAAGTCAAAAGCCTGATCCAACCGCTCAGCCTAACAGGGGAACGTCATACTTGTCAGATCCTCCCAATCGAAGATCTCCAAGAAAGGATCGAATTCGTCAGGGCGCTGGGAACTCATAGTTAGCACGAAAGAAGACAGGAACCAAGGAGAGAATGCAACTCACTAACACGCCAGGTTGCGGCGGCGGGAGCATCCCATTAGGATCAAAATCGGGCTGCATCACAGGCACCATTGTTGGAGCCGCCATAAATGCAGCCAGCTGGTTGTTCTTGAAATTACCTACCCCTTTGTCGCCGAGGTGGTCGCAATTCATGTGCCGAGAGAAGAGAATCTGCGCAAATGACAGGACCCGTTCGACAGCCTGCTGCTTGTACATCGTTGCTTGTGACGGCCAGAGTCGGGCTTTGACTAATGCGACGATCGTTGAGAGGAAGTAATAGTCTTTTGCTCCCTTGGCCATCAAAAGAGAGCGCTCTTCCAAGGCGATCAATGCTGTTTCTACGAGTGATAGGAGTGATTCGGGGATTCCAGGTATATTGTGGAGAATGAAAGTTGATGAGACGGGATAGGAAGGGGCAGCTGCGAAGTGTGAGTTAGTGCTCTCATGGTCAAGTATTGAATCGCAGGAAAGACTTACAGGTGTCGGGTTCGGTTATGTGTAACAATTGGCAGATGGAAATGTAGGCGTGGATAGTCCATTCGCCAAGCATACATAGCGATAACGTTCGCGAAATCTCGTGTAGCTGGCGCTGTGTGGACAATATTCTGGTTGCAGCATCCATGCGAGTACGCGCAGAGGGTGCAAATAGGGATTCTCGTCGTGCTTCAATGGCGAAAGGGGTGTGGACAGACAGTAGAGTCTGGGAAAGCTTGGTCTCAATCAACCCTTTCCACAATATTACTTTGTGTTGCGTGGCAATGTCGTTGGGGTCTACCGTCGCCCACGAAGGAATCCGAGAAAGATGACGGTTGAGCTCACCGTCCAGGCGCTGAATATCCTCATATCGACAGCTGATCCGTGGGGAGTGCATGAGAGAACATGCTTGAAGGCGAAGAGGTAGCGAGTGACTCAGGATAGACTGGAACGATGAGTCGGTAACTTCGCTCAGTGGCCAGCTTTGGGGAACCTCAGTACTATTCTCGTGGATCTCGTGGTCGTAAATGTTCAGCCCCGGAGCTGCATCATAGTCAAAGCTTTGTACTGACGGTGGCATTCCCCGGTCAAGAGCAATTTGCAGGTCCAGTTCCACAATTGTGGTCCATATTCGCCGTCGCATCTCTTTATTGAATACAGAGATCCGTGTGTACCGGCTTGGATCGCGATGGTATCCTGCCATCATTGCTTGCTTGACCAATGTACTTGTAGTGAGCCAAGCCTGGCTGCGTTTCATTCCGTGAGAGTTGCGCGCCATGATCAATAAAATAGACAGTCTCATTGACGTGATCTCCGGACGTTTGGTGTGAAGATTCTCGATCCACTTTTCTGCGTGCAGCGTCCACTCCATTGCAGACTGGCACTTGAGTTCGCCCACACTTTTTGACTGTAGACTAGAAAAATCTGCAAGGTTCCATGCGCAGGCAAGAACCAACAGTACCTGAACTGTAAAGGCAGTAGATATTGAAGCCGGGCTGTCTAACATGGCCCAGAATTGGTCAAGCTCTCTTAAGAAGGATGGTACATGAAGAATGCGGTGAGTGGACTCGATATAAGTGATATACAGCCCGACCAACTCATCAACCACGCCGCGCGAGGGCAGCATACTAATTAGCGAAGCCGTCGTAGGGTCGGGGAAGGGCCGATTGAGCACCATAAGTTTGAATAGCCCACGCTTAACCCTTCTCAGATCCGGCTGAAGTTGCGCGAAAATCGGAGTAGAAAGCCTGATCTCTTCTGCAAATGATCTTATATCCGGAAACTATGAATATGTCAGCCTCCGTGTTTTGAATGCCATTGGCAATTGTAATATAAAGAGCAGAAGGGGGAAGGGGAATGCAGACCTGTGCAACTAGACTAGCAAAGATACCCGATCCGCTGAACCGGGTTTTAGTTTCACGGCCCCTCATCATCATGCGAGGAGCGAGGTCTAGCTGGTCCGAAGGTGACAGCGGGTCCTCTTCTTCGTCAACGTGCGCATAGTCGACTTGCGACGGTGCTTTCATATTCTGCTCTGATGCGGGGGCGGGACGCTTGGGACGCTGTAAACCCATGTTCACGTAGGGTTCCTGATTAACAGCAGCCTTAGGAGCACCGAGCACAGTTTCCAAAAAGCAGTCCTTTCGCTCTCTGTCGTGTGGTCGACCTCTGTAAGGGGGCGCAAGAGCATGCCCCGTAAGTCCATGATATTCGTGATGCATTGGACTGCCAGCCATAGCCAGGCGAGGAGGTTCACTAGCTGGGAAAGGCTCCGTCCGAGTTGACACTGTCGGTATTCCCGAATCCGGAGGTGTGTCAATTGGGGTATCTCTAGGCATAGATAGCGTGGACCTTTGGTCGGTAGTAAATGCAGTAGTCGCGACAGTGGTCGGTTGCTGCCATAAGAAGCCATCCTCATATGTGCATTTGCTCGGGGTTCTGCTCTTTAAACAGCGACTGCAAGTGGGATACTCGCGATCGCATCGCAACTTGCGCGTGCGACACTGCGTGCACGCCATTGTGCGGCGGCGACGCTTGCGCACGCGTTCCGGCTGGACATTCCCTTGAACGTCCATATACTCGGTGTTGGAGACAAGCTCGGGGTATACTGAGAGTTCTTACGTCCGAGATGTGTGGGAAGTTCTGGGAATTGGCTCAGCTCCGGCTTACGTGGTCCCGCTCTGCGACCGTGGGACCGCCCAATGCGGAAAGTCTGACCGACGTCGCGTGGTTTTTTTTGTTTTTTTCAATTACCTTTTTGTTTTTTTTAATTTCTTTCTTCTTTTTGCTTTAGAATTTATCTTCTTTTTCTTCAGGACATGAATATTTTCTTTCAGATCTATTTTTCAACCCACAAAATATTAGGCCCCATATGCCGGACACCGGAACGCCTTCAAGGGGCTATGCGCTTGGTTTGGGTGGATTGACTAGCTTCCTGTCCTTCAAACTTGGCAATTGAAAATCTTCCAAGCCCTACCGGAAAATATTCAAGCATCAGCAATGGACCACTACATCTCTTGGCAATCTCTAGGCAACAACACGCGATAATCCCCAATATTGGTCCAGTTCCGAATCATGAGAATAACCATCACCGCCAAGACGTTGTCCGCGTTTATGGATTCCTTTGGTTTGCTCACCATGCTCGTACGAATAACCATGTAGTACTTAGTGCATGCTTCCAACCTTGGAAGTTTCATTTGATTATTAATCAAAACATGGGGCTATATGAGCCTTGGAAATTAACACCAGGTTCTAAAAGTCCGTTACACCAGACAGTAGGTGCTACTTCCCAAAGACGTGACGTTCCGGTTGAGGGCAAGTGTTCTATACGCGGATCTGATAAGATATGGCTGTACATGTCGGGATCAACGGCCAATTGCCGCGAAAGTTAGCAGAATGTGACGTGTATCTCAAGCTTGGTGATTCCACGTGGTAGATGCAGATCAAATGGATGTTGGCTGCAAGTCTCCGCCTTAGACTAAAACTAAGCCCTAGTATGAAACGGGGCCCCCGAATGAATCTTCTCCACTTAGCTTCAGCCCTAGAGAGATCCCAGTCTGGAGATAGCGCAGTCAGCTCGGACTTCGGCCTTTTCGACCGGACTCAGCGCATATTTCGGAGATACTGGGGTATTATCGTATGAATATATCTTTAGTTCCTCTCCAGGCAACCTCCAACTTCAAAAACACCTAACACCTAAACTCAACCTCACTTTCAACCTCCCCTTCGTAACTTTATCACCCCTTCGATCATGCTGCGTTCCTTGCTTTCCTTGGGCCGCACGGGCGCCAGCGCCGACGAGTACCTTTTTCCCAAAGTGGATCCCAAAGAGGACGGCCCTGAATGTTTAAAAGACTGCGCCGACTGCACAGTACAGTTTCCGTCGAAAGTGAAAGTCGAGACCTCGAGACCTCTTTATGGTCAAATCAAAGAATTTCAAGCTCATGTTCTCGTAGCAACGGGCCAATCCGACTGGAAGGAAAAGAACGTTGAAAATATGACAGGAAGCTTAATGGAAGCATTCGATGGGGTGAAGTCAGACCACGGTGTAAGTTCCGAAATTCACATATAGCCTACCTCCACTAACACCCGATCCAGCACATTAAAGTCTCAGCATCAAATCTCACTGCAGAACAGCCAACCACAGACGACAGTTCTAAGCAAGGCACAAAAGTACTGATTCTACCATCATTCACATACATCGACTCCGTCACACAATCAGACGTTCCAGACCTAATAGCCAGATTCATCGACCACCCTGTCGACCAGAAAAATGGAAACGGCATTTCCTCTCCCACGAATGGGTTGAGCGCTCGACCCTGTGAACTTGACTATGTGATTCTACTCTGCTCACACGGACGCCGAGATGCGCGCTGCGGTATTACAGCGCCACTTATCAAGCGCGAGCTAGAGCGACATCTTCGCCCGCTGGGTCTGGACCGAGATGCAGATGATTCCCGGGCTGGTGGGGTGGGCATTTTCTTCGTGTCGCATGTCGGTGGGCATAAGTTCTCTGCCAATGTTTTGATTTACCGCAAGACAGATCAGCAAATGATTTGGCTTGCGCGTGTACGACCTGAGCATTGTGAGGGAATTGTTAAGTACACTGTTCTACAGGGGAAGGTTGTGTATCCTGAGTCACAGTTGAGGGGTGGGTTTGATCGGGTGAAAGGGTTGACAAGTTGGTAACTGGGAGAGCTGGTTTTGATTTAATGATGATCTTTAATGCGTTCATAGCGCGGGAAATAGGAAACGCCAGAGTCTTTGGGCAAGAATTGAACGATCAGTACTATGTATTACAACCCTGTCGCTCTTGGGGGGTAACATAAAGTTTAGGAGTCACAACGATCAAACCAGAGCTTCTTGCCCTTCAGAGCAGGTTCCAAAAAAGTCCAACTCTTTTCACCACCCCCATAGCATCAATATAAAATTCCACTGGGAAGGGCAGCAACAGATTAAGTCCTGAACTATGGATGCTACCCACGAAATGTTCCCCGCTTGCATGAACAAGAGAAAGTTCACACGGAATGACTCGATCTCGCAGGTCAGCAGTGAGTTCACCATTGCTTATTTGGATGGTAAAATTCACACCCATGGGGTGTCTGTATGTTCCAGCATATCCGGACATATGCACTGCACATGGAATCACAGGATCAGGCAAAGAAGAGAACAACCGTTTCTTCGAGTCCTCCATATCTTCATGTTTAAAACTCGACTCCCATGTCTCAGTTTGTCTTGCAATACAAGCATCAATCTGCTCCTCGTATTTCGGATCATCCGACAGACCAAGCCGCCTATCCAAAAGATAAGTGGCCAATCTGAACGCAGCATATCGAGCCGAGGAGGAATTGCCCATAACCACAAATCCAAACTTCTTCTCGGGAACGAAGCCCACCCAGTTGCCATAGCCAGGCCAGCCACCGGCATGACTATAGAAATGCTGACCGCGGTAGTTATCCACGACCCATCCGAGCGCGTACCCATGGTACGGAGCCGGCAAATTCAAATCATCGTTCTGGAAATATATCGTCCGCGGATCTGTCAAGCTGTCATGTCCTTTCAGCGGCCCCGTTTTTTCAATCAACTCCCGTATCCAACGGGCGTAGTCGGCAACGCTGCTGATGATAGCACCAGCACCACTGTTAGCAGCCCAGTCATTCTGTGGTTTTGGAATGAACGTTCCGCCATCATTCGTAGGAGCCCAGTCGTACGCTTGCACAAGTTTTGCGGCAGTTGATGGGTTTGCCTTTGCTTCGCTTGGCGAGAAGAATGTTTCGCTCATACCGAGCGGGTCCCAGATGCGTTTCTTCATGAACGGTCCCAGCTGTTCGCCGGTGTGTTGCTCCAACGCATGCGACACAGCAATGAACATGTGATTGCTGTAGTGGTATTTGGTGCGCAGCGGTGACGCGAGGGGCATGTATTGCATCGTGCGGACTACTGAGCGCGGCGCTTGGCCCTTTTTTGGGAATAGAACCAACGTCCAGTTATGATCTGGCATACCCGACCGATGCGATAGCGCATCTTCAAGTGTAACATTCTTGGTCGCGTAGTCGTTCTCCAGGACAAAGTCTTTTGGGATAAGAGAAGCCACAGGCGTGTCCCAGTCGATTGGAGACTCGGTGGCCTTGCTCTCCTGGATTGCTATGGAGGTCGCAGCACCGGTAAAAGCCTTGGTGGTGCTACATGCTGCGAATAACGCTTCAGTGGTCATATCTCGTTGTGGTCGTCCTGTGCTGGGATTTGGCAGTTCTGCCTTTCCATATGCCTATACTCTGTGAGCATTTGAGAGATCAAGCGGGTCGACGGTATTACCTTGGTGTACGTATTGGGGCCGTGAAGAACAGCGATACTCAAGCCGGGGACTTTCCATTTTTCCAGTTGCTCTTTTACGAGAGCATCAAACTCGCCATCGAACGGGCACTGCTCGGAGGACACGGTCATTGTCAAAGAATTATCAATGTGATGATGATGGACTAGGTTGCTAGAGCCGGTTTTATCAGTGGCACCAACGCTAGGCAGAGTCATTCTGAATCAGCTCACCCCACACGTCCGAGGCTCCACACTACGGGGGAGTCCGAGGTCATTGGAACTAAGCCTATATTGGCATTTCTGACAGGCCAAGTTGCAAATAAACCGTCAGCCTAATAGGCAGACAAAATATTATCAATGCATGGTATTCGCTCAAACGCTCATAGTAATAACAGCTCTAACTAGATCACAAGTACATGTTCACCTAGAGATTTAAACATGTCCCACCAATCCCCATCATGCCGTGGTGACTTCCATAAATCCTCCAACGCCGCGCGAACCAACAGTACGGAGTTGAAGCGCAAATATTTGTATATAAAATCAAGTCTCTCCAAGACGAAGGTCTGCTGATCGTGCAGGAAAGTGTGGGCGCCCACAATGTATAATGGAAAAATTATACAGTTATGAGCCTTAGAAAGAGGCGAGATGCTTTTGATACACTCCACACATGACTGAACATGCTGTTGTACCAAGCAATGCCTTGGTGGAAGGCCACAGATTGCTCGGTATAGGTAGACGAGCGCACTATGTTGAAAAGCACGCGTGAAGGAATCGGCCTGCATCCTGGATTCAAGCGTCGATTCATGCACAGTATAGGTATTGGGGTGTTCGATATGGTCAAAATTGAGGGTCTGGAATGACGGCTGTAGACACCGCTCAAAATCTCGCACCACTTCCATTGAAAGTGTCTCTGGGTCTCCTCTGATTTGCTGGCGATACAATGACATTTCTGCCAGTATTCTAAATACTGATGCCAGTGTCGTGCCGTTGTATGTTTCCTGATCCCACCACACCGTCCCGTGCTCTATCTGTGTCCAGATTTCAGCGGGAAAGCAAGGAGCTCGGTCGTCCAGCAGAGCCTTTGTCAGGTCTGTGGATGCAAACTCTGATAGTAGCATAGTGATATCTTTTTGGCCCATTTTGATAAGAGCTGTGAAGCCTCCAAGATGATCAACAATCGCTTGGACGCCCACGTGATGACTTGCTGTCGAGGCAGATGGGTGACCACATTCAATAAAGCCGTCCAAAAAATAGAGCAGAAAGACTGCGATCAGCAGGGGTGAAAGTGATGCGTGGTTGGAATTATTCGTTCGAAGCTGCTCCCTCACTGAAGCTAGGCAGCTCATTCTTTTATCAAACGGTGCGCTCACCGTACTATTCCCAGTCTCGTCCCGCAGTGTGCGATGTGCCTCGGCCAATTCACACACCGCCAGTAGCACCGGTTGACATTCCATTGCTAGAGGTATGGGTGGCGGGCAAGGATGAGCGGAAGTGGTGAAAAGAGGCCATACAGCGAACTGAAAGTATTCAAGAGCCTTGAGATCCCCAATGGCCAAGGTATTGTCTGTTAAGTGCATATTGAGACTCATGAATGGAGATTGGGACATTGTCAGGCTTTGTGTTGTTGGAGTCTTTTTCCATCTGATCAAAAGCTTGTCGTAACAGCACTTTGCTCCAGACGAGACACATCTCTGGCATAAGGGCTTCCCAAGATCACATTTCACCCGGCGATGTTTGCAGGGCCAACACGAGCCTTGAACCGTACGCTCACGTTTTGGGGGCATAATTGTACAACTGTCATTGCGGTACAATAGACAAAAATGGGAGTAAATAAGTGTTGGGGTCGGATAACCGAGGAAGCGGAGACAACTGATAAGGATTGCGGGGAATGGTCACATGACATCATGTGACCACACCACATTGAAGATACGCTTATCTCCTGAAGTCTTGAAGTTGTAGGAGATTTTCCATCTCAGCATTATATCAATAATAGTTGGGCTTTGGACAAATTTTTGAGAGAAATAACTACCTAGCTCAAACTTGCTGTCAATGGAAACTTGCTGATTATCTAGGGATATATTCAAATTGTCTTTTCTTTCCTTTTGAGCAAAGAGAACACGAAGTATATTTGTTGAACGCACACATTGGGGCTTATCGATTTCACCATGCGATCTTACAGCCGTGCACTGGACTTGTCAACTTCCCCTGCCACCTCGAGTATGTCATTCCTATCTTTCTCAAGGCGAGCTTGAGTAGTCTCAAAGATCTTCGGGATCCCAGATTCAGCGAACGGGATCCCCTTCGAAACCATGGCTGCAACACCCTTGCCGGAAAGCCATGCCTGTGGCATTCCATGACCGGTGAACCCAGCGATGATAAACTGTCCCTTTTTCCCGGGGACTTGTCCAATATGAGGCAAAGAATCTGTGGAGTAGCCCATAACTAGCAAAAGGTCATATCAGCATAGTTTTCCACGGATTGGAGGTGCTCAGGTGTCTAAGACATACTTCCAGTCCAAATCTGATCCACATATGCGCCACTTTCTTCCCAGTCATGGAAGTTGCGTTGCATATAACCATCAAAATACTCCTTGGCAGGCTCGATCATTTCATTGTCGTTGACATTATTGTACCAATCTCCCGTGTTCCGGTAGTACTTACTCCAAGCACCACCGACAATCACGCTTCCATCTTCACAGGGGATGAGATAGTCGAATTCACTCCATGACCATCGGAGAGTGTATGTCTCGGTAAGCCTTTTCACTGGGCGAGCTGGAACTATTCTGCAACAAACTCCGCGCACTGGAACAATTTTGTCTGAGTACATGGGTAGAACAGCCGATGTATAAGCATTGCTGGCGAAAACAACGTGTTGCGTTTTGATAGCGCCCCGTGGTGTGTCAACAATCCATTGACCAGAGTCATCGTTGGCGGATGAGATATTCTGTGCTGGAGTATGCGTAAAAAGTTTAACTCCTTGTTCAACACAACGGCCAAGAATGTGCAGGACCAATTTGTAGGGCCAGATATGGCCTGCTTCATAGCTAAAACAACCTTGAGCTCCCTTGACACGAGATCTCTGGACACAATTAATTAGTATTATATTCAAATGGCCTTTAGTATTGGAAGCGCTCACCAGTTCCGCTTCACTTTGATCCGTGAAGCTGACCCGCTCGGCCGATTTGACGCCAATTCCTGGCAAACGATCAAAGCTAGATTTGACTTTTCTGCACTCTTTGGCATTTAGCTGGACATCAATTGCTTTTGTCACGACGAGGTGGCAATCAATCTTTTCCGACTTCACAAGATTGCTAATTGCATCAACGTGAGATCGCTCAAACTCAGCTACCTCTTCAGCTAGTTCTGGGCCGTACTCTGCGGCAAGCTGACTGATGAAGCTGTACGGATCTGGCTTTAAATGACCACCTGGTTGCATTGTGTCAGACATAATAGCAGATGATCACTATCAGTAGGTGACTTACCGTTTCGACCAGTTGCCCCGGAGCATGCTTGACGCGCCTCCAGTATGGTCACTTTTGGTGGATTGGGTCCTCTGTGCTGTTGCAGGATATGATATGCAACTGAGGCGCCCGATATTCCAGCTCCAATAATCACAATGTCCGATTCTGTTGGTACGGATTTGGACGACACGTAGTCGTCAAGATGGTGCAGTTGGGTCCTCCACCAGGATGGTAGGGCATGTTGAGCTGGCGTGGCGGCCATTTTTGTGCGTTATCTGGAATTTTAAAAATGACAATTGTAATGGTAAACACGAAGGAGAGGGCTGGTGAAACTGCAAAGTTCCAGATACAAAAGCGGGTGCAATTTATAGCTGATTTGCCCCATACATAATATGCCCGATCACTTTCCGGTGGTCAATTTACTTGCCGAATTGGCAATTTCTATGAGCTCGAGCTAGCAGGGATTATTTTAGATTTCAGCAAACTAGCAAACTACGACAAAACAGGCAATTTTACAGTCCAGATAGCGTACTTTGGTGAAAGAGTTTGCGGGGTTGTCGGCAATACTACTTCAAGCAATTATCCTCCAATGAACATCCTTGCTAACCTCATCTTCTACGACATTTGAAGGTTTTTCGACGATACTTGTGCCTAGTGCCTTTGCTAGACAGAATCAGGAATGTAGATTGACCAAAATGTAGGGAGATTAATAAAACGAAAAGATATGGATGTATATATATTTTGCGGTCTATGCAGAATGGAGTGCTTATAGTTCTCCAGTCTTCTTTACTCCCACCTTGATACAACCATACAAACTACTCAACATGGACGAAGAGAAATCCTCTACCATGGAAAAGTCCGACTCGAGTCACATAGCCTCCCACGATGCTGAAGGTCTGGGTACAATGGGCCATGTCCAATCTCTGTCGCGCAAGTTCAGCCCATGGAGCATGCTCGCCCTCTCATTCAGCGTTCTCGGAACCTGGGCGACTTTCGCAGTTGATCTCTCCAACGGCCTAACCAATGGAGGACCTATCACAATTCTATACGGCCTCCTTCTTGTCACGTTCTGCAATCTCTGCGTGGCTCTTTCTTTGGGTGAGCTGTGTAGCAGCATGCCCACCGTATTAGGACAAGCCTACTGGGTCTCCCGCCTTTGGAAATCCCCACTAGGTCGCTTCGTGTCTTACTCTTGCGCTTGGATCAATGTGTTTGGGTGGTGGACTCTTGCTGCATCACAAAATGCATTCATGACTGAGATTATTCTTGGACTGAAGACAGTATCCGATGAAAATTGGACCGGGACAAGTCTGGGGTGGTTGAAGTTTGTGATTTACGTTTCTATTACTATGCTGATGACATTCTCGAATGTCATTGCTTGTCGCAAAGATTGGATACTCCGTTGGTTCAATAATCTCGTTGGGGCTTGGTTTGGAGGAGAGTTTGTTCTTTTCGCTCTTGCTATACTCATTGCAGTCGGTGTCAATGACGAGCTGTCATTTCAACCACCTTCGTTTGTCTTCGGACGATGGATCAACGATACTGAGTGGAGTGATGGCGTCGCCTGGTTTATCGGCCTCGTGCAGTCCGCTTATGGGTTGACAGCTTTTGACGCTGTGATTCACTTGATTGAGGAACTCCCATCTCCCCAGAAGAATGGCCCGCGAGTTCTTTGGCTTTCGATCGTATCGGGTGCAACCTCAGGTGGTATTTTCATGATCGTCTGCCTTTTCTGTATTCAAAACTTGGAGACCGTTTTGGACCCCGCCTCGGGACTGCCTTTTGTGGAGCTTGTGAGGCAGACTGTCGGACCTCAAGGCACAATTGCGCTTTTCAGTATATTTGTATTCAACATGCTGGGCCAAGGTGTCAGTATTACGACAACTGCGTCTCGTTTGACATGGGGATTTGCGCGTGATGGTGGTCTCCCATTCAGCACCTACCTGACACATGTCGATACTTACTGGAATGTTCCAGCACGGGCGCTCTGGGCTCAAGGTGTGATCATCTCTTTGGTGGGCGTCCTATACTTCTTCACAGAGGCTGCTGTGGATGCAGTAGTCAGTGTTTCCACAATTGCTTTGACTATATCATATGCACTGCCGATATTTGCAGTTGTGGTTTTCGGAATGTCTGATATTCCGCTTGGAACATTTTCTCTTGGGCGCCTGCGCCCTGTGATCAATTGGGTTGGACTGATATATTGTTGTGTCACTACAGTGTTCTTCTTCTTTCCTGGGAGCCCATCTCCTAGTGTTGTCACAATGAACTGGGCGATTGCAGTCTTTGGGGCGATGCTGCTTGTTGCAATAGGGTTCTGGTTTACGAAAGGGAAGCGCACATATTTGCGAACAGACGGTGCCTTGGGCGAGGTATTCCGCGCTGCGCAACTGGAAGTTCTAGATACATAGTGTGTGAATTGCGATAAGGGTCAATAGATCGATGACAATGCAAGTAGATCGGACTTTGTATCCTGATTTCTGACAAAGATAGGTAAACGGAGGTACATAGAAGAAATCACCTAAGATCTCATTGGGACAACTGGAAAATATGCTGTCACCAGAAGGAGTACTATATGTAGATAATAAGTATACGTAATATGAATTTCAACAATGTAATCAGACAAATGTACAGATAAGTGTTGCGTCGTTACGGATACTATGGAAGGGCTTGGCATAATAAATGTGGGTCCACAACGTGGCTCGAACCCCCGGCTCTAATGTGGATACTACCCGTACAGTAGGTCCAATTATATCGTTTCTACAGTACAAAAGCCCCACACCCTGGGACCTCTATATTGGACGTCGAAGGAAAACAAATAGGTATCTTCTCTTTGATTGCGCGTGTCATCTTTAGTGCAGGGGCCATGCTAATCTTCTCTGTATATCTTTAGTTGACCATATGCCCCGAAGGGCGAAATGTCTATTGGTCAAGTGCAATATGACCTCACTTTTGTGCAGAAACCCACCGCCTGCTTATTTGGGATATATACATTATCGCGGTGGCAGAATCAGACCGCCTACCGGTTTGGTCTGATTTTTGATTAGGTCGCGTCGCGTGACGCGCATCGATAGATTTACGGCCAGACTGCTCTTCTTCCAGGTTGTCTTGTAACACGTACAATGCAATAATGGCCGACAACGTTCTTACTTCCAGTGCTGAGGTCGGCGCCCAAGCTATCAATGTTCGTGCAGAATTAAAAACATGGGAGAAAGCCTTCGCGTCGGCCAACGGGGGCCGCAAAGCCGGACGCAATGATATCAAACAAAACGCGGATATCGGTAAGTCGAGATTCTCATGCGGCATGGTATTTAATATGACATAAATTACTAATTCCAAATATTCTTGCATTAGCGGCTAAATACAAGGAATACAGTCGCCTCAAGGCCCTTGAGGCATCCCTAAGTCGGCGGGAAAACAGTCGACAGGAGCCATATGATAGTAACTCGAAAAAGCGGAAACATGCATCTCCCCCCGGTCAGGATGGTGCATTTCTTCAAGTTACACCCCGTAAATCGTCCAGGGGACTCTTTGCAACGCCATCCAACAATCGCACCAAACAACACCCTGCACAACTCGATCCGTATGACTCGCCGTCAACTCTTCGCAGACTCTTTAGTCCAAGCACACATAGGCAAGGACCACCAGCACCTTCACCATTCAAAGTCGCAATTGGACCTACGCCCCAGCGTGATGGAAAGACATTGGGCCTATTCGACATGCTATCTGAATCTGGTGGGAGTGGCGGGACGCCTTCTGCCACAAGGCAATCAAATAACCTAACAGCCGCGTTTCGAACACCCTCCAAAAGAAGGCCCGTGAACACGATCCCTGAGGATCCGGAAGAAGAAGCTCAACAGGAAACGCCCAGGCTTGCGCGAACCCCTGCATCTGAGACCAAGCAGTTCTATCTTGCAAATCTATTCGCAACACCGACGACGATGCGTTATGCCGCCATAGTAGAAGCAGAGGATGACGCAGATGCACAGAAGATGAATTTGCTAAACCCTACGGCTGAAATATCACCGCAAGAAGCGCAGTCTGGGACACCATCTTTCCTCCGTCGCTCCAACTCTGGTCGATATCCTCCACCTAATGCAAAGCATGATGGTCCAGGTCTCAGTCCTATTGTTTCACGCAAGCCCCAAAGATTTGCCAGCAAGGGGCTAACGCATTTAGTCCAAGGACTGCGGGACATGGAGGAGGATCGTATGGAAGACGACTGGGACGTGATGCGCGAGATGGAGGAAGAAGCGGAGGCAGAAGAAGCTGCCAAGATCCAGATTGAGGATAGTCAGGCACCAGACGTGAACCGAAAATACAAGAAGAAGGGCCAGAAGCGGACGACTCGAAGAGTGATTATGAGACCGGTTATCCATCAGCCGAAGCCCAAATCAAACCCAGCTCCTGCGATGGAGGACTGGGAACACGAGGACGAAGTTCTAGCAGTTCCGGAAACGCAACAGCTACCTGCTGCCAATGATGGCTGGGATGATGTCCCGAGTGATATTGAGCGAGCGGACGAGGCCGCTTCCCTTCATACCATGTCGGAGCCCGAGCTTGATACTGAGGCCGAGTTTGATCCGGACTCGGATGATGATCCCGAATTTGGAGAACAGCCAAAGCCTGTTGCCAGACCGAAGACTTTCTCGGAGAGAATCAAGGAAGCTGTTTCGTCTGCCGCGAAGCCGCAGGAACAAGAACCCCTAGGCAAACCTCCAAAGAATCCTTCCGAGACTGCCGAAGCGAAGAAACCCCGTGGCCGGAAGATCAAACCCGAAGCTCATGCGAACTATCGATCAATGAACATCAACAGAGGGTCCTCGCGGGCTAGAGGGCGTTTCCGTCGGAAGTAACAACCGGGCAGCTCTGCTTGTGTTTCATGAAATGACGACTACATTCATATATCTTTAGCATACATAGCATTTTCCCTTTAAGAAATTCATAGCGTATCAACACCCAGTTCTGATAACTACATAATACATTATGAACTAAACACTGAAACAATACCGAACAATAGTACATAACCAGTTACTGATTAGATCCAACGAAAAATGTTGTTGGCATCGCAAAAAAATCTAGAGCTCGTTCTTGCAGGCAGATGTCCCTCGCGGGTCTCGCTTTCCTAACGCAGATCACTCTGTCTCACTCCAATACGCATGGTGGCTATTGGAGTGTGTGAGATCCCAGGTAGCCATAGCGAAAGCCGCAGTGGAAGTCGTCGGTTCGATTCCATTGAGTCCATGATTTTGGACGGATGTCCTGGCAGCTTAGGCTTCCGAGTGATGAGGACCAGCATATCTCGGACGGCGCGATCTTCCTCGCGAGATTGATGTACAGGAGTCACACTGTGTTTATAGCTGATGTCGGCGAACATCAAAGTACCTAAAACGTGGGGATGCTGCAATCGGTCGAGGATGAAGGCAGGCTTGGCTTCATACCCCGAGTCCCCCGTGGTTTCACTGTTATCATGGACAAAGGTGATTCCGCTGTCTTTGCGAAGATTTTCGGAGCGCAGCAACACTATCATTGTCTGATCCCCGCCATCCTGATGCACGCCTTTCAGAGCGGGATAACCCTGGATGTCCTTCTCAGTGAAGGTGCGGAGGTTGAAATAATTACAGTTCAGCTATGACTAGCATAGTCAAGACCCTGGCGCTGTTCCAAAGGGAATCCTTGCATCATGATTCATGATTGACTTGAATACCACCGACTCTTGGATAACGGTGTTGTGCTGGAATGTAGAGCCCACAGGTAGAAAATCCCGAGCGACTCCCGAGTCATGACACTTGTAGTTATCCTCCTCTGTGAGAGGAAGATCCAATCTTCTAGTCGCATTGCCTCACGTTTCTTGGGATCAAGAGCAAACCGGCCCAGCCCAATGTTCCGATAATTTACAGTGGGATCTTTGCCGAGATGATTGCTGACGAGCCTCATGTGTTCGAAATCATCATGTCTTGCACCGAGTCCCAGCAGCACTGGAATGAGTGCTTCGCCTTTGATGAAAACTCGCTTTTCTTGCATATATATGGCTCGGAATTCCAAGATCTTGGTCACCGTCACGTAAAATTCGGCCGATTGCAGTCGATTGAGTACATTGAGATCATCCCGCGACTGAGACTGATGTTGACATGTCTATCTACATGTATGTTATAACGCCTCGGGGTTGGAACACCACTCCGATCCGGACGTACTTCCCGCCTCCCACTTGAAGACAGAGCGAGGGAGAAAGTACGAAAGAGATCAGAAGATTCTTCCCCGACAAAAAGCACAATTCTTACAGTTCAATATATAACATATGATAACCAGAGATTGACTTATTTTCCTACATGGTTATCAAATTTGTAGATGTAACACCTCCATGTAAAGCTGCATATTTAATATGGATTATATCGCTGTTGCGCCTGCTGCAGCCGCCTGGAGCGATCAATCGCCTCTTGAGACCTGGACCTGTACGGTCTTCGGGACCTCTGTGGCCTACTCCGAGTGTTAACAGGAGTCGGTCTACGACCCGGGCCCTCAGAGTCCCTATACCCTCCGTCAGACGTACTCCGCGGAGTATTCGAGTACTGGACATGACGATCCCAGTCCTCCAAAGAATTATACGGACTCCTCAGCCACGCCTGTAACTCATGGAGGAACAGACAGGCATTCTCACGACCAATGAAATCACGCAACAGCTCCTCCGCCTGTCCAGCGCTGCCTTTGAGATCGACCGTGCGCAAGATAGCGATGACATATTCCAGCAAGAACTCGGCATTGTTCGCCCTGCGATTCTCCAGCCGTTCAGGTCCAGGTCGCGGGACCTGGTGAGTTGTCCGCTCTACTTCCTCCGGTTCCGGGTTCAGGAACGAGAATACTCGTAGTTCGCGGCGGATCCATTTCCGAGCGCGCGAGACGAGCTCCTCGTCACGACTGAAGAGCTCGGGCGTCAGTTCCCTATATTGAGACAACCGATTGGATCCAACCCGCATGGAGTATGTTTGGTTGCGATAGACATTGCGCCGGCGCTCGAGCGGGTCATCTGGCGGTAGTCGTGGCGGGGGTGGAGGACGTCGCCCTCCTCGTCGGCCATAGCGATTACCAGGGCGCGATCGAATATCGGCTGGAGGGGCTGGGATTGGCGCGTTCGGGGGCGGGACCTTGTATAGCTTCGGACCTTGTGTGGCGTTAAGTTCATATTGCACTGCTGTCAACTCGACTTTACCTGCCATATTGTCAGTCCGGGCTAATCAGCAACATATGTGTCCCGAGTATTCTTACATAGCGGGCATTTGGGTTGCTGCTCGATCCAACTGATCAGGCAGAGGAAGTCGAAGTTGGCATGGTGGCATGGCTGTGCCACACAGGGCTCTGTGATGGTGTCTAGACAAATAACACAAGGATTTGCCGCCTCTTTCTCCTCAACAGCTACCTCTTTAAGTGTCCGCTGGAGGATTTCCTGTCGCAAATCGACATCATCCATACAGGCGACATGCCAGGGGTGGGTTGCAAGGTTTAGTTCCTGAATCACGTTTGTCACGCTTATCACGTTCTGGGCGGCAAAACTTCTCGGGAGCTCCGTCACCGCGCTTGCTCGTTTTGCGACTTCAACTCTCTTTCTCTCGTTATGTGCTAATACCTTTCACCTATTTACGTGACAGCATGCGGTCTGCCAAAGCAGTTGTCTCAGAAAAACTTGCCCGCTTTGGTTCTACCAACATGTCGTACAGCACAGGAAGCGGGATTCGGCCGCCGCATACCATCACTTCACTACGGCGCTGGTCCATCGTGAATAAGGAGCTCCCAGGTTAGATCTGATTACGGTCCTTTGTATTGCCATGATTCTAACAACACTTTTACTCTTCAGCTGTTTCTCAAATTCGCGCAATTCACGTCTACGATTTCGACAACACCTGTGAGCATATGCAAACTTAGGATGCTCCGACACTCGACCACTAATATCCAAACTTTCAGTATTTCTAAGTCCTCTACCGAACCCACAATTATGGCATGGCTCCTCAATCGCTTTCCTTCAGAGCAATGATAGTTTCGCAACTGGAGGATGGTGGCACGATCCCAACATTCTCGGCGCTACAGGAAGAGGCATGGAGGCAGAAGAGTCTCGTAAATGGGAAGGCTGGTGGAATGAGCAAATTGTGTGCCTTCTATCATTTATTGCATCTTTGGGGCGTTTCAACTGACTTTTTGAAGCTTAGTTTGGTTAGGAATAGCATGGAGCAGAAAGATGCGCTCACGGTGTTGCTGACCGGTCGAAGCGAGGCCGGCTTCTCAGAAATCATCAAGCGCATGGTCGCTAGCCAGAACCTTGAGTTCGACCTCATTGGTCTCAAGCCCGAAGTTGGTCCAAATGGTCAACGGTTTGCGACGACAATGAAGTTCAAACAAAACTTTCTTGAGGATCTTGTTTTCACTTACGAGCAGGCTGCGGAAATCCGCGTCTACGAAGACCGTGTCAAGCAGTAAGTCCTCTGGCAACCGAGTTGGATAATCCGAGCATATCAAGGTATTAACCTTTGACTAGTGTGAAAGGGTTCCGAGACTTCTTTGAGGGTCTGAACAGAGAACTTCAAAGTGGACCCGCTACCGCACGGATGCCCGTCCTTGCTGAAGTCATCCAGGTAACTGAGGGCTGCACATACCTCGACCCCGTAACTGAGACTGCTGAGGTGCAGCGCATGGTCAACGCCCACAACCTCACACTGCGCAACCCTGCTTTGAACGTAACCAAGAGCCGCTGTGGACGGATGTATATCAAGCGGGTCGTCTTCTACACAGGCTACCTGGTCACTCCAGAGGTTTCAAACAGCATGACGCAGAACTTGCTGGCTCCATTGCTCCCCCCAGGGCTTGCTGAATCAAATGACCTGAAGTACATGGCTAACAGCATCCTAATCACCCCACGCCCAGCGCCGCGTTCAATTCTGGACAAAGTTGGAGGCATGGGCAAGAAACTAAAGTGGCAGGTTACCGGAACCGGAAACCTGGACAACAAGATATGGGCGGCCCGAGTGGCGCCTATTCCAGCAACGGAACCATATCACACAGAGAACCCACTGCCAATCGTAGTACTGGCTGTTCGCAAAGGTGCTCGTCTCATCGATGCAGGAAAGATTCAAAACTGGCATCCCATCCCGGCTGACAGGGCCATGACCTTTGAGACCGTGGTCGGCGAGAAGGTTGTCCTACGAGTTGAGGACAGCGGAGAATATCGCCAAGGAGAACAGCCTATGAACAGGAGTCATAAGAGACGCTTCCAGGAAGATGATAATGTCAGCTGGCCCAATCAAAACAACGGCTTTGAAGGCCCATCTCAAGGCCGCGGCAACTACCACTCCGCTCAGCGCGGCGGAGGTGACGGACGTCACCAATACGATGATAGTCCGCGAGGAAGAGGAGCTCGTGGTCGCGGCCGAGGTATCGGACGCGGGCGCGGTAACAACACCCGAGGCCGTGGCCGGGGTCGTGGTCGAGGTGAATACTACCAGTATAGATCGCTGGATGACCATAGCAGTGGACACGATGGGGCACACGACGGCAAGAATGGACACAATGGTGGCGGAGGTGCAGGAAGAGGAGGTTACTCTATGGACTATTGATTTCATCCTGTATTCGGAATCCTCAAAGCCGCAGTTTTTGAAGGCTGATCCATATGCTGGTGACCAGCATTATCTGTATGTTTACGAGTTTTTATTATGTCCGGGTTCGGCTTGCATCAGTAATGGATTGGCGTATGGAGCCTCACTTTTCTTATCCACCTTTATGGTCATATGAAGTCCCGGAAGAACGATTTAAAGTAGATATTCATAGGTTCAGTGGATATTCTATAATTATTTCCTTCACCTCCTTCACCTCCTCCGTCCTCTCCATCTCCTCTCTAGGCAAATCTCGTTTGGACACCCTTCCTGGCAGTTTACAATCTATCTACACTTCCCAGCTCTTGCTCTACACATTCACTCCCCAAATATGGTCATGTGGCAGTGGTTTATAGTTTCCAGGTGGAGGAGGACACCAGCGAGCGACCTCAACCTTTGTCGCCTTCATACTCGTTACTCCCTTTCCCGCAAATACCCATCATCAATCCTGACAAGCCTAGAGCTGTCCGTCTCAACAGGTGCAACAAAAGAATGAAAAAGAAGATGGTATTCCTGAGGGGAAAGGGAAAAGGAACTTCGCCGGAAGAGCTTGATTGAGGAGAAACGTGGGCCTGTCATGAGTTCACACAGCTGATGGGAAGGTATTCACCCGAAGGGATTCTGGAGATATTCGAAGAGGTAATTCTGCATCGACAAGGGCAATCATTGGGCTCTGCTCTCACACTCGAGCATATCATGAGCCAACCATGTCGCCAACATATTAACGTAGCGGAAACGCTTCAAACGCCCACGCGCAGAGAAGCTCCATTGTGACAAAACAGTTCGAGGAGGGATGCGAAAAGACATGCCAAGGGGGTGCATGATCAAGTCGAATGAAGAGATCTGATATTCCTCGCGCATTTAAAGCTATGATCATTCGGTTGTATGAAGCAGATCAGATCAACGCTTAGGCGAGATAACGGGGGATCAACGCTTGTTAAGGCAGCGCCACTTGAATTGATCGTGCACCTCTTGGCATGTCTGTTTGTATTCTTTCTCAAGGTAAATGTCCTGTTACAATCGTACTCCTCTGCGCGCGGGCATTTGACGCGTTTCTGCTACGTTCATACGTCGATGAAAGTGGTCGAGCCATAAGTCAGGGTAAAAACCCAGAATTGCCCATGTCGGTGCAGGAATAACCCCTTCAAAGATTCTAAGAATCTCTTCCGGTGAACAGAGCTTCGGGCAGGCGTTGGAGGAATATTTGATTTCCCCACCACTGATCAGCAGCGTGACGTGCCCAGGGGACTATACGGAGGATCAAGTATAAAATGTGTTTCTGGGTGCTATGTCGATCATATTGTTGAGTTCAAGCAAATCGACAGCAAGGAATTGAGCCCAGAAACACTTTTTATGCTCGATCTCCCATATAGTCCTTTGGGCACCTCACGCTGCTGGTCCGTGGTGGGAGAGATCAAATCTGGGAGAGATTAAATCGCCGTGTCGACCATGATGTTGAATGACGAATGATAGTGAGGAACAAATATATACCAGAAGTTATGGTGCAAGATCGCTGATCCATCGGACTACGGAATCACAGGGGATTATATATGACAGATATAAGACACAGGTGAATTCAGGGGGGAAATTGGATTATGGCGGTCAACAGAAGTTTCTTTACGCTCGTCTTTCTTCGGCATCGATAACTTGTCTACACTGCGTGCTACACGTAGCATTGGACAACAACATCGTACAACATATTCGGTCACCGGCGTCCTTCTTGTGCTAGGCTCTAGAGTATCTAGCCGAAACTGTTTCTCCAATGGCCTTGCCTGATTTGGCATCTCTAATACTGACCGGAAACATGGCATGGGTGTGACTGACCTCTTACAAAACACCATGATTTCCTGTAACAAACGCCTACTCATACGCCCAGTGGCAAGTGGGCTGCCAGGCTATTACACAGAATGCTGGTGTTATGGAGGTTCAGCATCACTCACCAAGGAGCACGATATTTGGTATTATGAGGAAGCTACAGTCCTCTCCCACTACTATTGCGACTGTGTGTATCCCCTATGGAAAGCTGAAACAGTCAGTCCCTCCGCCAAAGGACCCAACTCCATCCAAGAAGCACAAGACTTCGGAAAGGGAGGATGAAGCCGAAGACGAAGCGATGGATGAGGAGGAGGTTGAGTTGTAAGACTGGACCAGAATAGGAGGGAATTTGAATATTTTCAAACAAAACATGCCCCCGCGAGGAGGAGTTGGTTGACTCCTTCTCGGCGGCTGATCCTATTGTCTCGACCAAAGTCTTCTTGGGCCCGGGCCGAGGAGACGACGACCCATTTGTACCAGCAAGTTATGGACATTTTGAATAGTAGGTCCTAAGGGGGCTGAACAAGCGATTCCTCTGAATGAGGTTAATACTCAATAGTGTGCGATAACCGTTTCTAAAACCGCGTGAGCGCGGTGCTATTCTCTGCCTCGACTCAGTTCGTCTTATTTTCCCTCGTCCCATCATCATTAGCTATATCCTAGTTTAAGGAATATATCTCCAATCATCACCGTCAAGGACAAACCATACTGTGGAACACTCTTGATTACGCAGATAATATATAGTCTTGAGATGAAGCCTAGTCTTGTAGTATAGCAGGGCAGCATACCTTGGACTGGCATATATATGTAGGCCACCGTCGAACACCAGAGAAATATCCGTTGATCACCATGATCTATTTCCCCTGATCTATTTGTGTCCCATATTAAATCTGTCATATTCCATATTCTCAGTAATTCAGAAAGCTTGAACTATACTTTCGGGTAGAGCTAACTAGCATTCGTCATATAATTTTAATTTAGGTATATCGCTTGATATCTATCCAAACGTAATTTTGTTAGCGAATGGTAGTTAGTAGTCAAGGCCATGCGTTGTTGTTGCTGTAAAAATGAAATCATGCGAAGACACCGTCTATTTTGAAGGTTACTCATTCGAGGGAGAGAAAGATTGAGTTATGAAGACTTGACTTTGGTATATTTTGATATTGTGTCATGAGGACAAAGTAGCATTTGCATTTCTGCATGAGAAGCAAGAGGCGAACACAGCATGGGAATCAACAAGAGGCTGTGGTATACATGGAGTAAAAAACAAACGCCGAGTGCTCAACATATAACAAAAGTCCGCACAAAAAAACCAACACCAGCAAAAAAAGATCTGTACAAAAAGTGACTCGATGGCATTGCATTCATTCTATTCTGGTAGATCGGCAGAGTTGCCAAATATGATGTTCGAGATGAAATGACGAAGATGTTTCGTGTCAACTCCCAAGAATAGAAAGCATGCGAGTATCCATATCCTCAGATATGTTCATAAAATTCAAAGTCCCAAATTCCCCTTGGGGAATCAAAATGTCCCAAGTGTCGTGTGTTCCGTTCCCATCCATTCCGTGAATTGTGAGCCAGTGTCGTGTGCTCGTAGATATTATTCATTTCCCATTTGTGTCGTCCCATTATAAGGGTAAGGTAAGTCGTAGGCGAAGAAGAGGTGTAAGCAAGTCGCGAAAAGAAAAAGAAAAGCAAAGAGAGCAAGTGTTCCTTGCTACGGCGCTGATGAATCAATGTGATTATTCATCGTCGGTCAGTTTGCGGAGCAGACTTATACTCAAAATCATGATCAGCAAACCAACAGTTACTATGACTAGTAGGACAAAGCCAAACCAGCCAAGTACCATTGCCGAAGAGCCGACGCCGCTCCTTACACTTCCATTGCCCATGTCTTGGGCTATCGTACTGGCAGCGACAGATGCTGTGTGCTGCCATAGTACGGACACAAGGACGAACACGGAGGAGACGAAGATGAGGGCTAGCGCGACCTGGGAGACAGGGCGCGAGGGGAAAGGCTTGACTTCACGCTCGGATCCAGCGTCGTCAATCTCCTCGTGCCAGCCAGGGAATGTCGCCAGGAGGATGAAACAGAAGAATGCGAGAATGACAGCAACAATCCTGTACGAGTATTAGTGTTGTCCAGCAATAAGGAAGTGCGAATTACTACTCACAGTAGATAGGGGAACACGACGGCATCTTTAAATGTCGAGGCAACCCAGATCAGGTTCAGTGGGTCTTGATCCACAGTGACAATCTCAGCCAGCGCCGTCGCGTTGGCATTGCAGATAAAAGAACCTTTATCAGGCTGAACACAGATACCAAAGTATCCCACCCGAACTTCCAACTCTGCACCGCCGACGATGTTGGAGATGGCAGTCACAACATTTGGGGCGACTTGTGCGAGATCCCGAATGGGGTTGTACTTTTCATAGTACAGAGAGATAAGGAAAATGTTGGGCATCTGTGGTGATGACGAAGAGCAGCCGGCCAACAGAAGTGCTACAATTTGTTAGTTACCTTCCAGTAGAGAGATCGATGATCGACAGGCACTCACATAACAAGATAATTGCAACAGCGATGATAATCATCAACACATGGTGGTACCCGATCATTGGCACGAACCCTGAATAAAGATTAGCGACAATGCCATTGTATTCTCTCTTGGTATGTCGTCACTTACGGGACCATTTTTGAGCAAAGGGAGAAGCCATTGTGTACAACTATGACCACCTCGGGGTCAAACTCCTTCACTTTTTTGTTGACTCGCTTCTCGGGTCTCCGAGAAGGAGGTACCTAAACTGAATGCGATCGCAGAATTCAATCGTACACCCAGTGGCGCACTTGTCGATGAGTGTGATTGAGATGACAAGTGAATCGATATCGAGATCGTTGGAATGGAATGTAGATGAGGAATGTGGAGCGTAGGATAAAGATCGGATCCTTCAGGAGATATTCAATGGTGAGAATACTTTGAAAAATGACCAAAATATTTGATAATATGGAATCCGGATCCTAGAGTGGATTATGCAGATGGGTCAGAGATGTGACTTGACGCCTGTGAAGTACAGGTGGGAAGTATATGAAAGAGACAGAATGTGTAGAAAGAATGGAAGGGAGAGAAGGGATCCAGGCACAAAAACTCAACGTCAGTCTAATTGACAGATTCTCCAAAGTGATTTGGAGGCTGGGGATGAGGCAAGAGTATAGTAAATGTAGGAGGCTGGGCCAACCGCTCTTGTTTACTCTCCCGCTTCCCCGGTAACCAACTTCAGACCGCCTCCTCAGTGGGTAATTCTGCCCACTCACACGGGATAATCTGGGCCTGACTAGTCCTGATATGTACTAGTGCAGATCCTGATAACCTTCGCCCCACTTTCACAAGCCACGAGATTTACCCAGCCTCTTTGATATTGGGTCTACATTTCAATACAATCTACATACGCATTGGGCACGATTCAATGTTTTAGGACGTTTCACGCTATGATTTTTAAACCCTAACCAACGCTATGTCAAACAATAATCCCAATTAAAAAAAGTATTAACACCACAGGTTACGCGCCAAAGTGGAACCCACCAAACCAGTGGTCCAATGCTACCCCGGATACCAAGATCCGATGATCCAGTCCTACTCCGTAATCAAAGATGCAGCCTAATTTGCGGCAAAAGAAAAGCGTTTGAGATCAAGAGTAGTCGAGTGCCCTGTGCTGGGCTCATCCTCTTCATCCTCACTGTCTGGGACAATGAGATCTTCACTGCCTTGGGTTCCTCCAAAGGAGGACCCCTTTATGACCAAAGAAGAAGGTTCAGTCCGAGGTTCAGCAGCCTCAGCATCCCGGAGTTTAGTGGGAATGTTGATACTGTTAGACCGGCTGAGAGCGGATTGTCCCATCCGCTGGAGCGGTGTTAGACGTCGTTGAGAAATGTTGCTCCGTGCAATCGCAGCTGGGCTTCTGGGAATCGAGGGCGTTGAAGGTCTATGAGAAGTCTGAATCGCAGGAATCTTAGTCATGAGAGAGCTAGCTGCGGTTGTTTCGGGCTTTTGCCCCGCTTGAAAAGTAAACTTGGAAAGTACATTCGCGTTTTGCCGGTCAACATGATAGTCAAGAGCCTGACTGAAACGTGGGGAGTCCGGTGTGGTATCCTTGGAAGTATTCTGCGAGACTTCAAGGTTCCCAGTCATTGGGGCTATGTTGGAAGTAGGGCTGGGAGGGGTTTCAACTTCACTGGGCTTGCCAGATATCTCAAGGGTGCTCTCAGGTCTAGACTCAGCAGGCCCAGGGGTAGTGCTAGGATCAGGAATGCTAGACATTATGTCTTCGGCCATTTCATCCGAGAAGACGCCGATCACTGATTTGCGTGACCGCTTTGAGCGGAAGAGCTTTTGGCCGCTAGGGCTAGCTTGTTCGGAAGTAGGAGCAAAGAAGCGACTGCAAGCAGGGGAACAAGTAGGTAGAGAATCTCCTTCAGCCTCAGAGCAGAGTCTCTGCCTCTTTGTGGACTGCAAGGTCGTCGATGTAGTTTGGGCCAGAAAAGATGAGCGTTCCACACTCCTAACCATAGGGCTGAGGCCTCGCCCAGGAAAGGCCCCGATAGGCGTGGACCTGACCGAGTTGGAGCGGAAGGGCGCTGCATTGGCTTGCCAGCTGTTGTTTGCATTGCGCTCTAGGAGTAGCTGCTGGCTCGGAGACGGAGTTAGGGTGTTAGGGTCTAGCTCGGCTAGCGGCGTCCTCTTCGGGGTGAAGAACGAACTGATGGACTTCTTTGGCTTCAACTCGGAGGAAGTACCAAGTGTCTGGCGGCGATTGATTCCAAGGGTCCATCTATTTGCGGCTAGTGGCTTCAAGATTATTGGCTCCTTGGTGGTTGGATCCAGATCGCCACGAGAAACCCCGACGGCAATTTCTGGCTCCATATCTGCGCCGATAAATGGCAGCGCGGCCAAATTGACATCCTTATCAGGTGGCGTCAAAGTCACTAGCTTTTCAGCTTTGTGGCAGAAGACCCGTTGGTACAGGAAGGTTAACTCGGCCTGTTTGAAGTTGGCGAGGTAGTCGGCTGGGACTCGAAAATTGCCTTCAAATTGGAGCATACGCAGGGCTTTTTCGACGCTGCGATGTTTGCGAATAATCCGGTAGGCAGTCTTCAGCCCCAGCTTAGGAATATTTGCCAAATAATCACAGCCGCTCAAGATGCACATGTTTCTGAAGTCTGGGTCACTGAAGCCAACTAAGCTGACCTCACGGCAAGCAGTAAAATCGGCGCGGTTTATCTCAATGCATTCCCCATGTTGGTCCAACTTTGAAAGCAACCGCTTTGCTCCAAAGACAAGCAAATCCGAGTCCTCGGATATGATTCCATGAATGTCGCCCTGTTGCTCCAGGTACACCAGCTGGGCATCTGCCTCATACGGGGCCACCACATACTGCACATTCATTTGCTTCAATTCCTCAATTAACTCGCGGGCCATGTATGGCGTGACATCGACGGCCTTTTGGAACTCCTGGTAAGCCTCCGGCGTCCTCCCTTTCCGTTGTAGCTCCAGTCCAAGGGCCTTGCTTTCCTGGCGTCGTCTGTGACGATCCTGTTCAGTGCCTGCCTTACTGGGCAGATTGTCGCCATCGAAAACAAGGTACGGTTTCACTCCAAAGAAAAGAAGCATGCGGACTCGGTTGAGGACGAAATCAATGTGTCTGCCATAAGATAATATTATTAGTCAAGTGTGCATGGAAGAAGAGACCGGAAAGACATACTTCCTAGTAGGATTGTTCAGGACCAGATCCACTGAACAAGCGACAGTTCCTCGGTGCAGCCATCCATATGCATCGACTCCAAGTGTTTGTCCACTGAAATTCTTAATATGACATGGTTTTTGAATGGACTTGAGAAGCCCGTGAAGTCCTGTTTGTCTGCGTTAAAATCACCATTCATCTTCCCCCTAGACAATAACAAGACAACATACCTTTAATGCCCATGGTGGACACCGTTCGAGGGACAGGCGGGTCCTCTTATTCAAGCAATGAATGATAACATAAGTTGAGATTTTCACAAGCAAGAGAGTGATGAATATGGAATACAATGTGAAGTCCAAATTAATTGTCAGTTTAAGAATTGAGGGAGTAAATAACTCCTGGAATGTCCCTATATCGACGCGCAGACGCGCTTTCCTCGAGTGGGGAAGGCGGTGATTTGGGTGTCACCGCCTAATTATGCCGGTGCATCCACGAAAATTATCATCGAAATCTACGGCGAAGTGTTTAGAGTAATTCTTATCATTAGCCCGCAACCATGCCTGTTACTTTGGAAAAGGTGCACAAGCAGATTTCCAAGAAGCGCAGTTCCACTAATGCGCTTCATGAGAACAGTCGCGATGCCCACCGACTCCGCAAGGCTGGTGCTCGCGACGATCGCTTGTCCCGCCATAACGCCACTGTGAACCGTGCAAGACAGCCATACAGTAAGACAGCTGCCCATTTCAATTGAAAATTGAAGGCCACCCAGCTAACTCAACTAGTTGACCGAATTGATTACATCCACGAGGCTATTCAAGAGCTTACTGAGGCCCTCACGATCGAAGAGATTTCCGAGTTCGTCGCCAAGTATGTAACAATAACGATCCACCACCAAACGCAAGACTAACCCAGAACAGGTACATTGACCGTGATACCGAGGAGATCAAACAGCTCGAGTCAGAGCGCCGGAAAGGACGTCCCCCTAGCAAGCGCGAAGAGGCCTTGAAACAGCGGGTGCAAACTGAGGATCGAGAGTTCGCGACTGGACTGTGGATGCCTGATCTGAGCGATCAATATGCGATGACCGCAATGAAGAACTGGAATGGGCACTGGTCGGGTCTCAGCGCGATCAAGTTCATGCGGTTCACAAAAGCCGGAGAGAAACTCAACTCTACTTTCCCACCCAAGAGCATGTCATGATCACGATTACCTTTTTTTCTATCTTTTTTTTGTCTGGTGTCCAAAAAGACTGGGTTGGCGCATTATGGGTACATTGATTCTCCTCTAGATTCTGTACAGCCGAATATTCTCGAATATACCATTTCAATTCAATGCGGTTGTATCGTCCATCTACATAGTTTCTCTCATGCGCCAGGCCTTCCAGCCATTGTGCATATAATAAAGCGAGTCATGATATGAATTCCAATCAACGTAAATTACTTATTATCATCAATTAACGAAAAATAAAACTATCAATGCATTTTGCCTGTAGAATCGAATTGCGTGGCGCAATGTCGGCCAAAACAGAAGCGTCGGTCTTGGCACTCGTAATAACTTAGCTCATTTACTTTTTCCCCAAGCTCTCATCTTCATCAACTTTAGACCATCCACATTCACAATGCTTTCTCTTCGCACTATCTCCCGCTCTATCCCGCGCACTTTCTCGCGCTCCATTGCCACTTCGGCTCTGCGCCCAGCGTTCCCCAAGCCTGCTCTCCAGTCCTGGAAGCAGGCCACTAAGCCCGCCTACGCTGCTTTCTCTACCTCCACTATCTTTAAGGCTCCTTCATCCGAAGGTAAGACGCATTGAATGATATTTGAAAGAGTCCGCCGGGATCCGATCCAGTTTGGTGGCGGACTCTGTATATGGCCTTGCGCTGATTTTGGATTTTCTTTTTTACAGTCGACATCGACCTTCTCGCCAAGCTCGAGGATGAGCTGAGACACGAGAAGTCTTCCGAGATCCCCGAGTTTGAGGAGCAACAGGAAGCCATTGATGATGTTGTTAAGCACGGCGAGTGGCAGGTGAAGGATGTTGCCGGCGAACAGGAGGTTATCCTCACCAAGAAGTTCGGCACCGAGAAGTACGATTCATACAACTCCATTCCGCTTTTTTCCTATTCCAATGTCGATGATGAAGGCTAATAAATATAATTGTTCAGCATCCGCGTCAGCTTTACCGTCGCCGATATCCAGAACATCAGCGAACAGGAGGACTTTGACGACGCCTCCCTGACCGACGAGATGGATTTCCAGAACCAGTCTCGCGGCCAGGATGCCGAGGCCTCCGCCGAGGAGGACCTCGAGCACCCCGAGCCCAGCTTCCCTGCCCGTGTTACCATCACTGTTGAGAAGCCCAACAACGGTGCTCTTTTGATCCAGACCGTTGTCCAGGACGGTGTCTTCCAGATCGAGGAGGTCTCCCACTTCGCCAAGGCTGAGCTCGCTCAGTCCCTGACTGCTGAGAAGGACTGGGCTCGCCAGAGCCTCTACGCCGGTCCCCCCTTCGAGAACCTCGATGAGGACCTCCAGGGTCTCTGGGACCGCTACCTCGAGGACCGTGGCCTTAACGCCGAGTTCGCTAATATGGTTCCCGACTATATCTCCGTCAAGGAGCAGAAGGAGTACTTGCGCTGGTTGGAGAGTAAGTTTCCCTTTCTATATAATGTTTCTGTGACTCGTGCTAACAGTACCTTTCTCCTTTAGCCGTCAAGAACTTCATCGGTGCTTAAAATTAACTGACCCCATTTAACCTTTGGCTTGTTTCTTCTTAATCCTGTCGGATATGCCTCTTGATAATGAGAAGTTTTCCTGATACAGAGGTATCACCCTTGTGCCTCCCTCATGGTTAGCTTCAGAGCAACTACTTGTGTGACTCTATTTGTACCAATATTTCCAATATACAATCACTTCACTTACTACATGGCCGTATTATTAGCTCTAGCTTACTTTGGGCCAAGTTGACAAGTTCCACAGCCAAGTGATCATCTTTCTTCAATAGATTCGAATGAGAACAAGGTAATATATGTACCTAGGTAGAATCAGACTGATTGATAACAAATGACTCGGTCCATGCACAATAAACCCCAACTCCTCGAAAGCGCAATCCCTTGATATAAATCCAAAATGAAATGGGTGGAGGTAATTAACAAAACATAAAGTCATAATCCTATGAGGCAAAGTGGGCAAAGGGAACAAACATGAACATCGTGCGGTCAGAATTCCATAGGGTCGGCCTTTACAGCAGGGCCACTGTCATCGCGTTCACGCTTCACAGCACGCTCTTCCTTGATGAGGCCTGCGACGAAGGAACGGAAGAAATCGATATAAGGTTTCAGGCTTGTCTTTTCATAGTCCTGCACCTTATGACCACCCTTCATGTCGGAGCCATTCATCGCACTACCTTCAACATCAGGGATATCTGCCTCCGCTGTGCCGGCAGGGTGTTTTGCGTCATATTCATCAATTTCACTGAGCAGGTCCATTACCGTCGGGACGGTGAGAGGATCGAAGTTTTCGGCATTGCGAGGATCGATGGGAACACAGATACGGCCAGTACCGGGGTGAATAACGAAAGGACTCTTCAGCAAATGAATCATCTTCTTGCTGACCTCGGCATCAAGACGTGGGTAGGTGTATTCCAAGACAATATCTTGCTTCGCATCTCGGAGCGTCGCCGGGTTGAGCGTGCTACTCTTACCAGTCTTTGCGAGTGAATCGATATCGGCCCATTTACTGGTGCTGGCACGATCTGGGGAGGAGTCCCACTTTCTCCGTAGGGATTCGTTCAATGTCTTATCGGGCAACAAGGACAGAAGGCGTTCTGCCTGCTCGGCGGATTCAAATGTGTCTTGGTCGCCGAGTGTGGTCCGGGCAAAGTCGTGTTTGAGCAACTCAAGACTGCGTACAATATGGGGGTGTAGTGGCCGTTTGACGTTGACTTTCTTCCCGCTTTGTGACCCTCCACGGATCATCTCAAGGTAACCAGCAATAGCTCGGCGTCGATCATCTGGAAGATTGCGTGCACGGGGATCGCATACCCAGGCGTGAGCACCACGACGACCCGAGTAAACCCAGAGGATGTGCTCAAATCCAAAGTCCTCCCGTAGTGCGGTATCAATAACCTTGATTGCCATTGTCACGAATGACCAGCATTTAGCGCAGATATTCGCTTTGACACAACATGTACGGATGTCATCATAATCAGTCAAATCAATATCGAAAACTAATTCCTTGGAGACAGGTTTCATTTGGCCGCCTCGTAGCGTTTTGCGATCGCGTGGGTTGGTGCTGTAGACAGGTCCGATTTCGAAACGAGAAGGGTTGATTTTGAGTATGTCTTTGCGGAATCTGGGCATATGCGTTAGCTCAAAGGGGATTTGACAATAAAGGTTGAAATGGGTCTTACAGGTCGGCGGTTGGATATGATTGGTATCGGAGATAGGCGTCATTTTGCAGTGTCAGTGCAAATTCTCGGTTGCCGAAGTCTTTTGTCGGTACAATTCCATGATTCAGCCATTGGAAAAGGTATCGGAAGGGAAAAAGTCGTTGATAGAAGGCGAGCATGATATCTGGGTCCACCCCCGATGGTGTGGGTGCTGGAGGCCTGCAAACTTTTGGTCAGCAGTCAAGTCCAGAGGTGACTGCAGGAGAGCTTAGCACTCACTCTTCCTTTGCTGGAGAGTTCATCTTCACATCTCCAGAAGCCGGGAACTCCTCGTCATCGTCATCATCATTGAACATGTCCTCGAGTTTGACACCAGTTTCAGTCGGGGTCGCGACCGGAGGGGCATCCGGCATCTCATCGTCATTTTGTGCAGAGCCAGATGATATGGAATGAGGCATTGTGGGTGAGTCTGGTGGGCAAGACAACCTTGGAAATGCTTCAAGTATCTCTGGGGTTTAATTGAACCCAAACAGGAAGGCGCGACGCGCGACGCGCGATGGCTCGTGCACGCGTCCGCCCTAAACCCTATGTCACGTGTTATGCTCAAATGGGACTGCTATCTATGACCGAAAACGGATTGCCTCGACACTGTTGCTCACATTTACTGAGGAGCGCCCTGACTAGTCGCAAACTCAGTCGCAAGATGCTGGGGTACTACGTCTATCCCCTTGCCGCTTGCGGCCAAAATCCATGTACCTCACTGCTGTACCTCTCGCCCACCAGGATCCTTGGATGACATCTAGATTGCCCTGCTGTTCCAAAGAGCAACGACCGTACAGGCTACACAGATTGGTTGAAGGCTTTTCTGTGTCAATTTCCAACTGCAACCCCATTGTTATTTTGCGGCAAAAGCCCTATCTTCGCGCAGTGGGGTTAGCCTAACGCAGTACTGGATTGAGATGTCCCCGTCATTGATCACAGTTGACAATGTTACGATGGACCACATCCGGATTAATCCCTCAAAAAAAGATATCTTGCGAGGAGGTTGGGATCCTCTTGCTACGGGAATACTTCGGATTCACGCGTACATTCTTTAAAAGTGACACCTACCAATGGAACACCTACACTCAATCGGATGTTATTCCCACATTCCAGAGAGCCAAGGAAACGCCCCAAACCGTACTTGGGGACTTTTGACTGCTTCTGGTTGACTTGTTTATGTTCTCACTGCAAGGCCATGCAATTCCGTGGGGTTTTCATCCCCAATCAGAGGAGCCTCGTCGTAACAAGTGTGGTCCCTTTCGAATATGATCGCCCAATAATCACACCATCGACCACATCCAGGTCCGAAGGTCTCATGGCTACTGCCCTGCTAACACTGGTCCGGCTGGTGCTTTTGCTGGCCATATAATCCCAACTAAATGTATTCTTGAACAATCATTGAGCGATCTTCTGTATCTAAATGAACCAATGTGCAGTCACCCGAGTGATTTGCTTACTACTTTTGCCGATTCTGAGAGACTACAAAAGTTGCCAAGATCTTCTTTTATTTCCGCATTAGGTTACCCTACTGGATGGAGATGGAGACCCCCTGCACTACTTACCCCAATGATACTACAGTCTGTCACGTTTGCATCTGAGTTGCCATATGAATGGATCACTACATCAATTTTTGTCCAATGGCCTTACTTCTGTGCCTTTCTCCTCAATCGGTAAGCTAATCTAGTACCTGCATTCGGCCTCATATGGTCACATTGTGAATCAGGTCTACCTTTCTGTCCTGGACACGACCGTGGCACCCATGTCCGTCATGACTTGGAACCAGTCTTCTCAAAAGGGCATATAAGATCGTTCATGTCTGTCCATCTTTCCAACTTTCTATTATCAACTCTTCACTCGTTATCTCAAGTCTGTTTGTTAAGACTTTGATCTCTCGAAATGATCAACTCCGTTGCTCTTCTGGCGCTTGCCAGCCCGGCCTTTGCCGGTATCATGCAGGCTCGTGGCGAGGAGTTTATCCGTCCCGCCGCTCAGAGCTCTGCTGCTGTTGCTGCCCCTGGCCAGGCTGAGGGCTGGGGCGAGAGCTGGTCCAAGCCGGCCGAGCACGTCTCGACTCACGACTCCTGGGGCGAGTCCACTGAGTCCACTGAGTCGTGGACCACCCCGTGCACCACCTCGACCACCACCACCCCGGTGCACGAGCACACCACCACCCCGGTGCATGAGCACACCACCACCCCGGTGCATGAGCACTCCACCACCCCGGTGCCTGAGCACTCCACCACCCCGTGCACCACCTCGACCACCCCGGTCCACGAGCACACCACTACCCCGGTGCCGGAGCATACCACCACCACCCCGGTGCACGGAAACACCACCACTCCTTGCACCACCTCGACCACCCCGGTGCACGAGCACACCACTACCCCGGTGCCGGTGCATACCACCACCACCCCGGTGCACGGAAACACCACCACTCCGTGCACCACCTCGACCACCCCGGTGGCTGAGCACACCACCATCCCGGTGCACAATACCACCACCCCGGTGCACGAGCACACCACCACTCCCCACGTCCCCGTGAACCCTGGTACCACCAAGACGCTCACCTTCGTGACCACCACCTGCCCTGGTAAGTCCTAGAATCTCTGCCAAATGATACCACTTGAACCACACTTTCTAACAATACCTCCTAGTCACCTCGTCTACGATCACCTCTGGCTCTAAGACCTGGACCGTCCCCGTCACCGGAACAAGCACCATCACCATCACCAAGACTACTGTCTGCACTATGTGTGAGAACGAGAAGCCTCTGACCTTCTACAATGCCACTGTTCCCGCCACCGGAGGCCCCACCGCAGGCCCTACCGCCCCCATTCTGAAGCCCACCGGAGAGGTTGTGGTTCCCCAGAAGCCCGGTCACTCCACGTCCGCTCACAGCTACCCTGTTGAGACCAAGCCCGCCGAGACCAAGCCCGTTGGAACCCAGCCCATTGGAACCCAGCCCATTGGAACCCAGCCCGTCGCGACCAAGCCTGCTGAGACCAAGCCCGTCGAGAGCCACCCTGCCGAGACCAAGCCCGCTGAGACCAAGCCTGTCGTCCCCGGCGAGACCAAGCCTGCTGTCCCTGTTGTCCCTGTTGTCCCTGCTGAGTCTAAGCCCGGTGTTCCCGCTGAGACTAAGCCCGCTGTCCCCGGTGTCCCTGCTGAGACCAAGCCCGGTGTTCCCGCTGAGACCAAGCCCGCTATCCCCGGTGTCCCTGCTGAGTCCAAGCCCGGTGTTCCCGCTGAGACCAAGCCCGCTGTCCCCGGTGTCCCTGCTGAGACCAAGCCCGGTGTTCCCGCTGAGACCAAGCCTGCTGTCCCCGGTGTCCCTGCTGAGTCCAAGCCCGGTGTTCCCGCTGAGACCAAGCCCGCTGTCCCCGGTGTCCCTGCTGAGTCCAAGCCCGGTGTTCCCGCTGAGACCAAGCCCGCTGTCCCCGGTGTCCCTGCCGAGTCCAAGCCCGGTGTTCCCGCTGAGACCAAGCCCGCTGTCCCCGGTGTCCCTGCCGAGTCTAAGCCCGGTGTTCCCGCTCAGACCAAGCCCGCTGTCCCCGGTGTCCCTGCCGAGTCCAAGCCCGGTGTTCCCGCTCAGACCAAGCCCGCTGTCCCCGGTGTCCCTGCTGAGTCCAAGCCCGGTGTCCCCGCTCAGACCAAGCCCGCTGTCCCCGGTGTCCCTGCCGAGTCCAAGCCCGGTGTTCCCGCTGAGACCAAGCCCGCTGTCCCCGGTGTCCCTGCCGAGTCCAAGCCCGGTGTCCCTGCTGCCTCCAAGCCCGCCGTCCCTGCTCAGTCCCAGCCCGCTGTCTCCAAGCCCGCCCACAGCGAGCCTGCTGCCCCCAAGGAGACCCAGCCCGCTGCCCACCCCTCCACCCCCGAGGAGCAGCCCTCTACCCCCGAGCAGCACGGTGCTTCTCCTTCTTCCAACGAGTTCACCGGTGCCGCCTCCAGCGTCAAGCCCGCTGTCGGCCTCCTTGCCGGTGTTGTTGCCCTCATGGCTCTTCTGTAAATCAGTTGAGAACATTCGACGGCCGATCTATCTCTTCATTGAGATCTGGATCCCTCTCGGTTCCTGAAAACCCTGTTCTTCAGTGGTGCGGATCAGAGAGACCTCATGGTACCTTGAGTACCTTTGAGATTGTCCGACCTTTGCTCCGTTTGGAATTTCTTCTTCTGCTTTTTACTAACAAGGCTGGAGGATTTAAGAAGATTGGTTGCTTGGTCATTTCGAGATTTCCTTTTACTTTGTCAGACTTGTTTTCAATATACTAATAGTAATATAGTGTCTTTATTGCTTGTATCCTTTGGCTCATTCGATGTTTTAAGATTTTACTCGTCTTAGATAGCATTTGCATTGAATCAAAAGTCAATTTATCTTGTTTTTGAAGAAATTCCTAAGGAGTGGCATTAGTTGTAAATCTTCAGATAGATTTTTCTCTCCTTAATGAACTTGATATTTCTAGATCCTGGTGTTCAAAAGTTCTAGATACATCTCCTCAGAGTCCTCACAACATTAGCCCTAAGTCTTGGAACTTCCAAAAGCAACGATTACACCAGATACACAAGTGCTCTTTGTATCTGCAATTTTATTCCCTTATGATTATTTATTAGTCTTCATTGTGCTCATAATTGTGCTATGTTCATTTAATGTATTTGTATGGTCTATACTTGAACTTTTGATATTGACTATGTAACAACAAAACAGACACATATTTAGGTAGAAGAGAGAAAACAGTAAAACCGAACGTTTCTAACACGTCTATACTACAACAGATTTTTCTCGGCTGCACACGTTCCACCCTCCCCCCGTTGGACCTCATCAGTTCCGCGTATCCCAAGCATGGTGTATCTTGCCAGGTTCGGAATCTACCGCAAACCCTGCAGCTCCTGCTCAAGCTCGGCCTTGACAATCTCCTTAACACCCTGCCAGCCAGCACTCTCGCCAACGGGGGTGACTCGGCTCTCACGCTGCTCCAGACCAATGAACTCTTGGGGCAAGATCTCAGTGAAGTCGTAACCATCCTCCGCACGCAGAGCAAGGTCAACAGCGCTAGCAAACTTAGCCGGGTGGGCAGTGGACAGAGAGATATGGACAGCATCCGGGTTACGTGCCAAAGAGCGGCGCGTGGCAGTAACACCGACAGCAGTGTGGGGGTCAAGGATGTAGCCACCGGTCTTGGAGCTCTTGGCAGAGCCGGGGCCAAGACCCTTGGGGAAGGAGGTCTTGTAGATATCACGGATCATAGAGATAGTTTCCTCGTTGCTAACGCGCTCACTCTCGAAATCGACCTTGGCGGCCTCGAGGACAGCACTGGGGACTTGGAAGCCGCCCTCCGTCTTGAGCTGGTTGAGCCACCCGCTGACGCTTTCGCAGGCGTGCTTGCGGCGCTCGGCTTCGTTGCCGTTGGCTGTTTGGTAGGAAAGGAACCAGAGGAGACGCTCGAAGTTGCTGCTGACGAGGATGTCCATAGCTGGGCTGTGGGTTTCCTTGACGCCGTGGTCGGAGGGGGCGTCGAGGGCCTTCTTGGTGTAGTGGCCGCCGCTGCGGAAGAAGCGGTCGAGAATGTCATTGGCGTTGGTGGCAATCACCAGTTTCTCGATGGGAAGACCCATCTGCTTGGCGAACCAGCCGGCAAGGATGTCGCCGAAGTTGCCGGACGGGACGACCACTCGCACCTTGGAATCCTTGTTGAACGAGTCGGTCTTGGTGAGGGAGAAGTAGGAGTAGAAGAAGTAGGTAATCTGGGCCAAAATTCTGGCCATATTAATGCTGTTGACCGCGGCGATGTTGTGGGTGGAGTTAAGGTCTTCATCAGCGAAGAGGGCCTTGACGATATCCTGGCAGTGATCGAACGAGCCCGCGACGGTGAGGTTGTGAACATTAGGGTCAAGGATCGTGGTCATTTGCTTTTCTTGGATGGGGGAGACTCGGCCGCCATCGGGGAAGAGAATGAATACCGAGACGTCTTTCTTGCCGCGGAGTCCGTAGATAGCAGCCGAACCAGTGTCACCACTGGTGGCACCAACAACGGTCAGGTGGTGTCTGTCCTTGCCAGTCTTTCCAGCATTCTTGCGAACAAGGAAATACTCAAACAGGTTTCCGAGGAAGCTGAGCGCAACATCCTTAAACGCAAAGGTGGGGCCGTGGAATAGCTCTAGCAAGTAGAGGTTCTTTTCGAGGAGGACTGAAGGAGTGCGCTCGGGGTGACGGAAAGTCGAGTATGACTTATAGATAATGGTCTTAAGATCTTCTCGGGGAATCTCGTCGGTAGAGATATAGAGCGACATGATTTCGAGGGCCAAATCCTCGAAGCTCAGATCCCGCCATTCGGTCTCCCATGATTTTGGGAGGGTGGGCATTTCCTCCGGGATGAAGAGACCTCCATCTGAGGCCAGGCCTTGAAGAACAACATCTTCAAAGGATCTCTAGAACAGATTTGTTAGTCACATGTTTGGAATGAAGTTGTTTTTCGACTCACCCCATACTCAGCACCGCGAGTACTTAGGTATTGTTGTGAGAGTGTAGGAGCCATGATTAAAAGGTCAATTGACTCAATAGAAATTGCTTGAAACCGAAGTAGAGAAGAAGAGAGGCGGAATGATTCATCCCACCGCGGGGGAAATCTGAGTGTCCCAAAATGGATTAGTGCCTCCGAGAACGGCCCTCACGTGCGTAATTTGATTGGCTCACATCTATACAGTGTAGTTATATTTTGACCTTCAATTCTCTAGACTTCATGTGCACATCTCTATATTCTAATCTCGTTCAAGTTTTTCTTTTTAGTCACAGGTGTCTACTCGTCGTTAACCAGCACATATCTGTAGCGGGCCTTTCCATCCTCCATATCCACAATCGCCTTGTTCGCATCCTTCATCGGGATTTCCTCCACCCAAGGGCGGATTCCCTTTTCAGCAACAAGCTCAAACATCTCCCGGATCTCGCTAGGGCTACCAACGAGGGAACTGGAGAGATTGATGCGGCGCATCAAGCTCCGAACAGGAGCGAAAAGTCCACCATCCTCAGGAAGGCCGACCTGCACAAAAGATCCACCAGTCTTCAGAAGGCCCAGGTAATCATTAAAAGGCATCTTAGTAGACGAGACAGTGGAAACAATGAGATCCAAAGACCGAGCATGAACGGTAGCCCAGTCGGGCTCATCATCAGTCGCAATATAAAGATCCGCCCCCATCTTCAGCGAATCCTCCTTCTTAGCCATCTTCCGCGAGATAGCAACAACCCGATCAGCCCCCATAGCCTTAGCAAACAGCAAGCCAAAGTGACCCAGACCTCCAACGCCAATAATTCCAACCCGCTTGCCAGGACCACAGCCATTGTGCTTAAGCGGGCTGTAAAGGGTAGCGCCACCGCACAGCATAGGTGCAGCATCGGCCGAGGGGATAGCATCAGGGATCTTGATGGCAAAGTGGCCGGGCACTCGGTTGTACCGCGCATACCCGCCGTACGACTTACTGCCGTCGTAGTGGATGCTGTTGTACGTGCCGACAACCTTCTTGCTGCAGTAGTTCTCCATGCCGGAGGCGCACTCCTCGCAGTCGCCTAGGCGGCCGAGACAGGACTCGCTCTGGGCGCCGACTCCGACGCGGTCGCCGATTTGGATGTCGGAGACCTTGCTTCCCACGCGCACGGCTGTGCCGACAATCTCGTGGCCTACGCAGCAGGGGTAAGCGGTGGGTCTCTGTGGCGAATGTTAGTTTTTTTTTTTTTTTTTCTTCTTTCTTTACGGATGTTATACAACGTTCTATATCAGCGAGCTTTCTCATGCTAAGATCTCGCTGATACAAACGGAATACATACCCAGCCACTTCGGAGAGTGTGTAAATCAGAACCGCAGATGCCGCAGTGAGAGACTTTGATATCAATGTCGGTCTCCTCCCACTCTTTCGGCTGGAATTCTTGCCAGACCATGTTGCCCTCGCCGGCACTAGGGTCGAGACCCATCCAGCCTTCGAATTTGTAGTCTGTTTGCGCCATTTTGTGAATTGGGGAAAATGTTTACTGTACACATCTTTTCTGGGGGTCTGCCCCATTTATATCTCTTGGAAGCGGGCCACGTCCGGAGTCCCACTCGGTTTTACACACTGGAAACTTCGGTTTGATGAATAATTGGTAAGCAACCTTCTTTGATGGGTCCGTTTGAAGATTTAGACTTGTAAGAGCCTATAAAGTGTGCGGTTTCTATCGGGTTGGAGTACGGGCTTAGGGAAACTTGGTTTGCTGATACCCTAGCATCTACACCCATTACCATACATATTTAGACAGGCTCTGCTCTAATAACACATCTTGATTGAACCATGATATATGTACTTACATGTAGGTACGTACATGAAGATGTGTCTGGTCAATGCAACGCCCAGGTATATTTTTTTTCTTTGCTTTTTTTTCTGTGGAGCCAGTGGCTTGCATCAGTCGAGAAAAATCGGAAGTTTATTTGCATCTCTATGTAGGGCTACATGGCGTATACAGACATGTAAGATGTCTCTCGATACATGAAATCCTACACAGGGCTTGGCTGCATTGCCAAGATATGCCTAATCCAAGTCCAAAAACACAATAAAAGAAATTGATATTCGAGGCAGAAATGTACAGGCTTTTTGAAGTCCGTTTAGGTAGAGATGCAAGCAAAATTAAACAAGTAAAAGAAAAACACCAATCTATCTCGGTCATTTCAGATTCTCGCTTGCGAAAACACCCGAATATAACATCAGCCGGTAGGTCGGCTAGACACACTTGGCTATACCATCAATGTCACTGATCTAGAAGAGTGACAAGATGTCGTCGTTGGATTTCTTGGACTGGTTATTTTGAGAAGGGCCTGCATTGCCAGAGAGATCAAGACCAGAGAATCCGTTCATGAGGTCGGCACTTCCGCCACCGCTCGACGAGGGCTGGGCGGCACCGGAGTCTCCGAACACGCCCAAGAGATCATCTAGGTTGTTGCTTGCTTGGGCGGTCGGGGTACCAGCTGCAGGGGACGCTACCCGTACGGGAGTGCCAGCCAGACCCTCCAGGCCGGACATGCCGCTGGAAGGCTCGGTTTGTGCGGAGGCAGGAGCACCGCCGTCGAAATCAATGTCCAGCAGGTTCTCGACGTTGCTTTGCGCCTGCGCAGGGGCTGTGGTGCCGCCAGCGGCAGCGGCAGCAGCCGCGGCCAGTGGGTTCTCGCGTGCGTTCTGGATTTGTTCCCTGTGGATTGGTTAGCAACATGGTCGACGAACACAGGATATTAGAATACGTACTCGATAGCAGCGCGCATGACGGCGTCGGCACCGAATCGGCCGTGTCCGACAAACTGCTCGGGGGGCTTGTGGTAGACGGAAGAAAGAGTAGACAGTTCGGAAAGGAGTTGGTCAAGAAGTGCCGGTGGCAGTGAGTGGATGGTGGTGACGATAGGGGGCTTGTCCGAGAGAACAATGTTCTTTGTCGCGTTTGAATCGCTGGTGTTGGACAGAAGACGCCAGTAGATATATGCTCGGTCACGGACATCTGGGTTGTCGTTCTCGGATGTCGCAGCCTGGAGTACCCGCTGCACCAAGCCCTGTGCCTTCTCGGGCCGCTTGAGGAAGAGTTTGACCACAGCTGTGAGGATTTGCAATTGGGTCTAGATATAGAGGTTAGCCAAGATCGTAGCATATACCAAGAGGGAAGAACAAACCGAAGAGAATTCTTCGTTGAAACCATCCACAAAGCCACCCAAGATATCACCCGCGTTGCTAATCTTTTCGGCATACTCTCCAACAATCCAGATGATTGCTGCTCTAGCATTGGGCTCATCCAACTCATCGATGCACTGGCATAGAGTCGGGATGATACCTTCGTAGCCAGGGTATTTCCGGAAGATGTCCTTGATAACAACAATCGCTTCCTGAACGACGTAGTTCACCTTAGTGTTGATGAGATCCAACAACGTGTTAACGCACCGCTCGCTAGCGCTCTCAATCTTGATGGCAACCTGGCCGATTGCCTTGACAGCTCGGCGCACAAAGTCCATATCGACTTCAAGGGCATACTCCTTCAATTCAGCGAGGAGCTGGTCCACATTGCGGTCGTTCGCTATGCGCACCATAATCTCAAGTTTCTGGAACTTGACATATTGCGGGTCATTGTATTTGCAGAAGAAAACACGGAGTTCTTTGTTGAGAATGTCAGGCTCCTTTTGCAGCAGAAGATCAATATTTCTTAACGCCACATATTGCACTTCGGGGGCTGATGAAACCAACGTAACTATATTAAATTAGCAAAAAGAAGTGTACTGAAAGCAGCGAGGGCGCATACCCAATGGCGGAGCCATCTTCTTTAGGTAGGTCTTCGACAAGTCAGGGCTGACATTCTTCATATGTAAGAACACAGCCTTGACTGCCGCAAGAACCACACCGGCATTAACATGCTGGAATTGAGGAGCGACTCGTTCGCAAATGTGCTCCGACTCCTTCACGTCAGAGGTCTTATACTCGGCCAAAGTGGAGAGAATAGTGACGCGCCCCCATTCCGTGCACTCGTTCAAAGCCATCAACATCTTCCGTAGCGAGTTAGCATTAATCTGTAGAGCCTGTGTCTCGGGTGCCGTGTGATGAATCTCCTGGAGTGCAGTCACCGAGTTGGCGACGACCATGGGGTTGGGGTCTCCAATCATCTCCTGGAGTGTCTCCAAGAATCCGTTCTCGAGGGCCATTGTCGGGTTCAGATCGAAAAGCTTGGCCACACAGATTGCAGCGGTTTTGCGGACATACGGCGACTCATCTCGGAGGGTCTTGCGCAGCGGTTCTTCCATGTAGTCCACCATCTTCTCCACCCGAATACAACCCATTGTGCGGATTGCCAGCGCACGAATAAGTGGGTTGGGGTCTTCCGAGTCTTGTACGAAGGTGTTCACGGCGAGAATACATAGATCAGGGTGCGATTTGGCGTAGTTCCTGAAAGTGAGATTCGACCGATTAGCATACGTAGCCACCTTCAGTTGTACTGTGGTACCTACATGAGATAGAGGTAGACCAATTTCTTCTGCTCAAGATCGGCTGTGGCAATGTTCTTGAGAACATCAGGGAACAGAGCTGAGACATCCTTTCCCAGGGTCATGGCCATGATTGTCTTTTGAATGGATTCCTTCCTGTTACATTGTCAGCCATACCACGTCTTCGTCATACACTACCAGCCCGGATCGAAGGCTTCACTGCTGTACATACCGTTCGTAGGCATACTGGGAACTGTAATAATAGTTAATATCATTCGTCATTCGCTATGGCGAGGTAACCAGCGCATGGTGGAGGGGGCCGCATACACAAGTCCAGCTCGCAATTCAAACGTCTCTCCTTTCCGAGGCACCGTAAAGGCGCCGCGGATTTTGTTCATCGCCATGGCGAGGATGTATAAGCTTCAGCAACGACTAGGTCGTGCCTCCGCCTAGAGATATGGATGGGAGTGGGAATGGAGTAGCGTTGGGCGACTGCGGGGGATTGGGAGCTTCGCGGTCGCGCGAGATCGGGGAATGGAATTTGTCGAGATTGTTCGTCACTTTGGTCGCAAACTCAGAAAGTATGTGAACAATCTGGGTTGGGGAGATTTCGAGGAAGAATGGGGGCGAAGAGGGAGAGAAAGGGTGTTTCGGACGATCAAAAGTTGTCCACAAATGGTGGCTTCTGGACTCTCTCCCGCTCTACGGTCATCAACTCTCTCCTTTATTTCACACTGTAATCTAGACCATCGCTGTTTATAATGGTATTTATTCTACATCCAAATCTATCAAACTGCCAAGACTAACACATCTGCAGGCTAACCTCCCTAACTTGCGACGCCTCTTTGTGGAGGCCAGGACGGAGGCGGAAGAGAACGAGTACTCGCGAAAGGCTGTATGTCATTGGACAACTCGAGTTGATTCAATAAAGCTAACAAGTGTAGTTCTATAATCTTGTCCTTTTCATCTCTTCTGTTGCCATTTTCAGCTTGACTGCCCAGCGCATGAGTGGACCGAAAGCTGGACGATGATGGTGACCCTTATTGCCATATATTTGGACATTATGAAGTATGAAGAATGAAATACAAAGTGACAGGAACGCATAGTCCGACTTCCTGGCAGCCCAGCTGCTGGTCCGAACTCCTTCATTACAAGCTCTATGCTATCGGTCAATCGGTCTCTTCGCCCTCACTCTCTAAGAACGCAAGCGACTGTCGCCCCCGATTCGGCCTACGTCGAGGCTTCGAATCCTCATCATCCTCCTCGTCACTCTTGGCACCCCATTGCTTTGCGCCTTGCTGGATCTGCTCTAGATCCGCTTTCAGCTCCCGTTCTTCGCGGATCTGGTTTGCCTTCTCTTGAGATGGCCGGCCAGTCATTCCAGCATCCTCCAGCATCCCCTTGAGATGCTTGATTTTGGCCTTGGTGGTGTCATACGGCGCCAGCTCTTTGCCCCACAGCTTACGGATTCCGCATTTGATGAGCCATCCTTGCAGTCGTTTGATTTCAGCTTGGTCAGGGCTGATATCCTCATCCTTGGCTTTGGGGGCTTTCTTCGTCTTGGTTGCAGTTCCCCCAGCACTTTTCTGTCGCTTGCGAGGGGCCTTAGGCTGAGGCTCTTCGTCAAGCACCACCGACATCTCGCTTTCGGAATCATCCTTGGTATCTCTAGCCGGTTCATCGGGAACATCGGAAGTGTCTGATGCTTCGTTCGTGGGGGCCTTTCGTACAGATGCCTTCTTCGCTGGCGACTTCTTCAATGGCGATTGCTTCACTGGCGCTTTCGATCGTTTTTTTGGCTTTGTGACATCATCGTTATCACTCTCATCACCGGATAAATCAGAAGCGTCTGACATATCTTTCTTGGGTTTCTGTACGGAGGCCTTCTTCATTGGGGACTTCTTCATCGGTGCTTTGGATCGACTCTTAGGCTTTGTGATCTCGTCACTCTGGTCGTCCGACGGGACTGATAGCTCAACTTCCTCGTCGGAAACTGGCGTCTTAGTCTTTTGGCGCTTCCTAGACTTTGGCGCGGTCTCGGATTTTGCTCGCTTCGCAGGAGCAGCAGGCTTAGGCTCTGGAAGAGGAGATGATTGTGGATTTTGTATCGCCTGATCTTGTATTTCCTGTAAAAGCATCGCAATCAGTGTCTTTTCCTGAAGCTGGTCTGAAGCTGCCGAAGGAGCACTGTACAGGCAAAGAAAGACTCACCACCTCGTCCTTGATTATATTCTCACTCCGCGCTTTCCAATCACTTGTAGACTTGAAGTACCCCTCTGTGAGACCCAATGTAGCTTCCGCCGCAAGTCGTACGCGCTTCACAGTCAATTCCTCCATGTTCCCCGACTTGAAGATTGCAGCCACTTGGTCGCGAAGGCTCCTCTCAAGAACCTGGTCGGAGGGCGCGCTGGGCACTTCACCCTCAGCGTCAGACTCGGAGTCGGACATTGTATACTTCGGCGGCATGTTGATATCGCTCTATGACGATTGAAAAGAGGTTGATGATGTATGAGTGTATGAATGGGTGAGCATGAATGATCTAGCTGCTCGAAACATATATCATTTATAGAGAAACAAGGACCAAAGAGCAAAGTAATGGAAGAAAGATGTTGATGTATTGCAGTCAAACTGCGAACCTGAGCGCGTCTGCGAGCGCGCGGGAATAGATGACAAAGCGGGATCGAGATTGATCGGCGTTACATTTCACTATGTCATTTGCGACTCTTGCTCTGAAAGCTCAACTTCTGGATCTTTGACATATTCAAGGCTCATTGGTCCTAAAGATCTTTCTCACTTCTTTCTGAGTGTCTTTTTGCTGACTGTTGTGCTAAATATCCGTCACTATCACCTTTTTCTCGCCTCCGCTGTTTCTCCGCAATCTATTAGAAATCAACTCCGAATCACTCTGACGGCTTCAAATCCTCAATTTCCAAAGGGAATCAAATATCTACACACGACAACATGTCGTCGGTTCCACCGGAGCAATTAACTAGTAAATATCAAGGCACAGGGTCCATGTTCGACCATCAAACCTCCGCAAGCTCCTCCAAGCCAGCCGGAAACGATGACTCGAAAGCCCCATTGCCCAAGGGCGTCGTCCTGGACAAAGACGGAAAGCCGTACGTATTTACAACTAGAAGCAAGCCAACTCAGCCGTTCTACTCGGTGAGCCGGCCCTATAGAACAAGCTAACATCTCCACCTCACAGCTGCCGCACTTGCACCTCCGTCGCCTCATGGCGAGCATTGACCAAGCAAGCCGACCTCAAAAGCGCAAACTCAAGCTCTACTTCACCCTCCACCTCGGGCACAGGCAAAATGACAGCCTCAATGGCCCCCCTCGCCGCCGCTGCAACAACCTCCCCCAGCGAAAGACCCTCAGACTGCCCACCAGACGTCGAAGAGCTAGGTCGTTCAACATGGACACTATTGCACTCGATGGCAGCTACATATCCCGAAAAGGCAAACACAGAACACCAGGCTAATATGAGCGGGTTCTTGAAGTTCTTCTCGAAGCTGTACCCGTGCTGGGTATGTGCAGATGATTTCCAGACATGGATGGCGCATCCCAGTGGGCAGAATCAACCGAAACTGGGGAGCCGGAAGGAGTTTGGGTGGTGGATGTGCGAGGCGCATAATGAGGTTAATCGGAAGCTTGGGAAGAAGGAGTTTGACTGTCGACTTTGGGAGGAGAGATGGCTGACTGGGTGGAAGGATGGTCGGTGTGATTGAGCTGTATATTTATGGTGTTGGGGTTGGAGTAGTCTTCTCTCTACTCTTCGGTCTAGACATCTCCCTTGTACATTAGATATGCATCATTTGGCGAATAAACATAAATTGTACTTTTATCAATACTCGTAGACCGGGGAATCTAAACCAGGCGACTAAAGGCATGACCTTCGAGTGACTAGAGGAGTGAGATTTTGGACAAAACATGTTCGCATACAAACTAGATCGCTAAGCAATTATAATCTTGGATACAAAAAGACATCTAGACAAGGGGACTGTGTGCAGGAAGTTTTGTCTTTCTCCCAGCCGAAAAAAAAATTGAAAAGCGCCGCCAAACACAACTTCTCCTCGTGCAGATGAAAATGTACCCGTTTTGTAACTTCATATCAGGAAGAAGAGAAAAAAGGCAGAAAAACGTTATGCTTCGTCATGCGGCAATTAAAATTGGCTGGGGACGAACAGGCGCAGACCACTGGCAGGGGCACCGATCTCCGTAACATCCGCTATCCGGTCGACACTTCCCTTGTACTGAGGGTGGTATTTGGCACCGGTGAAGGGATCTGAGACACTGGGAGAGCCGCTGTAGATAGGAGTGAAGGAGGCAGCGCAGATATCGAACTCGGCGAAGGGGTCGAAGTCAATATCGATCTGGTCTTGAGGGTTGCGTTCGCATTGAGCTTTGATCTTCTTGGCCTGTTTCTCATGGTTAGTATTGGTATATCGCAAAATTTTGAACATTCAATTTTAAGGAATGTCTTACCTGTTCCAAAAGCTTAGCGGAGCCTCCATTAGCCAGCATGCGGTTGGCAAAGCTCAAGGCTGAGCCGTAGTTCCTGTTGGCAAATGCCAACTTCATAGCAGCCATCAATGCCAGTTGTCGGTGAGCGACCTCGAGCTTAGGGATTGTGAAGTAGGCGGACAGCTCAAGACTGCGCTTGAGGCCCTCAGGGGAGTCGGTGGAGAGAGTACGGCGCTCGAGCTCGATGGACATGGCGAGAATGTATTCCCGAGCAGTGGCAATGACCTTCTTTGCCTCCTCCACATCGGCTTCCGATGAAACGGTGTTGATGAGAACAGTGTGAAGAACGCGCTTGAAGATTGCTACACCATCCTCCAATCTGTTGGACCGCATAGCGGCATAACCCTCTTGCAGGTCAGCACTGGCAACCGTCTCTAGGTCTCGGGGAATGATGGGAAGCATCTTCCGGGAGTCAGTCTCGTCGACGGTCCGGCGCACATAGTTGACCAAAGGCGGCAGACCAGCAGTCGCCGGGAGATAGGTCTTGGTCGCCTTGTAAACTTCGAGGAAGCGAGGCTTGAGAGGAGCGAACTGAACGGCACCAACTTGGCGGTTCAACAGCTGCATCGCAGTGTCGAAAGAGCCAGCGGCGACGTGATCGGCAGCCAGAGGGGAGTTACGAGCCCACAAATCGGCCTCAGAACCTCCCGCGCCAGCTTCGGCGCTTTCTACGTTGACGAAGTCGACCTCTTCCTCAACATTGACATCATCGCCCATATCCCATCCGGAAACTTCCTCGTCATCATCAATGGTTTCCCGAGCAAGAGCTGCCTCTTGCTCCTCTTCCTCAATCTCGAATCCATCAGCACCAGCCTCTTCATCGGCAGCACCAACCTCTCCAAGGAGGGCCTTCTCGAAGGAGGAGTGGCCCGCAGCCTTAACAGGCCAGTTAGACTTGAAAGTGGGCACAACGGGGTGAGCAACCTTCAGAGGTTGCTCGAGTGCGGGCAGGACGATCTGATCTTCGGTGAGGCCAACAGCCTCCAAAATGGACTCGGCCTCTTCAATCAGACCATGTGACTTGGCAGTGAGATAGGCAAGAGGGTCTGGCGAAAATTAGTATGAAGGAAACAATTGCCACCAGGGTTAATACATACACAAGTCCACTTCCTTGAACATCTGGATTCGGTCCTCAACGTCCCCGCGGTAGATGGCGTTTTGGAAGCGAGAGGTGAAGTCACCACGGTGTTCAGCAATCTTAGCCATACGAGCGAGCTTCTCCTGGTCGCCGGTACAGAGGTAGAGGAAAGAGAGCTTGTCGAAGTTACGCTGCTTTTGATAAGTCATCTCGACGGTTTGGTGGTTACCGTGAGCCAATGCCTCGGCTCCAAGTCTGCTCCAGAAGTTGGGGCGGTCGAGTTCCCGTGCCATTTCGTTGGCAACATCGAGGTTACCACATTCAAGCGCAAGGTCGAAGCGAGTCTGGGGGTCTTGCACGAATTGCAGAGCAATCTCAGGGTAACCCTTCTTCTGCAGATAGGAAATGATGCTCTGGCCAACCAAACTAGAGGTCTTGATAATCTGAAGCATTTCGTCGTAATTTCGCTTGACGAGGGCGAGCTTGAAACGGTACTCGGTCGGGTCAATCTCCAAGATGCGTGGCTGGGCGTTGCGGTCAAGGGCATAGACGCTGCGTCCCTTCACACGCACGAGGTATACGGTCTGATCAAGGGTGCGGATAATACCGTTGTCACCGTTGAGAAGGGAGTACTTCACATGATTGAGGGTAGAGTAGAGTAGGACACCGGCGTCGTCCCAGGTAGCACTCTTGATGCGAATAGTCTCGTGCAAGGTACTAACCTGCTCGAGGGTCTTAGTCACGATGGTGACATTGTGTTTGCTGAGCAAAGCGCAGTACAAGCCATCGTTAGACCACACCACATACTTCACTCCGCTGACAGCAAGCTCTGCAAGCTGCTTCTTTTGTTGGATGTCGAACAGAGTAACATGTGTAGGGGTGATGAAGAGCAGACATCCGGTACCACCAAAGTAGATATCGGTCGTGCCGGCTGGGGGCTTGATTGTCTTCGTTGTGGAGTTGCTAAGGTCCTTGATATCGACCTGCTGGCTCGAGGGGTTGAAGACAGCGAAGCGGTTGCGGGCGACGAAAACTGCTGAAGTGGCCTGTCCACGCTTGACATCTGTAGGTTCAATGGCTCCAGTGCCATCTCTAGGGAGATGAATCAATTCATAAGTTCCATTATCAGCGGGCGTGGTAACCAGAATAGCACGCTCGGCGGGGTTGTAAGAGAGGGTACGCGGAGGGACCCATGGGGAACCCAGCTTGCGCAGCGAAAGCATCGGGGGTGACTCGACGTTCTTGCCAAAGTCATATGACTTGACGTGCTTATCCTTTGTGATGTAGAACAGCTGGTTCTGGTATATAGCAGACGCAGGACGCTCACGCTCTAGCTTGAAGACCATAACACCAGTATCATGGCCTGCGGCAAACAGGTTCATCTCGGGGTGAGCAGCGATAACCCAGAATCGATCAAGATCGCGCTTAAAGGACTGAACGGAGGTACGCTTGTTAAGATCCCATGCGCGAATCGTCTTATCTTCGCCGACGGAAAGGATGAGGTCCTGGTGTGGGTGGAACAGAGCGGCGGAGGCATTTTGGAAATGGCCGCGGCAAGTATCGACTTCCCAAGCCTTCGTATCACTCATCCGCCAGAGCTTAACCAACCGATCGTCACCGGCTGACACTAGCAAGGGTAGTGTAGGGTGGAATGACACCCAGTTCACACCACGGTCATGACCTTCCAGCACAAACTTGACGACTGCATCGGTGTTTCCAAACATATCAGCTTGGTTTGGATTGGCTCTGGCCATTTGATCTTCGAACGAAACCGAGGTCGGGGCAGAGTGCTTCTTCCGCAGGCCGGAGATGTCCCAAATGCGAACCGACTGATCCAACGAGGCGGAGGCAATGAGGTCCTCGGTGGGGTGGAACTGAGCGCACATAACATAATGGTTGTGACCGGTCATCGTACAGACTAAGGACAGTCGAAGCATTAGTAGATGTTAATACAGGTAGCTCCAATGCATCTTACTGAGTGACCGATTTTGCCAGTTCCAGATTCTGATGGTCTGGTCATCGGACGCAGATAGAATCCAGGGCAGCTCGGGGTGGAAGAAAACTGTTCGCACATAATCCAGGTGGCCATTCAATGTGAACAAACACCTCCGGGTCTGGTAGTTCCAGACCTTGATCTTGTAATCGTCACCTCCAGACACAAACAGGGGCTGGGTTGGGTGAAAGTCAACGCCGCGAACCGGGCCATCGTGTTCTTCGAATCGGTCGATAAGAGTTCCCATGCGGTAGTCCCACAGTTGGATGGTAGAGGAGTGAAGGGAGACGAGAATCCATGGCCTGTTTAAGGTCAGATTGGGTGCTTTGAGGTGTTAGGTGTCCCTCCGCGGGATTGACTGACCGTTTGGGATGGAATGCGATTCCTTTGGCTCTGGAGGATTTCGACTCAAACTACTCGAGAGAGAATCATTAGTATCTTCAATTGAGTCCCGTTGTTTGATGGCGCATTAAGATGCCCGAGGGGGGCGTACCTTGGTGAGCATGTTTGGGGAGGAGGACTGCATCTTGAAGATTTGGCCGGAGCCGCACTGTAAAGTAGCAAGCTCCGCACACTAGAGAGCAATATAAGGCAGAGGCGACCACCGCATCCACCGAAAAGAAAGAAAAGAGCGAAAGGTAAACACTTGGTGCTGGTGTTGGTGTAGCAGTAAACTAAACGTGGACTCTATTGTGGAAGCGAATGACATCGGCCAATCGCTGCCAGGCGGTGAGCGGTCAGGGGATAGCTACGACCTTTAGTTTGTACAACGTTCCAGATTGTTTTTAGATCAATACATGTATGGAAGTGTTCAATGTATTCTTATATTGAATTGATTATGGCTTGATTTTTTTTTCCTTGACTATACATGCAAATTTCAACAAGTGGAGATATATGTTGTTCTCCATATACCCCCGCGTTGGAAGCATCTGGAAATCCATGATGTTATGACGACCATACCTTTCTTGCCAGTTCCATTCCCCTTTTACTAGTCTTTTCTCTTGTACTTAATCCTTTAATAGATATTTCTTTGATTACATACTCCACCGTTCCTTCCTCAGAGGTCTGGTTATGTGTTTTGGGACTTGACCATCTACCTTGGACTGGACTACATATACTCCGTACCTGGGACTGGAATGTGAACACTTTTGGGGTCCAACTTGGAGAGGCTTGATATAAAAGCATGGAAGATCTCCCAATGGATGACAGTCCGGCCCAGCCACACCAGCCACACCAGCCCTTTGATTTCTCCACCGGGTTTACTGGTTTTCATGCTGCAGACCCTCAGCCGGAGGAAACTGAGCATAGCACGGACGACTCAGGACCCTCAACACCTACCCAGAATACACATCCGTTCGACAATAGTGATGATGACATTCGAGTCATCAAGCCCTATGATATTGAAGAGCCCGACGATGAGTTAGAATCCAGCGTGCAAAGGGTAAATCGACTGTGCCTCCCAGATCGGTTCGAACGATGGCAGCGTGACTTGACAGACTACCTCGATGACATGGACGACCAACCAGTTGGATTTAATCGCAATAAAATCCGCTCAATGCGAAAGAGAGGACAGAAGAGAAAGCCAACCCATAACACTCCCGCCACACAGCAGTGCAACCCGCCCTTCAAACAAAGATACGCATCGGCGGAGATCCAGCCTCAAGTGGATGAACACCTCCCCAAAAGACGAAGGGTTAGCGAACCACCACAATTGTATCCTTCAAGCATGGACTCATTTGGCGATTTCCGGGAACCCAACGCGAACGAAAGCTCAAGTTCCGAAACACAATCGATGGACCTGAGTGGCAACGAGACCATGGGCAACGAGACCATGAATAACTCGCCCATGGAAGATGAGATGGATCTCGATTAAGTTACATTCTATAAATAATTCTCGGCCGTCATCCTCAGCGAAGTCACTCAGAATATGTGGACGGATTTAGCTGAGTATAACATGACGTCATGTATATCTCATCGCAGGCTGAAAACGCTTCGCTGGATCGGATCTGTCTTGGTCTTTACAACCATCCAACAAGAACCACGGGTAAATTTAACCCTTCATTATGGCTACACGAACATCCTCACGCCATGCCGCCCAGAAGGCCAAGGAAGCCATTGCAACTTCCGCCGAGCCGACTGGCAAGGCTACCAAGGGAACAAAGCGGAAAGGTCCAACCGAAGAAGCTCCACATCCCAAAAAGGAGAAAACGGAGGACATAAAGCCCGACGAAGAGAAAGCGGAGCAGGCACCAGTTACATCGGTGGACGGTCCAGTGCCCAAGACAGATGAACCACCTGTCGAGAAAGAGGAACCACCTGTCGAGAAAGAGGAACCACCTGTCGAGAAAGAGGAACCACCTATCGAGAAAGAGGAAGCGCCTGTCAAGGCAGCAGAACCATCTGAAGGACAATCATCAAAGGAGAAACCCGCCGAAATCACTCCAGAGAAACCCCAAGGAATTGAGGGAGGTCTTCACAAGTCTGAGGAGAGGGAAAATGTGGTATCCTCCAACATCCTCGAAAAAGGCTTCATCTATTTCTTCTTCCGCCCACGCGTCAATGTGGATGATCCTCAAAGTATTGGCGATGTCGCCCGAAGCTTCTTTGTCCTCCGTCCCACCGTCCTTGGTGCGGAATTCGACAAAGGTCAAGGCCCCGTCGACAAAGATGCCTCATGTCGCTTGATGATTCTCCCAAAAAAGAAGTTCCCGACCTCACCCAAAGAACGAGATATGGGATTTGTGGAGAAGGCTGGACAATCTATGCAATCTCTCCATGAGAAGTTCATCGCTGGTACCACATACCAGACTGCCACCCGAGGTGAACGTCACACTGAGGATGCCAGACCTTATGCAGAAGGTGTCTACGCGATCACCTCCACACCGCGGGCATCCCATCTCGCCTATATCCTGACCATTCCTGCCGAGGTGGGTGATCTCCAGGAGGACTTTGGTCTGCAAGGACGCGGGAGTTGGATTGTTCAGTCGAAGAATCCCAAGTTCGCTGGTCCGCCAATCGGTCGATTACCGAAAGAGCCAGAATTCCCTCCATCGTAAGTAGTCTCCCGTAGAGAGATTATAATATTCTCATATTAACGCTGTTTTCGTTAGGGTTCTCGAGAAATTCGGAGATCTTCGATGGGCACCTCTGCAACCCGAGTTCCTGGACTATCCTAATTCCCAATTCCTCATAATTGGCGAGGCGCAGAATCACCTTGGCAAGGCTGCATCTTCTGAGGGAGGTAAACAGCCTCACGAGGAAGAGCCTGGCCAGGAATTGGAGAAACTCGAAGACGAAAACGAACATCGGGTTGAGTCTCTTCAAGGTATGTTGATCCTGTGTTGATTCTATGTTGATTAGGCTGAAATTAACTTAAAACCCAGGAGATGAAACAATCTATGAAGACCTGGGCTTCCACGCGAAGAATTACCCCAAATTGCCCACAACTTGGAATATCTAAGTCCTGGACTTTGTATCACACACAGGGACTCAGACTATCACTCAAAAGTAATGCTACCGATCACACTTATACATGAAAAAGAATTATATATCTCAAAACTGTAGTTTAACAATTATCTTTATCCCTCTGGCTACAACACTGATAACCCAAAAAGCCATCTTGGTATGTATTATATCTTAAGTATAGGGTTTTAATACCATCTCAAGTCGGTGGGTAAGAGTTTCTACTAGTTGTATTGTTGTCTCTGACAGCCAACTATTTGCCACACACCTCAATTTTGGCAAGTTCAACTACAAGCTTGCACACAGCGTTCGCATTCAAACTGAAGGTTTAGACTTAAAAGCCTGATTTGCCGTCAAAGCCGTTATAGAAAACTAGCAAATCAGTGTATGCTCCTCTTGTCAATATCTCATATTTCTGTCCATAGCTACAAGTAAATAGCTGAAGTGGCGCAACTAAGCTTGAGTCCTTCCCCAAATTCAAGTTTGCAAAAGTCGTAATTGATCGCGGTGGTGCCCAGAAAAAAAGAGTAAAGGTATGATTATTTAGTAGAAATGGCGTTATCAATCGCGTAGGCGCATACTGAGAACCGATATCAAGGATGCGTCCTGTAGGAACATGCCCATGCAAGTAGGAGGCAAGACCTTGATCGATCGAGCGGCGAAAACTAATTTTGGACTACTTTGATAGCATGCAGGATATCCTCAAGAGACCATCCCGGCCCGCCGGGAACAATCTCTGCCCAGACCTCTTCTGGAACGGCATCGTTGGGGTCCAGTAGGCTCCAGTTTGGACTTGGCTCCGGCTTAATCCATTTGAAATCTTCGACCTGACTCCAACGGTCTTCGTGGTCAGGGCGGTCATGGTTCAAGGCCTAGATAGAAGAACGTAAGTACAAAACCGAAGAGAGAAGATAGCCAGGGTGATGACACTGACATAGGCCTTCGGGATCCGACCAAACCGAATATTGGAACAGTCCTCGATAATGGGGTTACTAGAACAGCTGAGATAGACATCAACGTCGCTGCAGTTGTGCATGCGGAATTGACGACATGATATCACAATCACGCTGCGCTCAATGCCAGTAATGTGTGCAGGGCCATTAACTTGACCGCAGACCAATAAGCTTTCTTTGATGCCCTTCGCAGTCAGACTTGCATATGGCTTTCCGTTGGCAGTGGGAATAGACATATCAACGATGCAGCGATCCAGGGAGGTAATAGACACCGGGACGGTGGAAGTCGAGCCGGAGGCCGGAAGCATAATGTGAAGTCCATAATGATCATCGACCGACACGGAGGATATGCCGGTGGCCGCAAACGCACCAGCGGGCTTCTCCGATGTGGATTTTGTGGCAAATTCTCCGGTCGAGACACCTGGAAATGAAGTCGGGGCAAGCTCCGGTCGTTCTTGTTGCTGCTTATCCGGCTCGTTCAGTGGGGTGGAAGGGTAGTTGGGTGTATGGGTCGTGGACGAGCCGACGGACGAGGCACCCGGAGAGTGGTAACCAGGGATGCTAAGCCGTCCTTCAGCGGCCAGCACTGCAGCATCTGACAAAGATATAGCAGATGTGTTTTTCTTGGTCTTGAAGCTAAACTTTGATCGGGGCTCGAATGCGGCACGTGTCTCGCTTAATCGATCCTGCAGAGCTTTGATTGCCTGTAGAGATATCAGCTCTGCAATATTAAGATAGAGTATGAGTAGCATATACCTCTGCGTATACCCTCTGATCATATGTGGGGATATAGCTCGCTGCATCCTTGACCTCGTTGGATAACCGCACGATCCCGGCAAGGCAGTGGTCTGTTGCATCAGCACGTTCACCACCCACGAGCGATGTATCTGCAAGACGATCCATCTCCTGTTGCAAATCTATAATGGTAACGTTATTAATGATGGTCTTGTTTTGATTATGTTGACCTATAATGAAGTGGCATTTGCCCAACATCAATGGGGGCATACCTGTGATCTCATGCTGGAAGTAGCGGAAGAAGCGTTCATTCAAAGGGATATCAGCTTTCGAGACTGTCTGGTTGTCCGCCGACAGTCGACGGGGTTGTATTTCTGCCTCAGCCATGATGTAAAAGGTTTGAGATTGAAAGAGATGGAAGAGGGAGGTGGAGAGGTGGAATGTAAATGACGTCGATTGGATCCCCAGCTTGATCACACCACCCCGCACGGTATTGAAGGCAAATAAATCTCTTTATTTGCGAACAGATGATTGGCACTGTGAGATAGCTATGTTGTATGCAGGTATGAGCGAAAAATCGCTGTATTTCCCCACATAAATAATTTATATCAGTTCCTTCACTCGAGATCCAAAATAAGTTCGGATATTCGGAAGCTCGGGCTATATTGGAGTCGATCCCACAGTATCAAGTTGTAAATTTCGTTTTTTTTTAAGTGATTGGCCTCAGACCTCAGATTGACGCGATAACCAACTGCAGCTTCACTGTGACGTCGATCATCCCGCATTTCACGGAGGTCGGAAATCAGATGATCCGTTTCAGGCGACAAGGCATCAACTTGACTTTGTACTTCGAATGTTCGTCTTTTCGTGTTGTACCACAACATGACCTTGCCTTTAAGCTGGAAATTTGGAGGAAGATTAGAGACATAAGTTCCTCCAAGAATGCTACAACGAACTTTTTGTTTTTCCTTCTCTCTATTCCTAGATTGACATAGTGATGGCACAATCGAGGCCCACAAGCTAATTTCCGGTTCACTAAGGGCTATGGATCTTGAGGGTTGAGGATGTAAACTCCGTTTTGCATGGGGTAATACAGTGGAAGCACTGGACTGAGCTATTGCAACCTAAGCTTACTCGGTTGTACAACCATAAGCTGGCTAAATGAGACCGTCCACGAGGTCATCCCGGCTGAGAAGCTCCCTATAACTACACTCACACAGATCACGATCTCTAATTCTCAGAGATCCCAAAAGAAACATATGACGTTGTTCCGAGTATATGTTTGGTGTAAGCTATTGGTAGCGGTACACATGCGAGTAATCTGGGTTATTCCGACTTTTGGTATACGTTAGGGCTATAATCAATTGCAAATTGTATATATCAATGGACTTTCCTCTATATTATTTGATCGTCAAATCTGAACACTAAAAAGGGCTGAATGCTTGCATTCATGGAGCTTTAGAGTTGGCACATATATAGCCATTCCTATTCAGAACTTCGGCATTTGCCGATATAACTATCTTGTGTTATCCGAAAACAGGGACACCGGCATATCTAGAGTAACAAGGCACAAATATATCTTCTCTCTAGGTGTCCCTGCCGGAAATTCGGGCGCTGATAGGAACATCCTAGCTTACAGGAGTGGACTGTGACTGGACTCAGGCTCGGTGTATAGCAGATTTCGGTGACTATCATGTTGGTGTGCAACGTTGTACTGCTTTATTTTCACTTGTATCAATCTCATATACACTTAGTACTCAGCTCGGGTAGTTTTGATCACTTAGTAGATGACATACTAGGTTTCCTTGTGAATGTTGACATAGTTCTAACTCGTCTAGAAAGTGATATATTTAGTCTGATGGCCCCAGTGTGGTGTTTATTCACAGTGCTACTTTAGCAAGTATTTGACAAGATGAAACTTCAATATTTGCTTCTCCAGAACTTGGCCCTTGTATTGTGCTATATCCGGTTGGCGTTTGCTGCCGATTCTAGCTATCAACGGGTTGAGCAGCTAGAGAAGGTACCGGATGGCTGGTCGAGAGGGAATAGACCGTTAGCGTCTGAACTTATAAAATTCCGCTTAGCGATTACCCAGCATAACGCCGGAGACTTCGAGCAAAAGGTCATCGAGCTCTCAACCCCAGGCCACGCGAGTTATGGTCAACATATGAAAAGAGACGAAGTGAAGAAATTCTTGAGCCCATCTCCTGCCGTTTCAGACCGGATTATTGCATGGTTACGATCAGAAAATGTCCCCACCAGTTCTATCGACTTAGATGGCCATTGGATCTCGTTCACAGTTCCGATTTCGCAGGCTGAGCAGATGCTGAAGACACAGTTCTTCTACTTTCATCAACAAGCCAAGCAAACCAATGCCATTCAAACACTTGGCTACTCTGTGCCTAGGGTTTTACACCCGTACATTCAATTGATTCAGCCTACAACTCGATTCGGCAATCTCGTTCCTCAAAGAAGGTCCACTATCGAACAGAAGCCAGCGACTGCTGAGCAACTAGCCGCTGGATGCAATACAACTATCACACCAGACTGCCTCCGGGATCTGTATGGAATTGACAACACAACCACCAGACCTGAATGGCGGAATCGACTAGGGATATCTGGTTTCCTGGAACAATATGCTCGCCACGCTGATTACGATGAGTTTTTGCGTCATTACGCCAAAAGCCACACGGATACAAACTTCAGTGTCGTCTCGATCAACGGTGGCCAAGACGATCAACACTCCATGTCTGATAGTGTGGAAGCAAATCTAGATGTACAGTATTCCATTCCGCTGGCGGATGAGGTGCTAGCAACATTTTATAGCACTGGGGGACGTGGTCCTGTTGTCCCCGAAATAAACCATCCAGACCCCACCGAATCGACAAACGAGCCATATCTTGAACAGCTCCATTACTTCTTGAATCTCTCAGATGAAGATCTCCCCGCGGTGCTTTCCAACTCGTATGGAGAAGACGAGCAGAGTCTTCCACCGTCGTATGTAAACGCAACTTGCAGCCTATTTGCCCAGCTTGCTGCCCGGGGCGTTTCAATACTCTTCAGTAGCGGAGATGAGGGCCCGGGACGTTCTTGTGTGAGAAATGACGGCACGAACCAAACCAGATTTCTCCCCGGATATCCAGCTTCTTGTCCATTCGTTACCGCTGTGGGTGGAACATATGGCATCAATCCCGAAAGAGCGGTTTCCTTCTCTGGAGGTGGGTTTTCAGAGGTCTTCCCTCGTCCCCAATACCAGGACCAGGCAGTGAAAGGCTACCTTCATCATATTGGAAGTCGATGGAATGGATTGTATAATGCTACGGGAAGAGGATACCCTGATGTATCAGCCCAAGCCACGAGTTTCATTGTTCGAGATCATGGCAAGTGGGTCTCAGTCCGCGGAACAAGGTTTGTCTTAAGCAGATTTGCGGAGAGAACAAGCTGACGGTATACACACACAGTGCTTCAGCACCAGTGATCGCGGGTATTGTGTCTCGGCTCAACTCTGCCCGTATTGCCCAGGGTAAACCTCGAATGGGCTTCCTGAATCCATGGCTTTATAGCCACGGCGAAACCGGGTTCACGGATATTGTTATGGGCAGCTCCTCGGGCTGCAACTGGACTGCTGGCAATGCTACTCTTCAGGTACCGAATGCGAGCTGGGATGCCACCAAAGGGTGGGATCCAGTGACAGGGCTAGGCACGCCCTTGTTCCGTACACTTGTGGAATTGGCAGTGTCAGATGATGTGTAGAAACATGAATCTGAGTAATATATAGCTACAATGGACACTGAGTGCCATGCTGTCTGTCGTTTACTAATAGCCAACAAACAAAAAGTAAATAGACTAACTTGTAGTAATTGTAGGTGGAAGGGTCAACATCCAGATCGGCGATCATGAAAGTGCCCACACGTGACCGCAAGCTGACCGCCTACTACAGCTCCGTCATGAGCATCGGAATGTCACCAACAATCATCACTCAAAACCCAAACTCTCTATCGTCTCCGCTGTTTTAATTACTGCCTTCGTCCTCCTACGGCTAGGCCGACCTATTCCCTTTCAGCATTGTTCTGAACCCACATAATCTCCACCATGTCCGATCTACAATCCCTCGTGTCAGAGCTCCACGGTGCTGTCGAGCGCAAACAGTTCGAGGCCGCCAACGACCTCCTCAGCCGTTCTAAGCGAGCTCTTCTTATGCAAAACGCCTTGATTCCCACTTCCTCCACACCTCCCCAGCTTGTCGTTCTTGCCCGCCAAGTTCTCGAACTCGGAGCACTTGCCTCCATCCGCCAGACCGACGCGCAGCTATTCACACGGTACTACCAGCAACTCCAGCCATTCTACGATCTTGAGAGACATGCCGGTCTGCCTGGGCAGAGTTCTTCGGAAGTCGACTTTAGCACTAGCCAACGCAGCAAGATTACGGGACTGTATCTGCTTCTTCTTTTGAGCATGGGCGACAGTGCCAACTTCCACACAGTGCTAGAGGGATTGGTGGAAGAGGCGAGCTTGAAGGGTGGCCGTGTTGAGGATGATGCATGCATCAAGTACCCCGTTGAGTTGGAGCGCAACTTGATGGAGGGAAGCTACGACAAGGTGTGGAGAGAGACGAAGTCCGAGCGTGTTCCGTCGGAAGACTTTGGTCTGTTTTCGAATGTAAGTTGCATGCATGCTCAGTTTGAAATGAATGTCTTCGTCGTCAAGGATATTAATCAGAAGTTTTATAGGTTCTCGTCGGCACTATCCGCAATGAAATCGCAGGTTGCTCAGAGAAGGCATACCCCTCCCTCCCCATTTCCAACGCCAAGAACCTCCTCTTCCTCGACTCTGAGGGTGCAGTGATCAACTTCGCCAAGGAGCGCGGCTGGATCCTCCGAGATGGCCGGATATACTTCCCTGTTGAGCCCGAGGCGACTGCTAGATCTGAACGGGATATTCTGGTGGCTAGCGGCACCGTTATTGAGAATGCTTTGGGTTATGCTCGCGAGCTGGAGACTATTGTCTAATTACACGCTCAATGGATCAATGGGAACGATATACTTTCTTCGGATATGAATGGCCTTTTCTTGTCTTCGGGCGCGGATGTACTTGTATACCTGTCGCTTATGCATTGTGCTTTCTCTAGCGTGTTCATGACCACAATCATGTTAGAATCATTTCGGCTTACGAATTTCCAGTAGCATTCTAGTCAACGTAGACAACCCGAGACCTGCATGTGATAAGGTCTCAGCGTCTGGACGGACTTCCAAATCGACATGGCTTTTTATTTGACTATACATCAACAGTCCAAACACATAGCCTGCGATCATAGAAACTGCTCGAGACGCACAGAGCCTCAGAAGACCGAGTCATCTCTTCTCTGCCCTCCCACACGCCACTGGCATAATTCATACTCTCGTGTTCGGTAAACTTCGCCAGAACCTCAATTCCCCAATTCGGAGCCCCATCTTCGTGCTTGCACGTGACCCGTACAAGCCTCGACCCGGCATGCATACAGCTCGCCAGCACCAAAAAGCGGTACTCAGATACATTTGACGAATCATCCGAGCCGGGAATCTTTGTCGTATTCAGTAACTGGAGTCGCCAAACACCACCATCAAGACATTCCTCGGCGAGAACCTCTCCCCGCCGCGTGGCATGGTACACACGAAGACTCTCATCATAACTTCCCGTCAGAAGAACCGGGGCATCATCGACCAAGGGAACATCAAGAGGCAAGATAGCAGTGACACCAGCAGTGTGGTGGCGAGCTCGATCATCATGCTCGAGCAGCATGGGCGAGATATGCTCGTCTGGATCATCCAATTCGGTGGTATTATCGAATCGGCGTGTGTGTAGCGAGCCGAAGTCATTACCCGTGAACATGAACGGGATCGCAGACGGGGTTGGGGTCTCGGGATCTGGGGTTCCCGGTCTTGTTGACAATGCAACAAACCAGACTTCAATCATCTGTTTAGCTTCGTATGTGCCCCATTCTGCTATACTTTCTTCTTGGCGGATATCGCCCTCTGTCCCGAAGACAGCTGTCCGGCTATCTGAGAACGTGACGGCGAAGCCATCTGCTGCTGGCTGGGGGAACCATTTTTGCGGTGCCCAGGCGAGGAATAGTGCTGGGATTGATGGGTCTTCGTGTACTTGCTTTGCCCACAGTTGCGTGATACTTGGGGTTGCAGATGCGTCTCCTGTGGTGGATACTTGGAATAGAGCCACTGATCCCACGCTGGTAGCAATTGCAAATAGGTTCTTGTTTCTGGGGTGGAAGTGCAGATCAAAGACTGCGTATGGGACGGCAATTCTTTGGATTTGAGATCTGAGGTCTGTTAGTGGCTTCGTTATACTTGCTTTTGACTGAAGTAATATGATTGATTATGCTTGGCTTACAATGTTTTGCTAACAGGGTCTAATTTCCACAGTTGTAGACTCCCAGTTTTGGACTGCTCGATTTCTCCATCTTCGGTCTTGTTCTCTGATAGAAGGTAGGTGCCCACGATGAAATGGTCTTGGGCCTCGGGGCAGAACTCCAGGCAACTGGGTGGCTGATCTAGAAAGACCGTAGTCGCTGATTGGGGGTGTTGAATGCTTGCCATTTTGATCTAGTCCGAGAATGATTTTAGATTTTGCAAGCCCCGGAGTTTAGTTGTCGAGTCCGGAGGGGCGCCGGAATGTGGCGTCTGGATATGCCCGAGAATATATGGCAGATAGGGTCTAAAAGTGGCGTGACACACTATTTCCACTTTGGTGCATAGGATGAAATGAGACCCTTTGACCAGTTGCTGATTGTTTGAAGGGATTTGAAGTCACAAGTCACATAGTGGGGCGGTGAGAATCCTGGAAGTCAAGGATATCGCATCTTCACAGAGTATAGTCTGGATACTAAATATGTATAGTTGGCGTTTTATGTGTGCAGCTACGAGATGGTCATAGCCATTCCGGAGTATCCAACCAACAAAGCTCGCTGTCTATAGAAATTGCCTAGAGCCGATACTACATTGTAATCACTATATATAGTTCCTGGTATTGTCGGATTGGTGGCATTTTACGGAGTTACCAAGTAAATGTTAACGATAGAGTAATTTGAATAAACAATACAATCCCATATGAAGACTCACAGATATATACCCTTGGTTGGAGTTGCAGCAATGAGATTGGTCTCACGCTATGCCTTATCCTTCGGACTATTGTTTCACTGCATTTCCATGGCAGGCCCCGTTTTTATCAACATGTGAGACATTCAGCCGTGCAATAATTTCGGATCAAAGGGACCGGACACGCAAGTTATGGTGCTGATACTACTGTCATCTGCCACATCTTGGCGTTCACTTTCCGTTATAGTCCTCAGGCCTTGCCGCTTTTTGCCCACTAAGTACAACTGAGCACGCCTGGGGCAGCCCGCCGACATTACATAAGCACACTGATCTGCCCAGGTGCCTAGGTGGGTAGCCCTCGAAGCGCTCACTGAGCGTCACCTGATAGTCACCTGAGACTCAAACCCTACCTAGCATCCATAGGTGTTCGGGGAAAGAGAAACTAAAGAATAGCACGAAATAATATGGGATTTTACATTAAGCGTCTATCACCTTAGCGAAATGGGCAACTCGACGTCGAAACTCAAACATTCTAAAAGGAATTGCCAATCGATGCAAGCTAGTGGCAGACACTCGGCATGATGGGATCATTTCACTTGGAATCTCTTCTACAGTAGTTGCTGCGCTAACTTTGAAAGATGCCGGGCCTTTCCATCTCTGTCTTGACCCTCGAGCTCCTTGGCGTAGTCCATGAATACCTTCTCGACGGCGATGAACTTCCCGTCTGATCTTGTCTTGGCTCTGATGCTCCTGAAGGCTGCTGCCATGCCGTCCCGTTGGTGGATCTTCTCCCAGTCCGAGATGTCAAGGCGAGGATCCTCGGAGTTCTCCAATTCATACACACAGCCGACGCGAATCCACTCCATAATTAATGCTGCAAAGCCACTAGCAATGGCGGTGGCCACAGAGGAGCCTGTATGAGCGGTGAACTTCTCAATGGCGCCGGATATTGCAGGATCCTTGGTCATGACCTCGTATCCGGGAAAAGCGAAGTCAAGCTTGTCTGGCTCCCCTACGTTTCCCCAGATTTCGCCCGAGGCCTTGGCGGCCCCGATGCGGAAGATGCCACTGGAGCCACAATTCAGTGGATAAGTATCATCCGCTCGTTTCCCTTGGTCGCTGACCGAACAGAAGACGAGGATATCTCTCTGGATGGCCTCTGTGATTGCATCGCTGAACTCCTTCCGCAATGATTGCGATTCTGGTGGGGGTATGGTCCATGAGATGGAGATAACATGAACCCCGCTGTTGATACAATCATGGATGGCCTACCAGAACCATGATAGCGGCAGTTAGTTTATCAGCTTGCACCGCGAATTCACTATCACGACGAGGGGGAGGGAGGGTACGTACATCCACTGCGCTTTGCGGGTCAATCTTTACGTCTGTTTCATTCTCCGAAAAATGAGTCTGGAGCCGACAGACGTGCAGCCGAACGTTCGGAGCAATGCGATGAATCATACGGGCCATTACGGTTCCATGTCCAGCAGTCGAGTCCCAGAATGGCCGGATCTTCTGATCATCATCGTATTCGTGGAAGCTAGTTCCCGTAAATTTGTAGGTGGTAAGGTCTGGGTGCCCCGTATTAACACCGTCATCAATCAGACCTACGACGATTGGTCCCTCTAGGCCCTTGCCGCTCAAGCTCGATGGAAGATCACGCGGCCTTGGGAAACGTGATCGAAACATCTCCAGGCTTTTGATCCAGGCATCGGTATCATGGATGCCTTGTCCGGTCGACCCGGCCAAGTCCTCTCCAGTTGCCCCCGTCGTGTTCGGAATATAATTGGGCTGCCATTTAATCTTAGGCATTGTCTTCTTGGTGGGATCTTTGCCATTGCCCTCCAGATTTCTAGAATTCCAACTCGTTTGAAAGTGGCATTCGAACGCATTCTCGTTGTACTGTTCTCGCTCAGGCGAATCGGTTTTCTAATCTTGATCAGTGGGGATCCGATGGCTGACCGATGGGGAAAACGACTTGGATCTTGCTCACATACCTTACGTCGATGAATAATGAGGTTTTTCAGCGCCGGCAATTTTGCAAGTCCTTCGGGAGCGCTCCATGCCCTGAGGGCGACATTGTTTCCGCTCCATTGTAGATGGAGCGTCTGGATCGATCCACCGACGCGAACTATGCAATCAGGGCATAAATCCATTTTTTTCCAATCGAGCCCCTCGACCTTGAACCCTTCGAGAGCTTCTTCAATGGCTTCATCGGGATGCGGATTGTTCAAGTCCTCGACGCAGACGTTAAGGACTTGCTTGACTTTTCTTTCCCGAAGCCAATTGAAGAAAAATACCATGTCGTTGCGCCCAATGACATTCCTCTTGTCGCGCAGTGCTTCGTCCTCACTCATATTGAGGTTGATGGACATTTCTGGGAAGGCAACGTATTTTAAGATAGGCTCTAATGCGATATCGATGAAATTCTTGCGAAACTCTTTGGAGGTAAGCGTGTAACCCTTCGCAGGGCTGGGGCCATAGTCAAACCAGAAAGTGTTATCTATGCAGCGAGATCAGCACGGCAAATAGGTAATAAGGGGGATTGTCTACGTTTTGTGCCACGCCCTTTGAGGTGACGGACCACTTCCTTGGGCGTTTTGCGCCGAAGATACCATAGCTTCAGATGGTCCCTGACACGATCTGCGACCTGATCCCGCTCTGCGATCTCATCCCACTCTGTATCCTCCTTTGGGTTTTCCGCTCCATCCACAACGTTTTCCATTTCATCAGGATGCAGTGTCGAGCTACGTTTGAGCAGGCCACCCGGGATCGCGGTTGTTGTGCGTCGCTCTGTGATGTTTGCTTGGTATTGAACAGAGGGTCGTTCCGGAATCGCAACTTCCAGTGTGACCTCTTTTGAGGGTCGTTTGGGGAGACCTTTTGTCGCTCTGTTCGTTTCTGTGTCCCTTTCGGGGGGTCGTTCATCCGAGGGATATGACCGGCTCGAGGCATTTTCCCTCTGACACTGCCGCCAGCCTTTGCTAGGCTCTTCCTGGTCATCTCACGGGTGTTTTCATGATATTTATACAGTGACTCTTGAGCTCTAGTTTGGATGTCCATCGCTTTTGGGGGTCCCTTCTCTAGCAGCAGCTCTACTACCTGGTCCTGGTCGATAAAGCAGTTCTCATAGGCAACTGCATGGTGAATTGGCGTGAGTCCATTGCTATCGATGGAGCAAAAGCCGTCCAGAGGAGTGATGCTGATGAGCAACTTCTTGTCAGAGAGGGGTACACTCTGAGAGCTCATCGCCTCGTGAAGAAAGGTATCTGCCCCCCCTCGCACGCACTCACTTTGCAGACTTTCCCTAATTGCCTGCTGTAGGTCAGGCCTTTTCACAAAGTTCTTGGCCACAACCCTGAGCCCTTCCAGGTACTGTTTGTTCTGCTGCTTGATCGCTACATACAACGAGCTCTGCTTTCGTCTGTTCAGATGCCCCACGAGGTTTGGACGCACGTTGATAATGTTTCCGACGAGGAAGCTGAACCATTTGTCTTTCTTTGGGCTCTCTGCAAGGAAATGAAGTAGCGTGTCTTGCACCTCAGTCACTTCCGTCTTTTCGGTCATCCTTTTGACTCTATCCTGCATTACAGAGACTATCTCACTAGTCTTTACCCCTGCCGTCTTTTTATCATTGTATAGAGACTCCATCTCCGTCAGAAAATGTTGGAATCGGTCGCGAACCTTGTCCGTGGACTTTACACTCTCCGTTACCTCGACGGCATTTTCCTCGTCGCTAAATTGGAGGTAGTCATCCTCTTTGCGATTCGACATTTCCTTTGTCTTACTGGAAAAGATGTGCAGATTGGGTGAAGCCTCGGAAGGGGCTGGAGATGGTCTGGAAGATACTGCATATGCGAAGAAGAAAATGGCCTCCGATCTCAGGCACAGGTAAACAGTATACTGGCGCCACGCTTAGAGTTGGAAAGAAAAAAATAATTTAAAAAATATATGCACCAGGGATAAATACGAGAACATAAGCTGAGAGAACGGCAGAGTACGGAAACTACACCCTGAATGAAGTGGTCATGTAATAGTACTAATGTACCTGTATATGGAAAAGGAAGGGCTTGAGCGCAGGGATTCTCGAGTCTATAGGATAGTGCCCCAATGAGGGGTAGGCATAGCGCATTATCTTTGCTTTTTCGTTCTCGATGGTGATTGTTTGGGCACAACCACCCCGGGGGCCACTAGTGGTGACTGGGTGTGATAGCAGTGGATGTTTTGACCGTGCCCTTTTGTGTGTGTATATATATATATATATATATATATATATACTACGTACTCCGTACTGCGAAGGATTAATGGTTGGCAAAGGGTCAAATCGACTAATCACCCGTGGACCATGGCTAAGCCCGAGGAAGAGGATGTTTGCCTTCTCGACTTCGACGTAGGCCTTCAGCGCGGTCTCCCAGACGATAATGACAACGGATTTCGCGTGCAGAATACTTCCCCAAGTGACTGGCAAAGGCAAAACAGCATTGAGAGAAAGGGACCAGTGGACATTCGGGCCTCGTTGATCAAGGTGGTTCATGGATACATGGGGGACCCGTCTGCTGATGGCCCCTTCGCCACGCTACTCGTTTTCAAATTCCGTTTTGACCGACAGAAGCACGGACGACGCGTTATCCGCGCCCGCATAAACGTGGATTTCTCCCCACTGCCTCCCGGGAGCTCCCGCCCAGAAGTTTGGGCGATTGATCCTGAGGATAGGTTCATCATCGTCCCAACATCGGACCCACTAGAGACCACGAAGAGTCTGGGCGTCGATATCAGCACGCCTTATGCTGGGGTTACGGGGTCCATGGATCGGACCCGCCAGCGAAACATCGACGACGCCACCACGGTGACCGGCTCTATTGACCTTGCTCTTGGTGTCAACTCGGGAACGCCAAGCTGCGCCAGCTGAACGTTATTGGAGAACAAGACCCGCAAAACTAGCGTGCCGGACTTGATCCGGACATCCATTCTCCTCAAAAGGGAATCCAACGAGCCTTTCCAGGGTATCATGCAACTGGAGTGTCGTGCGGATTTTCAAACTCGGACCGAGTGGTATTTTGGCAGCTTCCCATTAGATGATCCCGTGCTGTTCAATCCATCTGTACAGGAGCATGACACGTCAGATATGAATTCAATCAACCTAGAGGAATTTCGGGAGGTGCAGCTAGGGGCTATATGGGAAGGCGAGTGATTGCGCCGCAGCGTGCATGCCTAGTGCTTACTAGTACATTACATGTTAGTTATAACAGACTGGATATTAACATACAATACTGAAAGTGACCGAGGTCACTATATATTTTACAATTTTTTTTTTCTGCGCTCTGTACGGGCGACTCAGAGCAGTTGGCGTTAATCGGGCAGTCCTGCGGGTGACCGCATCTCAGATCCATGCAGGGAGTTTCTTCTCTAGCCTCTCCACCTCTCTCGGTGCACACTTGATTCTAGCTGTATCATTTCTCACACATACCAATAACCGGAATCGTGTCTCTAGTCAGAAGCAAATCAGTCAGTCTTTTACTTGTAACACCGTCAGAAAAACATGGACGGGCTCGTAACAAAGAGCACACTCGATGACATCCTCTCTATGGACCACAAGCCACCCTACCCGCCAAAATATGAGTGAGTGCCTGTATTATACGAGGACATCTATGCTGAGTACCATACCTGACTTCTCATAGTGTAGTATTTGTGCATGGAGTACATGGCACCAAGGCATCCTCTCAGCGATTCATCGAACTTTTTCGGAAAGATGATGATCGGGTTCGAGTTCTCTCGTTCACTTACTACTTGGGCAGTAGTCACAGTGAAAGCGCCTATAATTCCCATGGACTGCGTGCTCGGGCATTGCTCTTGCTTCAGGGAATTCGGAACATGTGCCACGAAACCGATGCGGTAGGTGCAATTGTGGTTTCGTTTCTCTCTTTGACCTTTTCTAATTTTCCGTGTTACCCGCGGGCACTAACAGCTTATACTAATTGCTCAAGACTTTGGTGGTATCCTGGCCAAGAAGGTAAGATAACTGCTCATATTCGCACCGGCCACCCCCTGAGGGAGTGCTGGCTGACCACAATACCTACACTCAGGCCATAGCGTTGGCCTATGATAATCCGTCTCTTAACGACCGCTTTCTTCGGCAGATCTACGCAATGGTAACTATGCCACCCCCCCCCTTTATGTACACTGGACGTCTAACTCTTGTGAGGTATTTTACGGCTGCCCACATCGATGTGCTGACAGACTAACACTGGAAGACCAAATGCTCAGACAGCTTCAGTTGGATATGACTCATTATAGCTCAGGCATACTGCAATTGGCACAAACCCTTACCGATTTGACCATAGATGTCAATGCAGAATTCTATCATACTGTTGCATTAGTGAATATGAGAGTAGCCAATGTGTTCTCCAAAGCAGCCGCCATCACAGATCGCGTGAGTTATTTGGACTAAGACCAGTACCAGTATGCCTGTCGACCCGATGGCCTGAAGGGTTTCGAAGAGGATAATGTCCTATTTGACATCCCATGAATATTGCAAGAGCAGTGAGAATTCCCACGGAGATCTCTTCACCACAGAAAATTTGCTGGATCTGAGTGTCAATGGTAAGTGATCATTCCTTGTTGAGCCCGAAGATGGCGTATTGAATATCCTTCTTGTTTTAACACTCAAGCCCTAGATGTTGGGGGCCGCCTACTCATGTTCCCGGTCGCCTCTTCAATCCGCCCTCTCCCGTTAAAGAAGGCTGATCTTGACTCCCCTACGAGGGAGATCATTCGGAATCTGGTGAAACATCCTGCTCTATGTCAGCCCTGGAGGCTTGCACATATGAGTATCGTTGGTAGAGACATTGCGGAAGAGCAGGACAGCAAATGCCCGTTGGCGGTGGCTGCGAGCATAGGACTTGAGGATGTGGTCGATCATTTTCTGCAGGAGCAGAAGCCCGACTGCGGCGATCTGGCGGGTGCGATCAACGAGGCAGCAAGGAATAACAGTGTCCAAGCCCTTCGGACGCTTCTCAAAGCACGAACTACTCTCGGGGTAGACGCTGTTAATGCAGCAATTCAAGCGGCTGAATTCAATCCCAATGTTTCTATTCTGTTGGAGCTTCTGCGTTGTCAACCTGCCAAGGACCTGTCTGATATAACTGTGGCTGGGGTGTTGCGCGGGGTCTGTATCTTCCGCCTGAACGACATGATGCAATATCTGATTGAATCGAACGCCCTGGATGCCCATCCCTCTCTTACGGCGGAAGTACATCCGCTCCACCTTGCAGCGAAGTTCAACACGATTGGCATTGTTCGGCAATTATGTCACGCTGGTATCGACCCAATGGCCGTTGATGATGACGAGTCCACCGCTTTGCACACGGCAGCCTTGTATAACTCACTCGGGGTGGTCGATATTCTACTCCAAGCGTCTGGGGACCTTATCGGCGCAAGAAATAAAGCAAACCTGTCAGCGTTACAAGTTGCCTGTCAAGCTGGGAGCCACAGTGTAGCGCGCTGCCTCATACAGGCAGGGGGTGTAATGAGCTACGCGAATGATAAGTATCATCCAATGCTCTTTGCGGTCCGTGAAGAGCACAAGGTATGTGTGCAGATAGTTCTGGAGTCTCTCGAAACGTCTCAAGTATCTGGCGTGGCTGTAATGCCACTTCTTTATGCCGTCGTTCAAAATGAGCTGGCAATCGCTCGCCTCTTGCTAAGGGCTGGGGCCAACCCCAATCCTCCGCTGGACGGTAGACCTTGGCCCACCTCTCCCCTGTATTACGCAACGATCATGCCCAAGTTGGAGATGGTGGAGCTTCTGCTAGAATCCAACGCAGCCGTCAATCAGCCAGACCCGGACACCGGGAATACACCACTATTCAGTGCAGCGTGCCTATTGAAGACCGAAATGGTCCGGTGCCTAGTTAAATCCAAAGCCGATGTCAACCTGTGCAACAAAGACGGTTTAGCTCCTCTCCATGGGGCCGCCTCTCAAGGACACCTGGGAGTCACCGAGCTGCTACTTGAAGCCAATGCCGACCCAAATGTTGAAGACGAGGGTGGCTGGCGGCCACTACATAAGGCTCACAACCACGCCGAAGTCACCCGCTTGCTTTTGGCCCAAGGTGCCGATATCAACGCGATATGTGACCACGGCTCGCCCCTCTACCTCGCAAGTGATGCAAACCAACCGGAGGTGGTCCAAGTCCTCTTGACTCATAACCCCCCGCCTAACCTGTACTATGAAAAAAACGGGTTTAGCTCGCTAGCAGTGGCAATCCGTGACAGTTCTACTGAGATCACCGCCCTGCTCTTAAAGGCTGGGGTAGATGTTAACCGCAAGCTCTATGGGCGATTTTCCCCGCTCATGGTGGCCGTTGAGCGTGGCTGTGAAGCTACTGTCCAAATGATTCTGGAGTACCAGCCTGAGTTGAATTGGAAGACTGATGATGGGTTTGGTGCCCTGCACTGCATGATGGAAGAAACACCGGTATCTCTTGTTGAGCGCCTAATTCGTCGCGGTGTCGATCCGGATCTCACCAATGCGAGGGGGGCAAGCATAATATGGACCGCTGTGGAGGTGAAAAATCTATCCGTTGCGCGATATCTCGCGTCGGTGGTTAAGGTGAAACTGGATACCCCCGTGCGCTGTGAAGCTATCTTACACTCCGCATGTCGCTACGACAGCCTGGCGATGGTTCGGATCTTGGCCGATGCTGGGGCAGATGTTAATCTTGCGTGTCCAGGAGTGTACGGCACCCCACTGCAGGCGGCCTGCCGTCGCACAGTCGTTAGCGAACCGCCAGGTGAGACCCTGAAAATTCTCCAGTACTTGATCGAGAAGGGAGCCCAGGTCAACGCCCGGGGCGGGGATTTTCACACCTGCCTACACATGGCGTGCTTTTCTAGCACGCCGGAGGTCATCAAGTTCTTTCTTACTCAAGGAGCTGAGGTCGACTGTGAAGACTCGGTGGGTCGGACTCCCGCCCACATTGTATGCTACCGGGGGCAGGAACACTACCAGATATTGAACCCTAGTACCAGTCAGCTGGTGGCCCGAGACTGGACTCAACGCACAGCATTGCACTATGCTGTAATGAGTGGAGATTTGGAACTAGTTCAACGGGTTTTAGACAGCCACAAATGCGACCCTGACCACCGAGACACATACCGACAACTGGTCGATGACGACCTATGGACGCCGTTGCATTGGGCAGCAAGAAGCACCCAAGCCATACAGGAAGATAAGAAGGATACGGTCTCCGTGATAAAGTACCTGCTGGAAGAAGGCTATGATCTCACCGCCAAAGGCAAGGCAATGAATCAAGAGTGGACGGCGCTGGACGTCGCAATCTATCACGGTGCCGATGAGGAGATCAAGACCCTCCTGATCCCAGTAAAATCAGGGGAGCATGTTACATTCACACAGCGGCGACCTGGCAAGAGATATTATGGCGATGACTCTTTCTGCTACATTTGCCTTGCGGTAAGTATATTTGTCCCATCAACCTATATATACGCGTCCGAGGATTCAACTTTGCAGAGCAACCACTAAGAGCTGATTTCAATGCCTTCCAGGACATCGTCGGCTTCTGCCTGGAATGTCTTAGCTGTGAGGACTTCATCATCTGCTTCAAATGTCAAGCCTCTCGGCACATATTACATCCCAAGCATGAATTTTCGCAGACAACGCAGGAGTACGATTCGGAGGTAGAGGAGTGGGAGCCCCCGGGAGAGTATGTCATTTCGGATAGCCCTGTCCGTGCAGAGCCAGAGATGCTTGCTCAGCCTGCCTTTGATGGCGAAGTCCTAGACTTTGGGGATTCAGATGAAGATGACACACCGGTGTGATGGATGTTCGTTCTCTTTCTATAGCTATTGAGGAGGACCTATGCTAGTTTTGTTTCATCTCCTAGGTTCCTGGCGTACTGATATATGCACATCTGACCTCGGGAATATGTTGTGGAGACCTGATGGGAGATAGAATATTAGATGATTCATCAACAGCGCAGGGGACATTGTTTCCTTGTGGTTTTTTTTATTCGTTTAAACTGTTATGGTTACAAAGCGATAGTAGATAGTAGACGCTAGTTAACAGACCGGCCGCTATAGACAAAAGGCCGTGGACGTACGGCCGATCTGGTTGTACATCCACAGCCATTAGTACTAATTATAAGACTGCTGCCTTTTTTTTTCCCGTGACGTGTTGAACATCTAGTTGAAAAAGTTCATATAGATCGCGTGGTCCCGAACGAGCACAAGTACCATGAAAAGCCGGGATGAAGGTTCTCAATGTTTGATAAATATTCGCAGAAACCTGTAGGAAGTAACCATGCACCCCTGGATCAAATAGGCCAGAGGATCTTGAAAATTAGGTATTGAGAAATGTCATCAAAAACGTATTTGATAAACAAGCAAAGGCTTATAGACCGATAGTGTGCTCAACCTTATGCCTAGGTCTGAGTAATCGATCAGTAGCCAATCAAAGTGAGCCTGTGCTCGGACTGAAATTTACTGAGGATCCCTAAAAGCGGCAGAGATAGGTAAGCCCCGAGGAAATTTGATACTACATAAAGACTTGAGTCCGACGGTTGCCGACGGGATATCGACTACACAGATTTGCGTAATAGCTCTGGACTCATGAAATGGATCGATTTTGTATACAAATGTTCCGTCAACTTGAAACAACTCCATTCGGGATACTCGTGCAGGATGTGTGTGCAGTACATAAGACTTCAGATATGCAAAGGGCGTGAACTCTAAGTGTGACACATAAATTGTTATTTCTGTACTGTCTTCCTTGTAGATGCATTGAGGACGCATTAGAGTGTATTAGAGGTCCAATGGAGTTCCGTTGGAGGTGCATGGAGGCGTCGATCACGATGTTCGGCTCAGATGCGAAGTCGATCCGAATTGACTCATTGCCCATATAAACCTATCAACGCTAGAAGAGGTGCTAGAACAGAACGAGGGCTAAAAGAAATCTATTAAGTTAGCTTAATTTCATATTCCTGCGATCCTACCGCCTGAAAACTATTTAATTTCTTTTCTTTTCCCCCCACTTTTCGTTCTTCTCTTGTCAAGCCCTCAATAAATTAAAATGGACGACACAAAGCCGTGGGGCTATAGATGGCGTTCATCTCGACTTTTGGTCGTTTCATCCATCACTGTGGCTTTATTCGCAGGTATGGTTGTTTCACTTTTCTCGCATCTTGACTCATACTAACAGCCCGTCAGAGACATTTCTTTATGGGTTTCTTACTCCGATTTTGAGTTATATGCTTGAAGAACGACTGCATCTTGATCCTTCACAAACTCAGACGTACACCACAGCATTGCTCACCACCCATGGATTCATTGGTCTCATCTCAGCTCCGATTGTCGCTCATCTGGCCGAGAAGACTCCGAGTCAAAAGAAACCACTATTGATTTCTCTGGCAGGATGTTTCCTGGGAACTCTCATCATTGCTCTCGCCCCGTCTGGTATGCGCATCTCTAATCTGGATGATGACTATTTGAAGCTGATTATCGTGAACAGTCTGGGCCCTCTTCCTTGGTCGCATCCTGCAATCTATGGCAGGTGCCGGCACCTGGGTGGTTGGATTTGCTCTATTGGCAAATAACGTGGACAAGAAACACCTCGGACAGTCGATGGGGATGGCCATGTCATTCGTAACTGCAGGTATGGTCGGCGGACCAACAGTGAGTGGCGCATTGCTCCAGTTATTTGGCTACTGGGCCGCCTGGTCCCTTCCCTTGGTGGTACTTGTCTTGGATATCATTGCCCGCCTGGTCATGATTGAGCCTGGCCTCGGATCTCCAAAGAAAACTGAGACTTTGAGCAAAACTGCTGGCACATCAGTTACCATCAATGATGGAGGCCCAGAAGAATCGACTGCTCTGCTTTCTGATACACCGTCCACTCTCAAGCCGGATGACTGTAGAGTGGAGCACAAGCATGACCTCAAACACGAATACTACAGAGTTATGCTCTCTGATCCTCGTGTTTTGACCGCATTGGCCAACGTTGTCGTTGTCTCCTCTCTCATGTCTGGCATTAACAACACCCTCCCCGTCCACCTGAGAGAAGCATTCGGTTGGAAGAGTTTACTCATTAGTATGATGTTCTTCTGTCTTCAAGTCCCGAATATTGTTCTGAGTGGCCCATCTGGATGGCTTCGTGATCGAATCGGAATACGGGGACCTACCGTTTTCGGCTGGCTTGCCATGATCCCTCTAATCTTACTTCTGGGGATTCCCGGAGACCCTCACTTCCCATGGGCCGCTGGAGATGCAGCTGGCAAGTCTATCTTTACCAGCAGTTTGATTGCCTTGGGTAGTATTCTACCTCTTGTACGCGGTGTAGGAGCCGTGCAACTGGCCTGTGAGTGGTTCCATTATATTTCTTGTTTTTTCTCCACTAACCAATTTGACTCTTGATATAGATGTGGTCAAGGATATGGAAGCCAAAGACGCGCATCTATTCGAGGCTAACAGAAGCAACCTGCGAGTCTTTTCCATGACTGAAGTGGGATATAGTCTCGGTATGATGTTCGGACCTATGTTGACAGGCTCGCTATTTGAAGGAGTTGGCTTCTTTTACATGACAGTGGCACTAGGTGAGTTACACTTTCCTAATAACGTATTGTTCAATTTACTCACCCTGTGCAGCTATCACCTGCCTCATCCAGGCCGTTGTTTCCTGGCGTTGGTTGGATACCTTGCCCGAGCCCGAAGTTCCCGAAGCTTCGGTTTAAACATTCGCATTGGATAATATGCGTGATATTGAAATGAGCCCCAGAAAGCGTTTATTGTGATACGAGTACTTTAAGGATAATTAAGATATGCCTCATGGCACATTTGAGATAGAATATGAAATGCACAAATATTAGTTAACAAACCTGCAAAGATAGATATTAATGTTTCTATTAAAATCGACACACCTGGGCAGTACAACAATCGGCGATTCGTGGTTGGTGAAGATAACAGCGGGATTCTACCCCGCGAGGTATAAAGCGGCAGTTCCTAACTTCCTCATCTCTCCCGAAACAAGTCAGAATGGCCGAGTCAAAGACTGAGAGCTCGCAGCTCGCCGATTGTGATCATATCCCAATTATCGACCTCTCAGCTTTAGATAATCCAAATTTTGATGAGCGATGGAGACTTGCTCAATCAGTCTATGATGCTTGCACTCAGGCTGGCTTCTTTTACATCAAGGTATGTAGCTCTGATCATACTCTCGAGCCCCATCAGGTACTAATGCTGCCCTTTCAGAACCATGGAATTCCAGAGGACAAAATCGATGACATTCACAAGTGTGCAAAGCGCTTCTTCGACCTCCCCGAGGAGCAAAAGATGAAGTTCTATATTGGAAACTCCTCCGTATGCTTGCAAAACTGAACATTCAAAAGAATATGCTAAAACGATACCAGAAATTCCGCGGCTACAGCCCCTTAGGTTCTGAGAAATCTACAGGCACAGAGGATGATCCCATTGCCGAAGAAGACGCAGTCGGTGCTCTCTCTGAAGCATTCGACATCGGATACGAAACTGCAATGGATCCTCAAAAATCGAAAGATGCCCCTCTTCCCCGTGATCCCTATGGACTATATGGAGATAACCAATGGCCTGGCCCAGATATACTTCCAACCTTCGCAGAGACCTATATTGAATATTGTGCGATGATGCTAGGGCTCTGCCGAAAGCTGATGAGAATATTCGCCCTCGCTCTAGACCTACCTGAAGAACACTTTGATTCAATGACTCAGAACCCAGGCGTCACGTCTAGAATGATGCATTATCCGCCTCAGCCGGTGAAGGAAGAGGTTCGTGAAGGGCTTGGGGCTCATACGGTAAGAAATTGAGCAAAACATGGAAAAATATACCAAAATACTGATCTCTTTATCTGCTGTCAGGATTTCGAATGTTTCACTATCCTCTCCCAGGGTAGTGTGCCGGGTTTGCAAGTATTGAGTCACAGCGGCGAGTGGATACTAGCGCCACCGTTGCCGGGGACATTGGTCGTCAACATTGCAGATTGCTTGTCAATTTGGTAAGATTAGTTTGGTTATTTATGAGAGTATGTGCTAACTTGTTTAGGACGAATAAAAAGTTCAAGTCTACTATCCATCGTGTGACGAACTTAACCGGACAAGAACGTTACTCCGTTCCCTTCTTCTTTGGAGTTGACTATGATACAAAAGTGTCGGTTCTACCGAATCATATTTCGGATGATAGACCTGCATGTAAAGAGCCCTTCAAAGCAGGCGAGGTGAGTAAAATAGATCTAGTACCGGTGTGGTAGCTAACGAGACAATAGTGGGTTCGCGAAAAGCTATCAAAGGCATATGTTGGTTATGAAGGCTAGGGGATTGTCTTAAACCAAGACATGTATTCCCAATATATATATATCTAAGAAGTTAGGATAATTAATCCCCAATCGTCAACTAATCTAGCCGAGCGCCACCAAAGAAACCTGAATCGTTTGTAAGCGTGCAGGTCGACCTCTGGAACCCCGCACATTGCCTGAGAGCCTTAGACTATAAAAGCATCAACGTCCAGGTCTACTTTCAGGATAAAAGACTTGAACAGTCCCATATACCTCGCAATGGCATTGTCTTTCAGTACTCCGCCGTCCACAGCAACGGCGTCTCTTACACCATTCCAAGCCAAAATCCCCACTGCCAAACTCGACGAGCTCGAAACGTTGATAAAGCTAGCAAAACTTGCACCGCCGACCTACGAGAATTCCCAACTAGACCGTCGCTATGGTGTCTCTACCGACTGGCTAGTAACCATGCGGGATCTATGGCTGAGGTCTTATCACTGGTAATGACATCACAGGCCATGCATGCACTACGCATGTTCGCCATATCCCATATTGGACATGGGACTGAATTGTCATAGGAAATCCACGGAGGATCGAATTAATACTTTCCCTCAGTATACCACCGAGATTGAAGGTCTTACGATTCATTTTGTAGGGTTGTTTTCGAAAAGGAAGGATGCCGTTCCTCTGTTGTTGTTGCATGGATGGCCTGGTAGGTTACAACAAACAGATAACCAATGCATGAAAAGTGACTTATTGGATTATAGGGAGCTTCCTCGAGTTTTTGCCTATACTGCAAAAGTTCCGAGAGGAGTATACGCCGGAAACCTTGCCTTATCACTTGATTGTACCTTCATTGCCAGGTTACACATTCTCCTCTGGACCCCCGTTGGATAGAGATTTTGAAATAGGTGACATTGCTCGTGTGGTGGATAAGCTGATGAAAAGCCTCGGCTTTGGGGGTGGATATGTTGCCCAGGGAGGTGATATTGGAAGTCGGATTGCCAGGCACTTGGGCGTGGAACATGAGAGCTGTAAAGGTATCGAACATTCATGATATCCCCATTGAGAATAATGTGCCTTTTCTGACGAGTTGATTTATAGCTGTGCACGGTAAGTGCTTTCTTGATACAGCTTGTTCAATGACCAGAATGCCAATATAATCTAGTAAATGTGGTTTTCATGAGAAAGCCAGACGGCTTGACGGACGACCACCTGAATGCCTCTGAGATACAGGGCGTCAAGAGGATGCTGAACTTTGTGACTACCGGCGCAGGCTATGCGATGGAGCAAGGCACTCGACCCAGCACCATCGGGCACGTTTTGGCATCGAGCCCTATTGCTCTACTAGCATGGTAAGCCGTGCAAAGCAAAGTGTAGTCGACAGGAACTGCAAAACTGACGTACGTAGGATTGGAGAGAAATTCTTGGAATGGGTCGACGATCCGCTTGCCCCAGATGACATTTTGGAATCTGTCACCTTGTACTGGCTTACCGAGACGTTCCCCCGAGCGATCTATACTTACCGAGCGGTGAGTTTCCAACGACTTTTGGCCACAAGAAGATGTCTGATGGGAATGAATAGAACTATCCTCCCCCACCGCTTCCGTCTTCCAATGACCCCCGCTGGTATATCCACAAGCCCTTTGGATTTTCTTCTTTTCCTATGGAGCTTGCTCCGCTGCCGCGCTCGTGGATTGAGACCACTGGAGACCTGGTCTTCTGGGAGCAGCACCCGAAGGTATGCGATGTGACAGTTAAACGAGAATTGAGATCTGAGACTGACGTTGGTTTGATATAGGGTGGTCATTTCGCGGCACTAGAGCAGCCTGATGAATTGAAGACGGACTTGATCAAGTTTGTAGATCAGGTGTGGCCAGGCATTATTGGTGCCGAATAAGCTGAGATCAATAACGAGGCGAGAAAAGCATGTGTTGATGTAGATGGCTTGCGTCTGAAGTTGGAATGGATTTAGGGACTGTTGGTAGTTACCCGTAGACTGCATAAAGAAGTGTGATGTTATAGCACCGAAACCTGTATTCAGTGCGACAAATAGATCATACATAGTCAGTGAGTTGATAGAAACACCGCACACATTTTCCGTTGACTCCAAACAAAACTGTTTCGATGAAAAGCTCATAGGTTGGTAGACTGGTAAGAAGGTGCAGTCGGGAAATTCAAACGCGGGTTGTTTATCAGATCGCGCCCACACTTCCCCCATCTCCAAGTACATCTCAACAAGAACGGTTCCACCAGAGCACCTTACTTCATCCAGTGTTGCCTAAACCATGACAAAAATAACAGCAGCCGATGAAATCTTCTCCGACGAATCCAGCTTCTACGGTAAACCCCATCCCATACTCCAATCCACCTAAGAACCCCAGCTAACCCACATCAGGCGACGACGATGAAAAGGCCCAACTAGAAGCCCAAGTCTCATCCTACGACCCAGAGCCATTCTGGGTAGATACCCATCAGAAGCTACTATCAACCATCCAGCAGCAACTCCGCGCGCCGGTTCCACGCGCAAAGGCCGGGTCATCAGACGTGTCTATGGACGATGCATCCCCAGAACCATCCAGCACACCACGCAACCAGCGCGGGAAGACCGAGCCTATAGATCGCTTTCTATCGCGTCTTCCGCCCTCAACAACTGACTCCGCAAGCGTAGCCCCCTGGATCTGGATGTACAATCCGCATGTGTCGCCGCCGCGGCGAAGCGGAGATGTTCCTACGCTTCTTAGGAAAGGCAGGGAGCTTCTGCAGGAGTACGAGAACGAGAGTACGATCCTGCGCGAGGCGCATGATAAGTCTGGTGCGAAAACTACGGCTGGTTTGACTCGTAAATTGAATCCGATGAGGAAGGAACTCGAGAAAGGGATTCTTGATCTGGCGAGGGAAACGGGTGTTACGGATGGGAAATGGATGCTTTTTCCGACTGTTGATCGGGTTGATAAGGTCTGGGGGGTTGTTGTTCGGGCGATGGAGAAGGGGGAGCTTGGGGATGCGGCGAAAGTTGCTACTGATGATGGAACTGGGTCTGGACAGAGTCGGTTGATTTGTGTTTATACGGCTGATTTTGGGGATGTTGAGGATGTTAGGCGGGTTGTGAGTAGGTTGGTTGATATTGGGGTTGTTGGGAAGGGGCCGAGGGCTATTTATTACAAAACTGATGCCTTTACTCATTTGGAGATTAACTCTAAAAATGAGTATGGGCTGAAGGCGAGTATGTATTCGAGTCGGGAGGTGCTTGAGGAGAAGTAGAGCCAATGATTATGGCTGGGGTTTGTTTATGGTTGATGAGCATATGATTGATGATTAATGGGCTGTAATGGGTATCTCTGAACGCAGTTATCTACATGTATGATACTTTATGTGCTTCCGGACATTTGTAGCAGTAGGTTCGGTCATGGAAGGATGGGTTGTGTGCCGAAGGAATTCCCAGAAATCGGCGCAGCGGTGGTTTCGTGGGGGTGGGTGGTTTGGCTGGGATCAGGGCTGGAGGCAGGTATCGATTGATCATGTCTTGCATAGATCGGGAACGATTTTTCTTCATGAATGAGCCGGCTCATTCATGGCCGCAACTGTCGGTCCAGTCAGAAGTGATAGCTCACTTCAACTGAAGTCCATTGCCGAGGAGCTCCAACCACATGAGTTATGGCCGAGGAAAGGTTGGTATAAGGTGGCGTTCAGTCATCGTCGCTTGCCCTATTCATGACTTTCTCACACGCTTCCCGAATCTCAGCGACCCCCTTGACAGCACCCCAAGCGTCGAGTAATTGCTGGACCTCTTTCCAGTCCTTTTCAGCATCCTCCCTTTTATCCTCCGCCACAAGGTTCTCCAATCTTTGCGGTGCAGCAAGGACCCACCGAACAGTATCCTTCTCACTCTTCTGACTCGAAGCCCTGTCTTCCAGCTTCGCTTCCTTCATTCGCCGCCGCTGCTCCTCGCCTTCCTTGATGAGCCCACCAGCAGTCTCAGCAACAAAGGCAATAGCCGGTCCCAGCGTTTTAGTCATAGTCAACGGCGCACCGCGATCATCCATACTGCGCCGCATTTTCCCAATTGTCTCCACAGCGCGAATCAACTTCGAGTAGTTATCGTAGACCAGCGCCTTCCGCTCTCCGTCGAGAGTGCGGATATCCCCAACCAATGTATTCTCAGCCTTGAGCACCGTAGACAGTGACGAAGTTGACAACAGATGCTCCACATACCGCTGCGGGTCGAAGTCTGCACTGTCGAGCTCCGTTCCTGACGCTAGAGCGGTTGGGTCGGGGATGTCTCCTGCATCTGTGTTGCGCGGCACACTCCGGGAGCGAGATGCGTCTCGGGAGGCAGATGTGTCCGCACCGGGTGGTTTGAGGTTGTAGTAGTCTCGCAGGGCGCTGCGATTGCGTCGGAGATGGACGGAGGGGGAGACAGCTCGCGCAGTGGACGGGGTAGATGCGGCGCTGAGCCCCCCGCTGACATTGGTGTTCAAGGCATCGAGCGATGGGCGGGAGGAAGCTGGACCCGGGGAATGGGCTCTGGATGAGGCAATGGACATGCGTGGGGATGATAAAGTCGACATTGCAGTGTGTTGTGGGGGAGATGTATCGGAGTTGCCGGAGGTGAGACAGGTCGGGCCAGGTCAACGGGTTTAAGCGGTGGTCTGTGCTTTTGTTTTTCGCGTTGAAAGCTTCCCCAACTTCGCTTTCCTTTGATTTACCATACGCGCCAATATGATCCTGAGGGTGTCCAAGACATCATGACTAGTCCTGATCAAATTGCAGCTCAGATTCTGAGCACCAAATCCCTCTCAGTCGCTCAACCCTGGCTCAACGCCTTCCTATCATCCAGCACATCGCAACGCAATATCCCCGCCTCGGCTCTCGCGCAAACGGCTATATTCCGTCTCCTCGCCTCTGATATCAGAGAATCACTCTCCAAGCACAGATCATGCGTACTACCAGTCGATATCCATAACCCGACAGTTCAAGAGCGACGGCTGCAAGGCTCAATCCCCGTGCAAGTGCTAGACATCGAAGACATTGGCACGAGTCTATGGAGCCAGATCGAAGCGATTGAACGCGTTGAGCGTGGTGAAGCGATCCATGGCCGTGAGATAGTGCGCACAATATCGGTAGGCGATGACTCCGAGGCGCCAGAGAACAACCGCGCGAATAACAACCCTGCGAGCGGTGCTGCGAGTGTGTCCGGGAACAGTGGGTATGGGCCGCATCGCCTGATTCTTCAGGATGCAGCGGGAACTATGGCCGTGGGTGTTGAAATGCAGCGTATTGATGGGATAGCGTTGGAGAAACTTGCTATTGGGGCGAAGCTCTTGCTTCGTAATCCGACTGTTGCGAGAGGCATGGTGTTGCTCTCTCCGGGGTCTGTTACTCTGCTCGGGGGGAAGATTGAGGCTCTGGATAAACCGTGGAGGGATGGTAGGAAGGCTAGGTTGTTGGAGAAAACTGCAGGCGTCGAGAGAGAATGAGAAGAGACCAGTCATCGTGGGCTCCACCGGCCGACTAACTTCCTTTACTTCGCACTTATTATTAAGGTATGTGATTTGCATTTCTCTCAGTCTATCATGAATACATTTAATATATTGTGTTGAATTCGATGTTGTCATGTTCATTCGCTAAAAACTGATTGTGCAGTTAAAGTAAATACACTGTGCATCAAGTTCACCCAGCTCTCGCGCTTGTATGGCGCTGTGGCAGGTGGCAGGTGGCAGGGTAGTTATTTCCTCATCCGATTACACCGGCCCATGGCTTGTACGGCGCTTCCATGGCAGGAGAGGTTTATCGTCGTCCGCGTGTTCATGGCCTGCCCTGCAGCGCGTCCACATGTTCCGGGTAGGTACATTGTGGCTCAATTCCTCCCATCCATTGCGTTTCCACGGGGCAATCATGATCGCCCGGAAGGCATCACCAAGCTTGCCAGTTTGCGCGTAGGCTTCGCTGAGATCCTCGGCTCCGAGATTACCGTGAGGAGGCACGCTCCGCAGAGCGCGTTTAATAGTCATCGCGGCTGGGTATGTCTTTCGCGACGCTGCCGACAACTCCATCCATCCGGCAGGTTGCCCAGGTGTAAGCATCACGGCAGCAGTGGCATCTCCAATGCGCCTGATGTTTTCAGGGACGGCTGCATTATCGTTGAGTCCCATTGCTGAGATGGCATTCAGAAGTTTCATGATTTTAGCTCGGTCGTGGAGATCGATGTCATCGCGCGAGATCATGCTGTTAAGGTCTGATTCAACTGCTTCAATGGCGTCCTTGTCCGCATCGAGGAGAGCGATGGCACCCAAAAGGGTGACTGCTCCGATGTGGCCAGGGTGATTCATCACGCAATCGAGCAGTTGCTCGCGAGCAACAGCCCGATTCTCCTCGCCGCCCTTGGCCCATAGGACCTGGGCAAGAAGACAGACAACATCTGGAGCATGATCTGCTTCTTCGAGGGCATCGCGGAACATATCGATAGCTTGATCCATAGATTTCAGGTTGTAATGTGCTAGGCCAGCGGTCAGATGCGCAGACAGACGAAGCTTCTTGCAAGCCTCGGGATCGAATTTCACCGCGTCTTCCTCCTCAGAGAGGGTGAGCGCGAGCTCGGCCTTCTCCGCGGCCTCTGCATAAGAATGACGTGCAAGCAGGACACGAGCCATATCTGCATTTGCTTGGGCATACCTCGAAAGGGAAGCTGGTGACTCGGTCTTTTCGAACTCGTCTTCCATGCCGGAACAGACAACCTGTAGGCTAGACTCGGCATCTGCGGTCTCGCCCATTCTCTCTGCCAATAGGGCGGAAAGGTGCACAAACGGCAAGTTTGACGGGTCCTGGATGCAGAGTTGGTGCAGCGCGAAGAATGGCTGAATGAGTTCGGACACCTGGGAGGCGGAAGTCGCATTAAGA